CGGGAACGGTGACCTTAGCCCGATGTTCATGCCGTAAAATACCCTTCCTCCTACCTGACGAAGACCCAGAACAATCCTGGGGAATGGAAGTGGAAGACGGAGACACCATTCTCGTAATAGATTTTGAGGAAGCCTTTCACGTACGAGCCATAGGGAGTAAAGCAAACGAGCTAGCCGCCAAAGCGAACCAAGCCAAGGGGGCAAAGACGTTCGAGGAAATAGTACCGGAACATTACCAGGAATTCCAAGACGTGTTCGCAAAGGAGAATTTTGACAAGTTACCCCCTCGGAAACCATGGGATCATGCTATCGAACTCATCCCAAATGCCAATGCCAGCTTAGACTGTAAAGTCTACCCGCTCAACCCGACGGAACAGGAGGAACTAGACAAATTCCTTGACGAAAACCTGGAGTCTGGAAGGATTAGACCCTCCAAATCCCCGATGGCATCTCCGTTTTTCTTTGTCAAGAAAAAAGATGGAAAGTTGCAACCCGTCCAAGATTATCGTAAACTAAACGAGATGACCATCAAAAACCGTTATCCTCTCCCGCTCATTGGGGAATTAATGGATCAGCTCAAGGACGCCAAATACTTTACCAAACTGGATGTTCGATGGGGATACAACAACGTACGAATCAAAGCAGGAGATGAATGGAAGGCTGCATTTCAAACAAATCGGGGACTCTTCGAGCCCATGGTGATGTTCTTCGGACTCACCAATTCCCCAGCCACCTTCCAATGGATGATGAACGACCTGTTCAAAGAGCAGATCGCACAAGGGGATGTCACCGTATACCTGGATGACATCCTGATCTGCACCAAGGATAAGGACAGGCACCGCCGGGTCGTACGAGAAGTACTGGCCATCTTACGAGCCAATAATCTCTTTCTAAAAGTGGAGAAATGTGAATTTGAGGTATTAGAAACGGAATACCTCGGAGTAATCATCAGTCAAGGATCCGTTCGCATGGACCCCGTCAAGGTTAAAGGAATCACGGAGTGGCCTCAACCCACAAAGAAACGAGAGCTACAATCATTCCTAGGGTTCACCAACTTCTACCGAAGATTCATCCGAGATTACAGTAAACATGTACGACCACTCACCCAACTCACGGGGAAGGCGGAGTGGGCATGGGGCACGGCCCAAGAAAGGGCCTTCCAGGAAATCAAAAGGAAGCTAGCGGAAGAAGTAGTACTAGCGATACCCACACGGACCGGGAGATATCGCGTAGAAGCAGATGCAAGCGAAGGAGCGGTGGGAGCGGTGTTATCACAAGAACAAGAAGGAAAGTGGCGACCCGTGGCATTCCTGTCCAAGGCCTTAACCGTCACAGAACGGAACTATGAAATCTACGACAAAGAACTCCTAGCAATCATGCTAGCCCTTGAGGATTGGAGACACTATTTAATGGGCGCCCATCAGGAATTTGAGATCTGGACAGATCATCAAAACCTGCAGTATTTCCGCAAACCCCAGAAACTCAACCGGAGACAAGCACGATGGGTAACGGAGCTAGCGGAATACCATTTCACGTTACACCACAAACCAGGAACGGCCAACAAGAAAGCCGACCTATTATCCAGGAGGGCAGACCACAATCAAGGAGGGGAGGACAATAAGGAGGTGATAATGCTCAAACCAGAAATGTTCCGAGCGTTAGTCATGCCAGGGGAGGAAGAAATTCACAAACGAATCCGAACGGCACTAAGAGACACAACCAGATGGGACAAAGGGATCGAAGCATCCCTTCATCACCCACGGGAAATAGTCCAGAAAGAGGGGCTGATGCACTATGACGGACGGCTGTATGTTCCCCGAGATGCCAAGCTACGAGGAGAACTGATCGCCATCCACCACGACCACATCACCGCGGGGCATCCGGGGATCGAGAAGACGAAGGAACTTGTTCAAAGAGAATACTGGTGGCCAAAACTCAAGAACGATGTGGAGCGATACGTAAAAGGATGCGAAGCTTGTCAGCGCACCAAGACAAGCACTCAAAAGAAGAGAGCTCCCTTACACCCTCATGCCGTTCCATCTCGACCATGGGAACATATCACGGTCGACATGATAGGAGAACTACCAGACTCCAACGGATACAACGCTATCCTTATGATCGTGGATCGCTTCTCCAAGGAAGTAATCCCAATCCCATGTTCTACCGAGCTAACCTCGGCAGGATGGGCCAAGATCCTTAGGGACCATGTGTGGGCAAAACACGGAATGCCGCAAAAGGTCATATCCGATCGGGGCCCTCAGTTTGTATCCAAATTCATGAAGGAATTATACAAAATGCTCCACATACAGGGAAATCCGTCTACAGCATATCATCCCCAAACAGACGGGCAAACGGAGCGGGCGAATCAAGAAATAGAAAAATATCTCCGCATATTCATTAACCACCGACAAAATGACTGGAGTGAATGGTTACCGCTCGCGGCCTTTCAACATAACAATCGAAAGCATTCTGCCACAGGATATTCCCCATTCGAGGTCAATCATGGACAGAAACCTCACCTCGCCCCGCTTACAATCAAGGAAGGAACCAATCCGGCCGCCAGGGAGTTCATGGCAGACATACAGAAGGTACATGAACAGACGGCAAAGGCACTGGAGAAGGCGGCGGAAACCATGAAACGACAATACGACAAGCACCAATGAGCGGCAATAGAGTACCAACCAGGAGACCAAGTATGGTTGGACTCTACAAACCTATCTCTGCCTCGACCAATGAAGAAGTTAGGGGACAAGCACGTTGGACCCTTTGAAGTGCTTTCCAAACACGGCACGTCTGCATATAAATTATGACTTCCTTCCACGTGGAAAATCCATGACCGTTTCAATGAGAACCTCCTTACTCCATACCATCCGCCGGAGTTCCCAATCCAGATGCAGCCTTTACCTCCACCACCGGACCTCATAGATGGACAGGAACAATATGAAGTGGAAGAAATTGTGGACAGAAGAGAAAGAGCAAGAGGAAGGGGAAGAAGGCACGGCACCGGAATCGAATACCTCGTCAAGTGGAAAGGATACCCAAGGGAGGAAAACTCTTGGGTAGATGAACAAGACCTGGACAACGCCAGAGACGCAATCAAAGACTTCGAACAAGTCTCGTTCATCATCCGACCCCCAGTGGAGTGGTGGGAAGACGAAGACGAATCAGATTCTTGGTCCGAACACGAATCTGTAACAGAGTCAGAAGTCGACCACCCATTGGTACAGGCAATCCAAGAATACCTGATAAAACCAAACGCACCCTCCCTTGTAGGAGCCTACCTTCCAAAACCAAGTTGTACTGCAGTCGGGATGACTGCCTTAACAGGGGGGTAATATTACGATTTTGCGCCTTATCTTATCTTATCGACTCTCTCGTAATCTCGCTATGCCAATTCTCCGGACTTGATCGCATCCCACCATGAGGATTCAGTACGTTTACCGTACCGTTGCAGACACTTGTAGTATATTTAGCACAATCCAAACTGTATTTAAGTAGCTCGACTGCAGGTCTTAAACCTCAGTCTCGAACTAAAGTTTATTCACCCGATAACTTAGTCAGAACTCACTCTCGCTCAACTAAGCGATAGCTCCCTTAACGCAAACCTGCGGACAACATACAGCGCCTGACCGAAGTGCGAGTCACGCTGAGTTGTTTGATCTTGTTTGTGAAATCGGTCGCTAACACCTACCAACTTTTTTCCCATTGGAGTCTTAGTCTTGTCAGGATAGCCGGTGATGTGCTCGGTAACGGGCAGCACGCAAATGAAACAAGCGTCTAGATCATCAATCTAGATACTAAATCACACACACACACACACTATCACCAATGTATATAAGTTCGAGGGTGAGTACGATAGAAGCACTCGCGATGTACTTAGATTTAGATAATCTAGTGGGGTTTTGTCTGAAAACAACTTCAATTCTTCTTTTGATGTGTTTTACACAAAGTACACTAGTCTGTGATAGCAGGGTTTATGAACTTGTTTTGCAAGGTATAGTCGAGCAAGTTATACTCGTTTTGATGTCATCTAGAAGAGCTTCTAGCAGACACTTCAAATAATCAAACAACCAAAGACTCCGAGGTCTACAAAGAGTGCAAAATCACTCTACAAAGAATGCACAGGTTCTGACTTCAAGTACAAGACTTGCAAAGAGTACACAGACTCTGGAGTTTCTTGAACTCAACGATTGTTCGAACTTAAAGCATTCTAGGGCTTATTTTACTTCAACTAGGTGAGGTCTTTTGACTTAAAGTCGACTCAGCACATCTAGATTGCTAATCTCAGAGAGAGAGAGAGCATGAGGCCTTTGTCCGCAGAGCAGTTCAATTAACTAGCAAGGCGCAAATGTGGGGATGGCTCTACTTCCTACTTAACTCTTCTAGATTACTGTAGTCGCCCTTATGGGTTGACTTTGGTAACTTAATTCACTTCAGTCGAGGATATGCAATAAAAACCAGTGATTGATTAGGTAGCTATACAGGCTACTAGCACAAATGCAGGGGGAATGCTTTCCTGCCATTATGCGTCTAGTCGCTGCTAATTTATACGATTCGTGTTTTAGGTATAGGAGCCCATATCTACAGTAATTATGGTACGAGCTTTGGAATTAATACAAACGGTGAGTCACTATCCTACAAGTATCGCGCCATTCCATAGTTTCTATTCAGTTCGACACGACTGCGCTGGGTTATTCTGTTGCCAAGGAGTGCCCTACTAGTCCGTGGGTGCTCCTTCTTCCATCTGCAAGGCCTGCCGCGCGCCGTATGTATTGAATACTGCGGTATGCGCAGGATCTCGAGGATGTAACCACTGATCACGATCGACTGCAGGTCCGAGATTGTATTCTGTTGATCACTGCGCGATCAAGGTCGGTCATCTCAGTACCCAATGCGGCTATTCATTCTTCCAAGGTTATTCCTTTCCTAGCCTGAGTTGATCTCGAAAGCTGATCTGTTTCTCGACTTAGCAATTTTTCTTGACAGGTTCTTTCTACTCGTCAAGGCAATGAGGCATCTAGTTCATTCCATTCTTCAACTTCTTGGTTTTTATACTCCATACAGACGAGTCCCCAAGATTTGACTGTAATAGTCTTGTTTAGGTAGGGCTTAGCTTGGCGTGTTGATGGCTGGTAGAATTGACTCTTCGAGATGTCATTTCTAAGTCCATTCTGTACTGCCGTGCTTTCATTCTTTATGTAGTATTTAGCTACCAGCACGAAGCCTCCACTGTAGCCCTCTGTACCGCTTGTAGATTGCATAAACTGATGTAAAATCACAAAATCTATGGGTAGCCTGATACCAGGCGTATCACCGGGAGTGGTGGATGGTTGTTCAGCCTCCTCATCTCCATCAGACGATACTGAAACTTCCTCACCTTGTTTCCTCACTTGCTGCTTGACTGCAGCTTTCATTAGCTCAGCACTGGACATGGAGGTGATGATCTCTTTAACTTGAGATGATGCTCCAGTTCTGACAGATCGTACTGACCCAGGAGACCTAGTATTTGCAGGGGCTGATTCATAGGGTGTGGCCAGCCTGCTACCCTCACAGGAGCTACTGCCCTTGGGCAATGAACTCGCGTGAATGTGCACGCTGCTGGCAAGGAACGAAGTCCCACATTCGGTCAAAGCTTCATGCTGAAGCTTCTGATCTTCTAACAGGGCAACAGCCAGAGCTGATGCCATATTGAGAACGATCCCCGGCAAAGCCATCCCAGATGGCTGGTTGGACTCGGTTACTTCTGTCAATGTGGACAGGTTGGGAATGCCAACAGCGATAGGAGTCACTGTGGGCATCGCCAAAAAATTTTGTTGGGAGGCATCCAGGGGGATTTCTTCCCCTGGTACCCCACAGAGTCAGGCAGAGGATCGACTTCCCAGGCATCGCTTGGCAGAAGCATTGCGAACCATGTGTGCTATTGCAGGGTTGAGGTGATGTTTTGATGTGGGTTACATTGATAGGTGCTCTCATTCCAGAATGCCTGTTCTGGTACAACAACAATCTAATCTTTTGATGTTCAAAAAAGTGTAAGGGCTTGTCATAGAGCTGGAGTCTTATATCATGTGATAGAACATGACAACCTATAGATTGAAGTTATACTATGTGTGATGGTAAAAAGACTAAAGTAAAACTAGATGATCGTGCTATAATATAGTAATGGAAGAGGCTGCAGCCACACAAATGGATATCACAGGCCAACATGTCCAAGAATGGTGCTACCCGTTACACCATTGACATGCAAGTCCAAAAAATTGCCAAGTCATTTTGAAGTCCACCCAGGGAATAAGCCCTGGGGTCCATGCATAAAGCTAGATCACATAATTCCACATGATGTTGAACTTCACAATGCAGGCCTGGCAATTCTTCATTCCTTCCTTCTTCCTCCTACCATCATCCCCATTACTTTGCTTCACTCCTTACCACCTCTCTCTCTACCCTCAAACTTTCCTTTGGCTCATGAGTCTGGAGTTGTTTCTTCACCATCCAACTTGACAGTGGTAAGTGGATTTGTTTGCACTGCCGGTAATCCTTTGTTACTGATGTTGTTCAGTTCATAGAGATGCTCAACAACTAGCACACAGCACATCAAGTTTTGCAAGGGGTAATGTTTTCCCCCTTTTTTATATCCTTTGCTTACCATTTTAACGAGTCAGGTGCCACTCTGCCCAATGGTATGAATCTCAAGGGTGGGTTCCCTTAGGTGATGGTACTAGGGCTTAGCACCATCACCATATAATACAGTTGTACAGGTGCCATTATATGGGTACCTGAAATAGGTTATATTGGTGAGTTTTTCTGAGTCATTTGTGTGCAAAACAATGAAAGCTTACAATTTCTGGCATATTCGACTCTCTCTTCTCCTCCTATAGGTGACTGTCGGACACCATACAGTAGAAATGGCTGTCACCATCGCCATTTTGTTAAGGTTAAAATTTTGACGGTTGACAGCTGTCCTTTATATGGCCATATATTGTATACTGTACAGTGTGAAGCCCTAGATGGTACGCTTGATTACATGGTGGTCATTTGCATTGACTAACTCTTTCCAGGTATTGTATGTTTCCTCAAGCATTGGGTCAGGATAGATGGGGTCAGGGACAAGGCTTGGGTGATGGTGTCAAGGGTTCATAGCTGGTTGTGCTGGTGTTATCTGTTTATACTTGCTGTATGCACATTATGTACATGTACTATGTTTATCACAATGACCAATATACATATTGTGCTCTTTTGTCATTCCAATGCCATAAGATCTGAAATATATGAAAGATGTTGCACATTACAGGTCCTCAATCAGTCTTTCAAAGAGTTGGTCTACTTGACAAAACAAGGTACATGTCTTGTGAAATACATTTTCTTCTTCTGGAAAGATATTGTATTTTGTATCTTTCAAACCTTTTTGAACTTGGGCAAGTACTGAAAGACCTCAAAGAAGAAGGGGCTGTTTTGCTGATGCTACTGTGCTTCTCGAATGGCCCCAGTCATTGTCTGGGCATGTATGCCCTGCTGCAACACGACCAACCAGAATTGTGGGTGCAATTCCCTGCAAAGGACATATGAGCAAAGTTCGCATTGCAAAAGGGAGAAATTACCCTCATCTCAGCAGCTACATTTGCCAAATGAATCCTGATCTGCTCATTGCAAAATTGAAACACTAAACACTAACAGAACAACAATTATGGCAGAGTACAGAGAGGCAAAGTCCACAACAACTTCTATTGTTCTGTGATACCAGCAGATACCTGTGGCAATGCCGCTGATTTTAAGGATGTGGTACATGATGAGGATCGTGCACCAAAGCAAGGTAGTCAAAATGAGTGAAGTGTAGAGAACAGCCCAGTTGACAGACTTTAGATTGTAGAAGATTGGTGGTGATAGGCTGCTCCCCCTCTGGAAAGCACTATAATAGAGTACGAATGCTCTGCTCACTGAGTTTGTAATGAGAAGATATAATCATCTCAGCATATAATGGAGAATCATTACCAGAGACTTACTGACTCCCAGAGTAGTGCAAATAATTGGAACAAGTACGACACTCCAAGACCATCCCCACGCAGTCCAACAGTGCCAGATCTAGATTGTTGTAAGTGAGTTGACTATACATATAAAAGGAGAAGGCCATACCAAAGAGTTGTCAGTGTTGTGACTGCAGCCTATTACACGTGTAATTTTGCAATCTAACGTGTTTTACACACATACTGAGATATAGTGAGCAAGTGGACTAAAACTACACGTTGACACTAATGCTATGCAGTGCAATGATATGGAATATAACTTATGGCATAAGAAGCAACGGGATTCTAAACAGGACTTAGTCACAGCACTGTACCTGATGGGCATGTGTGATGAGAAGGCCAAACCCTATACCCAATGCCTTAGGCTCTAACTTACAAGCACACTCACAGGAGCTAGATAAAACCTTGAAGATTGCAGTGACACTGGAAACACTTAGTGCACTCACTAACTGTGACACGTTGATATGCCTGGTATCAGGCTACCCATAGATTTTGCGATTTTACATCAGTTTATGCAATCTACAAGCGGTACAGAGAGCTACAGTGGAGGCTTCATGCTGGTAGCTAAATACTACATAAAGAATGAAAGCACGGCATTACAGAATGGACTTAGAAACGACATCTCGAAGAATCAATTCTACCAGCCATCAACATGCCAAGCTAAGCCCTACCTAAACAAGACTATTACAGTCAAATCTTGGGGACTCGTCTGTATGAAGTATAAAAACCAAGAAGTTGAAGAATGGAATGAACTAAATGCCTTGTCATCTCGACGAGTAGAAAGAACCTGTCAAGAAAAATTGCTAAGTCGAGAAACAGATCAGCTTTCAAGATCAACTCAGGCTAGGAAAGGAATAACCTTGGAAGAATGAATAGCCGCATTGGGTACCGAGATGACCAACCTTGTTTGTGCAGTGATCAACAGAATATAATCTCAGACCTGCAGCCGATCGCGATTGGTGGTTACATCCTTGAGATCCTGTGCAGACTGCAGTATTCAATACATACAGTGTGCGGCAAACCTTGCAGATGGAAGAAGGAGCACCCACAGACCAGTAGGGCACTCCTCAGTGACAGAATAACCCAGCGCAGTCGCATTGAACTGAATAGAAACTACAGAATGGCACGATACTTGTAGGATAGTGACTCACCATTTGTATTAATTCCAAAGCTCATACCATAATTACTGTAGATACGGGCTCCTATACCTAGAACACAAATCGTATAAATTAGCAGCGACTAGACGCATAATGGCAGGAAAGCATTCCCCCACATTTGTGCTAGTAGCCTGTATAGCTACCTAATCAATCACTGGTTTTATTGCATATCCTCGACTGAAGTGAATTAAGTTACCTGTTGGGATTTGGCAATCCAGCATCATGCTGAAGATGCTTATTAAGGTAGAAGTTGTAGGAAAAGCATGGAACATTCTAGTAAAAGTACATTTAGTATAAAAGTAGGTACTGTAGAGTAGATCCTCATGCATTTGCAGAGCTCAGCCAAGCGCAATACTATTGGCTTGCTACTGTGCATGTGACACTGGGAACAAACTGATACCCTGTTTTCCAACATTACCAAAGTCAACCCATAAGGGCGACTACAGTAATCTAGAAGAGTTAAGTAGGAAGTAGAGCCATCCCCACATTTGCGCCTTGCTAGTTAATTGAACTGCTCTGCGGACAAAGGCCTCATGCTCTCTCTCTCTCTGAGATTAGCAATCTAGATGTGCTGAGTCGACTTTAAGTCAAAAGACCTCACCTAGTTGAAGTAAAATAAGCCCTAGAATGCTTTAAGTTCGAACAATCGTTGAGTTCAAGAAACTCCAGAGTCTGTGTACTCTTTGCAAGTCTTGTACTTGAAGTCAGAACCTGTGCATTCTTTGTAGAGTGATTTTGCACTCTTTGTAGACCTCGGAGTCTTTGGTTGTTTGATTATTTGAAGTGTCTGCTAGAAGCTCTTCTAGATGACATCAAAACGAGTATAACTTGCTCGACTATACCTTGCAAAACAAGTTCATAAACCCTGCTATCACAGACTAGTGTACTTTGTGTAAAACACATCAAAAGAAGAATTGAAGTTGTTTTCAGACAAAACCCCACTAGATTATCTAAATCTAAGTACATCGCGAGTGCTTCTATCGTACTCACCCTCGAACTTATATACATTGGTGATAGTGTGTGTGTGTGTGTGATTTAGTATCTAGATTGACGATCTAGATGCTTGTTTCATTTGCGCACTGCCTGCTACCGAGCACATCAGCATCATACCTGAAAATCCAGGGAAATCCTTAAGCAAGATGACAGATATCACTGGCACAAACTGGGGCAATGGGCTTCGGCCGAAGTCCGCGAGCCCGCTGACACATGTGCAACGTGTTCACACATGTAATTTTGCAAATCCTAGGAATGCAAATGTGTGTGTGCCCCATGAATAATATTAGAGTGCATGTAAGGCATAGAGCGCTACACACTGAGGCAGAAAGCACTATAATAAAAATAATATGAGTAGAGCGCATGGCTTAGACTTAGAACGGCACACTTGTGTCATTTAAGTGTGCAGTCTCAGTGCTTATACACATACACTGTGCCCTCCTCTGCAGTGTATCACTCAATTAAATTCACTGAAGATAATATATTGAAGGTGCTTCGCACTACATTGATCTATGACGCGCGAACCCTGCTGATCCAGCAATCACCAAGAAACGTCATCCTGAACAAAGAATCAACAAGTCCGGATACTCTAGGGAGTTCTCGGCCGGAGAGAAATAAAACCCGCTGCCCATATGAAATATTAAACTAGAAATGGTTGCACGGCAACCAATAAAATAAAACTCGCTCACTAGATAAGTTGCATGGCACTGTAATTAAATCTGCGGAGCCAATAAGAAGACACACGCCGCATGGCACGACAAGGCTAGGCCTTGCCAAGTGGAGAAAACAGCGGTAGCACACGTGCCGACATGGAGTGCTGAGTAAAATAATGATTACTATCACTACGGCTGATGTGGCACGCAAGAGAAGGGAGTCCGAGGTGGAGCGTTGTCTATTTTCAGTATTTACATTTCATATAGTTAACGGTAAATATAAGAGCGGTAGTTACAGGTAGTTAGGAAGTTTTCAGACCCCCACAGTTGTACTACGAAGCAACACGCTTAGTGTACGACAAAAGGATTTTATTTGAAGCTTCGAGCGAGAGAGTATTATTGAACTTAGAATTATTTTGAACACTTTGAGAGCTCGCGAGGCATGCCTTGCTCGAGCGTGCTTGATTTGTTCAAGTAAAGTACAGTAATTGATTGCGCTCTACTTAGAGAATATTGTATTGTGATAACTTGAATGTGCATTTGTGTTTTTTGGAACTTGTTTGTGAATTCCAAGTTATTGCAAGTGGCAGAGGTTCGAACCCTTTGGCTTGTCAGTAATCTCTGAGGTTTTTTTTGGTTCATTCCCAAGTGGCATAGGTTCAAACCCTGTGGCTTGTGGACGTGTTTTCTGTGTTTGTGTATCTCTGGATCGCATAGGTTAGAACCCTGTGGATCTACGAACGGGTTTTGAAGTGTTTTCTGCTTGGAGTGCAAGGCTTTAAGTCATGTTAAGTGTATTGTGAAACGTTGTGGACACTTGTGTGTTGCGTGCGACATATTTTGAGGGTTATACGTTCTTGTAGAACATTTGGGGGCTTGCGAAATAATACTTTTGCCTTGAGGCCGAGCAATTCTGTCGCTCACCTCCTGTTCCAAAAGCATTTGGACTTAGAAGATTATTATATTGCTAAGCACGCTATATTATATTGTAACGTGCAAGGATTATTTCAATACTACTGCTATTGTGTGCTTGTATCGCACATCACCCCCAAACTACTGAGGGTTTGTGTGAGTGTGAGTGTGAGTGTGGGTGTGTGCATTTCTAGCTTGGTGTGCACAGAGCCTCTTCACCGCATCCCATTATTCTGAGTCCCATTGTTAGAAGACTCACTTGTTGCTGTGTCTATGAGAAGCCTCTGTGAATCCAAGAAAGAAGTCTTGAATGACATATGCCAGGACTGATAGTTCCATGTGCCTAGACCTGCCGGTTGCTAGAGAACAAGCCTGTGGGTGTCAGGAGAGCACCTCTTGGCACGCGTTTAGTGAGCTCACTATAGAAATGAGACTAAAACTGGGAAGTCCAACTCAGATGCTCAGTAGGGTGGTGGTGGCAACATGCTATGCATGTAGGAGTCTGGGTACTGTGCGACATTTGTAATTCTAATTCCCCTGTAGTATAAGTAGGCTGGTTACAGTAGGTAGAAGCCAGTTTCGAGCCCCCGAGTTCCCGTGCACATGTTGAAGGCAGTACTGTAACGAAGGATCAGTTTGTGACTTCGAGCTTTGCATAGAGTTAGCGAGCTCACTCAGAGAAATACAAGATACCCTTGAGAAAAGACTTTTTGTGCACTTAGTTCCAAGAGAATAAGAATCAGTGAAGCTGTTCTGTTCCATTGAGTGTTGATAAGTCTGTTCAGAGTATGTTCTGAGGAGGAAAAGCGAGATCTGTTCAGTTCTGTTCTGTCTGTTCTGTTCTGTTTCTGTTCAGTCTGTTCTGCATCAGTTCTGTTTCGAGTTTCCGTTTTCTGAATCTGTTTCCGAGCACTTCTGAAGTGTTCTTGAGTCGAGATCATCTGTTGAAGTTAGTTGGAGAACCCCTACATACAGTTGTGTAGCGAGTGGGCTAAGTCAGTGCTTGCCTGTGGTATTCTTTTAGTGAGCTCACTATTGTTTCGGCGTGTATTGCCTCTGTTTCTGTCAGGATCAGTGTCCCTTGTGTATTTTAACTCAAATCTGCCTTGAAGGTTGCGTCATGCCAGTGAACGACCTTCCTGTAGAAGTTCCTAGACTTAGAGATTCATTAGAGAAAGCTTAGCTTCACTAAGAGCGCTGAGAATAAGAGAAACTCTTTGAGATATTGAAGTATAGTGGATCGCATTAGAAATAATCGCTCCCCCTAGAACTTATAAGAGTGATTGTAGTTTGTGTAGTTGTGTGAGTGTGTGTATGGGTTTTTGATGTTTGCCTTTTAGCCCACTCACTATTCCACAAGTGCCCACAGCCAGCCTCTTCACCACATTTATTCCATGCCCAACTTGCATCTGACCATGACTCTGACTTGCAGCTGCAGTGAATGAGGGTAGCATTCCCTGGAGTGAAATCAAGGCCAATCGGAATCAATACATCACTGTCAAAATCTCATTGAGTCTCCCTATGGCTATGCCAGACAGCCTTAGCAAGGGCAACATCATCGACCTGGCTGATTACTTGAAAGGCTGTGCTGTGACTCTGTTCCTACCCCAGTCCAAGCCTAATCTGCTGGAAAAACCAAGTTCACTGACAAAACCTTTCACAAAGGACCTCTCAAGCACCTCAGTGAAGACATTGTGGCGGAAAGTTGCTGGAGAGGTGCCTGCTCCACCTGGGCAACCTCTCTTGCCAGCAGTATCGTCCAAGGAAATGATCAGGTCAAAAAGACTGATGAAGAGGGTGAGACAGACGAGCATGACAGAGGCACAGATATTGTTGATCATGTATCAGCTTCAGGTGGCGATAGCAACACCAAGGACAGTGGTGCAAGCCAATCTGCGGGTATGGGAAGTAGTAGCAGCAAAGGTTGCAATGAGGCACAAAAGAATGGTGATGTCAGTGGAGGTGGTGCTGAGGGATCTGCAGGTGCAGGTGGTAGTGGCGAGGATGGCAGGAAACAGAATGATAAGGTTGTGGGGGAAGATGATATACCGGGTCTGGAGAACAGTGATGGCGATGACGACAAGGACAATAATGCCTTGGATGCCAATCCAGGTGCTTCTGATGGCAGTCTACTGGGGAGGCAGAGGCAGCAGGACACGAAGAGGTGGAAGAGGTAGTCGCGGAGGTGGAAGAGGCGGTTGCAGTAGAGCAGAAGAAGCGTAAAGTAGGAGAGAACAATGGAGGGGAGGGACAAAACAAATGTCGAAAAAAGTCCGAACCAAAGCCGTAAGTTATCAATTTCTGAGTGGCTGTGATTGGAACTGATGATTGACTTGTTGCAGGCAGGAAGTGGAGCCAGTGCTATGTCACAGTGGAAGAAGCAGCCAGAAAGACAAGAACACTGCACCCAAAGAAGAGTAAATCATCTTGTCACTTTTGAGCTCCTGGGCTGATGGTTTGGATAGCATTGAATACAAGCCTTGTCCTGGATACAAGGGTTATGTGCTTGTGGCAACACTGAAGAAGAGAAAGTGAGGAGTTCTCAGCCACAGCCTATATACATCTGTATGTTGCAAAGGTAATTCAATGTCAGTCATGTTGGAAAATGTCTGTTGAAATGTGAGTGTTGCAATGGCATAGCAAAGTGAGTATTGGTGGTATTGCATGGCATTCCAATGCAAGTTGGAACACGTAGAAAGACATCCAGATGCTGGAACAGTATTAGTTGCAATGTGGTGTTGGAATGTATTGGAACGGCATCCATGTAACACTATTAAGTACAGTATAATCAAAAAATCCTACCTACTATGCCAGTGTTGCAACATGTTGCAATTGTTCCATGATCGGATAACATCTCAGATGTCAAATGTTGGAGCAAAATCAAAGAATTTACTGGAGCCCAAGGGCCTCAAAATTAAATTTGGTTTGAGGTATGCCAAGTGCAGGGACTGACTTCCTAATATAGTCATCACCACCTGAGTCATAACCTGTCTGATCATCGGCTTGGCCACCCACTATTACATGATCACCGATAGGGCTGTGTACGACCATCTCTGATACATGATGCAGCAAAACATATGCTATGGTTATGACTACATATGGTTGTGATGTTCCAAACCAATCTCCAAGTCTATTTCTACATCCACAGGTACTTCTCTGAGAGGCTGGCTATTGTCATTTGCACTGGAGTGAGGGTTGAACTGAAGGGATGACCCTGCACCTCCACTCCATGAATCGTCAGTCTGTGCATGCCCTACTGTGACAAGGCCAATCTGAATTGCAGGTATAATCCTCTAGATATGTTATGAATTAAATGCTGTTGCAATAGAATGAAAAGGATAAAGACTGACATGCTGTTGTGACTGCAGCCTACTTATGCATGGAATTTTGCAATCTAGCGTGTTTTACATGCACACAGAGATATAGTGAGCGAGTGGACTAAAATGACATGTCAACACTAACGCTACGTGGTGCAATGATGTGGAATATAACTTATGGCATAAGAAGCAATGGGATTCTAAACAGGACTTAGTCACAGCACTGTACCTGATGGGCATGCGTGATGAGAAGGCTGAACCCTATACCCAGTACCCTATGCTCTAACTTACAAGCATGCTCACAGGAGTTGGATGACACTTCAAAGGTTGCATTAACATTGAAAGTATTTAGCACACTCACTAACTATGACATGCTGTACCTGAAAATCTGGGGAAATCCTTACACGAGATGACAGCTATCACCAGAGCAAACTTGGACAGTGGGTCTCAGCCAAAGTCCGTGAGCCTGCATTCCATTGTCTGGAGTCCCATTGTTCAAAGACAAACTTGTTGCCATGTCTATGAGAAGCCTCTGTGAATCCAAGAAAGAAGTACTGAAGGACATATGTCAGAAGTGATAGTTCCATTGTGGTAGTATACGTTGTGGCAGTATGTGTTGCTGTGCTCATGGAATTGATGCCACGAGGCATGCTGATGTGTCCTTCCTTTTTTGGTTCCTTGTGCTTTCCTTCCTTCTCTCATGACTACATACTACTTTTCTCTTCCCTCTCGCTTTATAGGTTAATCTCTCTTCACTATGCAAAACTTTGGGCACCATTGCTCAAATGAGGCCAAGTTCAAATTCTCAATGCGGATGATGACACGTCAATCAAGGCACTGACTCACATGGGGCTCTCCTCAATGACGACTGAGCTACACCAAATGAGGGAATGTTAGAATTGGTCTAGGTCATGGTGTCATTTATCCAGTCCCATTATACCTCTCTTTCTTTGCTGACACTTCACAGTTGAAATTCTTATGTGCTCTTCCTTATCCCCATCTTCATGCTGAACATCTACCTCTACTGTACACACTGGACGCGAGGATGAGACTGCAACGGCTGTAACCACCTCAGACTGCACTGGGGATCGAGACAATGACGGATTGATGACCCATTCATCCACACTGAGGGCAGCAGCATACTCTCCCTATACAAAGTTGCGCTAATCCTGGGTGGAGCAGTTGTTCAATGTTGAGGCCTAGCTATGGACTTTCACTTTGCCAATGGACTATTTTCTTATCTTTTCTTCTTCGCTTACATTCCCGGATGTCATAGCAGGGCCCTGGTGACACAAGAGAACGTGTGTGGCCATCCCCTAACTGTACAAGTCAAGCCATACCTTGGGAAATAGACCCTTGCTTTTGCTCACCACGTTCGAGCTTCAAGTCCTGAGTTCCAAGTACCAATATTGCGCACCGTGAGCTCTCATTAACCATCTGTTACTGACTACATATACCTAGTTACTACTCATCTATTCTTCTTACTTCAAATCCTCAGCTACGCAACTTCTGTTGGCCAACGACCCGCGCCAACCAGTCTACATCAAGACCGACGTATACTACCACAAAGTCAGTGCTTGCCTGTGGTGTTCTTTTAGCGAGCTCACTATTGTTTCGACATGTATCATCTCTGTTTCTGTCAGGATCAGTGTCCCTTGTGTATTTTAACTTGACTCTGCCTTGAAGGTTGCGTCACGCTAGTGAATGACCTTCCTGTAAAAGTTCCTAGACTTAGAAATTCATTAAAGAAAGCTTAGCTTTGCTAAGAGCATCAAGAATAAGAGAATCTCTTTGAGATATTAAGGTATAGTTGGATCACATTAGAAATAATCGCTCCCCCTAGAACTTATGAGGGTGATTGTAGTTTGTGTAGTTGTGTGAGTGTGTGTGTGGGTTTTTGAGGTTCGCCTTTTAGCCCGCTCACTATTCCACAGGTGCCCACAGCCAGCCTCTTCAACTCATTATAACTGCAATTGTTAGAATGTAACTCATGGACAAATCATTGTGCACTTCAAGCACCAGTAGAGTGATCAACACTGCAGAGTACAGAGATGCGGATTCCATGACAAGCTCTACGACTCTGTGGTACAAATGTATTCCTGTCATTACACTACCACTGACTATCAAGATTTGATAGATAATGAAAATGGTACACCAGAGCATGGTAGCTAATATGAGAGAAGAATAAAGTATAGCCCAGTTGACGGAGTTTTGAGCGAAAAATCCAGATATATTTTTGATGGTGTCAATGAGATCCTGATAGATTAGAATTCCTTTGCTAACTAGTTTTTTTTATTAATAACATCACCTAAGCCTGGAACTGTAACTCACTGACTGCCAAAGACATGCATAAAGTAGGGATAATCACAATATGCCAAGATTAACCCCAGACAATCCAGCATCGCCAAACCTGGGAAGCTGTGGATAAAGAGTCTGTGGACAGGGGAGAACTCGAATGTCATACCAAAATAGCATCAGCCAGGATAGTACTCAATGCAGCTGCAATTCCCTCAAGCACATAGATTGACGTGGAAAGTGGGTTGACATATGTCTTGTATGCCTTCTCCAAACTCTGTCCATTGATGATATAGATCCTAGTAGTAGCTACCCAGCTAAAGGAAAAGTTGATAGTCGCCAGAAGATACAAGAGCAGGACAGCGCACAGGAGCCAGCGTGATCCCCTGCAGGTTTTGCTTGAAACTATGCTTCCGAAGTCAGAGAATTTTGCATAGATAGGAATGATATCCATTAACCAATGGCCCAGAGGGCAATGGCAACTACTCCAGTATAGATTCCTAATAAAAGTCAGATTACAAACAATCTATCAAAAAGTGATAGGCTCTCTCGCACCATGCAATAATCCTTGGACCATTATCTGGTTGAAGGACATGTCCAGGGCATGAAACACGATCTCGGCATGGCTTTCATACGCCCCTAGGATGGTCACTCCGTTAGACATTTTAACAACCATTAAGCTGGTAAGGAGAAAACAGGAATGGGTTCGCCTGCAGTGTGGTCAAGCTTCCGGTGCATCATATAAATGCATAGCAGCAGTGCTCCGACAGCATCATGATTGCGGGATACAGCCAATGCTATGACTTCTGTCTGTTCTCGCCTCGGGTTGAATTGAAAGGAAGGAAGATTATGAATGATGGAATTTAGGAAGAACAAGTAGTCATGTCTACAAGGCTTTGCTCATCATAACCTGAGTACAAGCTTACCTTAACGTCGCTCAAAAAGCTCCGAGAACTTGCTGTATCATAGTGTATAACTGCTCGGTCCCAAGAGCTGAAGTGTCACAGCTAAAACAGAGCTCATCTTACAAATCGCGCCTCTTGTGAATGGAGACATGAAAACGTCTGCCAAACATGATCCCCGCAGCGTAGATCGAAGAGGTTAGCGTATGTTGGAACACATCGCCGAGTTTTGTCGTAGCATGGCAATCAAACAACAGGCAATATTGGCGATAATAATTAGAATAAAGTGGAATCTGGATCCGGACTATCGGTACATTTAATCAATTGGGCGGTGAGGCTTTTGCTTAAGGCAGTTCGCTGCTGTAGTACGGACGGGGATATATTTTTGCTGTCACCCTCTCGTAGACTGATTCTTTATCTAGGTACATGATGTAGACGTGTTTCTGTCAAAGTTGTTAGCACTAAGATTGGTACAGACATGTCACAAGAAACGCACTATCACCATCAACACCGACATCACCTTCGGCAGTCCATGTTTCTGGCGGAGCGGCGGCCAGCATAAGCCCATTGGCCCCACCTGGTTCTCATGGCTGCGAAAGTCTATATCACCGCGGACTCAAGTTCATCTTCCCGTGTCTTTACAAATTTGAAGCCAAACACTGATAAAACGCTCTTGGTCACAAGCTTCCTAGATGCCGCAGTAAGGTTAAATGCAAGAAAGTGAAAGAACTCGCAGCGGGAACGTACCTAGGATCTTGCGACTATAGTGTTACTTTTATCCGTAGCCATTCCTTTCTTGATCACGTCACTAGATACATGGCACATCAGTACGACTCTAGGGTGCTTCGGTTGGACAGGAGCTAAACAGAGTACGATGAGTTTGCGTGCGATGTACTTGCTGGATGTAAGAGACGGTAGCCATACCCTTGTTGCCCAGATGTCCGACCAAAAACAAAGACAGAAATGTTCAGGGCTCGGAATTTGTCATCTGTCACGGCCACCATAAGTTGAACTCTCACTTTTGAAATTCCACCATGAACGCGAACATGAACTCGTATCACATTGAGGAGGATGAGATGCTCATCTCCAATAGAATTTACACTCTGATGAGTACGATTGTATCAATGAGACCGATAGCCACTCGCCGACTTGCAGGTAGCTAGAGTTAGAGTGGTATGAGCCATAGAGATGGTGCAGGGAACGACAGAGAATGGAGTAGAATCTGCAGACGGTTTGGACCCTCACTACATCGAGGAAACCCTGGTGAGCACGTCGACCCAATAGTCAAAGAAACGGAAAGCTCACTCGTAACATGAGAACTATGCCACTAAAGAATATGGTTCACTCGAAGCGACCCGTCCCCTCAACGTACTTAATGGGCTCCCGACTACGACGACTCGAGCCGTGGGTACTCATCGCGAGGTGCCACCCACAGATCCCGCCGCTTTCGATGCCTGGATCGTCACTATTTTTCTCCGAGAGTGTCGACACCACCTACCAGCATCCAGGGTGGTGATACGCGCGAAAACGAGTTCCACGGCGCATTCCACCCAGAGATCCTGCTGCGTTCGACGCCTAGATCGTCTCCTTCATAAAGCGCAACAAGGTCGACAAGACCCGCCATCGCGAGGCTGTTCGCGATGAACAACAGAACAATATATTCATAGATACAATGTCCAGTGGCCCATCGGGATTAGCGACGGCGATGACAGGTCCCGTGTACCGGTTTCCATGGTGGATCGTTCCTCCTGGACACCCTCCATCGCTCTACATTCGATACCCAATCATCACCACGTCGGTCCCAAGTTGGCTCCGCGAACCTGAATATGGAGGGTCCTCTGTCATGTTCGTCTCCCAAGCGCATATGTTGTAGACCAACCATCAACAATAACAAATGGATAGAGATGACGGCTTGTATCTACAAATTTCATTCAATTTTGCTCAGGATAAGAATAGCACTATAAAACTCACTTTTCAGAGCTCGCAAGTGTATGAGTACGCCAAGACAAACTGAAAGGTATCATGATATTTTGTGTCATGCCGACCGGTACTCTAATCCTTGATTGTTCTTCATTGAGTCGAAATATTAGCGAGTGTAGCAGGGTGACGAGGTAGAGGGCATTATTACCAGCAACAAGCTGAGCTCAGATGTGGTGGTGGGACCTAGACCGGTGGTGGTGGCGGTGGTAGAAGGGGAGGACCGGAAGATGGTACGTCACGGTCACGTCACGATCTTTCTCTACAGTTCTCTACCTCTGACAGGGCCGCTGCTTTCGCCTTCGAGCGTACAATTAGTACTCGATGCTTCTCCTCACTGAACATGTTTCTCAGTTATGTCTATCTTAAATAAAAACTAAGGGCTACTACTTAGGGTTCCGTGATTTCAAGGAGCGAACTCGATGGACTCGGAGTCGCGCCAAGATGGGTACTACCGTTTCTTTTACTGAGAAAATTTGTAACTTGGGCTCTCTTTCTTGGACTCTACTCTGTATCTGTGGCTAACTCGACACTTCTCACGATGCTCCTCCCTGCCGGAGCCGGCTATGCAGAATATACTCCCATGTACATCCTCGTTTCGATGTCATCATTCTGCCATCATATGATGCAGGTACAGGCTCAAGCCACGCACGATGCGGCAGTCTTGTGTGACGATTTCCGTTTCAATCACCTCTACAACTCAAGCTTTCCCGGGCATTAATGAGTCACCTGATTAATGATTCGCAATGTAGTTCATGGTACGACAATAACACGAAGGAATACATATGAAGATATCGTGGATGAAGAACTTTTGGTATGTTCTCATCATGCATTGGTCTCGCCTGTACTAACAGTAGTATATAATCTCGAATGTCGAGTCAACTCACAAGCAAAAGTAAGGTGGCTGATGTCTCTCTCATGCGATCCGGTACTAAACGACTGTCATATTAGTCCGAGGTTTCCTTGATGTCATAGTCCGGTGTCGCCAAGTAAGCTGTTTGTAGTGTCGTATCCATCTTTTGCATTGTCACTTCTTTCAGGAGAATAACGCTGTCTGCGGAGTTCCCTTCTCATCACTAACCTGGTCAGGAACTAGTGATAAATTGATACCTATATGTTGTAAATGAGATGCCTTTGCGCCAGATTCGTTCACTGTTTGCTTTCTCAGACAGCTCAGCGCTCTTCACCTTTCTCAGTCACGGAGGGATTTTAACGCTCGAATTTCTTCTTTTCTTCCTTCGACATCCCTAAGAAGGCACCGGGCTTTCACAAACTGCAGGTACCAAACTGTATTGGCATAGCCTTCAGTATCATAGTAACGCGATGCTTTCGCCTTCAATGTTCATCTTTTTTGTTGTTGAGTGTCATCAACTTTCATCTTGAAGAGAAGATTTTCATGTCCACTCGTATAAAATGCTAAAAACTATGGAAAAGCAAGCATCATCCCTTCTTCAATTTCCCCTTGACGCCTCAATGTCCACAGGGATTCATACCGCGTCCGCTATCCCGGAGCTAACCAGCACCCAACTCAAGAATATACACCAGGCTTTGGATACACAACTAAACAGCACGATCCTCTGTTCATTATGGCATGGTCAGGAAGGTTATCTGCTTCAGGATGGATTATCTGCGACTCAATTCGTTTCCCAGGATTCTACACAGGAGTACTGGTAACAACCTTGTGGACTATTGGTATATATCTTCTGCATCCTTGGGCCTTATCCCGTCTGATTTTCAATTATACACAGCCCAAAGCAAAAATCGTCTACACGGTCGAGGGTCACGTTTCCTCCTAATCATTATCCTGCTTCTATACATGTTCACGACTTTCGGCATACTATGTACCTGGATATTGTTGACCCGGTCATTCATCATTAATGGGCAAAGCTTTTGGACGAGATACAAAACTCTGTTCAACCCATCTCCTGCGATTCACTTCATCGGGGGACTGGCTGCTTGCTTCTGCACTATCCTTGCCGATACTTCTCTAGCAAGGCCCCTCTCCTTCTGTGTGTATAACCAACTTACTTACAATAATAATCTAGATCTGGCGCTGCTGGACTGCGTGGGGGCAGTCTTGGCGTGTTGTGCTCGTTCCAATGATTTGCACTACTCTGGCAGTCGGTAAGTCTCTAGTAGCAATTCTCTACTATACACTGAGATGCTTCCTTCTTGAACTCATTAAAACTCAGTCAGCAGGGTATTCGTACTCTACTATGACTTTGCTTCCCAGTCGGACGGCGAATACGGATCGGCATCAATCCTTTACACCCTCAAGTCTGTCAACTGGGCCGTTCTTTATTCTTCGCTCGTTTTGGCTACCTTGCTTTGGTGCACAATCCTCATCGTGTACCGCATCCTCATAGTCAGTGGTATTGCCACAGGTATCCGTGTATATCGCAGAGTGATAGAGATCATGGTGGATTCCGCCTCTCTTTATTCTGCCGTGATCATCGTTCTGTTGGTGTTCGAAGTTCACAATGAGGTTGTTGGAAATTATCTGACATCCATATCTGTCGGGATGAGGGTAATTTTCCCATTTTCAACGTGAACCTTACTTAGATGCCCTTTTTCAGGGAATTGTACCTACAATTTTGGTCGGCCGTGTTGCTGCAGGGCATACACGCCCAGACGATAGCGGGGGCGACTCGAGAAGCACGGTGTCGTCGCTTGAGTTCGGAAATCATTCAATCAGCCAAGACAGTAGCACTCGAATGGATGCTGAAGACGATTTGTCCTTGCGTGCAACGTTGGACTTGGAGGAAGGCCTAGAGGAAGGCTCGCAATGCAGGAACTATGGGAGGGCAGAAAATGCCTAGCATATATGTCTTGTTAATTTTTGAATTATGGAGTTTTCTTTGTTACTAGTATGTGCAATTGCTTCGACGCTCGTCTCCCTCATACAGTAGGACAAGGCCGACAGGGCCTGCCATCGCGACACTGTTCATGATGAACCATCGAAAAGAGTATATTTGTACATACACTGTCGGACGACCCATGACCGTTGGCAACAGTGATGGCGAGTCCCTCGTACCCTTGGCGCGGGTTGCTATGGCGGATTATCCCTCCTGGTACCTTTCTATTGTGCTATATCCCGACCCCTACAGTCCCAAGCTCGCTAAGCAGCGCAGAATCGCCAATTCTGTTCACGCTCCGCGCCCATATGTTTCAGTCGAGTAGTAACGTTGAGATTTACCTATAAGAATCACTCAGTTTCTTTTCAGAATGGAAATTCTTTTTCCAAAAACCTTGAGGTGTGTTTACATCAGCGAAGTTGACAGTGAGGCGAGATGACGATACTAATGTAACAACTGGTCTTCTCATCATCGGCCGCTCTTCATCAAGGAGAAATTATCAAAGGATGTCGCAGAGGGCAGGAATGAGACGGAGGGCGTCATTGCTAGCAGGGCTCAGATGCGGTGGTGGTTGTGGGAGATAAAGGAAGGACCGGGAGGTCAGGCCCGGAAGGACCGAAGAACAGTACGTCACGTCATCAACGTCACAATCTCTCCTTAGACCTCTACATCTGCGACGACACGATACCTGTCCTAGAATTCATCTTTTCTTGTGTCTATTTTGCAGCTCTGACGGGAACGAGCTAGTATCCTGGCATTTCAAGGAAGGAGAGGTACGCTATTCGTCTCTTTCTGTGATATTTTCTTTCTAAGCGAAAACCTTGTACAGGCTCTTTTTCTTGGACGATTTTCCTTAATCTTCCCTAAGAGCGCCGCCTATTTATGTGACGAGTAGCTCGCTACTCACCCAACGAAATGAGATACCCATATAGCCTGCACAAGACTTGCACCGAGGCTTCAGCTGCATACACCGACATGAAAGCATGCTTCTTCCCGCCAAGCGCGTTGTTTTACAGCTAGCATGAGTCCTCCATGTAATTAGTCATGAAGAAAGCAAAAAGAGTAGAACTTGGTCAGGAGTGGTATGTTTTCCGTCCCTCGTTGTGTTGCCTTCATGTAACGGGTGTCTAGATCCCACCTTTTTTGTCCTATCATCGATATATCATAATCACATGAATATTATGCCAGGAGGCGGTGATGGTATGCATGGGTGCGCGCCAAGCAGTAGATGAAAAGGTTACAAAGTGCGGGCCCTCTTGCTTTACTGCGTTCTCTCAATCCTGATCATGTTCTATAGGTCCCAAGAGTACTCGGTGGCTAGTCATCGAGTGAAAAGCATCCGTTTTTTCAGTTCTGAAGATCGTACATTATTGTGTTAATCTGGACATACATGCGATTCTCCTGGATCTATCGATGGTGATTCCACTTACCGTCTTGCATGCGCGTAACCTGATAAATCTTGTCACAGGGTTTCGCTCTTACTCCATATTTATTTCTTGGATAGTCCATTTCTCTGACCTTGGGCATAAGGAAGGGTCTGAGCGCCGAATATATGCGCGGGATGCTCCCTTGGCTTCGACATCCACAGCTCTTACAGCGTTATCGGGAGTAATGACGATGTTAAGGAACAGATACATCTCGATATACATATGTGGGAAGGATGGCGCTGCAGGTTTCTAGATGATATTTACGATCCGACACCATATATGCGCCTGATGGTACCTCTTGACCAGTATGAAGAACGCAACGACGTGCGTCGCCATTCATGCGACCGTATGGTAGCATGTCGGTTTGGTGTGCTCGATACAGATGGCACCTCTGGGATCTACCATCATCTTGAGGACTCGTACCGTCACATCTTCCCTATCTGGACATTGCGACAAGTTAGGCAGTCTTCTATGGTACGCGAGTTTTCTCTTAACTTAAATTCGAGAATCTCGATATACTCATGATATTGCTCTAGTGCGATGGCTCGACTTTAGCCTGAGCCTAGGACCAACGAAGTCCGGTTAGGTCACATAGCGATCTACATTGTTTCCTTTCACTGTAAGTAATAATCTTAAATTGTTGTCAACCGTAAGAAGACTGATCAGAAAGAAAGGTTAGCGAGAGCCAACATCTCTCTTCCTGTACACGCACTTTTGTATCAAAAGTGCAAGATAACGTTTTTCCCAATGAGCCTTGACTATATCATCGCTCACTCCCTTTAAATGGAGCTTGATGCAGACAAGGAACGACATGCAGACAGCGGCCCATCTGTACTGGTACAGCTTATAGTGCCAAGTGTCGAAAGATAGTACAACGTCACCTTTCGGTTTCAGGATCGCCTCGGACAAACGACTACATACCCAGAATACTCTTGGAACACGACACCGCCGAGCCAACGTGATCGTTGCGATCATCCTTTTTCAATCGGCGGGCCTTGGCATCTGCATATGCAGTACGAAATGCCAGCGGTTATTGTCCTAATCGAAGACACGGAAACGGTTCGTCGTGGCTTGGAAATCGTCAATCTTTCTCTTTTGGAGCAAGATCGCCTTGGACAGCGATCGACAAATACACGGAATGACCACCGCCGAGCCAAAACGATTGAATTGGATAACCTTGGCTCGACAACAAGCGGTGTATCGATCCTCCCACCGCAACACAGGATACATTCGCGCTCTCCGTCTAACCTGGATTTCACCACTCAAACCACTCAAAGCGAAATTCTTCTGAGGCTTGGCCCTTGAAATGAATGCTGCCCTGCCTTTTTAGTACCGCACGCCTCCCGACCTCATGTCGGGCATTGTCTTACTCTGAATGCTTCGCTCTTCACCTGTGCATCATCGCAGGGATGTGCAAAGTTGTATAAAGAGGCTGCAGGGAGGCCTCCATTCTCCAGACAAATATTCCATCCCCGTCTAACCACCCTTGTCTACTCATTCTCACTTAACTCATTCGTCATCATGCGCTTCTCACTCGCCTCACTCGCCCCTCTTGCCGCCCTTGCCGTCCCCGGCCTTTCCGCCACTATCAACGCCCGCCAGCCGGAAACAGGAAACAACACCATCCAAGGAAGGGACTACTATGGTTCTTACGCTCCATGGAAGCCGTCTTGGACCTGGCCAGGAACGGACAAGCATTGTCCAACAGACGTTCCAGAGTATTGTCCTTGCCTAGACGACGTACGTTTTTCTTCCCGCTTCTCTTCTCCCAGTTCTGATTAGCTCTGTACAGCCCGTTTGCGGATTTGAATGCCCCTCCCAATGGCCCTACAATAAGTGCACCTGGGAACCTGTGTTCGTCGACAGGTATGACTGGAAAGGCTGGAAGCCCGGCAAGCGTGACCCATTCTCCTGCGGATATGTCGACAAGGTGACCTATGAGATTGGTACGTGTGTCTTCTTTCATGATCTAGGATTTCTTTTCACTTATTACTACGCAGACTGCAAGGACCTTTGCTTGGCCCACGACAATTGCAACTCTTGCCAAGGTGTGTATCTGAAGCTCGTCTTCTTTTGACTGTTTATTGAAGGTCTTTCCTTCTAGTCTATACCCTTGAGGAAGCGGCCGAGCAGTTTATTTGCGCTCTCTTCGAGGAGATCGTTGATATCACCACCTGGGAGGACGACTGTGAGGATGATTGGGTCGACGATTGGGTGTATTATAGCTCATCGTACTGGAATGTCTATTATCAGGCAACGTGAAGTTTATATTGACTCGGCGATCGGACATGTACGATTATTGGATTTTCTTGTAGGGCGCTTACTATATGTCCCTTTATGACCGCAGAAATGGATTTTGGCTTGGCTAAACTCAGTCTAGTCATAACGTGAAAAGCGCGGTAGCTCCCTCACTCTCAACGTCCTCTTGTCGAGAAATCATTTTGATTCCTGCCTTATGTTCGAAAGCCAGCCTTCCTTTAATGAAGTACGAGGTCAATTCAGTGGAATTTCGGCCTGCAGCCGTTGGACCCATTGACATGTCCAAATGTTCGTTCCTTTCTTATCAGTGCGCCTATGCTTCTCCGCCCTCCTGAATCTTGCCACCTAACTCATCAGAAGAGATTTTTGCGGTGTCATTATGTACGCGCTTCGGTTTCAATTCAATGAGGCTGGCTTTCTCACATCATCATAAAGCAGATGGGGCACTTACTTCCGTCTTCCAATTTCTTGCTTCTCAATCATACCAATTGAATACTGATATATCAATCCGCATTATTTGACTTCCGAACTCATCGCCGCCTCATCATTTTTGGCTGTGTCTCGCATCATCACGGATTTGATCTTATGCTCTACTATATAATGAGCTGGTGGCTTGGGAGAGATAACATCCTTCCTTCGTTTGTCTTCAGTTACCATCATGACCGCTACAGCATACCCCGGGACTGCTCTAGCAGCGCTAACCGACGACCAGATCAAAGATATTTTTGCCGGACTAGATAGACAATTCAACTTGGTAATACTTAACGCGTTAACACATGGTAAGAGAAATGAAATTCATATGAAGGTCCAGGGAATTTACCTTTTTCGAAGGGATACATACTGGAGTAGTCGCTGTCACCTTGTGGACTGTTGGTCTATACTTTTCGCTTCCTTTGATGTTCATCTCTCTGATTAGTATGTCTAGCTTCAAGAAGTAACTGCCAGAATTATAGAAGGCCGCGTTTTTTTGTGTTTATCATCCTGGCTTTGTATGTTTTAGCGACGTTCAACCTTTACTGCTCATGGGCAGAGGCTCTGTCATGTTTTGCCGCTACCGGGAAAAACTTTTGGGAGGCATTCAATTCTAGCCGTACTAGCACTCCGATTTTATTAACTATGGGGGTGACTGCGATTCTGAGCACGGTTCTTGCTGATGCTACTTTGGCAAGGGATTCGATATTGGTTTTTTGGAGTCCTTTGTTCATGAATTCTAGATATGGCGTCGTTGAATTGTCTGGGGTCGGTCATGGCGCATTGTGCTCGTGCCGATTGTTTGCACCACCTTAGCAATAGGTAAGCAAGTCTTGAGTTCATAACTTTTCTAAGTATTTTATGGTTCATTGGAACTAAATGCAAACCTAGCTAGCAGAGGGATCATAACTTATTACTCCACTTTTGGACCTATCGAGAATGCGTCACCACGAACGTTATACCTTGAGAATATTGTTAATTGGGCCGTACTGTACTCCTCACTCATCTTGGCGACCCTGCTATGGTGCACGATTCTCATCGTCTATCGCATTCTGAGAGTGGGCGCTGCTGCTGCAATGATGCGCGTATATCAGAGAGTGATAGAGATGCTTGTAGAATCCGCATCAATCTACTCTGTCGTGATAGTCATTCTGGTGGTGTTTGAAGTTCATAATGAGGGGGTCGGAGCTTACATCGAAGTGTTGGCAATTGCGATGAGAGTACGTCTTATACGTTCCGACCTTTTTTCCTTGTCCTAACAATGGCGTCCCTACAACCCTTAGGGCATCATCCCTACAATTTTGGTCGGCCGTGTTGCAGCAGGGCACGCACACCCAGATGACTCCTGGAACGAAAGTACGACGACGTCGTCCCTTCGATTCAGAAGTCACTCAAGTTCACAGACCGACAGCCAGATTGGTGCTGGATCTGGATGGGACACATCTTCCCGTGTAACAGACTTAGAAGAGGGCTCGGAGGGCAATAGACAGAGTTGAAGCTGGAGGATATTGCTCAAACTTGGCGATGTGTGTGATTTTGAATCATTTGGCACGTCGCATGCTGTAGATTAGGATGTCTCTGTAGGAGGAGGAACATTTAAGTTGATAATGGTCAACTATAGATTGTTAATGGGCAGCCGAGTGCAAGAACAGCGAGCTAAATATAACTCCCAACGTGTTTTGGATAGAACCAATATTCTCCGCAAGCGAATCTATGCCCACGAAAACCTATGAGTTAGGATAGTCAGTTCCCATAAAAAAAATGTAGCCCGTAAGACGACTGACTCAATCAAAGCTTAGGCATTTGTACCAGTCCTGCAATGAAACCTTGACGAAGCAGTGCTGAGAAGAATACCTCGAGATCATGACCTTGTCGCATTTTTCGGTATGGTGTTTCAGCAATGCGACGCAGCAAAAATTCCATGCTCACCCAGCCGGAAGTTGAGCAGCACCAATTTCCATTTATATGCCCTCCAGCTAAGCATTTCCATGTCGGTGAGATCTTGTGGCGAATCTCGGACATTAGGTGCATAGCTCCTTGCTTTGCGTCTGGTCAAGCTATCAGTACGATGTCCGAAACAAAACCAGCATCGTACCGCGACCAGAGATTATAACATGGGTTGCTAGACTGGAAAGCATCAAGATCACGGTGTCGCCACAGACACTCAGGGCACAACATGACATGCGTCCCAATGTATTTGAGTGTGTATAGAGCACAATACCATGCGAATTCCTAGATGAGATGTTAGGTCTACTCGAAAGAGCATTATAACTAATCACGGACCATCAATTACGAGTTCGGCGGGGCACCAGGAACGCGCGTAAGCGGCCAGTGAGCACAGCCCAACTGCCCAAGTTGTTTGAACAGCCGATTATCGATAATCATGATGTCGAATGACTGAATCAACAACGCGCTGGGAAGTTGTCTCAACGATGGTCTCCTCCATTGCTTGACTTCTTTCTCGGGGTCCAGCACATCGCATAGAGGATTACAGACGCGTTTACCGAGAATGAAGAGCTCGTTATCTCAGGCCGAGTCACAAGTACTGAGCTTGTACTTTGCCAAGCTTGTCGACGCCTTTGTGGTCATCGTCGAGTCCACACAGTGATTTTCCCAGTAGGAATTTGTAACAAGTTGACCAGGGGCGTTGTGTCGAAGCCTGAAGAAAGCGTTAACAAGGATAAAATATAGAGACTGTACGAACGACACGCCCAGTCGCAACCCAGCATTTGAACAGCAATATCTTGGGCACAAAGCCCGCATATATGCGCTTTGAATTCTCGCCAGCGCGAAAATGGCCAGTAAAGAAGACGTACAACTGACGGAACTACAGGATTCAGGATGTTCTCGCCGGTCAGCAACGAAACGACGCCGGCTAGTAGAAACGTACCTTTCCTTGGTCTTCGACATCATAGACAGCACTCAAGCTACTCTGGAAGGGAGGTTCAGCAAAAAAAACGGTAACAATGTTAAGAGGAATGAGGTTATATTCATGGCCGTCGGGAGGAAGACCGTGACCGTGACAGCAAACTCAGCTATTGCCCGAGTTTCTTTCCTTCCTTCCACCACGACAACCGAGCTCCCTGCTGGCAATTCTTACTCTCTTGAGAATCGGTTTCGACAAGTATCACCTACGAGGCTCATTACCCCCGCCGCTCATGGAAAAGGCTGCTCTTGTAGCGCTCTTGTAGCTGCACCCGATACCTACCGACGAGGAGATGTCTTGCTTGTGGTCCCAGCGATATTAAAGGTGCATCCATTACCATGATAATTGTTGCAAAAAAAATGAATAAAATCGCAGCTATAACCTTTTGCCTCACTACTTGCTTGCCACAGCCTTCCTCTACGGTTGGTCAGCGGATGCATCGACATTTCGAGCGAGCCTGCGAGCTTGGAGGGCCGAATCATTCGAGAAGCAAAGCGAGAGATGGAGACTGTGACATTGGAGAAGCTTCTTGGTATGCCTGGTGCCAGTAGTGAGGCTGAGGCGGCGGGTACGACTGGTTTGGCATCATCGTTGTGAACCCCGATGGGCTGACCAATGCCATATTATCGTATATGGTATTGGTAAGTCTATCGCGACTGGCGCAATGGTTCTGGATCTCGTTGTCCCTCCTGCTATGCATGAAGTCCGCCCAGTCGTCAGGCTCGGTATGTGGATCGTGTTGTACGGTGCGCCAGAACAGCTCCCGTTTTTCCGAAGCCTTCCTGTCATCGTAGCGGAATTTTCCCAGGAGGGTTAACAGGTACCACCTGATGTATTCGCTGGTATTGAGAGTCGGCGCATCGTCTGGGACCCCGGTGGCGACATTGGGTTTATTATTCAAGATCGAAAGCAAGCGCCGATTCGAACCAAAAGGATGTGTAGGCGGCTCGTGGTTCGGTTCGATAGGAATATTACTCCTCCAGGCTATAAATTGATCGGTTATGGTGGAATGATTCCTCTACAACCAATGAGTACCCCAGTTTGTGCAATTGAACGAAGCACTCACCAAAACCTCACCTTCGCAGGCGAGTAACATCACATCCCTCTCATTCAACGAGGTTTCCAGGGCGCTCTCCCTTAAAGATACGACGTTTTCGTAGCCGAAGACGTCGATCTGCGATGTGGCGGTCAGTGGCGACTCCTCAACGTACACGATCGTACTCACCAAAGTGTAGGTCCAATCTTGCACCTCGGACACCGGTACCTCCCATTCCTCCATTTCACGAGATGAGTTCATATTTGAAGTTTACAGGTGAGTGTTTGTAACTTTGTGGATGTTGGACCAATTACAAATCATGAGCTCTGAAGGCTGAGCCTTTGTTTTGTTTTTGGACGCCCGGCAAGCCACAGTCAAAGTACCTCCTTCGTCGTCGAATATTAAGTGTTTAGACTGATCGTTCTCGCTTAGTTTGGTGTAAATTATTGCTTGGTGCAGCAATGAAAAATTTTCCGCGCTCGAATTATATCCTGGACCGGCTCGCCACAGTGATAGATGCGATTAAGACCGTCTCATATCCATATTTCCTCGAGAGTGGCCCTTCTGGTCTTCTCTTTCGCCATCAGCCAATTAAACAGCGCAGTAATGGACCCGGAGTCTAATCCTGTGGCGCAGTGTCGACCTTGCTTCAAACGTCAACTGCACAAAGTACGTGTTCAGCTTGATTTATTTCGACTCGTAACTGAAAGAAATACTGCAGAAACCTCAGGTTCCACTCGCATAATTCAGAGACAGATCTCCAACTTGTCTCGTTGAAAAGTTTCATGCCAGAGATTGCTCGCTAAAATGGCCTGACTTCTTGGTGTAATGCTTACTACAATTGAATATTTCTTTACTGTATGTTCAGGTGGTGGCCGACCCCTGGTGATTTGTGCGTCTCTAGTCGCGAGGCTTGTTTGTTGCTCCCCTTTCGAATGGCTCATCAATATTGACAACAGCGATGATGGGACCTTCGAATCTCAATAATTGTACGCATTACTTACTGCTCCATATCTTAGAACCAGTTGTTGTCTTTGGACTGGTTAGTATCCCCTCATATATACATCACACGCGTACATCGAACAAAGTGTTACGGCTATTTTCAATCGACGAGCCACGGCATCTGCATATGCAGTACGAACTGCCAGCGGCTATTGCCTTAATCTCAGACACAGAACCGTTCGCTGTGGCTTGGAAGTCGCCAATCTTTCTCTTTTCAGGAAAATTCACCTTGTACAGCGATCGACAAATTCACGGAATGGCCACCGCTGAGCCAAAGTGATTGAATCAATGGCCTTGGCTCGTGAATATGCGGTGTATCATTTCTCGCCTCACAACACAGGTTGCATTGGCGCTCTCCATCCAGCCTAGATTTCATCACTCAAGGCAATATTCTTTTGAGGCTTAGCTCTTGAAATGAATGTTGCCCTGCTTTTTCATTACCGAATGCCTCCCGATCTCATGTCGGGATTTGTCTTACTCTAAATGCTTCGCCCTTCAGCTGTGTATCGTCGTAAGTACATACAAATGTGTATAAAGAGGCTGCAAAGAGGCGTCCATTCTCCAGACAAACTCTCCGCCCTTGTTTACCCACTTTTGTCTACTCGTTTTCATTTAACTCATTCGTCATCATGCTCTTCTCACTCACCTCATTCGCCCCTCTTGCTGCCCTTGTCGTCCCCGGCCTCTCCGCCACTATCAATGCCCGCCAGCCGGAAACAGGAAACAACACCATCTAAGGAAGGGACTACTATGGTTCTTACGCTCCATGGAAGCCGTCTTGGACCTGGCCAGGAACGGACAAGCATTGTCCAACAGACGTTCCAGAGTATTGTCCTTACCTAGATGACGTACGTTATTCCTCCTGCTTCTCTTCTCCTGGTTCTGATTAGCTCCGTACAGCCTGTTTGTAGATTCGAATGCCCCTCCCAATGGCCCTATTGAATAAGTGCACCTGGGAGCCTGTGTTCGTCGACAGGTATGACTGGAAAGGCTGGAAGCCCGGCAAACGTGACCCATTCTCCTGCGGATACGTCGACAAGGTGACCTATGAGATTGGTACGCGTGTCTTCTTTCATGATCTAGGGTATCTCTTTACCTATTACTACGCAGACTGCAAGGACCTTTGCTTGGCCCACGACAATTGCAACTCTTGCCAAGGTGTGTATCTGAAGCTCGTCTTCTTTTGACTGTTTATTGGCGAAGGTCTTTCGTTCTAATCTATACGCTTGAGGAAGCGGCCGAACAATTTATCTGCGCCCTCTTCGAGGAGGCCGCCGACATCACCACCTGGGAGGACGACTGTGAGGATGACTGGGTCGACGATTGGGTGTATTACAGTTCTTCATACTGGAACGTCTATTACTAGGCAGCGTGAGGCTTATATTGACTCGGACATGTACAATTATTTTTGTAGAGCGCTTACCATGTGTAGTCAGCCCTATCACAGAAATGGATTGGGCTTGCTGTGTATCACTTGTAGGTTCTGATATTGAAGTCAACGCCAAAACATAACTACACTCCCACTCGTAAATCCCGAAAAGATACTACGCATGTCCTACACCTCATTCAGTGACCTAAGTCTACCGAAGTGCAAAACCGATCTTCTTCAGGTTGTCGCCGCTGACTTAGTTCCGTGTGTGAAGATCTGAAGTACGAGTTGCGATGCATCACGAATGCATGCTTAATGACCATTGACCGTCAATGGAATGAGAATATCTTGGCATACTGATCATATCAAGGCTTTAACTGAGCTGCGTTCATTACTCGAGTTTCACATCTATCGAAGATATACCACCCCGGGCCTTATACTTCAAGAACATTGTCAACTGGGACGTGCTAGACTCCTTGCTCATATTTGCGACCTTACACGTAACACCCGACTTAGAAGAGGGCTTGGAGGAGGGGATGGTTGGAAAACCGGAAGGTATATATCACAGGAATGACGGGGCCAATGTAGACAGTCTTGGCTATGTTCATGGTTGGTCATGAAATTTCTCGTCGAAGCGCTGAAGACATTGCAGATGATGGGCGCGATAAGACGGAGGGCTCCGTCGACGGTAGCGGGTCATGAATAGCATTCTTATACAATAATTGCCATTTCCTTCAGCCCATCTCGGGCGTCAACGAGTCGTCTGGATCATGAAATGCGATGTACTCGATGCTATGATGACCGTGACATCAGCACGCAGGCTATCCGACTGTCGTGGCCAAGATACATTTGTACCCATCAGCATCATATCCATACCTTTTGCTTTCTTGGAAGCCTCAATCCACTCTATCTTCCATCAAATGTTGAAGGTTTTTAATACCTGGGATCCTAGTACTATGTTCCTTTCGAGTCGACACCTCATAGGAAGCGTACTTCCATCGGTCCGGGGTATCTCAAGCTGCCAGGTATTTTATTAGCATTGGCCTTCCTTCGGCGACGCAGCAATGCATTGATTTCAGCTTTGACATTCGTCTTGAAGAGATTTTTTCCCATGTCCAGCCCAGTATAAAGCGACAAAGGCTCGGTCAAAATAGGGACGATTCTTTCTTTTTCCCTCCTGGAGGCCTTGATGTTCACTAGGACTGATACCGAGTCTGCTATCCCAGAGTTAACCAACAGCGAGCTCAAGTCCATATATCAAGCGCTGGACATACGACTAAATAGCACGATCCTCTTTGCGTTATTGCATGGTATACCATCTGGTTATAATAGATTGTCTGCACATCAACTCATTTCCTAGGATTCTTCACCGGGGTTCTAACTTCTGGTAATGACCTTGTGGACCATTGGTTTATATCTTCTGCATCTATCGGTCTTACTCCTTCTGATTTGCGATTATACATGTGTAGTTCAAAGCAAAACACGTCTACGGGGTCAAGCAGCTTATATCCTCGTAGTCGTCATCTTGCTTCTATATATTTTCGCAACTGTCGACGCTGTCAGCACCTGGATATATTTGATTCAATCATTCATCATGAATGGGCAAAGCTTTCTGGACGACATATCTCACCGAAATATCTGTGCCGATTTCCATCCTCCAGGGATTTATAGCTTGCTTGAGCTCTATCCTTCTTGACACCTCTCTGGTATGACCTTCTCCTTTTTATGTGTATTATTAAATAATTCACTTACAATAATCTAGATTTGGCGCTGCTGGACTGTGTGGGGACGGTCTTGGCGTGTCGTACTAGTTCCGACCATTTGCACCATTCTGAGAGTCGGTAAGTCTCTATTAGTAATTCTCCATTATACACTGATACGATTTTGTCTTGAATTCCTCATTAAAAACTCAGTCAGTAGGATGACTGTATTATGTATTAGCTGGTTGGGAATCAACCCGCTGCCATCGATCCTTTACGATCTCAGCTCTGTCAATTGGGATGTTTTTTATTCTTCGCTCGGTTTGGGTACCTTGCTTTGGTGCACAATCTTCATCGTGTACCGTATCCTCAAAATTTGTGGAATCGCCACAGGGATCCGCAGGTATCACAAAACAATAGAGGTCATTGTGGACTCCGCCTCTCTTCACTCTGCCGTAATCATCGTTCTGTTGGTGTTTCAAGTTCGCAATGAGCAGATTGGGTATTATCTGGATGCCATAGCCACCGAGACGAGGGTAATTACATCCCGTATCCGTTTCCAACACAAAATTTACTAAAATGCCCTTTCTCAGGGAATTGTGCCCACAATTCTAGTCGGCCGTGTTGCAGCAGGGTATGCGCGCCCAGACGATAACTGGGGTGAATCAAGAAGCGCAGTGTCGTCGCTTGAGTTCAGAAATCATTCCATCAGCCAGGATAGTAGCCCCGAATAGATGTTGGAAACAACTTGTCCTTGCGTGCAACGTTGGACATGGAGGAAGGTCTGCCGGAACGGAATCTCACAGAACAGGACCACGAGGTGGCAGGAATTGCGTAGTATTCATGTCTGGTTGCTGATTTTTGAAATTTTTTTGAATTATGGAGTTTTTGTTCTTACCAGCACGTGGGACATTTGACGCGGACGCCCGGATCCTTCATATCGTGCAAGCCGAAAAGGCCCACCATCGCGAGGCCATTTGCGATAATCATCCAACAATATATTTGTAGATACATTGCCATGCGGCCCATCTGGGCCGACGAGAGCGATGACAAGACCTTCGTACCCGAAAGACGAGCTTCCATGGAGGGTCGTTTCTCAGCTTCCTCCGCTGTTCACATCCCAAGTGCCATCGTCGCCACTACAAAGGGAAAACATGCTCTTCGAAGAACCATGTACTGTGAAGAGGATACTCAGCTCACTGTATTAGATGCAGTAGGGGATCACCGTACCTCGTTTCTTCTAGATAGCCAAAAACAAAAACAAGGACAGACGCGTTCAGGGCTCGGAATTTGTCATCCGTCACGGCCACCACAAGTTGAACTCGAACTCTCAAAACTTCCGACATGAATGCGAACATGAACTCATATCACATTGAAGAGGACGAAATGCTCATCTCCGAGAGAATCTACACTCTGGTGAGTACGATTGTATTCGTGATGCTAATAGCCACACTCACCGACTTGCAGGTCGCCAGAGTTGGAGTGGCAGGAGCCATAGAGATGGTGCAGGGAATGGCAGGGAACGCAGTAACATCTGCAGACGGCTTGGACCTTCGCATCATTGAGAAAGTCCTGGTGAGCATGCTGACACAGTCGTCAAGAAACGGGAAGCTCACTCATAACAGGACAATTATGCCACTACAGGATATGGTCCATTCGAAGCGACTCAGTCCCCTCAACGTACTTAACGGGCTCCCGACTACGACGGCTCGAGTCATGGGTATTCATCGCGAGGTGCCATCCCACCGACCCCGCCGCCTTCGATGCCTGGATCGTCTCTATCTTTCTCCGAGAGAGCGTCGACACCACCTATCAGCATCCAGGGTGGAGATACGCGCGAAAACGAGTTCCACGGCGCATTCCACCCGGAGATCCCGCTGCCTTCGATGCCTGGATCGTCTCCTTCATAAAGCGCAACAAGGTTGACAAGACCCGCCATCGCGACGCTGTTCGCGATGAACAACAGAACAACATATTCATAGATACACTGTCCAGTGGCTCATCGGGGTTGGCGACAGCGATGACAGGTCCCGCGTACCCTCAACCTACCCTCCCATGGTGGATCGTTCCTCCGGGACTTCCTCGTCCGTTCCATATTCCGACCCCCCTCATCGCCACCATGGTCCCCGGATGGCTCAATAACGGAGAGCCTTCCGTTATGTTCATGTCCCGTGCGCATATGTCGTAGTTGGGTACCAACATCGAGCTGTGTCTACACTGTACAGGCTTCATTCAGTTTCTTTTAATGAAAAACCCTTAATACTCACTTTTCAAAGCCTGCAAGCCTATGAGTACTCCGAGCAAACCTTTAGGTATGTTTTACATCAGGATTGCTGATGACGAGCACTGGAGACAGTGGTCTCGCTGGTCCTCTCATCATTGGCAGTTCTTCATTAGGAAAAATTATCAGAGAATGTCGTAGACGACGATGGTGACGAGGCACAGAGCAACGACGGGGGTCTGATGTGGTGGTAGAAGGGAAAGACCGGAAGACGGTATGTCACGCCGTCACGATCTCTCTTTGCCTTCGACCTCCACATCCGCGACGACTCGATACCTTTCCTAGAATTGGTCTCTTCCTGCCCCATTGAAGCTCTTGCAGATTCAAGCTAGTCCTTTATCGTTTCGAAGAGGGAAAGGTAAGCCATTTATCTCCTATCGTTTTCACTTACCGAGCAAAATCGTTGTGCAGAACCTTTCTCTCGAGCGATTTTATTTCATCTGGGCCCAAAGTGCTCCTTATGTATGCGACGTGGAGCTCGTCGCTCCAACGGAGAGTGATACCTATGTACCCTGTATTGGACCTACATCGGAGCGTCGGCTAGCATATACCGACATGGAGACCTGTTTCTCGTCGCCAAACGCCTCTTTTATCGCCAGGATGGGCTGCCGTATCATTCATCATGCGAATAGCAGAGAGGGCACAACTTGACAAGAAACGGTACGTTTTCTGTCCCAGGTCGTGTTTTGTAATATAACGGCGTCTAGATCCTCTTTCCTCTTATCGGCCCAAGATATATGCCGAAGGCAGCCGAGGGCACGTACAAGTGCATATAAAGAGAATGCAAGGATACGAGGTGCGTTTCTCCTACTTCATCACGGTCTTCCAATTCTGACTGCATTATATAGAGCGCAAGAGCACCGCAACGACCCATTGACATTATCAAGGGAAAGCCGTCCAATTTTACTTTGAAAATTGCGTTTTATTTGGATGACGAGTCTGCGGGGTGGCATGCCTTATGATCCTGCAACTCAAGCCAGCGACTGCGGGACTGGCCACAAGACCTGGCTTCAAGCATAATGTGGAACAAGTACACGCGGCCGAACCCAGGTGCGACACAAAGGATCTCGTTCCCGGACCATAATCTGAGATACTTGACAGGCCTATTTGGTGTGAACAAAGGTACAGCCGTCGGTGATAGCGACGTAGCTGTGCAGGTGTCGCTTTGTCCAAACATCAACTTCTGAACACGGATGGCCTCCCCTTGCCCTGACACGGTCGAGTTACTACCAGGGGAAGTGGGAAATACAAGTGTTCCGAAAAAAATGCGATGAAAGGAGGATCACAGTACAATGTAAGTCGAATCCTTTGTGTCTGGTATTTGTTATTGACGATGCTTATAAGAATCGGTTCTTGTCAGTTTCGATGATCCCCTTCAGCAAACATGGCTACCCTCCAGCCAAGTCAGTATCCAACTTTTACGCCACCTTAGTATGGCTTACTGACAATCCTCATACAGGCGACGCATACATATTAGCCCTTCCAAACGAAGTCCTCGAACAAGTACTGTCGCCAGAGGTACGAGAAGAAAGTCATTACATCAACACAAAGATAGGGATTAGTGCCCTCTGCTCCGTTTGCAAACGTTTTCGCGATGTTTTCCTTTGGCGCCTTTACCACACCATCCGTTGTCATGATATACGTGACGTGAGGCCTTTCCTTGAGGTGCTTCCCTTCCAGGGCGCCCGACACATCGTCCACCTCGACCTCGTGCTTTTCCCCATCGACAACTTAGCAGGTTACGATCTACTCAGCATGCTCTACTTGTTCCTTCTTTCGACGAAGGAACTTAAATCCCTTCGATCTCTCCGCCTTGACATCCATCCAACCCCAAGAAGTGTGAACAACCATGGTGTTACCGTCCCAGCGGCCGTTGAACGGGCCCCCGCTGATCCAATGCCTTTGTCGTCAGAAGTCGTTAATGCCTTCAATTCGGTATTGCGAAGCCTTCCTGAACAACTTCGCTCATTGTCATTGAGCGGATTTTGTTTGGAAGACGCCACAGCAGGTTTAGCGGCCGCCAAATTTCCTTCTCTACGCGCCCTCTCTCTCGACCTCGACGGAACGGATGAACCGTATGATCTGAGTTATCCTCCCTTCTTGCAAGGGATGCCTCTCCTGAAAAGCATCGAGCTCCCTGTACAGTGGTGTCCTCGTGTGAAGTGGTTCAGACAGGCATTTGATGGACGCAGTTTCAAGCGTATCAAGATCGGATTCACCGGAGACATTTTCGCCGCCGAAAAGCATATGAATCATGGCGACTCGTTGTGCGCATGGAACCAGTGTATCGTTACCTTGCTCAAGCAATCTTCCTCCATCCTGAAGAGTCTCAACATTGGGACGATATCCCTCACCATTCCTCGCAACTCGGTCTTCCCGGTATTGACCTCGCTCACTATTGTCGATATCGAGTTTGGCCCCGAAGCTGATAAGGAGCTCAAGGCGCTCCTGATGCCTTTCGTTCGCTCTCCGCTCGAATCGTTAAAGATCCTGGAGTGCCACGATCCTCCGGATGTGTTGATAAATCTCATCGACGGGTATTGGCCAAAGCTGAAGAAGCTTAGTGTGTCGAAGCTCACTACGTACAGGGACAAGTACGATCCTCCTGGCGTTGGTCGTCCGTACCCACGTCCTTTGGGATATGATGCTCCTTGGGATCCAGTGAGCCGGAGGAAGCTTGAAGCGATCTGCGAACAACGCGGAGTGCGTGCATCGCTGGATTGGGGATATTTGTAGAAGTTTGAGAGAGCATTTACATTGGACTTCCTCGTCAGCAAGTATGAATCTGTATAATGTCTATCCAATAATGTCTGATAACAGCAACAAAGATGAGGATTCTATCTACTACCGTTCGTTCATACAGTGATATACAGTCCGACATTCCTCCAAGGTATGTAGTTCGTCGCTATCGCTCTCCGTGATCAACTCGCTATGTTTGACACTGTCCGTGTCCGTGCCTGGCTCGTCGATGTCACTGTCCGTGTTTATATTCGACTCGTCGTTGCTATCCAGATCACTATCCGCGCTAGCGAGCACCACCATCATATCTTCCGCGTTCTGCTCCCAGGCCAGCTGAGGTTGGGTACGCTCCTCTCGAGGGGGGATATCTGCGTTTCGTTGTAGGGCTGCGCGATAGGCAGCCTCGTTGAACGCGTCGTCGTAGAGGTCCCATTCGGGTGACCATGCCTTGTTGGGAATGTTATAGAACTTGATCTGGGAGGTAAGGGCTGCGGCCTGCGCCATGACAGTCTGAAATGTGTGTTGAGCGCCTACGGGTAGATTAAACCAGATGAAATCTCGCGACTTACCGCCGGTTCCTTGGGTTGGTAAGTAGGAGGAAGAATGAAGTGCCACTTTGCTGCGGGGTTCTGCCAGATCGATAATGGGATGGGAGACATTGTTAGGGAGGACGCGTCTTTGGGTTGAGGTGGTTTATGGGAAAGGGAAAGGGAGAGAAAGTGAAAGAGAAAGGGCGAAGACCTTCAGGGTCGGGCTGTGCTAACGGTCAACTATGTTCCTTTGTTCTTTTTGCCACCCCGGAGATATCGGGTGCTATTGCCTTTTGTGTTAGGAGAAGGTCAAATCCTGGTTAAGTGACTTTATGTTGTAATTCTAGTGGGTTGAATAAAATCTATGACCATCCGAGGTATAAGAACGAGGCATAGCATGCTTGAGGTCTTTCCCAACGTCGGCATCTCTTGGAACAAAATTTCATTATGGAGTCTAATAGTTCATTATCGATTCTTTGCAAGGCCATTCGGAATAAAAACGAATACTGGATACGCCTACTATCGTCATCCAACGTATGCCAGGTACAAAACGTCCGTGCCTACGGTCAGCACCGAACTCCCGACCAGGCCGATTTTGAGTGACTAGTCTCGGAGATGGTTTCAGCAAGGTGGCGTGATCGATGACGATGACTGGAGCAGAGGAAAATACTAAACACGGGTCGTCCATACAAACAACACTCGACTGATGGCGGGGAATTGTATCTCTCAAGGTCATTCTCATCATTGGGTGTAGCTGGAGGACGAAAATGCTCTTGAATCATTGCTGAAGATAGAAGTGAGTTTGAGATGTTAAGGCGGCGGTCTGAGGGTGAAAGCAAGCAATCTATCTGAATATTCAGTCACGTTTAAACGAGACATCGCGTCCTCTTACTCATATCTTCTTCGTCCAAGCGTATTTATGATATTCGACCTTCAAACCGTCTATCTCAAGTACCTTCAGGTGCAATAGAGCATAAGGATGCATGGGTGAATTTGGATAGCACACCGTCAGGGACTTTAGTAGCGCAACTTCACCATCAGAATCCCGCCGCCAGAATACCATGTCCAAGAACGGGTCTTCAGCGAAAGAAATTTCCATATAGTCGTCCCAAGACGTATCGTCGCGAACGTATAATTCCTCCAAGCGAGGTGCAAGACACGAAGCGCCGTCCAATGAGAGCGCATCGAACACATGCCAAGCAGAGACCATATCTACCCGAAAGGATAATGATGTAAGGGTGCTTGAGCAGGCTTCGAGAATGGGCTGGAGTTCCGACCATGGAAGTGCTGGGACTTCGAGATATAGGCTGCGAAGCGGACAGCGCGATTCTCGAAATAGCTTAGCGATATGATGGTATCCACCAGAACGTATTCGCTCGATACGAAAAACCTCCAACGCCGGCAGACGAAGGTCTCGTATGCAGTGGATGTCGGTGTAGAGAGAGAGCGTGTGCAGGTTGGTATGAGTGAATGGCACAGAAAGATGGGACAAAGGAGGGACAAAGTACATGTTCAACGTCGCTGTAATAAGCCGTGATGACAAAATGAAAAGTATCAGACACTCGAAATAGTGCGATATATCTCCGGTGAACGACAGTAACTGGGGAAAGGGGAGTCTAAGATGAAAGATGCTTATCCCGTGAAGCGATACCTCTTGTAGATGGGGTGCCTTGGAGAAGCCATTGATGGGTGGTGACGTAGTAGTGGAACGCGGGTCCCTAGGAAGGCTATGATAGTGAGAGATATCGTCGATCGCGATGGACAGTCTTTTGAGGCCCGGGAATTCGCAAGAAATGGTGGATAGCATGTTTAGAGCTTCTTCGTTGACAGTAAAGTCAAGGTCAGTGCAGCGGGTAAAATGGGGAAGGAGTATCTCATGATGCTTCTGGATATCGTATGAAGATGACAGTGCGACGCGGAGTGGATACTGATTAGAACGTGTCAGATACTCTTGGAGAAGTGTCGCTTTATTTTCGGTGAAAGGCACACCGTCTATCATCAGAAGATCCGGGTCATCTTCAATGAAAACAGATGTCCAGAGACTCGGCATTGATAAAGCGACTGACCGCCAAGCACGACAGACGTGACTGATCACCCAGTTTGGACTGTGTTTGACGTCTAGGACGTCGTACTCTGCCAAGCCGAGGTTGCCGGTCACGACGAGTTGGAAGATCTCGATGAGAATCTCAACGGGAAGGGAAGATAAGGCTGAGTCATTGTATGGTTCACAATGGAAGAAGTGTTCTTCTTCGGAGCTTGTTGGAGGTAAGGTAGTAAGTAGTGCGGTCTGAAATGTGAGGAACGCCCATGATTCCTCTCGTCGATACTGTGAGACTGACGGAAGACGGTCCAAAACCACGAGGTCGTCGTTGAGTGAGGAATTATTTTTTCTGAGATCGGAGATGTCCTTCTGTGATAGCAAACCGTTGGATCCGAGAGTTTTTTCGTACGAAAGGGCATTGTTCTTGGCGACTCTCGACATTGTAGTAAGGGCCTTGACCACCTGAGAACTGGGGGTTTCCATTCCAGCTTGGTAAAAAGAGAAATATGAGTAAATCAAGGACGGAAAAGCGGCTTCGAATATCGTACTGAGTATGCGTGATGTAAAATCTTGAAAATCCGGTAAAAGTAGAGTTAATTCTGCAATCACTAGCAGCTGTGGCTAGTAGATATTCCGCTAGATAGACATATTCAATCGAGCGAGAATAAAGGCCACAGTTAATATTACCAGTAGCCAGCCGAAGGCGCGCACTGAGCACAGAACAGATTGCTTCCAGATAACGTGCCGGCCAAGTACTGCCAGCAGATGCTCAGTGCTGGTTACACCGCCACAGACTCGGACCGCAAGTACGAACGGTAACGCTGCACGTGTGTCGTGACAGGCATTCGGAGCTGTCACAACTACTCTGAGCAGAACAAGAACCACAACCAGACTCGCCTGTTGATTTGGCGGTTATCACGATGTTGCATCACATTTCGACTACCATCAGGTAGACGAACGGGCTCTTAAGTCATTGGTGAAGTCCAAGGACTGATATTTTAATTTTTAAGCGGCAGTCGGAGGAACAACGGAACATACTGTACAATTTCGACCTTACCTTCACGGTTTGTGACATGTTATGCCACATCTTCAGCCGGACAGATCTTCACAGATGGCTGAGACAGGGTATGGTCATCTTCATGTTGTAGGATCTTCATCACTGTCATGTTTTTGTGGTTATATGCTGCGACTGAGCAACTAGGGCATGAGTTCAATCCTTCTTAATTGTACTTTTTCACTCCCAGTGGTGACGTCGTGGATCGCTGGATTCACCAGACGGGCCGGATGTTGGCAAGAGAACAGGTCACGGGGTTGTCGAGGCCGCATCATAAAACCGAATCGCTGGTACGACGGAAACATCTGGGAACGCGCGTAGACACTCAGGACATGTGTATTTTGTTATTCCTTGCTCAAAAAGGGCACTAATTTAGAACCTTCTTTCGTCCCTTCACTGAGAGCTGTGACATGCTATCAGGTATGCATATCTTCATTTCACAAGCCTCTGTGACACGTTATGTGAACTTAAGGTCGAAATTATACAGTAGTAGCAACGCAATATTTACTCAGTCACTTATGGCAAGAGAGCTACGTATTATACACGATATATCGCATTTATTCATATCATCTTCGTCCAAGCATAACCATGAAATTCGACATTTAGACTATCTTCTTCTAGCTCCTGCAGCTTCCTCAGAGCTTCATCCGGCCTGGGTGAATAAGGCGCACACATTGTCAACGATTTCAGCTGTGTGACCCTTTTAGAGTACCACCGCCAGAACACCATACTAAAGAAGGTGATTTTATGGAAAGAAGCTTCAAATCCTTTGTTCAAGGAGTAATCATCGTCGCGAATGCATAATTCTTTCAAGCAAGGTGCGAGATAGGAAGCACCGTTGAATGCGAGCGCGTCGTGCACCTGCGATGCTGAACTATTGTTAACCCGAATGGATAGCGATGTGAGAGTGCTCGAGCACTCTTCGATGATGGGCTGGAGCTCTGACCACGGGAGCGCCGGAACTTCTAGATATAGGCTACGAAGAGGGCAGCCCGATTCTCGAATGAGCTCGGCGATATAACAATGGTGTCCACCCGAGTAGATTTGCTGGATACGAAAGACCTCCAGCGATGGAAGACGAAGGCCTCGCAGACACTCGATGTCGGTATAAAGTGAAAGGGTGTGAAGTTTGACATGTATGAGTGGCTCAGGAAGAATGATGAAAGTGGCGGCGGCACATAACACGTTTAACGTCGCCGTGATAAGCTGTGGTGCGGATGAGAAGAGTAGCTTATACTCGGAATATCGATATATATCCCCGGTAAAGGACTCTAACTTGGTCAGAGGGAGCTCAAGATACGAGATGCCTACGCCCTGAAGTAGCACGTCTCTCAGACACGGTGCTTTACCAAAGCTACTGATGAACGGTAGCCCACTCAAACTCGGGGAAAGCCCAGGTTGGATATCGTTGAAAACATAACGCCCCTCGACAACGACGGTTAGTCTTCTGAGACTCGAAAATCCGCTGGAAATGGCGAAAAGTAAGTCTAGAGTTTCATCAGTGATTGTGAGATCAAGGTTGGTGCAGCGAGTGAAATGGGGCGAGAGTATCTCGAGATGTTTTTGGATATCGTACGAGGACGACAGTGTGATGCGGAGTGGTTTCTGATTGGAGCGCGAGAGGTACTCCTTAAGATGCATCGCTTTATCGTCGGTAAAAGGATCATCTATGAGAAGATCATCTTCAATGGAGACGGATGTCCAGAGGTTCGGTGTTGATACAGCTACCGACCGCCAAACACGACAAACATGGCTGATCACCCAGTTTGAACTGTGCTTGACGTCCAAGTCGTCATACTCTGAGCCGTCCACGGCAAATTGGAAAATGGCGGTGAGGATCTCGACGGGAAGGGAAGATAAAAGTGTGTCGTTGTATGGTTGGCAGTGGAAAAAGTAGTGTTCTTCGGGGCTGGTTGGAGGTAAATGTGTGAGGAGTGCGGTCTGAAATATGATGGACGCCCGTATTTCCTCTCGTCGACGCGGTACGACTGATGAAAGCCAATCCAGAACTGCGAGGTCGTCGTTGAGTGAGGAGGTATTTTTTCTGAGGCCGGAGATGTCTTTCTGCGACAGCGAACCGTTGTTACCGAGGGTTTTTCCATATGAAAGGGGACCGCTCTCGGCGTCTCTCGACAGTATGGTAAGGGCCTTGACCACCTGAGAACTGGGTGATTCCATTCTAGCCTAAAAATGATTAAATCCAGGATGAGAAAACGGCTTCGAATATCGTACTGTGTATGCTTGTTGCTAAAAAAAAATCGGAGGAAGTAGAGTTAAGAAGTTTTGCCGTCAGTGGCAGGCCTCGCTGTGGCTAGTAGACTCGGATATTCGTGGTACTAGATAGACATATTCAATCCGAGAATAAAGCCTATAGGAGATGAGATTACCTTTTAATAACCAGCCCAGGGCGCGTACTGAGCACAGAACAAATTGCTTTCAGATGACGTACCGGCGCAAGACTGAGTGTAGAGTTGGTTGCACCGCCACTTGTGACTTGCGGAAGTACGCACGGTAACGCTACACGTGTGTCGTGACAGGCGTTCGGAGCCGTCACAACTTTTCTGAACAGAACAAGAACACAACAAGATTTGCCTGTTGATTTGGCAGTCATCACGGCGTTCCGTCGCATTTCGACTACTGTTCCCCTAAATAGCGCCAACCATGCCTCTAGATAACGGGTGTTCGTCTCTCATTCTTGATCTCTTCGGAAGCGTCTCGTTATCTAGTAGTAGCGACTTTGTCCGAATGTGAAAGGTTTCCCTCGACCAGTGGTCGACTGCCACAATTATATCTTGCTTCGTCCTCGTCTCTTGCGGCTCTGATACTCTTCTTAGTAACCCACATGTATACCTGGCACACGTTCCCTACTCCTGGTCACCTGGCGTTGTTATTTCAACTGCATGACACGCCACACACCCAGGAACCTAAATATGGGATTACAGGAAGAGATAGAGACGCTCATGAGCGAGTGGATCGTTCTTATCGTGCCGTACTAATGCAGAGGCCATGAAAAAGTATAAAGGGATGAGGAGCAGCTCTGCATTTCTCAGTCAAGTCGCCCTTGACCACCACTTGGGCTTCAAGCTTCAGCTTTAACTTGCAAGTGATACCCTCCTCTATATTTTATACCACTTTCCTTAATCCAGGTATGCTGCTTATTTCTTTTCCGACGAAAAGTTCGCTCAAATATTCGAGCAGCAATCATCATGTCTTTCGATATGTTCTCACTCATGCAACGCAGAGCTCAGGGACGCAGAGGAGGTGCAGGAGCTCAAGGATCCGGATTCGGAATGCCAGGCGGTTTTTCGAATTTATTTTCTGCTGGTAGCGGTACATCCGGCCTTGGGCTTGACCCCAAGGCATTTACCGCGTTTCCCATGGCGCCTTCGTCGTTTTCCCCCAACTCTCCTCCCCCCGCTGCTCAGCAGACTTCTGAGTCGTCGTCGTCAGCGCCCTCCGAATCGCAACAGTCGTCTGCTTCGCCTCTTTCCGGAGGCCCGGCTGGTAACCTCGCATCTTTGACGAGTCTCGGAGGGTTCGACACTGGTATTTTTGAGTCCTTCCTTGGGTCGAAGAATGGGGGTGGGCAGTAGGCACCGGAAGGCTAATGTGCTTTGTTGGCACCCGAACAGTGATTCAATTTAGTTTTGGGGTAGTCTCTTGTTCCCAAGTCCCATCTTTATCCTTATTGTACACTCATCCCTAATAAATACCTACTCGGACACAATTTTGCAGCGAAAACACCGGAGTGAAATTTGCGCGAATCGGGCACGATCGGACGAAGCTCGGCAATTTGGTCCGTTCCACCACCAACACCAACACCACCTCGCTCGTCATTGCCTCCGACAATCACTCCCCGTCTTCCATACCCAGATGAATGCAGGATTCGAGCTACTCGTCAAGATGTGCTTACCTCCTCACTTCGGTGACCGTGGAGAAGGCTATTTCGGTCGTTGATATGTGAGACGCTTTTCAGTTTCACAGTGTCCGTGTTCATGCTAGGTTTACAGATGGGTACACAAATACAAGTACAGAGTCAAATCATTCCAAGGGCGCGCATCTCGTTGAAACGATCAGTCCACCAGGCGATTCTCGGGTCAGCGGGGTCAAGGTCGAAGATATCTTCGAATGGGACGTTGTAGTCAAGTCCTTCTATCTTGGTACGGGAGCTGGTTGCGAACCCAAATCCGTTAGTCTGATTGGGTGTCTCTTCACGACGATTAGATCCACCAGCCACCTCACGTTTGGGGCTCTCGACCCTAGCACTCTGCATACATGCAGCTGGAGCAAGATCAGAGAACGTATCCTCATGAATGACCTTGTTGTTATCCCATGGGTTGGTAAACACGGGCCTGTCCTGATACGCGTTTCTGGCGTGGGATACCTCCGCCTTCGGCGTACTTGCTACCGGCGAGGGTGCAAGAGTGCCGAGGTTGAGTCGGGGGGTCGCAGGAGGAGTTCGTTCAACTGCATCGACATTGAAAGGATTGGTGTCGAACGTGATGGGGAACCTAGGAACCGGTGCAGCAACAAAGTGAGGTGCCGGTGGGGCGTTGTAGACTCGGTCTTCCGTTGAGTTGGTCTGGGGCTTAACGATGGGCCCACCGCCTTGCAGTGGCGTCGTGAATTGCGCCCTGGGTATTAGGCCAGGTCTGGGGTATATATGCCCTTCATTTGATGGCCTCTGAGTGGGTGGCCCCCGTCGCTCGAAAAGGCTGAAGTTCGGAGGAGGTGCGCTGAATGGATTGGCACGACCGTATCGCGCACCGGTGTACCGGGGCTCGATAGGGGGCAAGTACCCTCCAAATGGCGCTGAGCGGAAGGCAGACGAGAAACCATGGCTCGTTGCAGGACCATAGGCAGACGAAGGATCGTATGAATGGATGGGCTGCGTCTCGGTCTGGGTGTATGCCAATGGGAACGTCGCGTCGGCATAGATTGATCGTGCTGGCGTAAACAAATCTCCCGCTGCTGCCTGGAAGCTTGAGTATTCGGAGGCAGTAGCGACGCTAGGACGGGTGGCAGGGAATGGGGGTCCAGCAGCTTTCGAAACACGAGTTCGGTCTGAGCTCTCCTCAACCCCCCCTCGTCTGAATCTGCTGCAGACTTGCTCAATTCTGGAGAACGAAACCTGCAGCGAATCAGCTCCGACGCAGAAACGATATACGGACGAACTCACCAATGCATTGCGCGCATCAACGTACATTTCGGGTTGCGTATATGTGTGAGGCTGGGGTGAACCACGCACCGCACCACTCGTCGGGGTCGCCATCGGGCTAATAGGTGGTTCTGCGAGTCCGGACTTAGTGGCATCTCTATCAACGCTCTGGAAGACACTTATTAGAGACAGCGGGAGAATAAGAGGTTGGGTACCTCACCATTTCGGCTGGTAATGAAGCGCTCATGTCTACCAACTTCCGTGCCAATGCGAGGAGGTCTCCCAGCACCTGCAGTACAGCTAAATACCTGTGGCAGATAAACGAACACGATACGGCTCACCGTATCCACTTCTGGTAAAATGAGGTCTTCGAACGAGGAACCGAGTGCCACAGACATTGTTGTTCAACGGGGATAACACAAAGGGAAGCAAAGTAGAGAGCCGGGAGGGCGTTGCGTCGCGCAGAAGACGATTAAGAGAAGGAGGAAGAAAGGCGAATTTGACCGCTTATAAAGCCAGGAATGCGCCGTTAGTTTGGTGCGCTGTCTTTGTGCGTTATCACCTATTTTGGTCGTGTCGCAAAATCATTGTATGTTGCAGCACCATCATTGTTGCTGCACATTGTGCTGATTACTGCCACCTGAAGAGCCTCCTTCGAAATCGATGCGTTGAATGGACTGTTGGTCAGGGACGTAATAGTCTATCCCCGTGCCATACGTATGTATCCAGGTGAAGAAAATCCGGATCTTGTTGGCGGTGACGGCGTATCGGTAAGGACCAGTCGTTCAATAATACCAGCGACTCTGGCTCACTTTTGTTTCTTCCATAGGTCGGGTTATGTGCGCAGCTTGCCCATCAAGCTGGAATTAAGTTTGATCCTTCCGGAGCGATCTCTCCTTGCTGATTTGTCTTGGTGGACCAACTTTTTGCATGGTACTGAGATCATTCGACTTCTTGTCATGCGCAATAAACTTTGGGTTGAGACAAGCACCCAGAAGAATTACGCTGTATGCAGGAATTGCTGTCCCTACTGCCCACCGTCCAGACGATGCCACCTCGAATGGCCACGCGGCTCGGTCCCGCCATTAACCATAAGTAAGTGGAAGACTTACTGCATATTCCTTCTCATATCTTCGTCGTGTCTGATTCTGCGTATTCGATCAGTTCGCCTGCGGTAGCTCTCTTAGCCGCAGGATAGGTCACCTTTTAGCAGACGTGGAAGGTGACCCGTCCACAGTGAAAATGCCCATTGGACGGACGCGATCTCTCAGCATAATCGCGCCGATTTCTGGTGTGGTATTTATCAGTATAGACGAGAGTTGTGATGGCCAGAGATGTCGCCTGCCGGTTGGTTTTTACAGGCCGGCTGCATATGTGATTCCATAACCCAGAGCGACGATATGTAAACGCTATGATACTGTTACACTAAACATTTTGTATAAAGATTTTACTGTTGCAGCGGTAAAGTCACCTGTCGATCCCGGGGCCCGAATTGAGGTCTCCTGCGCAGCCCTGTTGAGTCTTGGCTCTTGAGCTTGCTACGTGAGTCTTGAGTCTTGAGTCATTGAACGCAGTTTAGGGTTGCGCACGAAACCCTAGGTTTTGATACACCAGGGTTTATTCCCGGTAAATTACCGGTAACTTACTGGTAACTTACCCCCCCTCACCGGAGGGGTTTTCGTCGAGGTAACTTACTTGTCATGTGACAGGTAGTTGAGCGGGACAATTCAGCACTATTACATCCATATTTCAACATAGATTGTATACTTACATATGGGTGGTCTTTACAACTGAATTACCCTTCTTTATATCAAGAAAACGTACAAAAACACGAAGACAAGGGTTTTGGAAAAATTCGGCAATCGCAACGCGTCAGTCAGGTGATACTGCACGTGATAGGGTAAGTAACGGTAACTTACCGTAGCAAAACCACCCCCTGGGGTGGGGTCGGTAACAAACAGTTACTTACCCCCCTTGGAGGTTTCGTGCGCAACCCTGCAGTTACACCACACTGCGACTGCTAACTGTCCAAAAGTATATGCTTTTAAGAAGTTTGCAGATTACGCCGAAGGGGAGTCGAACCCCTACCGCTTGCTTGGAAGGCAAGCATGATAACCGTTTCACCATCGGCGTGACAAAGTATTGGTTTCTATCACTGCCTTTGTCGCGCAAACATAGGTCCCTGTCTCTTGTCCAGCCTTGTCCACACTCTGTTAATTCAACTATTTCTTTTTCACAGGGTCGCATTGTCATCCCAACTTCGAGAGTAGAAGAGGTATACTCAAGCGTACCGCTGTCACTGCCGACAGAATTTGAATGGTGAATGTTGGAATCCTCGGTGTTGCGCAGGGTAGACTCCTGGCTGGTAAAGCCAGTTGATATGAACTCGTTATTCTATGGCTCCTACAGAGCCTGTATTTATACTACTTCGCAATGTAATCTAGAATGTACTACAACTTTCTACTAGTCTCGTGCTTACTCAGCGACTCTCGGCATGATGCCGGATTGCCCATTCTAGAACTTTCCGGCAAAATCCCAACAGTGAATCATATTAATTGCCTGTATAAGTCGTGCAGATTGTTCACGATAGCTTTGGATTTCTACTTTCGCTTATGTTTGTCGATGAGCGGCTCTATATGCGTTGATTTGAGAGCTGTATTGATTCGGGTTGCAGGAACTCATACCTCGAGCAGGCTATCGCTCATCTGGGATAGTGGTCATTCCGTACAATGTCGGCTCTTCAGTCATTATTGTAGCAGTGTCTACATTCTGGAGGCCCGTTTTATATTCCAACTTCGTGAGGCTACAGCAAGGCAATGAAAGGTGAGTGTGCTTCTATTTAAAATGGCGGACTCTAGCTTACTTCGCCTTACAGTGATTGTAGTCTACGACCGAGCCCGTAGTTCTTGGACTCCTGTCGCCAGATTATCATATCTACCGTCAATCGATTTATTTGTGTACCTGTACGGCGCACGGATGACGTTGCCGACGCCTCATAGCGTTCAGCGCGTCGCTTTGAATGACTTTATGCATGAACCCCGTTTCGAGACATGAATGAAAGGTCCCGGTCAGCGCTATACCTTCTCTGTATATTTACTGAAAATACTAACGGTCTGACGCAGTAATCTGTATACAGAACTTACGCGGAAAAACACCACCGTGAACTATGTAACATGGCACCCATATGGACCCATAAACCGCATGAAGACAACAGCGAATACCGATTGATTCCGTGCTTGCAACAATACTTGTGTCAAAGCTCTCTGGCGACCTCTATCTCGGTTCTTTTTATACACCCCCTAAGTTTGCGTCATCGATGGCTGTGAATATCCGCATAAACCTTTCACGCCCAATCATGACCACTTTCGAGGTTAGCGGGCCAATATTAACTCTCGATGGCTCAACAAATAGACCTGTCGACTTTTGATGATGGTACGTACCTGTTTCCAGTGACAATTGCAACTGCTATTGTCAATAGACATGTAGACATACGATTGATTGGACACTGCCCCAGGAACGGTCGCACTGCTTCGATTCGGGGCCGACGTGAGAGCAGACATGTCGAATGGTGCCTCTCCGGCGATTAAACTTCTCGCAGGCGTGAACCGAACGAAGTCTCATGCGGGTTTGGAATATCCGGCCAATGGAAATACCTTCCTACGGTTCGTTGCTCGATTTTCTCAAATCCGAGTACCGGGAGGTGTATTATCGGTTCTCTTCGAAACGCATGTGCTCGCGACAGCTTTTTTTTACGTTTCCATACCCTTACTCGACTGCGGCATCCGATCCTTACTTTACTTCGTAGATGCACCGTTTTTTGAGCTCTCCGTTCCCTGTGATCAGTGTTTCTTCAAATCATTGGACGTTGGGAGAGCTCCTGTCGATGTTTATTGTTAACTTCTTGTGATGATCCACATTTGCTCTTCGCCACGCCCTCGTATAAATAAAGAATTGTATACGGTGATGACCTTCTATTGTATGGCTTTTTGAATTTTGACTAAACTATACTGCGAGATGATTAAGAGAAGTCCCGTCCGTCCGCTCCACCGATTAAGCTGAAGAAGAAGTGACCTTCCCCTCGATAGAGCCAGTTTCAAGCGTATGTATCTTTGGATATTGCTATCTGAGCAGGAGTATTTTGGGGTGAGTCAACGAAGGGGATAAAAGGCCGCCGGGTAAGATTTGCATATGCTCTTAAATCTAAAATCACCATCAACTGACAGAGAAGACAGAAGAATGGCTTCTACCATTTGGAATACAGATACTACATAGATTTTGAGCAGAAAAAACTTTTTCTTTAGGCTAATAGGCTTGCCTGGATGCCCTCAACATTTTTGGGTCGCCCCAAAAAGCATCCGGACCTGTACCTTCCATTGGTTTTCACTAGAATCCCCCTGCAATTTTTATTTCCGAGCGTTCACGGCGTCCTGAGATGGCAAATAAGTAACCGTTACTTATCGCGGGAGTAGAAGGCCAAGAAAGGCATAATTTCAATTTGGCATCAGAGGGGAGGCAAACAAACCCAACTCTTCCACCGTCGACGACGTCGTACGCGTCTTGCTTTATTACTTTCATGCACATATCGTCCAACCACAACGCGACAGTCAGGAAATATCGATACTAAGTACGAACAAGCGCTGCTGGTGCGCGACTTTTGCTGTTTCTCGATGTCGTGGCCTGACTTTGATTTCCCTGCTGCAGGACGACAAGGACGACTAGAGACGACGCCTACAGACACACAAAAATTTATTTTTTACCGGCCGAATGCCACGACGCGGTGCTCCGTCTTCCAATACATTGAGTCCCCAGGATTCGTCCTCACCGAACGGTCCTGCTTCCCTTCGTTCCAATTCGCCTACCGCAGGCATCACTCAGTTCCTTTCCAAACCCTCCAAATGGTTCGGTCGCAGCGTTTCCTCACCAAAATCCAGCTCCGGTAGCACCACAGAGCCCAGGGCGAGTAATTCGTCGGCCAGGAAGCACAAAATTTCGCACCCTACAGATCCGAGACCGATATTGGATGGGTATGCTGGTTCTAACGCCAGGTGAGTTGCCTATCACTATTCATTTGGTCGCCGTTAACACGTTTTTGCCGCCTTAGGTCTGTGCTAGATCTTTCGGTACGACCGCCGAATTCACTCGACATATCCCCCTTTCACCCTCCAAGCTCGCCGTCTACCCCCATCGCATCCTCTACCGGTCTCGGCGACCTGCGGGCTATCTCCCGAAAAGCATGGTCGCGATCTGCTGACGACTTGGGGAGCATGTCTGCTGTCGTCGAGTCTCCTGTCAGCGCCGTATTTCAGGACAAAGTCGCCCAGTACCGCAACAGAAGCAGCAGCGGCAGCGGCAAGACCGAGCAACAGCAGCACGTCGCGAACAGTCAGACGGGACGTCAACCTTTCCCTACCATCATCACCAGTATTCCGCCGGAACAATCACCTTCCAGCGCCCCCATTCTGCCACCCGTAACAATTTCTGTTTCCGCGCCTAATAGTGAAGAATCTACCGCTCCTTCCAGACAAACCCCTCCTTCACACGTCCACACGCGCTCTCATTCCTTCACACCTAAATTATCATCTAAATTGGCTTCTCCTAGATTTCCTCCCAGTCCGAAACGTAAAGGTTCGGGCGAGCTCGACGGCAAGGGAGCATTTCCTTTTGGTTTTGGGGCCCACTCGAGGCCAATACAACCAGAACCCGGACCTTCCTCGGCACCTGGCACCACTGTGTCGCGTTCGACTGCACTTTTATCCCCTAACACCACTGTTGAATCCGAAACCGACGACAATGCCGAAGCTGAGGTTACCAAACGGGCTTCGCAGATTGTGTACCACAAGGGGCTAATAAATCGCCTCGCGGATGTACCGCACAACCTCCAGAATTCACACGTGGCATTGTCCAAGGGATGGAAACCATTCAAGCTCGAGCTGAAGGGCTCCAAACTGTACTTTTATAAGCCTCCGGGTGATAGAAGCACCGCCATTAAGGATCTTTTTCCGACGGTGTTGGTACCGCCAAGTCAAGAAGAGTTGGCGGAGTTGGAACTCGAAGGCAAGGAAAGTGGGCTAGACACCGGCGGAAAGGAACGTTTGCGTAAAGCTGACGGCGGGCTCCCCCGGAAGAAGAGGGCATACTGGGGAAGGAGAACGCATCCTGACCTCTCGCTCGATGACAGTGGAACCATTCAGAAGGGAACCTTCGAGGCACTAGTCCACGAATGCGTCTTTGGTACCACCTTCTTTGCCAGTGACGCCTCCGCCGAGCAGGAGAAATGGAAGGATTTTGCTTCAGCCAATCTTCTCTGTCTCCCAGTGCTCGCTGGTCAAGCGAAGTATGAAGCCGAGTTCTTGCGGTGTACTGAGTACCTTATATCTGGGGCGGAGGATGATGCGAAGGAAGGTTTACGTTCGAGAGTCGAATGGTTGGCTGGCGAGTATTTGAGGTACCACGGAACGCCCGCAGACTTTTCTGCTTGGGAAGAATGGAGAGCCGAAACCATTCCAGGGGCATCTTCTGCTGTAGTAAAACCGACATCTGGTACTCTTACCACTTCGACCTCAATGCAGGCTCTCTACGTCCCCTCTCCTGTCGGATCCCCAAATCCTGTTCATTCCCCCAGTATGCCGAACGTTGCTTCCCCCAATTTAGGCACCTTCTCTCCGAGGCCTGATGAGCCATCGAAGCTACCTTCATTAATGGATCTATTGACTACATATGACTCTCCCCCGTCACCCGTCCCATCATGGAAAGGAACACCGACTGATATCAGAACATTAGAAAATCAGACCTTACATCCACCTTTTTCCCCGAAAACGCCACCGCAAGCGTCTTGGGCTACTGCTCTTGATCGGGAAGGACTATCACGCGATGTTTTATTATCTCTCGACCCGCAGCTCACAGCACGCACTCTCACTCTGTTTCATCGTAGTGCCCTCCAGAGCGCCCCGCTGAACTTGACTGCAGACTATATTCTCGGGTACGATGGCCTATCCTCAGCGTCGAAGGCATCAGAAACATATTTTGGCGCACTGTTCGGCAGCGACGACCGCCCACATTGGCTCACAAAGCTGTTGCTGATGCAGATCCTGGGAGCGGATACGTCCAGTGGTTACGTGGGCTCACCTCGTCTATCTTCTCCCAATCGCAAGTCAGAGGAGCGTACATCGCGTACACATTCTCGCTCAGAGTTAATTTCCGTGTGGGTTCGGGTAGCAGAGATCTGCAGGGTGAGTGGTGATGCATGCACGTGGGAAGCCATCAAGGCTGCCGTTTGCTGTGCACCTGTCGCACGACTAGAGAAGGTGTGGAAGAGGGTGGAAGCATCGGCGGTTGCTGCTGTCGAAGCGTGGGTGTATCCGGATGACGACGGTGCGTTTATTGGTGTGCAAGAACCAAAGACGACGCCATGGGGAGGGGATTTGAGGACTCGGGTGAAGACGCAGATGGACAAGGTGAAGGATGAGGGAGCCGATGAGACACTGAAGACTCAGCCGATGGAGACGATTCGCAAGTGGTTTGAGACATATAGAACTGCGTTTTCGCTATGTCCGAGGAAGATAGTTCTGTCAGACGACGAAGTCAGTGAAGATGTCAAGAAGCTGGTGACATACTGGCGCGAGATGTTCATGGAGGGTGGTGGTGGAGGTGGTCTCGGCGTCAAGTTCGCTCGGTATGCTGTTATATATGCTCCCTCTGATCCTATTTGGAGCTCATTGTTTCCCATGACAGAATCGACCAATTCATGTCGCTTTCGCTAGCGGCGGAACCTCGACGAAAAGGCTTGTTCGAGCCTCACTTTTGGTCCCGACCTCCTTCGAATTATCCTCCAAATGTGTCTTTATTGCCCCTGGTTTTCCCCGAACCCCTTCCCACGGTATGCCTTGTTGACCGGAGCCTTGCATTACGCGGACGGATAGATAGTGATGCGGCAACAGATATCCACGCTGTCCGTGCTGTCGATGGACGTATACGGCAGGAAGAACGTCGAGTACGACCGTTCGATCCAACAGCCGGCGTACTCGCTTCATTAAGCCTTGGAGGTACAGTAATCCCGGTGCACAACGGAGATCTCCTTCTCGTTGTCCAAGGTGGTAATGATTCTGTACCGAGCTCTCGTCGCTCTTCTCGCGCACCTTCACGACCGCCGAGTTCCAGTATCGCCGACCTCTCTGAGAAGCCTCCAGGTCGTACATCGTCAATACGAGTTAAGCCGGGGTCTTCACAGGTTCTAGACCGTAAAAGCAGTATGGCACGACGAAGTTCGCTCCCAGCACTCTCCAACCGGCCGACTTATGTGACGTCAGAAACATCAACAGACCGGCCATTGCGAGCTCTTGTACAGGCGGGAACACTGAACAATCTTGTCGATATTTTGGTTCATGGACTCAAGAATATATGCGTTTCTGTTGCCGATGATAACGGCGAGATGTCTTTACGCGAAGGCACTCGGGAGCTTGTAGTTGACCGAAAGGAGTTTTCTAAAGTGTGGTGGAACGTGTTTCGTAGCTTTGTGACCCCTTTAGTGTTCTTCGAAGTGAGTCTAAAGCGCGCTTCGCTTCTTTTTCTCGGTGATTCTAACTATCCTTCTTTTGTAAGTTGCTACGAAAGATGTACATTAAGGCCCAGCCTCGAAGTTCACCACCACGATTATCCGAGTATTTGTCAAAAGCGAATGTTCGCGCAGAGGTGCTCGAGACAATGCTGGAGTGGGTTACTGGGGGAGGTGGCGCCCAGGATGTTTTGGATGACCCGCAGTTGCTGCAAAGCCTGCAATCTTTTTTGGACAGTCCTGATGATCACGTTTTTCGTGTTCCCTTGGACCTTGAAGGAGAGGCTAGTCTAAACCAGTCCATGTCGTCATTACGTGAGATGAGGCAATCTCTTCGCCGTAATTTCCGAAGTCAGTCGATGCGCCCTTCGTCACGAGCTTCCTCATCATCGACTATCATCCCATCACCAAGCGTTGCTCGTGTGCGGAATATGAGCGCCAGAGAATGCCCTGATATTGATCGAATAAATGCTGAGGAGCTCGTGGACATTCTTGACGGCATGGCCTGTGCGACATTTAGCAATGTTACGGAAGAGGTATATATTTTCCCCTGATATTTCATTTCTGACGCTGAATACGGGTCCGCAATAGGACCTTTACATCACGTCCGACTTATTGGAAGTTCAAAGCGCTGACCGAACGGGCTGGTTTTCATCTAAAGAAGGGCCAACCACCGAAGATAATATTGAAATTCAGACCATTTATTCTCACATCCAAGACGTCGAACCCTCACTTCTGATCTCGGAACTTGGGCAAGATTCCTTATATCGACTTCTTCCTCCCGGCGTTCGCAGTTGTATCAGGGCGTACGCCATCTTACGCAAATGGCTGATATCAAAGATTGTGGCGCCACGATTGGGACTACAAGCTCGACAAGCCCGCATGGAGCTGCTACTCCGGACCATTGAAATCAGCCGTATACGGAATACAGAGAAGAGTACGAAATCAAGGCTGATTGACCAACCCTGTGTTCGTTCATTCGTTGAAGCTGTGGTGTCTGCCGCAGTAATGAGCGTTGAGAGTCGAATGCACTATAGAGCCTGGCAAAACGTGGCAGCAAGCCGCAGTACGCAATGTGATTCTCTGTCATCGCTACTGTCACGGTCATCTAGCCAGTCTGTTGGGTCAAGGGATGCATTAACAGTTGATATGGGTTGGGTCATAGAACGGCTTCTTGACGTTATATCGACACCTGATGTAGTAGAGCCAAGCCAAGACGGTCAGAGCCTCGTCAACTTTGATAAACGCAGGTGAGTCATTTTACCCACAGCGAGGCAGGTCCTTGATTTTGGTCATTCAGGCACTTGTGCAATCTGATCGCCAACACACCGCCACTTCACTCGTCCCGGCAACGTGGCGATATAGCGCGTCGCGGCTTTGAACGTTTGAATAACATCGAGCGTGAAGTCATGGCCCTGCAATTTGATCATCGGGGGATAAGGGAAGAAGGCCAGCGCGAGGGTTTACATGGGAACGCCAATGGTCCGCCATCAACTAGGAGGCTGTCTCGTCCATTTCAACGTATAGTAGCTGTTCAGTTGGAAAAAGCCAGACGTGATCGCAATGGGCGGAATAGGCTTCAAAAGGAGAAACTTCTAGAGCAGTCAAGGAACGAGAAGCGCGAAGACATGCTCAATAAAGCCATGCGACCACGAAAGCGACCAGGCACTCCGACGAAACAACATCGTAACAAGAAAAGCATGTCTGCGTTTTTGCACTTCATGCGGCCAATCTCCAGTGCCTTTGGCAGCGAACCTACGCACGGTCCCGAGTTGAAACGCACAGTCTCCGAGCTCAACTTCACCCCCACTGGGAAACCGGCTTTGGTGCTCAGCTTGGTCGACGCCCGCGTGGTCGAGTTCATCAACAACGAGCGCTCGTATATGTTCCAGGTCAATACTGAAGACGGAGGCCATTATCTGTTGCAGGCGATGAACAAGCGGGATATGAACAAGTGGTTGGAGACTATCAACCGGGTGACGAAAATGGCGGCTAAACGTCGACTTACGTACATCGGCAGTTCGCCCAAGCCCGAATTGTCCGATCTCAGGGCTGGATCTTCAGCACCGTCAAGAGACCCTAATGCTGGTAAGTCGATATCCGTGCCTATGCTACTCCCCTTACTTACACCTTGTGACAGTCTTTGGCGTTGACCCCCAAATCCTGCTAGAGCGAGAGGCTCAAGGAGGAGACGTTCCCTATGGCGCTCTGCCAAAAGTCATTGAGCAATGTCTGTCAGAGATTGAAAGCCGTGGTTTGACTGAAGTTGGCATTTGTGAGCCTCAGGGGAACGTCGTATTCGTATCTGTACTGACCAGGTCCTCCAGATCGCATTGCTGGTGCCACCTCTGAGATCAACAGTCTCCGAGACGCTTACAATCGAGGTAGGAAGAACTACTTCGAAAACACGACGTCTTTTGAATCGTTTCCTTTGTAGGCCAAAGTCCGATTACAAGTACGACGGATATTCATGCTGTGTGTGATCTTGTGAAGTCCTGGTTTCGGCTGCTTCCAGAACCCGTCTTTCCTGCTGCATCTTACTTCGAGATCATTGAAGCGACAAGTACGTTTCCTCACGTCCCTTTGCCTTGCCACGTTATTGATCTCCACATACAGAGCTCGAAGATCTGGACGCTCGACTCTCAGCGATACAACGTATCGTTCAGAGCCTGCCACAAGCAAACTTTGACCTTTTAAAACGTGTTTCAGAGCACCTCGACAAGTATGTATAGCGATTCTTTAAGCATTATCTCTTACTCATTCGCCCGTACAGAGTCACTGATTTTGAAGAATACAACCAAATGACGGCGGAAGCACTATCCATCGTTTTCAGCCCCAATCTGCTGCGACCTCCAAAAAACGACTTCACGATGCTTCTGGCTAACATGGGCCATACTAATAAACTCGTTAAAGCGATTATTACACATGTAATACCCTTTCATCAGTTGCTGTTCTTCATCGCTGATAAATTATTGATATCATTCCAGTTCCATGCCATCTTCGACGAGGCTGACCCAGACGCAGAAGCCGACCCGGATGATGAGGAAATCGATTCTCCGATCTTGGAGGAAGAAGAGGAAGATGATGCCATGCCGTTTAATCCGGTCCCAGAACCCACACCCTGACTTACCGACCACGACACTATGCTGTTCATTCATCGTCACCATCCTTGTACCATGCTGCGTCACACATTTTACTCCTGGGACTTCGGACTCGGAATCATCATAAAACTTTCAGGACTACTTATTTGGACGTTTGGCATCCTTAATACGCATTTTTATCTCTTATGCATGTTTTATTAGAAGGTAAAAGTATCCTGTACACTGGCACCAATTTTGAGGTTCATTTAGGTCTTGACACGTTTACCATATGCGAACGTATTACTGCGTATAATTGATGTGTATATGTTAGATTGTAACTATCAAGACGGTGCGGCGCGTCGTCTTTGTATCACGACAGTATCGTGCAGCGGTGGCGAATTCTTGGCAACAGACTGAAAGGCGCGCATTTTCAAATTCTGCTATGGACGTACGAATGCGGATGTGGGTTCCCAAATCGGCAACACAAAGGAAGGTAGTACAAAGAAACTCTGCTTAATGTGGTTCCTTTATTCTCCATCATACATATACAGGAGAGCGCGACGGAACTATCATCTCTCCTCTCCTCTTCCCTCCCATACCAAGCTTGCTTGACTCCTCGTTTATTTCTTTCTCATCGCGTTGACCGTGATCATGAACTCGACCTACAGCCGCTTCCAATTTCCAGAAGACGCACAAATATCTCGTGTTCCCCGTGTACGGGAGATAATGGTGCCTACATTCTAGAATTTAAATGTCGACCTTTGGCTCACGTTTGGCTTCGCAGATTCTAGACCTAAACCTCCAGCGTCTCAAGAAGGCCATGGAGGAGCTTAATGCCTACTGCGACAATTTCACGACCCCATCCCACTCTTCTGACTCTTCATCGCTCTCCGGAGAGCCTTCCACTCCTTTTCACGACGACGAAGTTATGACCGATATCACAGACAGCGACGATTTGTTCGATGTACGCTCTTCTGTCTCTTCTAACGATACCACGTACTACACCCCCGAAACATCCCCCATCCTGACCTCGTTTCACACATATGATAATGATGATGATTCCATATTCGATACCTTTCTCCCCGACACACCTGACGCGTTCGACATCCCCGCATTCGAATTCGACCCTCTTACTGAGGATGTCCATGATATTCTGGAAGAACGGTCTCGATATGATGGATGGAAACAGCTCGCCAACAAGCTCAACCTCGAGTTATTTCGGGATGACTTCTTGCGTTATCACTCCGGTCCTCGGCGTAGAGTGGTCACCAGACATCCATGTTATACGCATTGGGCACACGCGAAGCAAGCGGAATACGTGTTGCCTATGAGGGATGGGGACACGGATGTGGGTGATGGCTTACGTGGTTTAGCATATCCACAGAGAGCCTTGGTGGACCAGGTAAACATTTACGATAACTCTGCACCGTGGTTGATTTTGGCGACATTCCCTTACAACGGTCATTATTTTCTTCGTGTTTTGTCCTCACCCAGGGTGTATTAATGATATGATTAGTCTATCACGTTACCAGTAGAACCATAGTATAAAAATCATTAATGGTAGTGTTAGTGACTTCAGAGGCTACGCCTCAGGCAAACAATCTTCCTACAAGCTATCGTCGCTACTATACCAGGATAGTTGTTGCTGCTGAGAGTATAACATGAATAAACCCAATTATGATGTGCGTACTAATGCTTCAATCTATCAATGGAGACGAGGATAAAAGTAGGTTGAAGGCTCACTGCCAAATGACATATGAAGCAGCAACCCCTTCGGCAGGATGGGGAGGCAGGGTTGAGAGGACTACAGTCCTTTGATTGTGAGAAGGATGCTTGAAAACAATATAGAGGGGAAAGTTCCCGCTATCACCCGACCTGAGTCGATGTCAAAAGGACGGAAACTAAGTTATTTCATGGCGCTAAGGCATGCGATTGGCCTTTGGGATGGCCAGAGCCGACAGGCAGAGAGAAAAAGACTCAATATTTTAAATTCCTAAGCGGTAGACACTCTCTTAGTCTTTGAATTACTTCATACCACTCAGTGCTGACTCTGCTGAGGCGGACAATCAATTATTGAACGACGAAATCACTGGTCAGTGATCATTGATCAATAAGGTCAAAAAAATGAGCGGTAGGGTAGCGCACGAAACCTAGGTTTCGATACACTTGGGTTTATTACCGGTAACTTACACCCCCCTCGCCGGAGAGGCTTTTGTCGAGGTAACTTACCTGTCATGTGACAGGTAGTTGAGCAGAATAATTTGGTACTATTACATGTATATTTCAATTTAGGTTGTCTATTCACAGATGAGTGGTCTTTACAAATGGGCCACCTTTTATTACATCAAGAAAATGTATAAAAACACGAAAACAAAGGTTTTGGAAAAATTTGGGCAATGCAGCGCGTCAGGCATGTGATAGTGCACGTGATAAGGTAAGTAACGGTAACTTACCTTAGCAAAACCACCCTCCTGGGGAGGGGTCGGTAACAAACGGTTACTTACTCCCCCTGGGGGTTTCGTGCGCTACCCTAATGAGCGGAATCTAAAATATAGACATTAAAGGAAGAAAAAGCTGATGAGAGTGGGATTCGAACCCACGCCCCGAAAGACCAGATATTACATAATCACCACGTGATTTGGTCTACCGATCGATCAATCGATCAACCTTAGTCTGGCGCCTTAGACCGCTCGGCCATCTCACCATATTTTTATATATTTATCATGGCAATATGTGTGGAAGAGACCGAAAGGCCAAACCACCAAAGCTTGATATGGACCTTCATCGTGGTCACCTTTGATCTGCTTCGTCTCCATTCTTTCGCATCCGCATACAAGAACCTTTAGCTACCAAATTATCTTTCAAGTTCTTCGTACGAAAGTCAACAGCACAATCTGAGGTGGGACAAATATTTGGCGCCCGTAGGCATGGATACTTACTTCTCGTAGCTTATACGATGGAATTCGAGGCGCAGATAGGACGTGGAAACGACTAGTGTCGAGCTGAACATCAAACTTCTACTTTCCGCCTATTCATGCAGCTACCGTCGACATTTCCCTCCATATCCCAGATGTTGTACCCACTTTACCTTTTCCCCATCGAGCGAATTCTTGATCTGTCGAGGCTGACAACCAAACATTTTTAGGGCACCAAGTCCAGGCATCTTGTCTTCCTGGACCATCCCCAGACTCGATGCGGGGCGTCTACATTTAGGCTCAGAACCAGGCATAAACTTTATTCGGCGTCTATGGTGATTTCTTAGTAGTGTCACTAATGGGTCGCGTTCCTCTAGGTACAAGACCGCTCGAATATTTGCGCATTTCCTCAAAGGACCATAGAGGGACGGTTGTTAAAGACGTACCAAATGCAAAAGTCGGAGAATGAGGAATGTGCATTTAAAGTGACATGAATTCGCCGACGCCCGCATCGTCGCTTCACGAGCATCTTGCGATTTTTAAGCGCCTAGACCTTGATTTGGACGGTTCTCCTCATACAGGAGCTGCGCAGGTAAGATCAGGTTCAGCTCTCCTCAATGACGTCCGATTTGCATGCAATTTATCAGAAATGTCCGCAATAAATTGCACTGACCGAAAAATGTGACCCAGCAGCAAATCCCCACCCTCTTGTGCATTCGGTTCTGCTTACAATGTGTACGCCTTCAAACCCCAGAAAATTTCTATTCTTCACGAACAGCGAATACGGGCAAGTCAACATCATTCTCTCCGTCGCACACGAGCTCTGTCTTCGCCCAAATGTCGAGGTACACATCGCGTCTTTTCCCGGTAACTTGGTTTCGTTCGTTCGATATTATCGCTCCCTGATGTTAATTTTGGAAGTGCTTTCACCCCGTATCAAGGAGCTTCAGGATCGTATTCGGATGACAGGCAGCTCGGCGCGAATCTACTTCCATCCTCTCAGGGGGATATCCCTAAAAGAGGCTCGAATACGCAGAATCGGAACTAACACTCCCACCCACGCACCAAGTCTCTCTGGTGCCCTCCGAAGTTTTAGGCGTCTGCCGTACTATGTCGCCGAATGGTCTGGCCCAGAGTACATGGAACTCTACGACAGCTGTGTTGAGATCATCCAGGATCTTAACGCCCATGCCATCGTGATTGAATACTTCCTTAGTCAAGCTATCGACGCATGCCGTTTCTTGAATCTGAAATTCATTATCATGACACCAAACGCTCCCAAGGTACGACTCACTTTTATTTGATAACAGTCCGTGCTCTAACAGGTGCCTTTGACATGCAGGACATCATCGGCCGTATACAGCCGTATGGCTCGATATTCTGGAAGTACCCTGTCATGTCGTCCGGTATCCCGTACCCCATGCCATGGTATCACATCCCGAAGAATACTTTGCTCACCTGCGCCATGGTCTACTTCATGTTCTCTTCCCCCAAAATCCAGGAACTCGTTCAATACCGTCAGAAAGCTCGGTCTCAATAACACCATTCCCATGTTTGAACCATACATTGCCGACGCACATTATCTTTGTCCCGCCACTCCTAAAACCGACTTCCCATGTGTCATTCCGGACAACATAACGTTGTGTGGTCCCATTCTTGTTCCAGCAGCCCCAGTGAAGGAGAAAGACCCGGAACTCGCCAGTTGGCTCGACAGCGGATCCGACGATTCTTGTCAACTTGGGAACGCATGCTGTTTTTGATGAGAACAACGCTTGTCAACTAGGCGACGGCTCTACGCATCCTGCTCGATCACAACCGCTATGTCCAGGTTATCTGGAAGCTCAAAGCACATGACGTTGCGAAGGCTTCCTTGCATGATATTTTAGGGAACTATGTGGAGAAGGGGAGGGTGAAGATTGTTGATTGGCTAGACGTTGAACCATTAGCAATCCTCAGACACCCAATCTCGTCTGCACGGTCAACCATGGTGGGGCAAACAGCGTCTATGAAGGAATTCAGTACGTCTTCATCACTTCAGCTGATAATCAGATACTGCTAACCATGTCTTAGCGCCGGTATCCCTCAAGTAGTTTTGCCAATGTGGTACGATTGCTATGGTGAGCTATCGGCATTGAGATGAAATCTAACTGAAAAAAAAGACTATGCAGCGCGGGTTGAATGGCTCGGAATTGGTATTTACGGCAACAAGAAATCTGCGCCAAGAGTAGAAGCTTCCGAGCTCAGTTGCGCTCTGACCAGGATAATCGGAGGAGGTGACGAAGCTGCACGATTCCGAGCGGCGGCCAAGACTCTGGCTGAGGACACCCGAAAGTATTCTGGACAGTTATGGCATGCGACAAAATAATAGAGCTTGCGCGTACGAAGTAGTTTGATAACGATGGATGTTATGCTTCCTTCGTAGACAGCCGAGTTTCAAGGACCTTTGTAATTGTAGGAACGGATCGTCTATATCTGAAGAACAAAGATGAGAAAGATAAGAAACAGGGGGTGACCAACAGAAAGACGCGCTGCCACCAAGAAAAAAAGGGGACCTTTGTCCAAGGAGTGGCGCCAAGCATCTCATAAAATGAAAGAATGAACGGCGCGCGCAAAGTTACACCATACCTTCATCACTATCCCGCTCTAACTCGTCGAGTGCAAGAGGCCCCAGTATCCGTCATCCTCATGTCAACGCCCAAGATCACCAGGCGGCCCCGCCACTTTCGATGTAGCGCAAAGAAGACAGCACCAGCTATATCGGAGACGAGAGCAGAATATCCCTCTCAACCCCCGCCACTCACGACACTTGAGCCACAGAACGCAGAATCTTGGCCCCCGCAAATGGTGAGGCCAACCTAGCCTGAGTCCTCTTTGACTGACTCTCTTCACAGATCTCGTTTTCAGCGATTGAAGAACTGTTCAAAGAATTCAGGCAGGAAAAAGAGTCTCGCGATCCTGCCACACGCTACGGAAAGGCTTCGGATGAAGAGGTCGTTGTCTATCCCCGCGTGCTACGTTGGACAACGGTGCATTCACCAGAGGGTTATGTCGGGCATCATAACCCCATTCAATGTGCATATGGTCAATCTGGAGCAAGGTTAAGGTGCATATATCCAGGTCGAAGAGGTTCGAGCCTCGCTGCCCTTCCTCAGTGACAGGTAACCGACGCCACATCAAGGCCTTGACGGGGATGGACATAAATATTATACCTGTATTCATCATAACCGTCAAACATTCGAATTACAACAACTGCTGACACGTACTTGAATGCTGTCCAGGGAGTCAACGTCAACAACTCCTCGTCAACCTCTAGTTGCCTTCTAAGTGAATCGAGCCGAGAGAATTGGCCGTCAACAGGAGGAGAGGCGAGAGAGAGGGTGGCGAGGGCGAGGGCGGGCGGTAAGGTCATGGAAGGAAGTGAAGAGAAGGAAGCCAAATTAACCAGTTATGACGTACCGAAAGCATTTGGTCCGATCGCCTCCCAGTTTGCGTCATGACGATTTTGTAGAGACAGTGCCAAAATGGTATTATGCAGTTGAGCAAGAATTATATACGGGATAAGTATACTACAGTCCTGGTAAACAGTTTGACATTAAAATTCTAGTGCGCAGCAATAGCGCGGCAATTATCACAATCAATCCTTCTTCTCCAGAATCTCCACTGAACCAGCAGGAGTATTGGGCGGCGCCAGCAACGCACTCGAAGGAGGAGGCATCAATGCATCAGACTGTGTAGCATATTTCATGCTCGATGCCAAAAAAATATCATAAAAATCGTTGTCGTTGTCGAGGACAAGGTCCGTCAAAGACTTTGCAGAGGACTGCAGTGGCGAATCCGACAAAAAGGTCGGTGAAATCATCCTCTGGAATGACTTTGGGTCTAGCGCGAGTTCAGATATCGTCGGGCTAACGGGCGTAGGACTGAGTATGGGGCGTGGCGGCATGGCGTCGTTGTCTGCTGTTTTGCGATGTGTCGCATGTCTGTGGCAACGTAATTCGAGAGGCATTCTGTAGCTACAATGTCAGAAAGAGGAGGATAGAAACCTGCGTCAACAGCCTACCTAGATAGTACAAGGAGGCAGAAATTCGGAACGAAAGGTATCGTCGGAGGGCCTTGCGCCTAAGTCGATGATGGAAGGATGTCTTGAGCATGGCCCCTGACTAATCCTTTTATATGTGAACACAGCCACACAACAGCATATATCCGTCTCGGTTTCCACGATCCCATCTAAGTTCCGATTCCCTTGTAACAGCTACGGTAGCGCTGGATTGCCGCCTAATCACTTGATGGTCTCGTTACAGAAGGAAGACCAGTCCCGAACAGCGACCAGCACTTATGCCCAACAAGCATTGGTGTTCCAATAATCATTGTCGTTATCTTCGGAGTCGATGACCAGGAAGCTAATACATGCTGACTTCCGTTGCCGCCTAGCGAAATTACAGTTATCTGGCTTGCTCAACGCTACCAGGTTTTTCTTGCGCTCTTCCCGTCCTCGTTACGCCGGTTGTCTGCGTATCCACCCCAGGAACTCTTTCGGTTTCACGTCCATCATCACCCTCGATCACAAATCACAGGCGTGCATCAGTCTTCTATAGCAATTTGGCACTGGAGCTGCTTGGTGACTGAAATAATATGCCAGGCGGTGTGAGTCTCAATCACACAACATATATTTGACTGGACCATCACCATTTCAAACAACCGTTGGTACGTGTTTTCAGGGTCTTCAAGAACAATAATGCTACAAGCGGTTTGATCATTGCCTGTGGTCACCAAGGCATTCTTCATAAGGCCGGCGCTCAGTTGCTTCGATGCAAACGATTCCAGAGTCGTAAATAAACAATCGATACCGGTACTAGCCAATGCCGAGAACTAAGGCGTACGCAGATAGGAAAACCTAAAATTCATTGATAATGAGTCTTTGGCTCATCCAAATTATGTGAGGTATGACATACCTCCAACGAACCGGAGACAATAGATCCACCGGCTAACAACTTGATGCCGAAATCGTAATATAGTCATTAGATCTTAGATGTTAATGAGATCCACTGTCCTAAGAAGTGGCGAACTTTTGTGTTGAGCAATGTCGATAGAGCCTATGAACGGTCGCGATCCATCGTCGTACCAGTGTGCAGCCTTGAGAGGCAGTAGGTGACGGAACTGCAGAATCAAGTCAAGTGACTACTAGATGCATGCTGGCGGACGACAAAGGAGAATCGTGGATTGTGCCACAGAAAAATCTGACGCTCCAACTGCATGACCTACACTCATAGAATCAGGAAAGGCAAAAACATCAAAATGAAAGTGCGTACTCTGTCGTACGCACTTTGCAGCCGGTAACAGAGGCTTGACCTCAAGCATACATGTTCCAGTTTACATCCCACTATCCACCCCTACGCATCCTGTGGCTCGAAACGGCAACTATGAGCAGCCAGTGTGCAATCACATCACCAAACAATCCTTCGGAAGCACAATAGCTTGGTGAGCCGTTGTGTCGTTGTACGTTATAGCAGGCGTCGAATTCCAAGCCAGGTAATAGTCAGCACAAACAATGTGCTCAAATAACGCTATACATATCCATCAGTATTTCGAAGGTGCGTTTATAAGCTGCTCAACCGCACCTCATCTTTCTCTGCGCTCTTCCCAACTCTCCTTGGTCGCCCTGTACTTTTGTTTTGAGCATCACCTTCACCCTCTCCCACTCGTAAATGGCGTCGAATTTTGACGCTTTCTTCGGAGGCTTGAATACACGGCGAACGTCAGAGCTGGTGAGTAGGCGTTGCTGGCCCTGCCACCCGCGCTGACCGTGGGTCGCAGACGCTCGACGACAATCTTCGGCAGCTAGAAAGCAGGATCATGGAGGATTTTGACGCTCCAGTGGTAAGCCGCATTGTCTTCATCTCCACTCACGCGGCTGAGTCTTTCCAAGACACGCGTTTCGGAACATATCGAGAAGCGATCCACCGACTCTTGGGCTCATATACCGGTAAACAACAGTGGGATTACCCCGGCAACCGCGATGAAGGAGCAAACGCGATTCGAGACAGATGAAAAGTCTGCAGAGCCGTTGGAACTGGTAAGTTGGCTTGTCAATCGTTCGAACGCAGCTCCTCATCGGAAACAGATATCAACTGTCGAGATCGAAAGGCTATTTCAGAGGATACTTCGGAGGCATAAGCGCCAGCTACGGGAGCGTCGGCAGCGCCACCCTCCAATGGAGTACTTTTCTGATGGTTTGCCCGTCCCCAAAGAGCACCCTGGCGTCGACGAAATCATTGTGTATCCCCATCTCGACTCCGAATGCCACCTCCCACTAGAAATTCCGCATACCACCGGCATCAATATTAGCGCCTCCGCGTCGAGCGGGAGCCTCACATCGAGCGGCCACGACCGCCTAGCCATTCCTGTGTGTGGGCCAATGCCAGCTTTCCATTTCGTTGACAACAACCCGCCTGCAAGCGAAATATCCTTTCAGAATCTGCCTATCGATCACGCTGCTCTCGGCTATGCGACAACCACTTCCGGTCCCTTTAGCGGTTATCGCCCACAAGCCGTCGCTTTCCCTCCGCAGATCACGAATGTCGCGATTCCGAAACCCTACGAGCACGACCTTATCGATGTATCCCACGATAAGCCGTCTTCTACATTTAATCCCTTTGCTGACGACGGACCAATTGTGGATCAGTCGTCATCGGAAGGACTGTCGTTCCCCGAAAATGCGAACAGAGGCCGACCCGTTTTTACAGATCCGTTCCACGACAACCGTGTCATTTTCGAGACGTTCGGAATGTCCCAGAACGTACAGATCCAGTCTCCTCCTAAACACCAATGCGCAGCCACCAACGCCGGGTGCGCATACATTCAGGCTAAGCATGCTGGATGCGACCAAATCAAGTCCTACCCGAGTGGTCAGTTCATGTACAGCCAATATGGCACCGTATCGCGCACCAACACAGGCGACAGCAGCTCCAGCTCCTCTTCCAGGACTCTCGTCGACCAGAGTGAACCAGTCGCTCCGAGAATTTCCTATTGGGTGGATCGATTCAACAGATTGCGGAAGTTATAAGTCTTTTTCATGTATATCCAACTGTAACATTAGCATAAATACGGGACAATGGCGAATGATTTCTTGATCCATACCGTAGATGGTGCCCACATGAGGATGTTTCAATATTGCTGGCGGGTCTAGAGAATATCTTCCGAGCCATGGAGCAAAAATTCAGCGCACTATGGCATGCAAAGTTCTGGATACAAGGCCGTGGATCCTCTCAAGATCAGGATATAGCAGCCGCCCGAGGTAGATATCGTCCTTCATCCATACATTCCATGATAGAGATAAGGAAGGGGAAAGTATAGGCAGCAAGGTCATGGGAGGGAAGAAGGATGACTTTGGGCTGTCAATACTGCTGAGTTTCGGCATGAAGCAATACAGCAACGGCATCTCGGCATTCACTCGCGATTGTCCTGCCGGTTCCATCCAATTAGCTGCGATCTAGTGTAAATATATTTTCGATAAAAACTTTCCAAAACGGTAACTAGTAGGGATTGTACCATTATAAACTACACACAAAGTCAGATTGTCTCTCTTCTATGGTACGAGTGTATCGATATCCTCTCGGCAATATCTATTGGTCACCCCCATTCCTCGACTCAAGGAGAGTGTCGAAAGCCGCATTGCTGAAGACGATGTCCGATATCGACTTGAACTTAGTAGGAGGACATGAGAAAGGTGAAGCAGGTGCAGGTGGAGGTAATGCCTTCTGCGCAGTGCCATCGGGGCCGACAGAATAGAATGAAGACGCCCCGAGTGCTGTAAAGCTTCTAGAGTCGCGTCCAAGGCGGCACGTAACATTGTTGGCTAGGCTCAGGTCGGAAGTGAAACCACTCGGCGCTGTGAATTCTTCAGCTCCTGTGCCCATAGGGTGCGCGCGCCTTCGCTTTATATGCTTCTTTGCCTTGTGGCGCAGGAAACCAAACATATCGAAAGATACGGCAATTGCTGCTCAAACATTTGAGCGAATACATAACTGGAAAAACAAGAGTAGCATACCGGGATTGACCAAAGCAGTATGAATACAATAGAAGGGTATCGCTTGAAGGTCCAAGTGTGGACGACTGGTTATGATACAAGACTGATCTGTACCCTTTTATACTTCCCCTCACCCATTAATGATGTTTCTGATTCCGTTTTTGGGTTCACCAGTCGTAGTGCCGTTCTACAGTCGAAGTAACGGTGCTAGATGAACAGGCGCAGGGGGCTGGCCTGAATGTTCCATGTTTTATAAGGGCGTCAAGAGAAAGAGACGTTGAAGCAAGTCACGACCGCAACTGGTTACAGCGAGTTCTTGGAAAATACGGGAGTGCAAGGTGTGGGTCAGAGTCAGACAACCAGGACAGCAGATTCCCAAAGAGTGCAATGGATAATTTGAGAACAAGTGTCCAGTGTACGAGAAGCAGCTATGGAAATCCTGCCGGTAAAAGGATGTTGCTAATTCAAGCCTGAAGGCCTGAAGCTGAGCTAAGCTGAGGCCTTGTGACGGCTCTGAAAGCATTGTCACATTGCACGTGATCCGTTACTGTTCGTTCCCTGTCAGTCACACCGAGGATCGCGTCGCGCCCAACAGTGGGCCAGGAGAATTTTGCGAGCGACACTTGCGAGTTGCGTTCAACTGCGGTTCATTTGCGTTCAACTCAAATTGAATTGCGTTCGCTTGCGTTTAACTTGCATGCATTTGCGCGCATATGGATACGTTTGTTTGCGTGGCCTATGAATACTTATTACTGTCTTAAAGACACTAGTAAACTCTGTCTTATCTTGAACATTTACTTACTGTTCCGAGTTCCTGGATATGTCCCACCAGGTCAATGTCGCTTACTATGACTCAGGAAAACCATTGAATAATATGAAAATGCTATAAAGGTATAGTTGTTGGCCACAAAAAGAGATCCCTCCATCACAGCGACATTTCATTTCGAAATGACTAAGAAATCTTACCCTTTTTTGAACTTGGCGGGATGAAGAAACCTGCTTACGCATCTCACAAACATGTATCGCATGCATCCCAAAGTCGAACGCAAGCCTTATGTAGATGCACGCATGCGTTCTTGAAAATAGCACATGCGGTTGGAAATTAAACGCAAGCGAGCAACAGCGGCTCGCAATTGGCTCGCAAGTGTGACGGATGTGTGACATCGTGTAACATTTGCGTTCGACTCGAGTTGAACCGTCTTAACTGTTGGTCACTTCTGATATCTCTAAGCTATCGGCATCTAGTCATCATATATGGGCTCATTTCATATTCCTATGATATACCTGCTATTGAATTTGACCCTCTCTGACCAGCAGCCAACATTTGACTTACCTTCTTTAACTTCTTTCCTCCAAGTCTGTTCATGCCTTATTCCAATGTTCTTGGGATTAGACTCTTCTATCGACAACTTTTAACATAAATTACTGATTTACCGGATATCTCAGGTCAAAGAATCGCTTCATAGCTTGATTTTTCGGCTCTTGAGTTTTGGTTTTGAACTTTGAGAGAGCATCACCTCAAAAAAACCTTCAACTTTCTGGTCTTTGTCAAAAAGTATTATATCTCTCTGCATCTAGCAGCACTGACTAGATTCCGGCGCTATTTTTATACAAGAAATCTCAAGAAGGTCTTTGTCACGCTCGCACGCGCAAATGCAAGCGTGACAATCGCATGCGAGAGAACGCAAACGCATGCTCGCAAGTGCGCTCGCAAAATTCTACGTGCCCCCAACAGTGAACACTGCCCAACATCGCTCAACATCGTCATCAGTGTCACCACTGGCATCTCCTCTGAGTAACCGATCCTTGACTTCAATTTTACATGGTTATTATTAGCGAATAAAATGTAACCGCATATCTCCCTTCAGATATCCTGGCCACTTCTTCCGCTACATTCTCTTCTTCAAAAATTCCCACCTCAAATTCCCAGAGCTTTATTGAGAACCACTTTCGCCTTCAGGAGGACCTTTGCCTCCGAATTTGTGACCTTCGACTCCTTAGATTTACCCTCATCTCGAAGTCTTTCATTTAGCTTCAACCCAATATTGACGGACACCGCTACTTCTCCATCGGAAACGACGGCATTCGGACCCTGATTAATGTTGACCATCATGTTTGGGTCGTATGTGCTGTCATGCTTTGGCATGAAGAGGTCTAAATCCTGGGTCATAGCGCCTTCCATGATTGCTCTATCGACCCCGATGGTGAGCGCGACAAGTTCTCGGATGCGATCACCGAACAGTCTCTCAATGCCTTCCTTGGGTGCCGATGTCTGCCATCCTGCGATACGGAGGACGTCCAAGAGGTTATCTATGAGCCTTTGAAGAGCGTATTCTCGAGTGGCGTTGAATTGAGGACCGTATTTGGCTATCCCCCTTGTCGCGGCTCGCCATTGGGCCACCGTCTCAAGAGAGTCTAGGGAATACAGAGGTAAGCAAATTATATATAAACTTACACCGGAAAGTACCCACTGATTTCTCGGAATTTCTTGTAAGATGAAGCAAAAAACTTGTGCCCCTTGTGAGATACACTCCAGCGCTGAATAAGCCATCGACATGTCTTTGCCAACACAGCTTGAATAACTGTCTGAATAACAATACCCTGCATTTCCTTAGTAAACCTTCCCATGAGAAGCTCGGCAACCCGTCGACCCAAAAAAATTTGCATATTCTCCGCCGCATCATGTAGGTTTGCCAACCCTTCCAACGTCTTCGCGTATGCGTGATTGAACTTCAGCTTATCCGATATCAAAGCCGCCAGCTGCATTATATCGCAATTCAAGGACTCCAGCATGTCCTTTATTTCCATGCACGAATACGCGTCAGTTTTGACGTGGATTCGACGGCTATTGTGCAGAGAATTGTCCGCCTGTAATGTCAGCTCCCGTTTCTTAGATCTCAGCCCATTCAAGGGATCGTCCGATTCCTCTATTTCGTGAGGCAATGAGCCTGATGAGGCAACTGTTTTCGCCAGCACTATGATTGCTCCCAGAAGAAAGCGTGATAGACTCGGGCATGGTCAGCAGTTTGGATGGCCAGACGAGGGCATGGCAGAGCTTTCAGCTCTGGTAGGCTTTCGATTTCCTCTTGCCATTAGCGTTCGATTTCTTCGCGAGCGTGACACTATATCGGCGCTTTGCATGATCTGGATTTGTCTGGCTCCGAGTTACAGGCCTGAGATCCTTGTTCGTCTGCATTTTGAACTGCAAATTTCCATTAATCAAGTCGATATGTGTCTCAGTATATGGACCTTACCCACTATACACCCAACGAGGTGTACGGTAGCTAGAGGACGCTATTGGTTTGTGAGTAAGTAAGAAATCGAGTTGGCAAATAACCGACTGGTCCCTTGAATCTTTTCGGTTCCAAAATGTCTAGATGGCTGCCTTTCCACATGACGACCATCTTCTGTTGAATCAGAACATTCCGAGAATTGAGTAATACTCCTTCCTTAGCATGATATTCTAAGGGCGAAGGCCGATGTTTGGCCATTTCTAGACATGGCATATCCTTCGGCGAATGCCGACGTGCTTCTTTGCTCCTGCCACTACTTGCAAACTGACTGAACAATGCGGCTCCGCGATTCTTCTATGTTTCCATGGAAATTTCTCTATTTTATCCTCTCCGACGGTCAGATGTAGGGGACGCCCTGGTCTTTGACACCACCCCTCTCATCTCTTGCCTGGTGTAATAATTCATGACGACCGCCCCTGCTCAGCGAAAACCTTACAGCGGTCGTCACCGAAAGTTGGTGATGTCCTTTGATCTGGGAACCACTTTCAGCGGTATCTCGTATAGGTGATACTCTAGTAAAAATTTATTTATTCGCGCGGCTAAAGGTGGTCGACTTGTAGTATACTTGATCCTGGAATTGTTCCAGAGATAAACGGAGTGACAAGGTGCGTTCCTGGTATTAACATCACTGTTGAAGCTGACAATTGTTCCCCAAGGTTCCCTTTTCAAGATGCTGGTAGCGATGCCAAGATACCAACGATCATGTACTACGATGCATTCGGGAATCTTAGAGCTGTAGGTGCAGAGACACAACATCCGTCTGTAGAAGAAGCTGCCCTGGCAGAGGGGTGGATGAAGTACTGCGAGTGAGTATAAAAATGCTGAAAAATAACGATAGTATTCCTGACGCTTTTACGTTGCAGATTCAAATTGCACTTTGGGCCTCAAACAGCGTCGGAGTGCCTGCAACAACTTTCTCCTCTAAAAGAGATTACGACGCTCTTCGCCGACTTTTATACTTACTTATACACTTGCGCCAAGTCCTTCGTGCAAGAAACTCATCATATCTCGTCCTCCGAATGGTCCAGTCTGGAAGGCGGTATTCACTTTGTACTCGCACACCCGAACGGCTGGGAAGGCGAACATCAAAACAAAATGAGAGATGCGATGATAGCTGCTAGGCTTATCAGCAATGGTGAACAAGATCATTCGCGCGTGTCTTTCGTCACCGAAGGCGAGGCTAGTCTTCACTTTTGTTTAAACAAAGGCCTCTCGCGATACACCTCGGTAATAAATCTTATCCTCTTACTTCTTTCTCTCATTAATGTATGTACTAGAATGAAGACGGTGTCATCATTGTTGATGCTGGAGGTGGAACTGTTGACATTAGTACATACTCCAGGGCTGGTGCGTCCGAAAGCAATCGATGTTTCGAAGAGATCACTATCCCCCAGTGTAAGTTATTAGGTTAGAATTTCAGCAGTTCCTCATCTTTCGTGCAGGTCGATTATCGGGCTCCGTGTTCGTTACCAGGAAAGCTCAGATTTATCTTCAAGGTGATTCATAGTGTTACTACCATCAAAGATGTCTAATCTTTGCGATTTCAGACAAATTAAAAGGAACCTCTTACGCTGAGATGGTCGATACTATTGCTGATTACTTCGACAAGACGGCGAAGTTACGATTCAGGAATGCTGAAGAGCCAGCATATATCCAGTTTGGTACCATTCGAGACAATGACCCTGCTCTAGGTATCCGTGGAGGGAGACTTGCATTGCCCGGGTGCGTGATTGTAATTGGATCCAGCTTGTCCTCTTCTAATGATAGCATCATAGGAGCACTGTTGCTGGATTTTTCGAGCCATCTTTAAATGATATCATTCAAGCTATCAACTATCAGCGTTTGACATCGCCCAAAAATATATCTGTTCGTACATAGCTATATTTTAATACTCTAAAGAATTAAATTCATCTCCTCCAGGCTGTATTCCTCGTCGGAGGATTCGCTGCCAGCAATTTTATCTACGCGAAATTACGTGCGCGCCTTCAATCCATTGGTATACAACTTTCTCGTCCCGATAGCCATGTGTTAGTTCTCTTCCTTTTTTTTCTTACCACTGCGTAAACAGCTGATACTTATTCTAGCAACAAGGCCGTCGCAGATGGTGCTGTCTCTTTCTATATTGATCATGCGGTGAATGCCAGGATGTCGAGATACAACTTTGGGGGAAAGGAGTTCACCTCTTACGAAGAATCGATCCCTGAGCACCGACATCGCTCAGATAAGGCCTATATAGCCGCCAACGGCGAACTGTCTTTGGGAGATCAATTTGAACCTATTCTTCCCAAAGTAAGACCGCGCGTTCGATAGACCCTCGTTTCTGTGCTAAAGACTGGACAGGGTATTCTAGTGTCTGAGACGACAGAGTTCAGGCGCACCTACCATATGTACTCCGAGACCCTAGAGGACTTGACATCGATATCAGATGATATAATCTGTTATAGAGGCTCGAAGATAGATCCGCGCTGGATGGACACCGATGAAGGTTCGTTTACCAGTTTCACATACACATTAGCATCAGGCTGACTGTGAATCCTGCAGCTATGTATACAGTGCTTTGCACAATTACGGCCGATACTCAACAGGCAGCGAAAACACTCAAACCTCAACGTGGACCCGATGGAAGGATATTCTACAGGCTTGACTACGATGTCGTCTTGCTTTTCGGTCTTACAGAGCTGCAGGCATACTGTGTCCTGGAGGTATAGGGTACGTATCTTTATTGTGACCTCTCGTTCCTGCATTTATCTCGGTTGTTACAGGGGAGAGAGAAAAGGCAAGATGAATTTTCATTTCACTCAGAGTCTCTCCGATCTCACCGCTACTATCGCAGAGGTCCCGCTCGTATTATCTATTCCCAGCATCTCTAATGTAGTACAATAGTGGATATAGTAGCAACGTCTCGAGCCGACGCTGTCTTTGCAGAGGCGAGGATGTCATACTTACTGAATACACGGCTTCTGTTTGTGAAGTACTCTCGTCCTTTTTGATACCAATAGTATTTTCTCCAAATGAATAGATAGAAACGGAGAGTATCTACGTGGACCACGCCCATAAACCTATTCTTTACATCGCTTTTACACGTACATTATGCGAAACAAAGACGTAGTTCTCCGATATCGGTCGACGCTACCACTCTTTCGCTTTGAGAAAGTTATTCAGCAAAATCGACGCTACTTAGTAGCATCTGACATCAAGACGTGCACGGATACTTCACAGGATGCGGTCATAAACAACTCGTGCTGGACCTCTGGATGATGCGGCATGTGTTGAAATTCGAGCACGGGAGGGAACGAAAATGAGCAACTCGTTTATACCTAGTATGTCGACATGGTGGTAAACGGTAAAGAAAAGAAAACGGCGGGTACGGTACGTAACGGGTTCGGAGCCGGTTGATTCCGATGGCTCGTACAGCCACAGTAATTCCAACAGCATGAGCTCTCATTACCGCGGTATATAGGAAGGAAATGATCGCTTTACCTCTTCTCTACGCCCTATAAGAATATGAGCCTCCCAAAAGCAGATATCGGTAATTTGGACTTACATTTTCCTTCCAGCTTAATTGCGCCTTGAGTTCTGTCCTTCCAAACAAGAGAACAATATCAAAAACAAGAGCGAAGTATGATCCTCCATCCGGCCTCCGTCGAAGCTTGAGAGACTTGGCCACTTCAGAAGTGTCTGCCGCGACAGTGCAAAAAAGCGAGTACGCATCTGGTAAAATATTGGGATAGCAGCTGAAACCAACCCGTGCGACACAAACCTGGTTCCTTATCTATCCAACGGGGATCTTCAATTCTTACACCGCGGTAGCATTTTATATCTGTTGTTATGTACTGCAGATCGGCCAGATGAATTGAATTTCGAGAAAACGAGTGGCGGAATTCTGTCGTTTCCGAGACTTGTGTGTCCTATACACCTGCGTTAGAGGACCACGGAAAGAGTGGTAACTACCAATGGTAATAACTTACCTTGGGAAGTATGATGGAGAATTGGCCTGGAATAGAAAGCGCTCCAGCTCCATCGTAGAAAGTTGTGCCGCTACGAACGTAATGTTCAGCGTCGTATGGGTTATAATGCGTGTATACCGAAATGCCATAGTCGTATCTGGACACACGAGCGGCCACGACATGGTCCAGATAGAATGACAGGGCACCATCAGCAACAGCTTTATTTCTGCCAAGTCAGCAAAATATCAACATCAACCAGAAGGGACCGGGGAGGGAATACTCACACATGACTATCTGGCCGGGAACATTGTATTTCGAGCGGTTCTAGATGTTCTTTCAGCTTGGAAAATAACCAATCGCTTGCCGCAAATCCGCCGACAAGAAAGACCGACTTAATAACGGATCGTGAGTATTATAAGGCGCCAGTAGAAAACCTTTACTGGCTTACCGAAACGGGTTTTGTGGCTTTGGCTCGTTGATTATCTATAACTCGAATCATAGACGCTATTGATGGCTCAAAGAAGCTGGCAACATCGGACCTATTCAACGTCAAGTGGAAGATTGGCGTACAGAAGTATCAAGAACCAAAACGTACCCTGCCAACTTCAGCTGTCCAGAGCGAATATCTAGCTTAGGATCTCTGTCCTTCATGGTGCCGAATTTGATAAACGAGGCCTCTTCAATGTCTCTAAATCGAAGCTTCGTAGTTGCATCAAAACATTCCGCTATAAGTTCGACTTCATCGGCAAACCGAGATCCCGCCAACTTTTCTGCAGTCAAAACATTATAAGCGCATGTCTACACAAATAATTAACGCGCATATACCCGCAAGAAATAGCTTTGCGCGAGCGGTTACATAGACAGAACCGGTAAAGTTGCCTGAGAGGATAAATGAGACTGGAGAAAGGCAGATAAAAGAGAAACAGACAAGCTGGAGCCGAGATTTCTTCGAACGCAAAACTGTCAGCGTTCGGTGACTGAATGCTTGAATAAGTGCTAATATCAACAGTTCCTCCGCCAGCGTCGACAATCACGACGCCTTCCCCATCCTATGAAGAAGTTAGGCTGTAGAATGATGTAACGTCGAAGCAGCTTACTTGTATATAAGATTCGAGTCCCTGGTTGACGCAGAAGTGAAGACTAGTTTCTCCTTCGGTGACGAAATGAACGCGCGAGTGCCCGCCATCGTCATCAGGGATTAATCCGGCATCGATAGCCGCCTCCCGCATTTTGCTTTGCTGAGGTCCTTCCCATCCGTTGGGATGGCTAAGAACAAATTCGATATTTTCCTCTACCGATTTCCAAATCGAGGCGGCATTCTGGTGCGTATCCAGAATGAAAGTCTTCGTACACTCAAAGAGGTACGCATAGAAGTCGGCGAATACGGCAACGATGTCCATTCCGTCTGGAAGAGGTGGAATTGCCTCGGTAATCACATCTGAAGTTGTAGAAGGAGGCCTCAAGCGTAATTTGAACCTGTTCGTTTTGAAGGATTAATGCACTTAGAGATCTTTAGATGATAGAAAAGATGCATGCTTACAGGGAACATTTGAGCCAACCCTCGTCCTCGGCGTCTTCAATCACATTTTGTTTTAGCGCTTCTGCACCGACCGCTTTGACGCTTCCGTCCTGGTCGTAGTACATGATGGTAGGGATTTTGGCGTCGCCGCCGACATGCTCCTGGGACGGAAACCTGAAAGAAAAGTGCGCCATAGCATAAGAATAGTGCGATGGTACGTAAAGAAGACGAATACCTTGTTACGCCCTTGATTTCCGGTACTCGACCAGGGTCGAGAATACTGTTCAATAAGTCTCGACAAAGTCTCAACTGAGAAATCTGGCCAAGTCTCACCTATATGACACCCCAGAGAATGTCGTGCCAAGATCCATGGCTATAACGAGTTTCCTTTCTGTTCCGTTGTAAGGTTTTCTTTTGGGCATCGTGAAAAATACGGAGGAGACGCGTTCGGATGGTGGAGGGAAGAAAGAAAGTGGCTCAGTGTGCTTTCAATGGGTAGTTCGGTTACCGGCACGGACATCCGAGCTCTCTTTCCGAGTCCTATGTATATAGGATACTCGGTTATTATGCTGTCCTGAACTAACCGTGGGAAAGAATCTATTTGGGGTATCAATCCATCACGGCATTTGCCGACTTTGCTACCTGAGCAAACCGTGGGAATATTTCTATTCGTTCACGGCAATTGCCGTCCTGGCTGCCTGAGCTCATCGTGGGAACCTTTTCTATTTGTTCGCTTCCTCTTTTCCAACTTCTTCGCTAACTTTATTTCTGATTTGAACAGTCACCGCGATGACGGCGCCAAAGCTCGCTGTTGGCTACAGTGAGCTCTTTGCTGTTTCTTTTGTTTTTAATCTTACTCGGGATTGGTTCAAGGTCCTCTCGTGTACCCCGGCGTCGAGCAATGAGCTCGACATTCAAATGGTAAGTGAATGGTTAGGTTTGGTTAGCAAGCATTTAACGAGTAAATTTCCAGAGCCTTAGCTCTCTCTTCAATCCCTCTTTTGACTTGTACAGGCTCGTTTCACCAAGGTAAGCCGTACTTTACAATCCTTCAATTTGAGCTAACACTTTGCTTGTCATTCTCAGGTGATGATATGCAATAGAATGGGGCAAGCATCTTTGTTCGCTACGACACAATAGGATGACAGCTGTAAGGTAATGGTAGGAAGTTCGGATACCGGTGCGTGGCTTATTTCTTGCCTCTTTCCCTGCTAACGTGCCATCGGATATGCTAGGATTTGGCTCGTTGCGCGTAAACGAGGCTGATGGATGGGATGGACAAGACCTTGCTGGAATTTCAAGGATATTTGAAGATAGCGGCAATACGGTCATCGGTAAGTCTTCGTTTTTTCTATTTCCCATTCTTTAGACTCATTTGCCTCGTCGTGTAGTTCATTTACTCACTTTATTCTATCAACTATAGTAGCTATGGGCGCAAGCTATGCCTCTCGATAGTCCCATCACGACAAGAACACCTTACACAGTGAGGTTGCAGGTACCAGGTGCGTAGTACCATGTTTCTCAGCTCAGCTCGTTGTTCGCTAACAAGTCCTTTGTTGATGTAGCCCTTTTCCGTGCACGAGTGTGCTCCTCGACTGTCACACGAATGTGCATCATGAAGTCTGATGGGATGCTGATGGATGGGGTACATATACATGGTGAGTTCATATCCTTCCTCGCGTATCTCGTGTTCCTGATGTTCTGCCAGTGTGAAATTTATGTTGGGTCCTCGCTCGTACACGATGGCAGGCTCAACAACTAGTTCTTGAGCAGATCATAGGTAAGGTAAGCTTTTGCTTCGTTAGCGACTCGGTAACTGATCCTTAATCTAGTTTCAATTTTGCGCTTGGATCCTTTCTCAGTGCCTAACTCGCCCTCCAGTCGCTCAAATGAACCGGAACTACAAGTTAACGAAACGGGTACAGGCCTTTACGTGGGCTGAGTGAACGAAGAAGCGGGGATCGCCTTTGCTAGGTCCCTTTCTGCTTCTTTTTCCTTTCTGTGCGCTAACACGGTATCTACTACTGCTAGGCTGGGCTGTTATATCATCTAACACGACGGCTACTTTTCATTAAAGAATCCTACGGGTTGAGGCGGATGTACCGGTGCCTCGTTGGCATGCCATTCATGGACAGCGAAAGGTAGTATATTCATAGTAAGGATTCCCTGTCTTGTTTCGCCTTTGTTTGACTAACTTGTTTTTGCTCAGAATATAGGCTGCGTATTATTTATGTACTAGGGTACGCACCATTATCTTTCAACTCGACTGGAATACTAACCCCTTGTTCTAGCATAAATGATATATATTCTTGCTTGTTAATTCAGGGTAAGCGACCGTATTTGCAGGCCTTAATAGGAAGCTAATACTCTGATTAGATGTCTGACCTGCCGAGTCAAGGAGGCGAAGTGGTATAGATGAGTCTGACACATTGTATTTTCGTACACATTCGTCATGGTTATTAGTCCATGATTTCAATTATTATTGTTGTTTTTCTTTTACTTTCTATGTAAAACAAAACAAAACATAGGACTCGGACTTGCCACGCAGATGCGTTGGCCCTCACCAACTAGTTGCTAATCTCCTTTGCAGCCAGTTTGCAGCTTCCTTTCAACGTCTTGCTACACGAATCTTGCGTACAAAAGTACAGCTGAACCTCGAATTGTCAACTCTTTTTTTTTGCACGAGAATTCCGATACTTACTCCTTTTGTTTCAGGCGCGACTCTTTGAAGGCCTTGTACTTTTTCACGTCACCTCAATGACTTGGTTGAACAATACGTTCCGATGCATCGTCCCAGCATTCATAGCATCCGAAAATCCCAGCTCGCATGAATCGACTGCTGAAACTCAGGACGCCCAGCACAGCAGTGATATATCAGAGTCGCTGCCACACAACGATGACGAGGGTCAATCGCGAATCGAGATCGGCGAGGCCTCTGCTAGAAATGGGATATCGGAAACTGTCGCCAAAGATGTGGATGAATCGCACGCGATGGATTCTCAGCCGCTTCATGCGATGAACAGAGGCACGCCGGAGGAGGACGAACAAAGAAGAAACGACGATAGGGACAAGTTGAAGCGGGCGACGCGGGCAAAAAAGAAGGCGGAGAGAGAAAGAGACGAAGCGTTACGAGAATTGTCACGCTCTCAGGCCGACATGACCCTTCAAGCATCCGAAATATCTGCGCTTCGTAACCTCATCAGAAACCTGCAGCATACTCAGTTGGAAGACGCGACGGAGATAGAGCAGCTGTGCCAGCGTAATAAGGTCCTAGAACAAGAACTTCAGAACGTTGGTATGAAGCTTCTTCACGAGCAGGAACAACGCCAAGTGGAACGACGACTACTCGCGACGCGGGCACAGGAGCTTCACGACACGGAAACCTTCTTGACGAAAGCTGATCTGTTCTCTGGCGCGGAAGTGAAGGTAATGGTTCAGGGACTTAATACCGAGATTTTACAATTGGCTGCCAACATGGTAGACACGTTGCAATTCGAAGACAATGCTATGACGGTAGATGGAGATCAGGCGCCGACGGAGCAACGTCTCGCCATTGGCGGTCGTATGATGCAGCTGTTACAGACTCGAGGGGACCCGGATACGCATGCCATGGTTGTCCAGGCCGCTCTGCAGGGCGTCATTACTCGACTGCCGACGATTCATTTCTGAGTGGTCTAAGCACTCTCCCACGGACGATAGTTTGCATGATTTATATTGTGATATTCGAAAAAGGTGTAAGCGCTTGCCTATTTCACAATCTGTTCTATTACTGAGATCTAATACAGACGCGGACAACCCTGCTGTAGCAGGTAGATGGAGATCAATGACTCGCGAGAAAAGCAAGTACAGCATGGTATCAGAAATAGAAGAAGATTTCTATTCTCGCGTTGTTGAGGTCGTGTTGAATGTGTTGCTCGTCGCCGGGTGGTCGCCTGCAGACTCCAAGGGAACTCTCACACAGACTTTTGGCAAACGTGTTTCGGCGATTGTGAAGGCGGCGATGAAACTGGATCGGGCTATGGGTGAGGGTATCACGTCTCAAGATCTGGTGGTGTATGGTGCACGCTTCGATGATCGTTTTGACTCTGACACGATGGTCGATGCATATGGAAACCAGAAAGAGGACGGCGAATCCGTGGCGTGTACCTGTGAACTTGGGCTTAAAGTCTCCGGTGGGAGCAATATCTTGTCGAAGACTGGTGTCGTGCTGTACTCTGCATTTTTAGCGTAATGACTAAGAATAGTCTGTTCCCGGATATGACATCGTGTACCTTAGTTTCGAACTATAGATCTTTCTCGCGGTTCTAATACATTCCAATTGTGCTTTTCCTGTGAAAGAGTGAAGTGGAGCCGATATTCCCAAGAGCAAGAAAGGTTTTCATGGATCGCCTCGAGAGTCATACCGGGCACAGAGGCAGCCTACACAAGGATCGAACTAGTACAGCCACATACTCCAGTTCATATCCTCGACTCGTTCACAAAAACCCAGGCGAAGAACGACATTACACTAAGGAAACCTTCAAAGGCGTGTATCGTGCGTGTCCCGCATACACGTGGGATGAGCATCTTAGTAGCATACTGCCAAGCGCTCTTGCCATACAGTCCCGCCTTCGTCGTCCGGCTTGCTACGTCCATGGCAGGGATACTTTCCTCATTACGTCGCGGCTCAGGTACTGTAGCCAGGGCCTTCAACTTGTGGAGCAACTCATCAGATGACTCGGGAAAAGGCCATCCTCGTTCTCGTACGCACTCGTCTCAGCAGCCGATACTCGGGAGCACCACACAAGGACAAGGGACAAGGGACCTTTACCATCAGCCGCTGGTGAAAGAGAATGCAGAGGCCAAAATCGAAAACCGAACTCCACCTTCGACGAATATCCGCCCGAGCGTTCAAGACCGGACTCAGACGGCAGGAACGCTGGTCAAAGAACCGGTACGAACGGAGCCAAAGGCAGCCGAGGTGGGTCATGATTCAGGCCTAAATGGAAGATTGTGAATATTAACTTTATGAATTTTCAGCGAAATCTTTACTCGGATGTTGTAAAAAAGCCGGTGCCGGACAAGAAAATCGAGGCAAAGAATGTTCGGGAGCAGAAGTCGGCAGAACCAGAGGGTTTTCCAAGGCTGAGCAAGACGAGCGCTGAAAATATTCAGCCAAGCAGGCAGGTTGCGGAGGCTGAGAAGAGGTTTGCAGTCGTCAAAAAGGAGCTTACGCAGGCCAACGAGAAGAACGAGACGGAGCAGAAGAAGGTTTTGGGGCTCCAGCAGGAAATGACGCGGCTTCAGCAGGAGAGTGCGGAGACGAAGAAGAGTTTGGAGACGCAGCTTCAGTCGGTGATGAAGCAAACGATATACGCAAAATGGAAGTCGAGCGGGTTAGCAAAGAGCTAGAGAAAGAGAGAGCCTTGCGAAAGGAGGAGCACGCTTTGATGGACGTTCGCATGCGGGAGCTGCAGGACGCACGGGCATATCTGACCACGGAAGACACGATCTCTGGAGAGGAAATCAAAGGGATGACCGAAGCACTCAATACGGAAATTTACCAGGTCGCAGCCCTTATGGTGGATACATTGGATTTCGACGCGAAGGTTTCGGAAGATAGAGAGGCTCAAGCGGTTGCGGCGCGTTGTATTGGAGAGCACCTGGTAAGGGCGTTGTCTGGTGGAGAGCCAAAGGATGATTCGGAGGAGGAAACGAGACATCTGGCAACGTTGGCTGCAATCCAGGCATCCCTCGTCGAATCTTGCTCCTCCATGATCAATGCTTGGGCTCTATCCCCGGAAGTGAGCGACCACTTCGCTCGTCTTTATGCGAATATTCGACACACATGTAGGTAGTTCGGTTCTTAACCCTCGGCTAGACATTAATGATCTTCTTTCTAGGTACGCCAGCAGTTGCTGGTCGTTGGAGAGTCATGACGCGAGCTAGGTGCAAGTATCTTGGATCAGATACGGAGGTGGAGGAGTATCTGACACGTGTCCTCCTGGGAAACCTGGTCCCTGTCTTGGTCGTCGCCGGGTGGAAGCCGTTCCCAGTCATGCAGATAGAAAATGCAATAAGCGCCTTGGGGCAGAGATTCGGAACGAGAATGGTGCAGGTAGGGAAGAAGCTAGTACGTTTGGATAAGGCGATGGGCGAGGGAATAATCTCCAAGGACGCCGCAATAGGATGGATTCCTGGGGGGGCACCTTTCGATCCCAATATCATGGAGAATGCCTTCGGGAAAAGCTCAGGAATTTCAGCGGAAGATTTCGTCCTGTCAACGTGCGACCTTGGACTGATGTTATCGCAGGTTATCAAGGATCGGGAAGGGGCGGGATCCGATGCAAAGGCGGAGAGCCAAATTTTACTGAAACCCAAGGTCGTCCTCTATAGCTCACTTTCAGAGCACAAATGAAGGTCCGTGTCGTCAGGATTATTATAGGCAGTCTCCTCCTACCTAGTATCAGTCGTTGGTTAGTATTTATCTAGTTCAATCACCTATGCTTCTGAAAAATGATTCACGTACTGATATCTCACATAAAATTCCTCTGAAAGTAGCACAGTTGTGGAAAAGGTTCAACGAAGGGTACCGGAAAAAAAAAAACTAGGCCTCGGCCCTCTAACGCGAAAGTTCGGCTATTCCCGCCCCTTTCCAAACGTGGCACAACGATCCGGATCCCGCCCTTTGTCACTCTGGTTGCTACCACCACCATCAATGGCCATTGCATACGGGATAATCTACATCGCCGCTTGTCTTCCCGCCCTTGAAGCTTCAAGATCACTCGACTGTATCTTAGACCACAGGGCCTGCGTGGCCAACATTTCGTAGCCATGATCCTTGAACTCGCCGCAATCAGAGTGAGTAAAAGTGCTTGACCGTCATTTCGTCTCGCTGAATGGAAGTTAGAAATGCGGTCTTGTCGACAGAAGAGCTTCTTGAAGCTAACAGTGACTTCTACGGAGGTCGTACCTGAATATATGCTATTTGTGCCTTCGGATGCCGTCTCAAACTTAGCGTCTTTGTTGGTGCAGATCTGTTTTCCCGGCTGAACAATTATCCAGGTGCTAGGCGCTATACGCTTCCATTCTAACGAGACGTATGCCAATGGTGCACTGCCCTGTGGGTCATCGTGAGAGCAACAGGATTGGTAGCCGGTCGGGAGTTTCCTGAGCATGGTTTTAGAAAATGGTGTAGCAGGCAGAAGGTGAATGTGAAAAGGAAAGGTCTGGCTGGTGCGTTCTCTACGTTATTCATCTTCGCTCAAATCTCATTGTCGCGCACAGGTCCACAAGCGTTACAACGATATATTACGAATACTCAGGTCGTACATAATGATGGTCGTGATTAGTTCAATGGGCCTCTTCCGCCAGGATTGTATCAGCCAAGCCTGACTTCAGTATGATTTTCGGCTTCACCAGGACTCTTTTCTCCCACTGTTCCCCCTTCTTCTCCATTCTCATCAACCCAAGATCCGTCGTGCAAAGGATATTCTCCGTGCTATCGGTCGATGCGATCCCGAATGTATCTTCCATAACATTCACATCAAACGGCGTTTCGGGCACGAGATACAACGGCATCATTTCACACGAAGTGATCCCTTGGCCGATGACCCGGTTCAACCGCATCGCATGCTCAACCACGGTAGATGCATGTTCTGCGAACTGGGCGGCCATGGTCTCGCTAACTTCGGATGTCGCGGATTCCAAACCAGCAGTGATAAGGATGTTGACCAAGGTCTCCATCACTACACTTAGCAGTTGGTGTTGACTATCGGGGGCCTCCCTGAAGGCTTGAAGCGCGTATCTACGCGTCAGAGCGCGCCAGCGTCCTGCAACGGCTTGATCTTCTGTAGAACAAACCGTCTCTCATTAGAGGCCCCTGCCAGAAGCAATCAACACGACGTACCTGATTCTTGGATAATCGCGTACAAACTACTCAGCATTTGCTCCTCCTCCCTCCCTTCGAAGTACCATGACGTGACGATCCAATCCACGTACGCGCACATTGCGGCTTGAAATGCAGTTTGTATGAGGATCTGGTCGTCGTGATGCAGCGTCGACTTCAGGAGCTCTGTCATGCGTGGACCCAGTATCTCGATGACATGGTCGTATGCAGCCGCAGCCTCGCTCGACTCCTCCACTTTCTTCTCGCCAAACTTGAATGCTTCAGCCACTGTAGCAGCCGTCTGGAAAATCTCGACGTTCAAGGCGTCGATCATGTTGATGACATCAGCTCCAGAGGATTGGTCCGCCCTGTCGAGATACACCTGTGCTGCCCTCAACTCTTCCGTCCGTGTTCTCAATAGCACCCTCGTCTGCTCGTGTGCCAATGACACTTTCCCCACTTCATCTCTAGCCAGTTTTGCTGCGGCCGTCTGCGCTTTCAATTGCTGATCCAAAATGTGGTTTTGATTCCGCGCCTGTTGAAGCTCATGCTCGGCATCAGTCAACCGCTGCTTGAGCACGTCCGAACTTCGTGTGAGACTAGAAACGAGGGATTTGGTGTTCTTGACCTCCACATTCACATCTGACAGAGATTTCTGTAAGGTGCGAATGGTAGCATCTTTCCTTTCCACTTCGGCCGAGAGGGTGTGAGTTCGATCGTTCGAGCTGAGGCTTTGGTTCGTCGGCATCGCGTGATCACGGTGAAGCAGGATGCGGAAATGGCGACAATACCGAGTCCGCAGAGGACGATGGACATCGTGGAGCGATGGTCATGAGAGGTCATCATAAGTTATGGTGGTCGGACTGAGGATGAAGAAAAATTAACATTAGCTTGCCATGAGGCAGGAACGTGTTGGGACTGCCGCACCCTTCTCCGGTGGGATTTCATGACTCAGAGTTAATGAACGTGTTTACCTACCCGCTTCACTGTCGAACTTCATGTTCAACATCGTTGTGTATTGGGTTCTGGTGTTTTCGATTCATGTGTCCGAGCGGTGATGATGTGATGCGGTGATACCCGAAAATGTCTTCACCCACGTCACTCACGTCACTGCGTCAACCACCCCCTCCCCTCTTTGTTTCGTGAAAGGAGAATGGCGATCGTTCAGAGCCTACAAAACCGACGACCTTTCGGTTCTCACTCTCTTCGAAAATGCAATTCCCAGCCATGACTGCACGCAACAGATACCAAGGCACCCATCGCAAACTCGTCATAGCGTTTGACGTAGGAACCACATTTTCTGGCGCCTCTTACGCCATCCTTGACCCTGGCCTCGTGCCAGAGGTACGTGGCGTAACAAGGTATGCCCGGGTCCCACGATGTCAGACGACTAATAGCTTATGTTGCTAGGTTTCCTGCCCAACAAAAAGTCGGTGGCGACTCAAAGATTCCCAGTATAATCTATTATGACAAGGATGGTGCCGTGCGTGCCGTAGGTGCGGAGGCCACGCAGGAGGCGTTTCTCGAGGAAGCCGAAGACAACGAATATATCAAGGTCGAATGGTCAGTATTGCGTGCTTATGCCAGAAGTAAATTTTTTAATAAAAGTCATTAGGTTCAAGCTCCACCTGCGACCTAAGACCTCTAGCGGCGTCCCATATCACCGATGCAGGACATTCCGCCGCTTCCAAGAGGGAAGAAAGGAATCGACGTCCTCTCCTGATTTTCTAAAGTATCTCTTTGAGTGTACAGCGCACTTATATCATAGAAGCCAACCCTTCCGGGGCGACGTTTTGGGACTCTGTCGCAGACAACTGTCGAATTCATATTGACTCACCCCGAATGGATGGGAAGGGACCACAGCAGGCTATTCATGAGGAGAGCTGCAGTCATCGCTGGTCTCATCCCGGACTGCTCCTCATGGACAGGCAGCGATTACAGTTCGTCACGGAAGGCGAGGCGAGTCTGCACTTTCTGCTATCAACAAGGGGGTTATGGGCAACCTGCAGGTTAGTTTATTTCCTTGTCCTGACATCACTTATCAATGCTCATCCATTGCATTAGCAAGGAGACTGGTATTATCATCGTCGATGCCGGAGGCGGTACGGTTGATCTCAGCGCTTATGGAAAGACATCGGATTCCAATACATTCGAGGAAATCGCGGCCACCCAATGTCTGTCTCTACCTGCTGTCCTGATGTCTCTCATCTTACTCTTCACAGGTCGCCTACAAGGATCGGTCTTTGTGGGCCGGCGCGCAAGAGCCTACCTCGAAGGTGAGAGGATATTATGACTGCCGGTAACGTGCTAACAGCTCTGGTAGATGAATTGGCCGAGTCGAAATTCAAGGGCGAAGACGATATCAACCAAATTGCTAACGTCTTCGACAAAACGACCAAGCTCGGATTCCGCAATGCATCCGAGCCCCAATTCATACGCTTCGGCAGTGCCCGGGACAAGGATCTCAGTGTTGGCATAAGGAATGGGCAGATGAAAATCGCCGGGTGCGTATCACTGGACATAAGCTCGTCCTATCCTGACTTTCGAGTGCTCAGCGATGTCGTTGCCAAGTTCTTTGAGCCTTCCGTTACATCCATCGTCGAAGCCGTGACGGATCAAATGAAAGAAGCTTCCCAGAATGTTTCGGTACGCATGTTTTGCTATTACTTTGATTCTTCATCTTATCATTTTATAGACCATAGTTCTAGTGGGTGGTTTCGCAGCCAGCGACTGGCTGTTTTCGCAACTTCATCAACAACTAGAATCTCGCGGATTATCTATCTGTCGCCCAGATGGGCACGTGTAAGTATTTCTTATCGATGGTTGCTATCATTCTAAAGATATTGTATAGAAACAAAGCTGTGGCCGATGGGGCGTTATCATTCTATCTGGACCACTTTGTTTCCGCACGAGTCGCTAACTTTACCTACGGGATCGAATGCGTCACAGATTTCCAACGTTCCAAATCCGACCACCTCGCGCGTGCATCAACAGTGATTCCCATGCCCTCAGGCCGGTCTGTGGTGCCTCATATGTTCAGTCCCATTTTGACGAAGGTGTGTTCCATTTAAATCGGGGACAGAACTGCAATAACCCACTGCTTCTAGGGTACTCGTGTGCAGGAAGAGAAGGAATTCCTCCAGCGTTATTGGCAAGAAGGCGCACACATTCGTTCGATGGAAAACCTTTACGTCGACCTCATGTGTTATCGTGGACCGTCTCCGGCTCCCGATTGGATTGACCTCAACCCTCGTGGGTTATAATTATTTTCTGGTATCAACGCTCTCATCATTTGGCAAATAGATATGTTTTCCACCCTTTGCACGGTACAGGCCGACACATCCGGTATAACGCAGGGCCTGAGTCTAGAGACGGCACGAGGTGGTCAACGCTTTTATACCATCAGATTTGACGTTGTCCTTCTCTTTGGACTGACAGAGCTCAAGGCTCAGCTCCAGTGGGTCGAGAACGTGAGTCACTTATAAAAGTCTTTTTTGTGTTATCTGATGATGGTCTCTGTTGAAGGGCGAGACAAAACGGTATGTTGAACTTTCTCGTGTATCCTTGACTATGTATCACTGACAACATACTATTGAAGGTGCCCTGCCGTTATTGTGTATGACGACGTCAAAGGGATGAACTAAGCAGCGTCTTGTTGTCAATTGGCTCATACTACTTCCTCTATCTTGTATATCGCACTGATCGTGGACCATATTCCTTTAGCATCACTTTCTTAGGGCTCCATATGTCTCTTTCTCTTTCTTCGTTGTAGGTCCTGTCCATCAATATAATTATGATTGGCCACAAGTGCCAATCAATCATGCAGACGCTTCTCGAGAGACCTCGCTCAATAAAGAGGACTCCTTGTTTCTTTCTCTTGATACGGAGTGTGTCCGGCCTGTATCATGGAGTTCGACAGATATCATAGCCTGGCCTTACGATTGATATTGGACAGGTGTTAGGTTTTCATAACGCTAGCCACTTAGCTACTTACCGCATATATAGCTTTCTACTAGGATGAAGTGATCGGGGATCGACTACTCATTACTCCATTTCATCGAAATTAACTTTATTTGACTGTTGTGACAGTTAACTTGTGCATGTCATTGGTGGGTACCATGCACGATCCATTAACTATCATTATATGCTTCCTCGCGTCCAGAATGAATTGACCTAAATATGATTGACGCACACCCTCTCCCTGATCGGTCAAAGAGGAAATGGTACTCCAAAAATTTTCATCTACTACGGAAGTTTTTCTCCCTGAACACAGCTTTTGATGACTGAACACAATGGGGAATTCACAAAGCCGTCATCACGTTTGACGTCTGATATGTCCATGTCTACTGTCTTAATCCTCGCGTCGTGCCACAGCCCAGGTACACCATTATGAGGTGTGCCCGACTCTCGCGCGCGCGATGGAAGATGGCTGACATTTGGGCTACGTTTCTACCGCAAGGCTTAGGATCCAAGGTCGTCAGTACCATTCATCGCGATTGGACGGCACCGCTGGCACCTCCAAACCAGGTGGAATCTGTCAAAGTCGAATGGTCAGTCTATTACATGCATACGTCAGAAGTAGACCTTTAATTAGGGCGAGTACGTGCTCAAGCTCCGTTTTCGTCCAACTCCCTAGTGCCAACAATGCTGATGACACTTCGCACTTCCGAGAGGTAATACAAACGTCAACTGTCTCTCCGGCTTTTGTCCGACTTTCTGGGTTACCTGTTCGAATACATACTTCTTCTAAAGGCCTGGACTTGCTATGTTGTTGAAGATACCACTCTCTATTACTTTGGGAGATGTAGATCGGGGCAATTTATCCTATCAAACATAGATTCCGACAGTATTTACTATGACTGTCAAACAACTAATCAGTGGCTTATGAGCAAGGGGCTCAACAAATTCACTTACACAAGTATCCGACAAACTGTTAGTAGACTTGTACATGTCCGAATATTCCCCAACCGTCACGTCAAACGTCGTCGACCACGAATAGATCGGAAGCATGAAATGACTCGTGTATAACGTGTAGCCATCATGCGCGTCCGTGTTCCAGACCTCCATTGCGGAAGATTCAACGGCTAGCGAAGGAACGATCATACCCTCGCGCTCTGTTTTCACAACAACATCTAACGAGGGATTCGTCAACGAGTCGTCATTCCGGACCTGCGGCAGAATCAGTGAAAAGCGCGGAAGGACCACGGAGTAAGATTACTTACGGCTGCAACTACCGTGAGGTTCTGATTCCCGTTCTCGTCTGTTCCTTGGACCAAACATGAATGCGGCTCAAGGAAAAAGATGTTATCTTGGATGGGATACCCGGACCCTCCGTTGTCGTACCTCTCCTCTTTCCCAGAGGACGGGGTGACCGATACATTGAAGGACGAAATGCCGCTTGGCACACCTGCTGAGAAGGTATAGAACCAAAGCGTCGAGTTAGCGCGCTGCAGAAAAATAGAACAAAAGGTAGCACCTTAAACGCTGCATCAAAGCCATATCCAGTCGAGTGTACTTCTGCAGTGGAAATAGTGTTATTTGAAGGAATGTTTCCATCGTGATCAGCATAATATAGCTGAACAGTGAGGTCTGTATCCTCTCGGTCTGATATCAGGACACGAATTTCCCCAGTGAATGCAAGCGTCCCGCTCGAGTCGAACGTCATCTGAATCGCTACGGGCTTGATGGGAATTGGGTCTATGACCTCGGACAGGGTGACGGAGGAAGGAACGACCTCGATCATCCGCTGGAGTATGCTTTGGCAGGTGTTTGTAAAGGTGTTAGCATCCGACATTGACTGCATTGTCGCGTTGCCGTCTGCGGAAAACACGAGTAGGTCGGAGTTTGTTCCTTCTGGTCCAACGACTAGGGGATTTTCGGTAGTGCCATCGAGGTAGTCAGTGACTATCGCAGGGTCAAAAGAACTGTGTGTGCTATCGAAGTGAACGAAATTTGTAGAGCTATTGTCTCCGGTAATGTCAGGAAAGTCGACGCCATGTACACCGCCCAAAGCTAAATGAACGTTAGATGAGGCCTACTCTGGAGCGAGGAAACAGACTGACTATGACCGCAGGTCACCATCTGTATCATCTCCGTTCTATTGAATCCCGCGGTGGCGAACTGAGCAACGATAATTTCCAAATCGTCGGTGGGTTCGAGAACTCCTGTAGGCCCAGCACTGGTAGCGTCGACGCGCCCCGCCCTCATAGCGATCTGTAGGGCCTCCACAGCTTCTACGGAGACAGAGACTCCCAGAGCCAAAAGGTCGGCCATGGAGGTCTGTATACCGTAAAGATTGTACAGGAAGGTAAAAGTACCGTCAAATGCATCTCCCGGATTCTCCGGTCGGTCGGTCTCAAACATGATGGACGCATCCAGTCCACCAGTTCCATCGATGGCATTATGCGTAATCATAGTCATGGAAAGCAGTCCGAACCTAGATACCAAGTATGAGCACATAGAATTTTTTAATAACTATGTAAATATACACATTCTGCTGCTGCTTGTCTTCCCGTTTCCCATCCCAGCATCAAAGCTGCACGGAACTACCCCATCTATGATACCATATCTGCGGATATCCAGCCTGTTGATACATAACACCTTCGAAGTAATCGAATCTTCGAGGGCCAGGTGTAGGCATACAAGCCAGTCAACGAGGTTAGGAAGAGGACTGAATATCCAACGGGAAGCATGACGCTGTGCCAGAGAACGGTGAGAGCACCATGGGGGTTTTATAATGTCGACTAGAGTAGCTGTAGTGCATGGTGAATGTCAGAACGAAACTTCGGCGGAATGTGAAGCCCGTACATGGCAAACGAACCACGGTATAACCAGCCCTTGGTGGCAACATCTTGAAGTTGTTGTAGCCAGTCCGTGGTCGCCGAATGGTCAAGCGAGCGTGCGAAACGTAAGGGCCGTCTTCAACGCTATGTTTTCATGAGGTTCTGCCAAGACAAGGCGAGCTGAAGCCATACCTTAGTTCCGACAAAATTCCGGTCCCCTACGGTAACGACAAGAGATTATTCCATCTCGAAATGATTGTTAAAGAGCTAAGTAGCATATATGCGGGAATCGGAGGTGAACGACGTCGTACGCAAACAGACGACATGGTGGTAGGAGGCAAAAGGCAATTTGTCAAAATCTCTGACAGAATTGCAATTTGGATGTAAAACTGACGTCATGGCTACATAGAGGCTTCCTCTAACACCACCACCACCACCACCACCTCGCCTCTTCTGAATCTTTGTACACTGTACAGGCATAAAAGGTCAGCTGTACACCTCTGATGTGTATCTAAAGCATTACTACCCGCTGGTGAAATCAACTCCAGAATTCGACGCTCAGCGCTCAACGAGTGCTGACTTAAGATTGATAGATAGCTATCATAGAGCACCTTTGCCTACTGAAGTGGTCGTTTTATTTTCTTCTGCGCCACTGAGTTATGCCATACGAAAGAACTGGACCGTTCGATGCGATTTTTGTATAGTATATCAGGCCATATTGCCGCCTACTCTGGACCTGCTTTAATATCTGATCTCTGTCGCGAACTACCTAATGGCCACTCAGTCCTAGCCGCTCTTTCCGTTCTAATTCTCACAAGAGGTCTTTCATCACCGCTTGGCCTCGACACGGCGAAGGATATAAACTCAGACGCGTATCGGTCAACATCAGCGCCTACGCGATTCCATATATCCTTCTGATCCGTAGTCCCATATGCACACGTCCTTCTAGACATAAATATACTTAAATCAACCCCAAGGAGGTTTTCGCAGTCCTCTAATAACCCGTCAGGTATTGCACGACAATACTCGCGTATGTCTCACCCGACTCGCGACTCGCGACGGATCACGAGACCGTGTTGGTGGGGTGGATAATATTAATATCGTTGCGTAATCAACGAAGTTGTCATTTGTTCCCCGGCGCATGACACCGAGTTTTGGTATATAGATACCACAGCCAAAGTAAAATTCTCTTCCGAGTCCGAGGCGCTCAAAAACTGTGTTACCGGTGCCCTATTCATTCTAAGTTAACGATACTACTATGACTAAATCATCAATCAGAAACGATACCACCAAGACTTCAGCAAGGTCACTTACACAAGTACCTGCCAATGTACCAGACGACTTGAATGAGTCCGAATACTCTCCCACCGTCACATCAAACGTCGTCGACCGCGAATAAATCGGAAGACTGAAATGGCCTGTGTACAGCGTAAAACCATCGTAGGCATCCGTGTTCCAGACCTCCATCGCAGACGATTCAACAGCTAACAAAGGAACGGGTATACCAACGCGCTGCGTCTTCACCACAACGTCGAACGAAGGATTCGTCAGTGTGTCATCATTCCGGACCTACACCAATGTCATCACCAAAAGGCATCGACATCGAGATACACAGCAAGGTCACTTACCGCAGCAACAGCTGTCAAATTCCGGTTCCCATTCTCATCCGCTTCTTGGACAAGACATGAATGCGACGAAAGGTAAAAGATGTTGTCCTGTATGGGATACCCAGATCCTCCATTATCGTACACCTCCTCACCACCAGAAGAAGGGGTAACCGATACGTTGAAGGACGAGATACCATTCGGTACCGCCGCCGAAAAGGTGTAGAACTACAACGCCATGTTAGCAAATCGCAGAGAAATTGGACTAAGGAAAAATGATCATTGATACCTGGAAATTCACACCGAAACCGTATCCAGTGAGAGGTGCCACTACGGTGGAGATCGTGTTATTGGAGGAAATGTTCCCGTCATGGTCAGCATAATGCAACTGAACCGTAAGATTGGTGTCATCTCGGTCCGATACCAGGACACGTATCTCTCCTGTAAATGTGAGGGCCCCACTAGAGTCGAACGTCATCTGGATCGCTACGGGCTTGATGGGAATCGGCTCAATGACATCGGAAAGTGTGACAGAGGAAGGAACGACCTCGATCATTCGCTGGAGGATATCCTTGCAGGTGCTCGTAAAGGACTCTTCGTCTGATAATGTCTGCATCGTCACATTTCCATCCACTGAGAACACAAGAAGGTCAGAATTGGACGTGTCTGGTCCCACGACAAGCGGATTTTGGGTAGTGCCGTCCAGATACTCTGTAACAACCGTAGTGTCAAACGAGTCGAAGGTACCGTCAAAGTGAACAAAGTTGGTAGAGCTGTCGTTACCAGTGATATCGGGAAAGTCGACGCCATGTACACCGCCCAAAGCTGAGCAAGAATTGAGATATGAAGACTCCGGAGAAAGGAAATGCAGACTGACTATGCCCACAGGCCACCATTTGTATCATATCCGACGCATTGAAACCTGCCGTCGTAAACTGTGCAACGATAGTATCCAAGTCATCCATTGGCTCTGGAACTCCTGCAGGCCCGGCACTGGTAGCATCAATACGGCCCCCTCGCATAGCAATATGCGGTCCACCACAACTGCCGACGGCAAGGTAAACGGCCAGAGCAAAAAGGTCCGCCATGGAAGTCTGCTTGTTGTAAAAGTTGATCATAAAATTCATAGTCCCGTTGAATGCCGCTCCCGGGTTCTCTGGTCGGTCCATCTCAAACATGATTGACGCATCCATTCCGCCAGTTCCGTCAGTTGCGTTGTGCGTTATCATGTCGTGGAATGCAGTGCGGACCTGAAATGTAATAAGAACAGATCTACGAGAGATGTTGGCAAACTCACCCATTCCGCTGCAGCCTGCCTCCCTTCTCCAGCACTAGAGAAACTGCACGGGTTCACCCCGTCGATGGTACCAAACCTACGATACCCAGACAGTTGATAGATTAGACCTTCCAGGTAGTCAATGTTGGAAGGCCAAGTGTAGGCGTACACCACGGTCAACACGGCCAGGAATGCCAGCGAACGTCCAATAGTAGGCATAGTTTTTCTGTAGTAGTACGAGAACCGCGAGACTTTATAGGGCCGGCAAAGGTGGTTCCTGGGTGGCTATTGTGCATGACCAGTGGCGACGAAACTTTCGGCAGAATGTGGAGATTATGTCGAGAAGCCCAAGATCAACGGCAGAATCAGCCTGTTCACGGTAACTGCCGATTTTTGAGAAACGGTGCAACCAATCCGAGGTCGCTCAACGGTCAAGCGAGCTTGCCGAACGTAATGGCCGTGTTCAACGGTAACAAAGCTCCGCGAAAACAAGACCAGGAGCCAAGCCCCACTTTCGTCTAAATCCCAGGCTTCGCCTATCATTCTTTGAAAGTTTCCAGCCCAGCATACGTAGAGAAATTTGAGCTTCATGATGTCTTACAGATACTAACGATATGATTGCAAGAGGACAAAGGCCATGTATTTCCACCAAGATTTACTACGACTGCCAAATTGCCGATCAACAACTCACACGTTGAACACCACATAAAAACACTTACACATGTACCAGACAGGCCCCCCGAGGATTTGAACAAATCTGAGTATTCTCCCACAGTCACATCAAATGTCGTCGACCACGAATATATCGGGAGACTGAGATGTCCCGCATATAAGGTGAAGCCATCATACATGTCCGAGTTCCAGAGCTCCATCGCAGAAGACTCTACAGCTAACGAAGGGATGGGTATACCGATCCGCTGCGTCTTCACCACGACGTCAAAGGAAGGATTCGTCGACAATGCGTCATTACGGACCTGCACCAGCATTCATTCCAGAGAAACGTTAAGATAGAGACAAGAGCACTCACTGCTGCAACCGCTGTCAGGTTCCAGTTGCCATTCGCATCTGTCTCTTGAACGAGACAGGAATGTGAACTCAGAAAAACGATGGTATCTTGTATGGGATACCCAGAACCTCCATTATCGTACCTCTCCTCTTCGCCAGAGGATGGAATAACGGTAATATTGAAAGACGAGACGCCGTTCGGTACTGCTGCTGAAAAGCTGTAAAACTAGTGCCCTCTCAGTCGCCGTACGGGGTATAAATATGCATAGCCATACCTTGAACTCTGCATCAAAGCCATATCCAGTCATGTGTATCTCTGCGGTGGAGATCGTGTTATTCGAAGGAATGTTTCCATCGTGATCAGCATAATGTAGCTGAGCAGTGAGGTCTGTGTCCTCTCGGTTCGATATCAGCACGCGAATTTCTCCAGTGAATGTGAGGACCCCGTTCGAGTCGAATGCCATCTGAATCGCTACGGGCTTGATGGGAATCGGGTCGATGACCTCGGACAGGGTGACAGAGGAGGGAACGACATCAATCATTCGCTGGAGTATACTTTGGCACGTGTTTGTAAATGTGTTCGCATCCAACATTGACTTGCATTGTCGCATTGCCGTCTGCGGAGAACACGAGTAGGTCAGAGTTTGTTCCTTCCGGTCCAACGACTAGGGGATTCTCGGTAGTGCCGTCAAGGTAGTCCGTGACAACTGCAGAGTCGAAAGAACTGAATGTGCTATCGAAGTGAACGAAATTTGTAGAACTATTGTCTCCAGTAATTTCAGGAAAGTCGACGCCGTGTACGCCACCCAGAGCTACATGAACGTTAGAATGAGAAGGGTTCTGAGAGAGGAAACAGAGACTGACTATGACCGCAGGCCACCATTTGTATCATCTCCGTTGTGTTAAATCCCGCGGTCGCGAACTGAGTGACGATGGTGTCCAAATCGTCGGTGGGTTCGGGAACCCCTGCAACGCCGGCACCGATCGCATCGACACGGCCTCCCCTCATAGCAAGACGAGGGCCACCACAGCTCCTGATAGCAGTATGCGCTGCCAGTGCAAAAAGGTCTGCCATGGAAGTCTGTATGTTGTAGAAGTTGACCATGAAATTCATTGTCGCATTGAATGCAGATCCTGGGTTTTCTGGTCGGTCCATCTCAAACATGATTGACGCGTCCATTCCACCAGTTCCTTCGGCGGCATTGTGAGTTATCATGTCGTGGAACGCAGTCCGAACCTAAACGCCAATAAGAGTAAGTTTCGATATAAATTGGCAAACGCACCCATTCCGCTGCAGCTTGCTTCCCTTCTCCTTCGCTGGAAAAACTGCATGGGTTCACTCCGTCAATGACACCAAATCGACGATATCCTGCCTGTTGATACGTGACGCCTTCCAGGTAATCGATATTCGAAGGCCATGTGTACGCGTACAGTCCAGTGAAAAAGGACAGGAAGACCAGCGAATGTCCGAGGCCGAGGGTAGGCATACTGTTGTAATGGCGAATGAACAAGGCTATTGCGAGGCATTATAAGGCCGGAGACGGTGGCTGTATCGCATGGTGAGTGACGGACAAAAACTTCGGTAGAATAAGAACGCCGCACGTGTAGCGAAGCCCAAGACCATCAGCGGGAGAATAAGCCCTTCGTGGAAATTGCTCCTGATCTTCGAAGATTACCGTATGTAACCAATCCAAGGTTGCTGAATGGTCAAGCGATCCTAAGGGCCGCCTTCAATGCCAATGAAACTCTGCCAAGACCGTCTCGATTCCATGATTCCGGTCGTCTAGGCGTTCGAAGAGTGGAGTACTTCTGAGCGAGTTTTCAAGTAGATCAGCCTGTATGTAGGCATCTGGGCTCGAGTATGCGTCCTACAGAAGAGGAGGACGATGACGAATCGACGACATGATAGTGTAAAGGCAAAAAGGAATTTGCCGCAAAATTGTAATTACGCGTGACGTCATAACTAGAAGTTCTTCCCCGAATTCTCACTCCGTAGTAACTCGTTACTACTATTACTCTCCGGCTAACTGTCATATGTGGAAAGTCGCTTCTTCATAGTGCGTCCTGCATTCCGGGCTTCAGGAAATCAAAATGTACACGGATAAGTACCTCCATATGTTATCCTGGATCTTCATGGGGACGAGTACCCGTATTGTTCAAGCTTCCGACCTAGACCCTAATTAATCAGGCGGCCAATCGACGGATTATGTACTCGCTATCCCAGAGAAATCTGTGGTGTACAGTTGGATGCATGATCTGATGCAACTCGTCCTAAGCTCCACGCAGTGCTGACACGGACGAATTTCCCGTAGGCAGAAGTTTCTCACGCCGGGGAGTCATTATTGTATCCATATGGTTCAAGCTAATTTTTCCCGGCTAAATTAATTGATTGGATTACGACATCTCAGTAATAGATCCAGTCATATGTATCAGTGTGTTGTGCACCGTTTGACCGCACACAGCACGAGAGAAAAGAACAATACAATAAAAAAGCCGCAGAAACACATCAATCCACCTCTCACCGCCCCAACTCGTGCAGCGTGGACCCCATCTAACTGCGTGTTTCCTCCTTTCACGAGTACACCGACCACGATGTTAGCGGTCATAGACGCAACTACCATTACGACGAAAAAGACCTGGAAAGCGATCACATGGCACATTTGCCGAACCCTAGTCGAAACAGTATCAACAGGAATAGTCGCCCGCAAAATCACCCAGATGAGCAGGAGCCAGGCAGGACTCAAGACCAAGGTACCCGACACACCGGCCCAAAACAGATCAGAGTAATCCACTGGGGAAGGGACAGGGGATGTGATGAGGTATCCAAACAAGGAGAACGTCGGGACCGAGAACATGTACAAGACCCAAAGCGCGAGGATATGGAGGACCATAGTGCCGTAGTAGATCCACCTCATTGACTGTGGCGAGCCGGAACACATCACCGCCGTACGCTTAACAAAAGAGCGATAAACCCGGAATACATCAAAGAACGTTGAATCTGGGACGAGGGGTGACACCATTGGTGCCGCCGGGGAACTTCTTTGGGTCGGGTCCCGAGATTCAAGTGCGTGAGTGGAACATTTTGCTGAACATAGAAGCTGGGGTCCATCGTGCTCCAAACTTAAATTATTATGACATTCATACCTGATAGAGAGAGAGAACATACCTTTGAAAGCAGCGGTGAGAGTCAGACCTAAGGTGTGATTCTGAAGGCTGAAAGACAAGACCTTTATAAAGATTCCAGAGATCATTTTGTGTGAGCTATCGCAACGTGAACAATACAGAACATTCCTAGCTCTATTGATGAGGTTGCGATGAGTCGTGTTGGAGAACAAAAGACTTTAGGCGCTGAGAAGGTATCAGTAGCGAGTATCGAAGTACAGCTTCTCTAGTCTTCTATTCCCAGGTGTCGCCATGGCATAGATTCGAAGCTGTTGAGGTACCAGATCTCCGGCCAACTTTTGGAAAGATTCCAGAGAACGCCGACGTATCTGGGGAACAACACAGACAAGAATCTTTCTCTCGTGCATATCTCACGCAGTGGCGCCACGGTAGCGAGGCTGAGCAATGAAACAGCAAAGAATCAGATGGCAGGTATGGACCATATAATATATCGACGACGAGGAGCTTCGATTCCAGAGATGCCAGTCGCCGCCTTCCAATACGCAAAGACGTATCCCCAAGTTTACGATACAGAAAATGAATACAACGTTGTAAGGCCAGGATAAGGCCACAAGAAATTAATACTGTGCAACTCGGTCTCTAGAGAGACAAGGGAAAAGCAACGTTATAAACACCCCGAGTATAAAGACAGCCAGAGAAGCAGCCACAACAAGCCGCGGTACCCAAGCATCCTGCGACAACAGCACCCTCTACCAAATCCTTCGTAGAGCCCAAGATCGCTGCACCTATAGCGCCTGCGACGGGGACGAAAGCCGACACGAGGAGACAACGAAGTATCTGAACGGCCTGAGGCATAACCACAGCCGCCAGTGACAGGACAAGGCTAACACCCACGAAAGTGATCGTGTTCCCGACTAATCCAACTTTGAATGACCACAACAAAGGGACACCCTCGAGGAGATGATTATGACTTCTGCGAAGGACAGCATGTCCGATTATGAACACTGTGGAGCTGCAACATAGGCCCACACTGACGATGAGGAGCACGAGAAAGAGCGTGAAGAACGCGAGCGCCACAAATGTGGCGACTTGTAATATGATTGTCGATGTGGGGGCAGTGAGATCGGGTGTGTACGAAGAGAGGTAGTTCCAGAGTCGTTTAAAGAATGGCTGAGATCTATCCCGTCTACTCGAGGTAGGGTAGGCGTGTTCGAGGTGAACCGTTGGCATGATACCAGAAAGACTGATTGTTGGGAGAATTCCAAGATGAGCGGTGTTGGCGTTTATAAAGAATCTCGGCGAATTCCGGGGGGTGGACTATGGACAAAGGAAGGTCGACTTGGGCACAATTCCTCTCGTGGCAATGTCAGGGTCCAGAACAAAGAGAACAAAAGTAAGAGGAGTTCAATATAAGCTAAGTAACAGCATCAAATTAATCAAGGAAATCAAATTAATTTAGACCTGGATTGAAATTTTAATTAGTGATATTGTCAACAGCTGCTGAGTAGCGGGGGAAATGGATGCTCCAACTCATCGAAGTGATGGCCCCAGTACGATAGAGACGCTCCTCTTGGTTTTTTTCCCTTTGGATATTTTGTAGGAAGTGAATTATTGATGAGCCGGGGGTGAAAATGCAGAAGACGGCAATAGACCTTCGAAATACCTTGACAGCGTGGTCTCCCGTCAGCAACCGAAGAGAGTTGATGGTGTCAGCACTTCCCACGCAACCCTCGATGAGATAGCCTAAATAATTCCGAGTCGGGTTCTTACTCTGAGTAGGCTGGTAGAACGCGCGTCACGAATGGATGCTATGGTACATTTAAGAACTACGAACAGCGGGAAAAGACGGCAAAACCTCCGAAACCTGCCCTAAACGGCACGTGATCCTGACCCGTCTGACTCTCGACTTCGTTGGCAAGGCAAGGTTAAAGCCTGTGTTGTATACCTAAGCTTATAAAGGACAAATCCTAGGATTTCGTACATTCCCAACTTTCTGAGAATATCAGAAGTCTTTTTGATAAATGGTACGCGCCGGAAAGGATCGACACGGACAAAACCGGGACTCCTTCCAAATCGGGTCTCCGCCCTTACAACCTCCGCGATATCGCGGTGGATGCTTACAAGCAGTTTCTTCATCCTGGGTGCGCGCTACACAAAACTGGCATATGAAGTGGAATTCGCCTCACTCTTGGCAAGTGTCGGCGTTTTCCTGACACATTGAAATTGCTTATACTACACAAATACCACTACAGAGCTGAGTAAAGTACAACTCCAGCCTCGAGCAAAACACGCTCGTCCCGACGTTCTCCGACACCGTTGTCATTTATGCTAGTTGACCCATTCAGCTTTCGATGTGTAATCAAGCCCATATCAGAAGTGCATGCCACGGACTCTGGAATTATCGGCGCGACGATATCTGTGGAAGTTTGATTGATGTTCATCATCACAGTTGGATTGAAGAGTTTATCACGGGACAGACGAGGCCGTGCGCAGCATGCTTCGAACGGCGGGGTTTGGTTTGGCTGGAGACGGATTGTATCAGCTAATTGAACTTGCGAGAAAAGTGGATAGTCGAACGCGTTCAAGTGTCCTGGAATATGCGGATATGTACCATACTCAACGGTGCACAGGGTTCCCGTCGAGGAATGCTCGGATGAGCGAGAAGGAACGTGACTGTGAAAATGGATATTGTATTTAAGGCTAGAGTTGTTCATTTGTCGTCTCTCTCTGTAAATAAATGTGCAGGTCGAACGGAATTTTGTGAATGCTCAATCTACACAATTCCGAGGTATTCATTGAATCATAGTAATTGTAAGCAAGTACACTGTACATTTAGGTGTCCAGTAGGGGAGTGCGTTTTGAAAGCTTAGTCATATACAATTCGAGCTGGACCGCTGGCGCAGGGACTATGTTAGTATCGAGACAGACGGTTGTGTCATGATTGACCCACCGCTTTTCTACGCCCTACAGCGAAATGTCAATTCATTGTGTGCAATAGGTGCCAGGATATGAAATACTCGCGTTTTCCGTCCAGCAAAACTGAGCTTTCATCTCGGTATCTCTGAACGACAGAATGATTTCGCACTCTAGCTTAAAGTAGGTCTTTCCATCGGGTCTCTTGCGAAGTTTCAAAAGCTTTGCCGCCTCATGTGTATTCGCTGTGATATGACACAAAACTTCATACTTGCCTAAGATTCAGCAATTAGACGTGACCCTTCTGAATCCAGTCAAGAAAAAACAAACACGCTTACTTTTTCCGACATCTGTCCAACGAGGATGCTTAAGTGCACCACGATAAGACAAGATGTCGATTGAAAGTGATGTCAATGTCGATAAGCTTTTACCAGTCCAGTAAAAACTAGTGCGGAATTCCGTGCCTTCGGCCAGACGAACATTCTGGGACTTACTGATATAGTATTAAACGGGGTAGAAGGATGCATACCTTGCCCAGGATTTCCACATATCGGTCTTCTAACACGAGAGCTCCTGTATCATTCGTATACACCTTATCCTTACGTTTCTGATGCTGAGGATCTTTCGGATTGAACACGTCGGTTGTGCGTACACCGTAGCTAAACTGGGAAATTCGCATAGAGACGGCGCGATCAACATAGAAGGACATTGCGCCGTCTGGAACCGCTTTGTTCCTAGTAATCTCATGTGTACTACGTCCAACACAGAGTTGCTGGATACTCACACATGACCATCAGGACGATAGAAGGCTATTCCAAGTGGCTTCAAACACTCTTGGAGCTTGAGAAACAGATAGTCGCTGGCGGCGAAGCCACCAACCAGAAAGACAGTCTATTAGGAAAGATGTCGCATTGGTCTTAGTACCAAGATTGGTTTATGTCTTACGGTAACTGTCTTCCGCGATGTGCAACGTTGCTGGTGAACGATGTCGATGATGGACTTTATAGAAGGCTCAAAGAAGCCTGCAACGTCAGTCCTGTTTGAAGCTGTGAATCCGAAAAGACAAGCCATAGAAGGATGTAACATACCCAGCCAACTTCAACTGTCCAGCCCGAATATTCAACACGAGGTCCTTGTCTTTCATCGATCCGAATTTGATGTAGGCAGGCTCGTCCGAATTCCTAAACCGAAGCTTCGTAGACTTGTCAAAGCATTCGATGATGTTCGCGACTTCTCCGGCGAATGATGTACCTTTCAATTTATCTCGAAACGTATCGGTAACTATCCCCGGCAAAAAAGTCAGTGGGAATACCTTCGATGAATGCATGAGCACGTCGAGTAACAAATAATGACCCTGAAAAATGGCCTGCAGCAGCGTGAATAGAAGACAAGAATAAGGAAGCATTATGTGCGTACATTGGGGAAGTGCGACTTCTTCGAAGGATCGAACACCGTCAGCTGTCGAAGGCACACTAGTGTAGGCATTGATATCGACGGTGCCTCCTCCAGCGTCGATGATTATAACAGCCTCGTCATCCTGATGTGAGTGAGTATATTAACAAGGGTAAGACATTATGAATCTACCTTGATGTGCGACGCAAGCCCATGGCGGATGCAGAAATGCAGGCTAGCCTCCCCTTCAGTGACAAACCTTACTCTCGTGTGCCCCTCATCACTATTCGGCACAAGCCTCGCGTCGATCATGGCCTGTCGCATTTTTGCTTGCTCTGCGCCTTGCCATCCATTAGGGTGCGAGAGAACAAACTCAATATTATCTACTACCGAGCTCCAGAAGACTTGAGCACTTTGGTGTGTTTCGAGAATAAAGGTTTTTGTGCATTGGAAGAGATACGCGTAGAAGTCTGCGAAGACCTGAGTCAGAGCTTTGAATGAGGGAAGCTTGGTCTTGATTTGTGGGGAGTCGATGACTTGGGGACGGAGTTTGCTGTTCAACGGGTCCTGGTAAGTCATCGGTGTTCGGGGAAGATTAACAGGATATACTTCAGATATTTCTTCCCATCTTCCTCTTTCACTTGTTCAACAATGTTCCGGAGATGGAGTTTGAACCTGTTCAACGGGTCCCAGTAAGTTATTGTAATCGGAGGGAATATTAATAGAATATACTCTGAATACTTCACCCAGCCTTCCTCTTCGGCTTGTTCGACGATGTTCTGCTTGAGTGCTTCAGCACCGACGGCCCGAACGTTCCCTTCTTTGTCGTAGTATATAATTGTCGGTATTTTTGCCTCATTGCCGACATGTTCATGGGATGGAAATCTGGGTAGGTGTAAGCAATAATCCGACAAATGGTAGGGAGAAGGCGAAACCTTGTGACACCTATGATTTCTGGGATGTTCCCGGGGTCGAGGACGCTTGGGGTAAAATTGAACATCAACTTCAACTTGTAGCAGAGAATACACTTGCCTGTACGATACGCCAGAGAATGTGGTTCCAAGGTCAAATGCGATGCATAATTTACGTTGAGAGCCGTTGTAAGCTGTGCGGCTTGCCATTGCCACTTAGATGTAAAGCTGAGGGAAAGAAAAGCAAGGGTGGTAGTCTATTCCGTAACAGTTGTTGAAGCAGCGGAACCTGATCTTAACTCACAGAGATCTTCTATAAGTATAACAAAATGGTACCTTCCGTGACTCTACATGTGGATCATTTCCATTGTAACTTTCCAAGAATAAGGGAAAGCTTCCTACCGGAAATGCTTTGTGTTTCAACTTCCATACCTCATTAGCAAGCATGATAGACGAGTCGAGGGCGACACATTTACTTGGAGACGTGTTAATCGAAAAAACAGAGACCGGCTTATGGAACGCCTATCAAACACCAATACAATGGCGATCGGACATCTTGTATGCAATTAGTGACAGAGTACTACTCAACGGATGAAAGGTGCCATGTCGAGCGATATACAGCTGTGCACTTGTATGCTGTACGCCACAGCATACATTTTTATTCCAACTTGATGGTTACCATCAAGAGACAAAGAGCGAAGATCATTTCGATACTGAATTCCTATGGAGCCAGCTTAGAAGTCATAATTTTCACGTTACTACGACACTCACCATCAGAGATGGAAATCCAACCCTTCCATGTTTTTCCAATAAAACTAACCTAATATTCAGTCTGGAAGAGGGGAATGACATCAAGTACTAAAGAAATTTTCTTGCGAAACGAAGACCGTGACTTTTGCAATTGGGAGTTGCAACTTGGCGTGACCTCTCCAGAAGAGTATCAGGGTCTCGTTACGCCTTTGATCCCTGAATCGAAGCCTTGGGTGTGGATTCGTTCGACCCTGTGAGCTTCCTAAACTTAAAAAGTGACGTGAACTTGCCCACCACGCCTTTCAACAGCAACCTTCACCAGCAAATTCTAAATCGCTCGTCAGTATTTTGTTCGAACCGCCGGAAAAAGTAAGTTTAGAGCACGTAAAACATTGTCTACTTATTCTAATCGCCCTGTAGAAACATACACTGTAAGCCTTTATTGCGCAGTCTGGCATGTCACTCAACGCACCTTGTTCCAGAAGCCATGCCAGAACTGTATCCACCGACAGACGCTATCGACTCATTCAAAGGCACCCTCGAGGTCGAACAGCCAGTTGCTAAACCGAATCCAGTAGCCACAGGTGAGGAGGTAGAGATCCGTGGTATGGACATGCTAGAATGGGCTGAAGACTAATGGCGCAAATAGAGCGCGAGGAAGCGGCAAAGGATCTGTATTCGGCTGTCGAGAATCTCCATACCAACGGGTTGTCCACAGAGGGATTGCGGGCTAGCCATGCCGAACTTGAAGAGGAAGTCCGTACTCTTCGAAGGGAGAAGGCCGAACTCCAGAGGGAAGTTTTGGATACGAGGGAAGCGCTCGCCCGTGAGCAGATGCAGCGAGAGGCGGACCACCAAGCGAAGGAGGTGTAGAGGGCGGTGGTACTCGGTACTTGACGTTCGCCGTTGAGGGAGGTGATCATAAGGGGAAGGGATGAGCGACGTGGAGAGGGATGTTGTGCAAAAAAATTGGTGTTTCTCGCTTTTACTCTGTTGTAGGCAATGATTGATTTTCGCTGGTTGTCACTGTTCCGCTTGTTGAAGTAGTAATATGGCAATGACACGACGCCACTGGTCTCGACAAAGAGCCATGAATATGGAAGATGGAGAGTTTGAAAGTGGACTTGTGGCCTTGGATTGCATGACGGGGTCTAGATATTGATCTGCATTCGTCCGACACGTACAGCGACAATTGCAAGCATAAGAATAACGTAGGAAAGGAGAAGGAATTCTAGGATACCAACGTCGACCAGAGAACAACGTTGGCTTTCATCAAAACTGTCGTCTCTATCTTCGTAACCTGTGGATCAGATGAAGCCTGTATTTTTCTCGTCACTCTCAGGCCAAGATCGGAAGTACACGCGACAGCAGTTTCTTCATCTGTGATCATCTCTGACATCGGGTTGTGATTCGCATCCACCATCGACGTAGGATTGAAGCGCGTGTCGCACTCGACGACATAGACCGCTAGCTCTTCGGAAGTGATGCCTTCGCCGATAGCTTGATCCACTCGTTTCATCAGCTTGGATATCTCAAGGATACGGCCACCAAAGTCCCTTTCAAGGACAGGTTTCGCATCAGGCTCCATCCACCCTGCGACGCGCAGGACTGCCCAGATATGGGTGAGCATTATATGGCAGCACAGCTGCTGGACATCTGCTTCGGAGGTGTACTTGGTCTCGGCTCTGGTCATGGCCCTCCATCGCCCAGCTACAGCCGGAGTACCTGAAAACGTCGTTCATCAGGACATGATGAATTCTGGGCAAAGGAAGACGCACTGTTTTTCTTGATGTTGCTGTATAGATGAACGAACATGTCATGTATCTTGGTTTCTTGATGCCAGCGCTGAATCATGCTTTCACAGATACGGGCCATGGTAGCCTGCAATGCAACCTGCAGGACAAGTTCTCGCAGTTCTGGATCTTTTCAAGCCTGCAGAAGGCCAACCATGCGATCACCAAGGGAAAATTTAGCGCGGTTGATCGCGTTACATGTATCCTGGTCAGAGAGATCTAGTGGGGTATCGCTGAAGCGTAAGCTGTCCGACATGAATGCGGCGAGTTGCATGATCTCAGAGTTCAGCGAATCGACCATGGTCTTGATATCAGCGTGAGAGTACGTGTCGTCTTTGGTTAGAAAGGTTCGGGCACTACGAAGCTCCTCAGCACGTGTCTCGAGAAGGTGGCGATCCTCTTCACGATGTGCCTGCTCCCTCGCTAGCGCGTTCCGAGCGCCGTGAAGCTCCCGCTGCAAATCCTCCATCTGTCGTTGAAGAGCAGAGACTTCGGTTTGGGTATGGGATAGTGCAGCTACGAGATTTCGTTTTTCTTGCAAAAGCCTCTGGAATTGATCGTCCTTGCGCGGTAGGGGTGTCATGCGTCTATCATGCCTGTGGCTTGGTTGCTTGTCCTTTCCACCACCCCACCGACGCGTCTCCTCCCTTCCAGGACCCTGACTTGTTTCGAACGTGCCGGGCATGTCGTAGTGTTCATCGAAGTTTTGGGTTTCGTCCATTGGTTCGTCCCGAGGACTGTATGGCGCATATTGCGAAGGACCTTGCTGCCTTCTGCACAATCCTGAACCGTCTGCCACTTCTTCGGGACCAAAGAAGTCGTCGTCCTTCCTTTCTACAGGCGCGACGTCCTCCTCGTCTCTATGGCTATTCCCCTGTTGCTGAGCAGACCGGAGCCTTCGCGGCACTTTTTCCTGAGTCTGTGTCAAAGTTATTCACGTCTTGGTCCATGTCAAAGTCGAGCTCTGGGCGATAGGATACGTGATCTTCATTTTTGAGTGCAGCAGAGTCGTTGTGCATCGTGTTCCAGAGTCCGGGCACTCAGGATCACGCAACAATGGACCTAGAGCACAAAGAAAAGGTCAATGAATGTCAGACGGTATTCTAGGCTACCCACACCAAGTGGTTTTGAGAATTCGAATAATTCAGGTCTAGCAGCAGGACTGTAGAGTTGTCAGGCAGCGTCTAGGGGAGTGTGGCAGCCGTAGGTAGTGACAGTGAGGGAAGAAATGAAATTCGGCCGTTTCCGAATGTAATCCTCGATTCGACCTCAATTCGATCAGCACCGTTCGGCGCTGAGTTTGCACTGAGTCATTGAAAATCTTCGTCTTTTTCCGCTATCTTGACCATCTGAAAGCCGTACGCTGGATTTCGACGTAAACTTGTATTGCTTTCGATCTTGAGCTTTTTGAACTTTCTGATATTTATTACCGGACTCCGTAACAAAGGCACAATATTTGTCAATGTCGTGCCCCGTTCTGGATCCTAGCAACGTACCCAAAGTTAAAAGGCATAATATAGTGCTGTTATCTTTCAGTCCACTGTGTACAGGTGACATTCTTCTCGGTTGTCTCTAGGTTTCCAAGGCGGCCGACAAAATTTCGATGAAACAAAAAGTGTTCTTACCAAGCCGCCAGACCGCTAACGATTAAAGCTTCATCCGTGAGTGGATGGAGCTCCGTGGTGGACTATGATATCTTTCTGTTTTTTTGGTCAGACAGATCAAGCTCAAGGTTCCGTTGCCTTGGAATTAGAAAGTAAGTGCGCACAGTACTGACATCAAATACTTAATTAAAAGAAGAAAAAACAATTGTATAGTATAATACTTGCATGAGGGGAAAGCTACCACCCCGTGCCCACCAAGTATCTGGAAATTCGGAATTCTGACTCCCAGCCGAACCCTACTTAGTACTTCCACGGAACCACTTTAACTGTCAGTGTCACTCCCTTGGTCTGTCACTAATCACGTGTATAGCACGTTAATGAGACACGAACCGTCACGACACCTTTCAACAACCTTCTATCATGAACACCATAGTCCGCAAGCCCTACAGTGGGTCCCGACGCAAGCTTGTTCTTGCATTCGATCTCGGAACGACTTTCAGTGGTATTTCTTATACGTAGGTTCCTTCGAGCCTCTCTTCTTCTGTTCTCATTGAGCGGTTACAGTGTCCTGGACCCGGGAACGATCCCAGAAATCAAAGGAGTGACAAGGTACTGGAATATCTTTCATTCCTGAGACGCATGTAAATTGCTTTTATAGGTTCCCTTCTCAGGAGCATGTCGGTAGTGATGCAAAGATTCCGACTGTTATGTATTACGATTGCGAAGGGACTGTTAAGGCCATTGGCGCAGAAGCGTTGAAAGAGAACATCATCGAAGCTGCTGAAGACGAGGGATGGACGAAATATTCTGAGTACGTGTATAGTTCTGGGCTCCCTTGTCCTGTTACCTGACCGCAGTCCGGTAGATTCAAACTACATCTTCGACCCGTGATCAAGACAGAGGGCGGAATAAAGTCCGAATTCGACGTTGAAATGCATAACAACATTGCTCCCTTTCCTCTCGGCAAGGATTTAATTGCAGTGTTCGCCGATTTCTTCAAATATCTCTTTCAATGTGCCAAGACATTTATTATGGAGTCACATCAAAGCGCTGAGACATTTTGGAATTCTGTCGAGGGACATATCGAATTCATTCTTACTCATCCGAACGGGTGGGAGGGTGAACAGCAGAGTAGGATGCGGAGAGCAGCTGTACAGGCCGGTTTGGTCGCAGACGACGATACAGGACATGCTCGCGTGCACTTTGTCACCGAAGGAGAAGCGAGTCTTCATTTTTGCATTCATCATGGTCTTTCTTCGCATATAAAGGTTCGGTCGAGGATTCACTGCTCGCGAAACTTGTTAATTTTTTTTTACAGAACGATGAAGGCGTAGTCATTGTTGATGCTGGTGGCGGTACCGTCGATATCAGCACTTATTCCAGTGTTCAATCCGTAGGTCGTGGCACTCAACGCTTGTTTGAAGAAATAACTACTCCGCAATGTATACAACTTTCTCCTTTGATGTGTCATTAAAATTGATGGTGCCTCAAAGGTCATTTCACCGGCTCAGTATTTGTCACGAAGAATGCCAGAAAGCATCTTGAAGGTTCGTTACTTCTATCCACATGCTAATTTTCTTTGATCTTCTGCCACAGAGAAACTTCGAGGATCGCGATTTGAGCCTGAAGTGGATCTTATCGCTGAATGCTTCGATAAAGCAACCAAGTTACGGTTCAGAAATGCCGAAGAGCCTGCATATATCAAGTTTGGTACCATGAGGGATCGCGAACCGGCCTTTGATATCCGTTCAGGACAACTTAAATTAGCGGGGTATGTGCTCCCTTCTCGTCTTGCTGCAATTGAATCTGAGAGCGAATCTTGTAGGAGTGTCGTATCTGACTTCTTCCAGCCTTCGATAAATTCCATCATCAATACGATAGATGAACAGCGACTAAAATCCAGGAAGCCTATCACTGTGAGGATCATTTACGTCGTTTTGACGAGGCTGATCCATCTTTCTCAGTCCATCTTCCTTGTCGGTGGCTTCGCTGCAAGCGATTGGCTTTTCGTGAGGCTTCAGGAATACTTGACGCCCCTCAAGGTGTCGTTCTCACGGCCAGATAGCCACGTGTGAATACATTTGAGCTTATTCATCTCGACAACTCTGATCATGATTTCTTCCCCAGCAATAAGGCTGTTGCCGATGGTGCAGTCTCGTTCTACCTGGACCGCTTTGTATCAACTCGAGTGGCCAGATTTCACTACGGCGTCAAAGTTCATACCGAATACGACCCTGCAAACGTTGAACATCAGCGCCGTCGAAATAAGACATATCCCGGTATTTCTGGTGAGCTGAAGCTCGACGACCAATATGACACCATTCTCGCTAAGGTAAGATGCTTCTCCGACTTGTTTGAGACTCTGCATCGTTTACTCATGTTATATGCGGTCAGGATGTTCAGGTGTCTGAAGACAAAGAGTTTCGAAGGTCTTATTATAGAGATAGCAAACTCCTATCTGACCTGGAAACTGCCAAGGCTGACATACTATGCTACAATGGCTCTAAATCCGATCCCCGTTGGATGGACACTGAACGTGGGCTTTCAATTTTCTCTGATCCGACGATCGTCTTGACCTGGATGTATCCCAGCTGACGTTTATCCAGCGCTTTGTTATGTGACTGCGGATACCCGGGAGGCGGCCAAGGCATTGGCGCTCCGGAGACGAGAGGACGGGAAGTCCTATTACCGTCTTACCTATGATGTTATCATTCTCTTTGGTCGGACGGAGATGAAAGCTCAGATATGTTGGATGGAAAATGTGAGTACTGACCTTGGTTTAATGTTTGTGTACTGATTAGTATATGAAATGTAGGGCATAGAGAAGAGGTTTGTATATCCCCAATACAGCAAGTTGCTTTACTGACATCGATGCTCGCTTCAGAGGGCCGGCTCGTATTGTTTATGACAGAGACATATGACACATAGGCGCACTTGGCACTGAAGATTGGGAACTATTGTTGTAGTCTCGGCGTGCATGTTGGCTCTAATCAGAACTTTGGCTAGTAGCGTGATCAGTACAATGACCCTGTCACAAACACATGTTATCACATTCTGTGCCCGTATGATAAGAGGATCGAGCGCATACTAAGGCCGGACTTTCTTTTCCCCGACAATGGAATAAGTACCATCTGAGGACTATATCCCCCAGGATCTCCAGCAGTTTGAAGAAGATGGCGAGTGATGACTGATGAAAAGAGCAAGTACTTACAGCCTTTCAGACAGAACAGAGTACTCGATGAAGTCTGAAATTTCTTCGCTATAAACGGCAACTCACGTCCCTCATATAGCAATCATACGGACACGAAAATGTGACGACACGCGTTTGTGACACAATTAGTCGCTTAGGTTGCGCATAGTGCCGTATGTAATTTATTGCTGGCGCTTCTCGCTATTCTTGTCATGATGGCGAAGATGATAAATCGTGCTACTCTACATTTTAACGACTAGATTATTAGAATAAAAAAATAGATTTGCTACAACACTAGTAGTACACGAAATCAATCTGGTTCTGCAACGGAACCGTCAGTTACACTACTTTTCAATCGAGGACGCATACTCACATTGCGGCCCATACACTACTCGAGCAGGGCTCCTAGATTTCGACCACGTCAGGACCGGCCGAACATTCAGTTGTTTAATTGCTGACCTTTTTTCAACTCCCTAAGATCTTGTCAGCATCGCCATCCACGCATACCAGAAGTCACAACACCCACATTCTCATCCCACGCTATCTGAGCTTTCATCTCCGTCTGCCCAAGCAAAAGAATGATCGAATACTTGAAAGAAAAATACGATTTTCCATCGGGCCTCCGCTGGAGCACCAATGATCGGGCAGCTTCCCGCGTATCTGCCACCACATTGCATAACACAGGATACTTATCTTTGAATACTATCAGCCCCACAAATAAAGGAAGACCGGGACATGCGCACCAGGCTCAGCATCCATCCAGAGCGGATTCTCCCTTGTCCCACTGTAACACAAGATATCTTGGGAAATCGAAGCAAAATCAGACAGCTTGTGTTGATTGCGCACATAGGGACGCCGGAATTCCTTGGTCTCAGCAATAGATTCGCCCTACAGAAGTTAGATTTGCGCATGACTGTCGAATCGAAATGACGGACCTTTGGCAGAATGATATTGTACTGGTTACCCAAGGACAGCACGCCGGCTTCCGACATGAAGGTTTTGTTTTTTCGGTCGACGTGTCCAGGAATTGATGCATCATATGCAATTGATGTTCTGATACCATAGTTGTACTTTGATAAGCGTTCCAATACGGCACGATCTAAATGGAAGGATAAGGCACCGTCTGCGACGGCTTTGTTGCTACGACGAAGCTGCCATCAAGGAGAAGCTCTTTGTGGGAGACGGACTCACACATGACTATCGGGTCTTGAAAACGCAATGTTGAGTGACTTGAAATGCTCTTGTAGTTTTGAAAAGAGCCAATCACTAGCGGCAAAACCTCCCACGAGGAAAGCCGCCTGGATAGAAACATGATCAGTGAAGGAACACGATGAATGCGAGTAAGAGAACTCACCGAAACTGTGCTCTTGGAGGCAAATCGCTGTTCGTCAACGGCCTTTATGATAGACGACACTGATGGCTCAAAAAAGCTCGCTACTTCAGCACTAATAGACACATCAGTATGCATATACCCAGTACAAATATCCTTACCCTGTCAATTTGAGTCTCCCCATGTTGATGTTCAGCTTGGGATCTTTATCCCTCATACTGCCAAAGTGAATGTATGCTGGTTCGTCGGCGGCTTTGAACCGAAGTTTGGTCTTTTTATCAAAGCACTGTGCAATGTACTCAGTCTCTTTGGCAAACTTGGTGCGCTTGAGCTTTGCTTTTAAATACGTTAGCCAAATAGCATCGAAATACAAATACAGAATGACCGGTACCATCGAAAAATGCCTTTGCACGGCGGGTCACGAACATTGAGCCAGCGAAGTTACCTGTACACGGTGTTAGAAAGATGTAGATGTCTATGGAAATACAGTTACACTGCGGGGCTGCGACTTCTTTAAACGTGTGAGCCTGGGTCCCGTCCTTGGCAGAAACACAAGTGTATGTACTTATGTCAACTGTGCCACCTCCGGCGTCGATAATTATAACGGCTTCCTGGTCCTATGGTCCTGATGGTGAGTATAGGATCGGCTGCATCGGAAGTGACGTACTGTGATAAAGGAAGAAAGTCCGTGATGTATGCAAAAGTGAAGACTAGCTTCTCCCTCTGTGACAAAATGTACACGCTCTTCGCCCGGCAACTGCGTCAGGAATCAATCCGGCTAATACAGCGGCCCGTCGCATATTGGCTTGATCGCGGCCTTCCCAGTTATTTGGATGGCTGAGAATGAATTCGATGCTGTCCTCGACGGAACTCCAGAAAATAGTCGCGCTCGGGTGCGTCTCTAGAATATACGTCTTGGCGCATTCAAAGAGATATTTGAAGAAGTCAGCAAACACAGAGACGGCGTCCTTGTCTGGAGGTAGAGGAGGGAAATCAGTGGCCTGTGTTGAGATAGCGGAGCGATAGTAACGATCGAGGTTGGAACGAAGATGGAGTTTGAATCTTTGGGAAAGGTAAATACAGCGAAGCTCGTTCCGACAGGGAGTACACTCACCCTGAACATTTGAACCAGCTCTCTTCTTCCGCCTGCTCGAGAATGCTCTCCCTCAGCGCCTCTGCTCCTACCGCCCTGACGGTCCCCGTTTTGTCATAATACAGGATCGTCGGAATTTTCGCGTCACTGCCGACACGTTCTTGCTCCGGAAACCTGGTATTCTCGCGTGAAAGGCTGCAACCAAAGTTAAATGCAAAAATATACCTTGTTACGCCCTTTATTTCGGGGACACTGCCGGGATCCAGGATACTGAGAATATTTTAATGGCGCGTCTTCTTTTCTAATGTTTGGATAGGCTCACCTGTAAGATATTCCCGAGAAAGTAGTTCCAAGGTCAAAGGAGAAGACCAATTTACGTCGAGAGCCTGCGTACGGCTTTCGCGTGATCATGGTGGTGAAGAAGAAAGAAAGGCAGGTTAAATCGGGAATAGCCGAGCAACCTTTGACCTCCACCACCACTCTTGCCGTAACTGTCAGTGCCAAGGCTCGCTGTTTCAACATTGTTTTCTCTTTTCTCTGTACATACCTGGTGCGTCTATTTCACTGTATACGGTAGGTCATCGTGTACTGATCTTTTTTTACAGAAAACACATAAACCTCGACCTCTGGAATACAATGTGCAACGATATATCTGCGTCTATAAGGGAGGGAAATGCGCCCTATTCCCAGGAGCTCGACTTTCCCATGCACGAAGACATGGTCTTGAGCTCCTGCTTGGAGACAGATCGTCCTGAGGAACAAGGACTGGAATTTTCAGAACAGATGGACCCACGAGCGCGTCCTCGACAGGAGGAGGAAGAACTGTACGACCAGGATAGGATGGCTGACAAACCACGAAGACGCCGCAAGCGTGGTCGCCAATACCACCTAGACGATGCGCCGGCCATGCCAGACGGTCCTTCAGATGAATACATGGACGATATCCACGAATTCGAGGACGGATATGATATGCCCGGCGCATTTCATGGCGACCGTGACCTAGACAGCGAAGAGCAGAGGAGTTGGGATGGTGGCAAGGACAGGCAGCGTGATCACCGACACAGCCGACGCATGACACCCATGCCCCGCAAAGACGACCCGGTGCAGAAAGATTCACAGGAGAAACGGAATCTGATGGCTGCTTTATCCCACGCGCAAACCGAAGCAAGAACTCTCCAACGGCAGATGGAGGACATGAAGCGGGAACTCCGAGGTGCTCGTGAAGCCTTGGCCAGGGAGCAGGCTAAGCGAGAAGAGGACCGTCACCTTCTCAACACGCGCGGTGAAGAGCTCCGTAATGCCCAAGCATTCCTCACCAGAGCCGATGCGTATTCGTATGCCGATATCAAGGCCATGATCGATGCCTTGAACTCGGAAATCATGCAGCTCGCGTCCTACATGTCAGATACACTGCGCCTTGAACAGAGCCAGTTGGATCCCTCCGATGAGGATACGTCGAACGCGATCAGCCGGGAAAAGCACATGCTTGGTGATCGCATGGTTTTCCTTCTAGGCACAAGAGATAACCAAGACCTGCGTGAGGTCGCCTTGCTGTGCTCGCTGCAGGCAGTCATGGTCCGTACGTGCAACAGTATGATCAGGCGTTGGCACAGAGAGGCAAAAATACACGACATCTACTCTGAGTTGTACCAGGATGTCAAAGACAGTAGTAAGCTATCGCTTTCATCCAACCGTGTCTGCTGCTTATGTACATTTTCAGATACCCCAGCTGTCGCCGGACGATGGAGGGCCTTGACTCGAGCACAGACCAAGTATCGCCCCGAGGAAGATGTAGAGGATCTATGCAGTCGACTGCTCTTGAGCCATCTTTGGTCCGTTTTGCAGATCGCTGGCTGGACGACATCCGATGGGAGGTCAACGATTGAAAAGGATTTCGGGGCCCGAATATCGGAGATATCCAAGCTCATGAAACAGGTGGACCAAGCCATGAACGAGGGTATCACGTCTGAGGATCTCGTCACATATGTCATTCAGCCCGATGTTCGTTTTGATCCCACGATCATGGCCGATGAAAATCAGGATTCGCAGGCGGAGATGGTCACGGAGGACGCGGTGACTGTAGCGTGCACCACTGAACTTGGACTGAAGGTGTATAATGAGGATTCATTATCGGATGATGTACGGGATATCAGAATGACGGTATTGATGAAACCCAAGATCATCCTATGGGCCTCGATGGTGTCTTGATATTCTTATACTTCTACTGTTACCGTCTTCAAGCTAATATTTTTGCTTCCTACCGAAGCGTTTGTACCATGTCCGAACAGGCCGCTTGCTGAACTCGGAGATAAATATTTTAATGTATTCCGTCTTTCTCGTAGGCGGGTTTGCTGCCAACGGCTCCAATGTCCCGGATAACTACCAGTAACCCGATAGAATCTGACGCGGCGCGTGGAACAAGGATTCATTGTTGGACGATGTCCAGGGCGTAAAATCATCCTATGGGCCTTGATATATGATATTTTAATGTTTATATTGTTACCCAGCAATACTTACTGTGACCGGAGATGAAGACCCAAAGGGTAGAAAGTTATGAACTGGTTACGATACAAATGTATGGTACTGTGAATTAATCAAAGACTTTTAGATCCTCCTATAACAAATCCAAGCTGTCCAAACACAAGGCTATTAGTATGACGTTTCTGTCTAAGCAAAGGTGACGGCGCTCACAGATGAATTATAAATTTCGCTCATATACGATGCGCGCAGGGCCTCTATATAAAGATCAGTACGATAATCAAATCCGAAAACCCAAACTTCCACCTCTTCTCAACACCCTTTCACGAATTGAGTCAGACGCGTACCCAAACAACAAACGAAAGAAAGAACTCACATCTTCCCACCAACAAATCTGGGCTTTCAACTCCGTGCGGCCAAACAATATGACAATGTCATATGAAAGGGTGTAGTACGACTTGCCATCTGCTCTTCGCCTGAGAACCAACCCTTTCGCAGCCTGACGTGTATCAGCCGTGACGAAACACAGCGTTGGGTACATATCATCTACATCATATTAAGTCATGTCGAATGGAATTAAAGAGAACCACTTACCGTTTTCTTTGTCCATCCAACGGGAATTCTTTCGGGTTCCACGATAGCAGAGGATGTCTTCTTCGATAATATTCAATTCGGACAGAAGCTTCCGAGCCCTCATGTACGAACGACGAAACTCTGTGTCTTCTGACACTTGAACGCCCTGTTGATACAGTCAGAAATGCTTTCTGTTTATCCGTCGGGCAACGTACCTTGGGAAGGATAGTATCGTACTGCCCACCCAACATGAGATCTCCAGTTGCGTCGAAATACGCCTGCTGTCGACGTGCGATATGATCGGGATTGGTCGCGTCAAATTCAGTAGACATCTCCACGCCGTAGTCGCACTTGGATACACGAGCCGAGACGACATGGTCGAGATAAAAGGAAACCGCGCCGTCTGCGACAGCCTTATTTCTATGAAAAGGAATGATATTCCCCTGTACACCATCTGAATTATATCACTTACACATGGCCATCGGGCCGCGAGAACGTGATGTTCAGCGGGCTAAGATAGTCTTGCAGCTTCATAAAAAGCCAGTCGCTGGCAGCGAAACCTCCGACAAGGAATACTGACTATGCCACCTTTGCCATCAATAATGACACATCATTGACTGGCCCTTACCTACCGTAACAGTCTTATCCGTGGCAAAGCGTTGTTCATCGATGGCATTGATGATAGACGCCACAGATGGCTCAAAGAAATCGGCAACCTGACGACTACCCAAAGCAGTGATCAGCAAAAGAAAGAAAGCTACATGTCGATTGACTCGCCCTTCCAACTTGAGCTGCCCTGATCGAATGTTGAGTTCTGGTTCACGGTCTCTCATCCCGCCGAACTTGATATATGCAGGCTCGTCGGCATTGCGGAAGCGCAGCTTTGTGGTCCTGTCAAAACACTCGCAAATGACGTCGACCTCTTGCGCGAATCGTGAGTTTGCCAAGAAGGCTGGTAGAAAAGGCGAAGTCAGCACTAATAGTTGTGACGGAGATTTATAAGGGTTCACCCTGTAAATACTGTTTGGCATTTTTAGTAACAAATATTGATCCTGTGAAATGGCCTTATAAAGATCAGGACGCGGGATTCGCATCAAGCAGGATGCACGTACACTGAGGTGCAGTGATTTCCTTGAAAGCCATAGTGCCAACATGGTCTGATGGCACACTAGTATACGTGCTGATATCGACGGTGCCGCCGCCTGCATCGACGATGACAACAGCTTCGTCTTCCTGAACAAACCGTCAAAGAGGCAACGATAAATCAAAATCAATACCCACGTGAACATGCGAAGACAGCCCGTGATGGATGCAAAAGTGCAAACTCGCTTCGCCCTCTGTGACAAAGTGTACCCGGCCATATCCTTCGTCGCTGTCGGATACAAGCCCCGCTCGTACAGCAGCCTGGCGCATCTTCCCCTGCTGCTCGCCCTCCCAGCCATTCGGGTGACTCAAGACAAATTCTATCTGGTTTTCAATGGACTCCCAGAATGTCGCTCCGGTCTGGTGACTTTCGAGGATGAACTTCTTGGCACATTCAAAGAGATATCGGAAGAAATCAGCAAAGACTGATACAATGTCTTTGGTTGGGGGAAGAGGAGGGATGGTGTTTTGGATTTCTGAGCCAGGCTCGGATTTCACAGTTGGACGGAGATGGAGCTTGAACCTGGCAAATGCGAATTAGAGAAAGAAACAAAGGCGATAAAAGAACGCACTCTGAATACTTAACCCAGCCATCGTCCTCGGCTTGTTCAATTATGTTCTCTTTGAGCGCTTCTGCGCCAACAGCTCTGACATTTCCCGCCTGGTCGTAGTACATGATTGTCGGTATTTTCGCATCGTTTCCGACGTGCTCTTGAGATGGAAATCTAAGAAGTAGGTCAAGGATTGCCCCGCCTCTATACAGTGTAGTCATACCTTGTCACGCCTTTAATTTCTGGGACAATGCCAGGATCAAGAACGCTAAAGAACGAAAGGAACTTTAGTGGCTCAAGATACCCCTTGCAGAGGATACACACCTATAAGATATCCCGCTGAACGTCGTTCCCAAGTCAAAGGCCATTAAAAGCTTTCGGCGAGACCCGTTGTAGGGTTTGCGCGATGATACGGTCATGGAGGAGAATCTGAAAGGCGAGGGTGTCTCATTAGACGAGGAAAAGGATCAATTTGGTCTTATTGGCCAACACCTTTGTCACGGACACGTTACGTCACATATTCCCGTGTGCGTATGCCTACTCAAAGGGGATACAATTTTCTGTCTGAATTTCCGCCAGAACATTAGTTGCTTGATCGCAAGCTAGATCTCTAACTGACCTTGAAGCTTCTACATTTGAATACCATGACGTGAGAGATTTCAAGACCCCAGGACTCAGGTTGCAGTGCTTACTTGGCTGTTTAATAGGTTGAAACAAATTCTTGAAAACACGTAGTACAAAATATAGTCATCGTTGCAAGACATAGTAATGATATTCTTCCCTGGAGAGTCGATACGTTTACGCAAATCACTAGAATCCAGCTAGACTAGCGAGTCTCAAAGGAGGAAACATACACAACACCAACTTTCACCAGGCACTCCGCTCTCGTCTCCTGCTGTCCTTCCTCTGCTGTAGCACTTATCCCGAGTCCCAGATCGCATGAACATGCTATAGGACCGGACCCGTCTTCCACAGCATTCATGTACGAGGGGTCAAACTCCGTTCCGGCATCAACCGCGACAACGAATAGATCTCTTGACGTGATACCCTCGCCGATAGCCCTATCCAGCTTCTTCACGAGTGTCGCCAGCACATCCAAGCGGTCACCAAATTTCTCCACCATCCTCTTTTCCGTGTCCGTACTCGATCATCCCGCAACGTGCAGCACATCTCGCAAAGATTCCTGCATAAGCCACGAAAATTTCTCGTCAAAGTCGGTCTCCAGAACATATTTGGTTGTTTCCCGAGTCATGGCTCTCCATCTTCCCGCGACGGCGGGATTCTCTACAGGGTACAGACATTAGCTAATTGATTTCAGATTCGAGACAGCGAGAACTCACTAGAAATGCGAATATGGTCGTACATATCCTGGAAGAAACTCGACAGGGGAACATCTGAGCTCCAACGGGATATGAAGTGATCAGCCGCTTTCACCAGAAGCGCCTGGATGCTTTTTTGAACCACTTCTATATGCATGTCCTTGTCCTTATGGTCCTGTAACAACTGGACCATTGGCTCCCCAAGAATCTTCCTCGTTTGCGTCACCGCCGTCGTCATATCCTCGAACTCGTCCCTCATACCTGCATCCTTACCCTTACAGTCAAACTCATCCACCATCATAGCAGCAATCTGCAATACCTCCGAATTCAAACCCTCTACCATTTTCTTAATCTCTGCAAACGAGTGCACGTCTGCCTTGGTCAAGAACGTTTGCGTATCGCGGAGCTCCTTGGCGCGTGTATGGAGCAGACGACGATCTTCCTCGCGGTGGGCTTGTTCTCGGGCGAGTGCTTCACGTGCACCACGTAGCTCCCTCTCGAGTTCCTCGTTCACCCGCTGAAGGGTACGATTCTCTGCTTGCGCATGCCCCAGCTCTTGCGTCAACCTCCTCTTTTCTTTGGACCACTGTGCTCTTCGATCGTCCTGCTTCTGGTATGGAGCATTGAACCGTCGGTCCTGCCTGTGGTCTGCCTGCTTTTCCTTCCCGACCCTGTGCTCGTTTTCTCTAAGGTCCGATTCGAATCGTGCTATTCTCTCAGCGAGATCTGCCTTGCCAAAGTTTGGGATATTCAGGGTAGTTCCAGAAGTGATAGGATTCGATTTAATAGTTTTGAAAGATGTTTCGCTTGTGTTCGCGGCTTGCGATAGGGCTTTTTCCACTTCCAGGGTATCCTTCAACTTGATGTCTTCCATGTCCCAAGGCTCTGGCTCGTCAATAGGGTCACAGCCAGGCGTACCCGGAACATAGAGCTCGCTATCCACTTGCATGTCCGCTGCTTCAGATTGCTTGGACCGAGAAGCAGGCATGGTAGAACCAGATGATCCTGTGTATACAAATTTCCCAGCCGTTGTTTAGGGGCAGATCACTGAAAATTATCAGCATACTCAAATTTTCATGTGAGAAACATGCCTTCATACAAAAAAGCGACGGAGATTCAGAACCACTGAAATACTCTGAGCCCTCGCTTTAGCATTGAATGGGCAATGTGTAAGGAGCGTACCGCACGTGCCACCAGGGTTTTGGTCTCGGGCCGTATGCCGAATTCTATTTGAAAACTGAACATTTCTTTCTTTCTTTCTTTCTATCAACCATGGCAGGACGCGAAACCTACAATGGTACTCGCCGTAAATTAGCTATTGCCTTCGACCTCGGAACAACATTTTCTGGAATATCATACAGGTATGTTCAAACTGAGCCGGTGCTTTATCAATTTATGAAAGATTTTCAGTGTTCTTGATCCCGGTAACATCCCGAAAATCAAAGGCGTAACAAGGTAATCAAACCGTCCGGTTACCCTTGTCTTACTGAATGTTTTACAGATTTCCGTCGCAGGAACACGTTGGGAGCGACGCGAAAATTCCGACAATAATATACTACGATCAGGAGGGGAACGTTAGAGCAGTCGGTGCCGAAGCTCTTAAGCAAAACATCATTGAACAAGCCGAGGACGAGGGATGGGTGAAATACTCAGGGTACGTCGCTACTCCTGTGAAGATCGCCACTTTTAACATACCCGGGCCACCGCCCGTCAATAGGTTCAAGCTCCACCTTAGTCCCAAACAGAACTATCCCCCTCACATCAGTTTGAACCTCCCACCTCTCCCCCCAAATAAGACTGTCGTTCAAATTTTTTCCGATTTTTATGCGTATCTCTTCCAATGTGCGAAGTCTTTTATTGTCGAAACCCATCAAAGTGCCCTTCTCTTCTGGAATTCGGTCGAGGATCATGTCGAGTTCATTCTATCTCATCCCAACGGATGGCAGGGCGCACAACAATCGCAAATGCGGCAGGCCATAGTTGATGCTAAACTAGTTCCGGACAACGATGAAGGCTACGCTCGAGTACAATTTGTTACGGAAGGCGAAGCGAGTTTGCATTTCTGCATACACCACGGTCTTTCATCCTACCTGAAGGCGAGTATTTTTTGTGTCCTGTTTATCAGCCTAATTATACCATATCTAGGACAACGAGGCTGTTGTCATCATAGACGCTGGCGGAGGGACCGTTGATATTAGCAGCTACACGACTGCACCTTCAAGTACCCCGAATGTCAAATCTTTTCAAGAGGTCGCAGCGCCTCAATGTACGTGATTCAGTTCTTCATCATTAATATTCGACACGTTTTATTTTACAGGCCATTTTACCGGCTCTCTTTTCGTCACACAACGCGCTAAAGCATTCATACAAGGTAACTATGAGCTTTCATCTCTTCCTAGCATCCGAACTGAGATGGTTTAAGATAAATTGAAGGATTCAAAATTCGCTGAGGAGGTTGAGAACATCGCTGAGTGCTTTGATAAGACTACCAAATTTCGCTTCAGGAATTCAGAGGAGCCAGCCTATGTCAAATTCGGGTCGATGAAGGATAAAGATCCCGCGTTAGATATCCGTTCCGGGCAACTCAAACTGGCAGGGTACATTTCTTTTCACGTTATTCTTGATGTTGCTGACAGTCCTTTACATAGGAGCGAGGTCGCCGGTTTTTTTGAGCCTTCGGTGAAGGCTATCATTGAGGTTGTTCATGACCAGCGCTTTGTGTCCGCCAAGACAGTATCGGTGAGCACGGCTTCGCCTAGGTATATCACGGCAATCTCATTGCGCTTAGACGGTCTTCCTTGTCGGCGGATTCGCCGCCAATGATTGGGTGTTTCTTAAGCTTCAGGAGTACCTGACAACGCTTGGCATATCATTCTTTCGCCCCGATAGTCATGTGTGAGTGCCCATCTAGCGATACTCGACATCCGCATACTAAATACTTACGAAATAGAAACAAGGCAGTTGCAGATGGCGCAATGGCATTCTACCTTGATCATGCAGTTACAGCTCGTGTGTCCAAATTCAGCTACGGCGTGCGCGTGAACAGGAAATTTGTCCCCGGAGATGCTGAGTACGAAAGACGCAGAAACAATGCATACATCGATGCCGACGGTGAACTTAGGATAGGAGGTCAGTTCAGTATAATGTTGTCTAAGGTGGGTATATTTCATCTGATATCTATGGTCCTTCGTCGTGGTAACATCCAACAGAATACTCATGTTTACGATGATACCGAATTCCGCCATGTATATCACAGGACTAATGAACACCTGTCTGAGCTTTCTGCTATATCAGTTGACGTTTTATATTACCGTGGATCGAACGAGAACCCTCAATGGATCGATGTCGAGCCTGGTCAGTCTCGTTCCATTCACAATAAAACTTGCTTCCTTCCTTGAACTTTCATTATCTCTTTCAGATATGTATTCTATCCTGTGCAGTATTACTGCTGATACCCGAGAAGCTGCAAAAAGGCTGAAACTTCAGAGGAGACCAGATGGCAAAAGCTTTTTTAAGCTCACCTACGATGTCGTCCTGCTTTTCGGGAAGACTGAATTAAAAGCTCAGATCTGTTGGAAAGAAGATGTGAGTGTTTCATTACTTCGCACTGTTATGGAATATCTGTTTATGCTGGTTATAGGGTGTTGAAAAGCGGTAAACACTTTGTGCTTCTACAATACCACCTCACTCATCTTCTTGCCCTAGCGGTCCTGCTCGAGTCGTATACGACCGAGACCTCTGAGACTAGACACGCATATTGCGATCATTATATATGTGTATACTATCTTTCTACATACTTAGATTAACAATGGGATGGACAGTGCCTGAACTTCGTGCTTTGGCTAAGTTAAGCCTTGCGTCAGGAGTCAGAACGTGAGTTTCTTTACCAGTTTATATGTATAAATTTATGCTTTACACGGAACACTTTCCACACCAATTACATCGTGCACTATCTCAGCATACTTGTATTCGCTCCGGTACAATCCTCTAAAATTGCGTTCGATCCCCTTATAGAAATCATACGGGCACGAAGGACATGATGACGCGCGTTTGTGACAGGTCGTCATACTCAGAAGCGTTGATTAGAGCAACATTCACGATTGGACTACTATGCGACAATGATCCCTACCCTTAAACTTTACGAATATCAAGTTGTACCACCACCCTTTACGCCTGCTCCTTTGTCTGGTGGCGCCCCGCCTTTCGCTTCATCTGCTCACGGGCAAGCGCTTCACAGCATATCCAAAACTTTCCCTTGTAGTTCGTCCTTCTCCTTCGGAAGAGTACGGAATTCTTCTTCAAGTTGGGCATGGCTCGCGTGCAATCCTTCTGTGGACATTGCTATGAGGGAGGAATCACTTCCCAGAATTTGGACATCCATTTTGTAGGCTCTGGAGAACGGTATGATCCTAGTACGATGGACGGTACCTACGGCAACCAAAAGACGACAGATGAAGCAGTCTTGTACACGTGTGAGCTTGGGTTGAAGTCGTTTGACAATGAAGAAAAGACGCCCAGACTTGTGTTGACGGCAGGGATAGTCGTCCCTTCAGCGCCGGATGTAGCTGTGTCCATTCTTTAGCGTTGGGAAATATCAATTGCATGTATCTATTAAGTATCTCAACCGTCTTTCATAGAATAATGAATTGTAAGATTTGACCATGTTGAGCGCAACCTATGGTAGTAGTACGACATTCAACCACATAGCTTTCGCTTAACATGGCGCCTTTCACCACATAGAACTCTGTAGTCGGTTGCATACCATTAAGATACTCCGAGTCGGTTGTCATTATACTGACATCCTACAGGTTATTGTCCAGGTTCGGAAACATAGCATAGCACATAAATCAATACAATTACTAATTTTACAGCTTACTCCATGATGGTAAAGAATTGAGTTATTTGTGAATTTTGTCCGGAAGAAACTGGCGACGTCGGTTTGAGCATTGGAATATGAAGAAGCAGAGAAATAGTACACTGTTACGGCGTCCCATTGCTCAAAGACCGCGATCGTAAACAATTTGCGCCGGGCCCCTAGTCGACGGAAAACTCAGTATCAGAGATTTGTATAACAATGATCCCACCTTTTCTCGACGCCCTTTGGGGATTTTTGATAAGCTGATGATATTGGTAGAATTGTGGAAATGAGCTCACATCCTCCTTCCAACAGATTTGCGCCTTTAACTCTGTCTGACCAAAGCAGATGGCAATATCGTATGTAAGGGAATAATAAAACCCGCCACCCTTCCGAGGCAAAGCCTTGAGTGACTCTGCGGCTTTACTGGTATTGGCTACAACGGTAAACAGAACGGAATAGTTATCTGTGAAATGATTGTCAATATGTAATCGACCAGCATGGCAGCCCGCCGACTAATATACCTGGTTCTCTGTCCATCCAACGAGGATTGATTTCATGTCCGCGGTAGCATAATACGTCGACCTCTATTGTGTTCATGTTCGATTTTTCTCTACGATATCGCCAATACGAAGTACGAAACTCTTGGGTTTTGAACACTCGGGTGTCCTAATTGAATAGTGGATTATATCGCACTGCCAAGACCATAATACACACCTTGGGTAACGTGATGCTGTATTGTCCCCCTAATCTATCGTCGCCATCTGCGCCTATGAAAACCTGATCTTTCCGCCGAGCATGTTCAATGTGCAATGGCAGAAAGCGGGTGTTCACTATCGAGCCATAGTTATATTTAGCCACCCTGACCGAAACGATATCACGGATATAAAACGAGACGGCACCGTCCGCAACTGCCTTGTTCCTATGACCAAGCGGTCAACTTCACCACGAGATAGCAGCAAACAAAACCACAATTGCCTGGGAGCACTCACACGTGGCTGTCAGGGCGACAAAAAGACAATCCAGCTGGTTCTATGTGCTGGCGCATCTTTGAGAATAGATACGTGTTGGCAGCAAACCCGCCCACAAGAAAGATGGACTACATTCAATTCTTCAATTCAGCAAGTGATCTTCACTGTTCAGAGATAGAATAAAGTCCTTACTGAAACATGCTTCGTAGCTATGGAACGTTGGCCATCAATCCCCCTTATAATGGACGAGACAGAAGGCTCAAAAAAACTGGCAACATCAGAGCTTAGAATTCAAAGCTCAGACATAGGTCATAGTGATGGAACTAGATTAAAGCAACTTACCCTTCCAGCCTCAGCTGCCCAGAGCGAATGTCCAGCTGAATATCAGTATCTCTCATTGTACCGAACTTGATGTAAGCAGGTTCATTTGCATTCCTGAAGCGATGTTTCGTCGTTTTGTCAAAGCAGTCTGCAATAAGCCCCACTTCTTGTGCATATGGGGAGCCTTTCAGCTTCTCTGGCGGAAATTCAGACTGCTTAGAATAAGAGGAAAAGGAATGTAAGGTTCCTCACTCCATAAGAATGAATGAGCACGGCGGGTAACGAATATGGAACCCGAAAAAAGACCTAAGCAAGGTGAGATTTAGATCTAGAAGTTTAGAGCGGAGACGAACATGTAGGAGCGGCAATCTCTTCGAATGACTGGTCGACACCAGTACTGGATGAAATACTAGAGTATGTACTGATATCGATAGTTCCCCCTCCAGCGTCAACAACCATAACGCCTTCCCCATCCTGCCAGTGAGCGCATGAGCAACAATTCACAGGATAAAAAGGAGGATTTCCCACAGTGATATATGGGGAGAGACCATGATCGATGCAGAAGTGAAGGCTCGCTTCACCTTCTGTCACAAAGTGGATTCGTTCGTGGCCTTTGTCGTCATCGGGTATTAACCCCGCATAAACGGCCGCCCTACGCAGTTTCCGTTGTTGAGCACCCTCCCAACCATTGGGATGGCTGAGAACGAATTCAATGTGATCTTGAACGGAAGCTAAAAGGTAGGCGCCATTTTGATGCGACTCTTGTATAAATGTCATGGTGCACTCGACCAAGTACGCATAAAAGTCGCCGAAGACTTCGACAATGTCTTTCCCAGGTGGAAGAGGCACGATAGCTTCATTTATTTCTGTTGTGCGAGCCCATTTAGGACGCAGGTGTAGTTTGAATCTGTTGGATACTTTAGATTTTACAAAGAATAAAAAAATTCATTATACTTGGAATATTTGACCCATCCCTCGTCCTCAGCAGATCTTATCACGCTTTCATCAAGAGCTTCCGCGCCCGGCTGCCTTGAGATCCCCAGACTGATCATAGTATAGGATCGTCGGAATCTTTGCGTCGCCACCGGCATTCTCTTGTGCAGGGAATCTAGGTCCAAAACGCACTGATCATCTGTTATCTAGGAGAAGAGAATACGAGAGTTGCCTTGTAACGCCTTTGATTTCAGGAATGAGTCCAGGATCTAAAATACTTTGCCGGCAACCTTCGAAATCGTGAGCAAGCATGAAAATAATCTGAAGGCGCACCTGTATGATACTCCGCTGAAAGTGGTGCCCAAGTCCAATGCTACGACTAACTTCTGGTGAGATCCTTGATACGGCCGCCGAGACATGTTCTTGAAAAGTTCCGTAAGTCTCTATAAAGTCGCTTGCCGGGCCACGATGAGATTGGAAGAAACTTTATTTGGTGCAGCGTCCTGAATCAAGAGGGACTCGGGGTTTCGGCCCGGACAAGTCCTGGCACGAGTTGAACAGGACTTTCCGAAATAAGCAGTCCTCGTCTACTTACAGTCACATACACTTAATGCCTCACGAACGCTATATAACCCATTAATTTACTAATATCTTCGAAGATTTACATACGGTCAGTGCGGATTCTATAATTGTGGAAATTTGTCAGGGCCTCATTTCTATATCACCTTCATCTCTACAGAAAAATCTGTTTCGAGCGCCTTCAATCGTCGGAGTATCTGCTGCAATCGCAATGAAAGAAGCAGTGTTCAAAAAATTACATCGCCATGACAAGTCTCCAGACTCAAGGCGCGGTCTCGATGGTCAGAATTTTGTAACGTCTTAGTCGTGCCTCTGACACCGGAGTGCCTGTAGAGCGGAGTTACTCTGTGGATTCAAGTTCTGCAGAAGAGAACGTAACACTACTTGATACAACGGGCGCTACCTCTTCTTCCACAATTTTGGGTACAGATCTGAGTAATCTATCCCCAGTCCCGGCCGGAAAGGTCGAGAAAGAACCAAATACTAGGGAGAGTCACTATCGGGAACCCCTTACATCGATTGGAGGCAAAGATTCGGAAGGGTGGTCCCCCAAGGATGAGAAGCAACAAAAGCGATCTGGGTCTTCCAAAGAGGTAATCATATTCCTACGACGCTAGAACGATTGACTTACCAAGAGGAAGACGATGACCAGCAGCGACTCTCTACAGAAGTCGTTACTTGAAATCCAATCAGAGAGGAATCGTCTCCAGCACGAAAACGACAGGCTCCACAGGGAGCTTCACCGTACGCGTGAAATACTCCACAATCAGCAAATTCAGCATCAGGAGGATCGTCGTCTTCTTCAGAGCCGAGGCAAGGAGCTAGAGAGCACACGTCCTTTCCTGGACAAGACAGACGCACATTCCTTCGCCGACATCAAGTCAATGATGGGGTCACTGAACTCCGAAATTCATCAGCTGGCTGCGTACATGTCTGATACGTTGTTCGACAGCGGGAAAAGGGAGGAGATAGCTGATGAGGAAGCTAACCATTCAATGAAGCGAGCAAAGTATTACCTCGATGATCGCATTCTTGCACTTTTGATGCGCAGAGACGCAGATGATGCAGAAAAAAGTGGCGTCCTGCAGGTCGCTTTTCAAGCGGCATTGCTGTTTGAGTGTACTGATTATCTCGGAGTCTGGGATTTAGATCCTGCAGAAAACGATATGTTACGCGATTTGCATGCAAGAGTTCAAGAATCCAGTGAGTTACATATACACTATGCTTTCAGTTTATCCATATGACCCACGGTTGTAGACACGGCTGCGGTAGCCGGAAGATGGAGAGCACTGACTATCACAATGAGCAAATATCACTCATCTTCGAAGGCGGAACAGTATCTATCCCATCGCCTCGGACGTCAGCTTGAAAAAGTCATACTTTTAGGAGGATGGGCCATCCGAAACATACCGGAAGCATTGCGAAATGCTTTTGGCGAACGGATCACGGAAATCACAAAGTTGGCAATTAAATTGGATAGAGCGATCAAGGAAGGGATCACTTCCCAAGATTTGTACGCCCATTTCGTGGGTCCTGGGGAAAAGTATGATTCTGGAACAATGAACGGCGCATACGGCAACCCGAAGACGACAGATGAAACAGTCTCGTGCACGTGTGAGCTTGGGCTGAAGTCGTTCGAAGAAAAAGGAAAGAGGGCCAGACTTGTGTTGAAGGCAGGTGTAGTCGTTCCGTCGGCGCTAGTGTAGATATGGTCATTTTTGTAGCGTTAAAACAATATCACTAGTATTCGAGTCTCTCTATTCGGCGTAAGCAGTGCAGATTGCCAAGACCCACAAAGATCGTCCTGGAGTTCGCCGTAAGGAATACCCATCTACTTGTTGACGAAGCACCAACTAAGAAAACAGGACACCATTAATTAAAAGGTGAATTAGAGGCGAACGTAAATACACTCAGCCACATATAAGATCCGGCTCGCTGACTGTTTTTTGGATCTCCGAGTTGAAAGAAGTCAATAGACTCAGGGATAGCTCCAAAACCGCAATCGTCTTTGTAAAATATGGAATCATCGGAGTTAAGGAAAGCGTGCGATTGGACACGTCCAAGGTACCTTCCAATTATCACCTGGCTGGCCGACACGGCTCACAAGCCAGGAAGTCTACTAACATGAGGACAGCAGTGCTAGAGGAGAGGGACACAATGAAACTGGTCTCGTCGCACCTTGATTTACAGAGGGATGTTGCCTGGATCGACTGGCACTGAACTAATGCCGTTCTATAGTTTGCGAGTCGTGGTCGCTGCCGTTGTGATGGGAGAAGATCCTTGCGCATGCACAGTGTTGATGTTCTCACAGTGCATCAATGTTCATATCGATCAAAAGAGGCTGCATGCCCTTTAGAAACATGAGGAATACACGTTGAGTATTTCATAAGAAGATCACCTATGATCTCTTTCCTCCTTTCATCAACCCGCTAGGCTCCACACCTCGAAAGCGCTTTAGCCTCCTCACTGTACCAAATTCAAGGGACCTTTCTCCGTCATGTCAGACAGCCAAGGAGAGCTTGCTAGTTACAATCACGATGTTCCAACAAGCATACAGAAAAGTAATGCGGTTGACACGCTAGGCGAGGTATCCGCGGTACTGTGAAGATGCGATTCGTAATGATGGATGGGATCCGGTGTCGAAACAGCATATTCGACAAAGCTGCTCTTCAGAGGGGGATAAAGATCTAGCTGAAAGCGACGAAGATTTTGTTATAGTTTCAAAAGATGACGAGGTATGATATCGCCCTATTATGCTAAATTTGATTCTCAATTGACTCCGGGCAATAGAGTATACCCGAGGGAGAAACGAAAAGATCAAAGACACCGAGTAGGGAGAGTGACTCGCACAAAGAAGAGTGCTTCACTTCTCGAGAACTCGAAATCGAGGGACGAGTCGTCGACAATTCAAAAGCAGCTCGAAGCCAAACTCAATTCTCTGGGTGCGGAGATGCAAGGTTTGCGGTGCCTTTTGGATGTCAGGACGAGGGAGCTACAGGATGCCCGGATGTACTTGAATACCGTTGATTTGGTATCTGGAGAAGACGTCGTATCGATGGCAGAGGCGTTGAACGCAGAAATCTTCCAGGCAGCCGCATATATGGCGGATTCGTCGGTGTTTGGGGCGAAGAGCAGACTCACGGAAACGAAGGAGATAGCCCCTTGGATCGGCGTTGACTTCATCGAGATTTTGCGGTCGGAGAAGGATGCCGAAACGCGGGTTCATGCTGTCCAAGTTGCGCTTCAAGCGTCGCTTGCTCGATCTTGTATGGCGACCATTGCGATGTGGCACCCCGATTCGAAGATTGACGAGGGTCTTCGTCAAGTGTACTCAAAGATCCAGAAAACTAGTACGTTCACCTATATGCATAACGAGATAGATTCTAACCTTCCTATCCAGGTTTGGCACCTGTCGCGGCGCGATGGCGTGTAATGACTCGTTCAAATTCGAAGTACTCGACATCGGAGGAGGTGGAAAAGTCATATATACCTTGGATGGTCAGACGGGCAGTCCTAGTGTTGCTCCTAGCCGGATGGGACTCAGACGGAACGAAGACCTGGGACGCATGTGTGACAACTGTCATGAATAAATACGGGAGGCGGGTACGGGACATCATAAAGCTGATGATGGGGCTGGACAAGGCTATAAGTGAAAGCATTGTCTCGAAAGACATTATCGTCTGCATTGCGGCCAGCGGGGACCAGTACGATCCTGGGTCCATGGAGAACACTGACGGACCTGCCGAGAAAGTGCAGCCGTCTGATCGTGTAATGTGCACGTCAGACCTTGGGCTGAAGGTGACGGCGACGTCCGGCGACGGATCCGCGGAACGGGACACTTACTTGCTGAAACCGAAGGTAGTGTTGCGTTCTTCATTGACGCAAGAACACTAGACAGAGGATATTAATATTAATTACTGCGCGGATTTTACATTGACCTTTGCGTACCAGTGTCATTTCCCACATTACCATCATTGGACAGGAAATGGAACCATTTACTTCTCGTTTCGCAGTACGAATATGATCTTTCTTGGAAGCACAAAATGCCGAATGCACGTTGGAGATCGAGCCCGCATTCGTCTCACGAATCATGTTTCTCATATACGGAACCGATACCCCACCAGAGTCTATTGACGAACCACCTTCACCACGGGCACTACAATGTCCTTTAACTGTGAAGGCATAACATCCGACATGCCATATTCTCTGTGGTCAGTGGTAGCTCCCGCCGGCGGAATGATGATTTTGTCATGCTTGTCATGCCTGTCATGCCTGTCATGGCGTTGGTATAGGCATGCAGCGTCCGCACTGGAAGAAAATCAGAAGGAGCTGTCGGTGTTGAGGTCCGCGCTAGCGCAGAGAGACGCAGAGGTTGTATCATTGCGGAGGGCGCTTTCGGAACCAACGCAACAGGTGAGAGGCACTTGACGTAGAAGAGGAATAGAGAAACTGATTAGCCACCCCCGAAGGCACCGAAAGCACCGTCTCGGAAGGACGGTATCGAGGTGCAAGCACTGAGACGGCGCATTTCCGATCTGAACAAAGAACTAGAGGAATTCCGTGCTCATAACCGTGATTTGACCCTTGAAGTCCAAGCGGGAAGGGAAGAACTGCATGGACTCGGGGTAAAACTCCAGCAGAGCGACAAGTTGTCACGGGCACGAGCAGAGGAGTTGCGAGTCGCTCAGGTGTTTCTCAGCACGGCAGACCAATTCTCTGGCTTCGAGATCATTCAAGCTGTGGAGGCGCTGAACGAGGAGATCTCTGGGATAGCTGCAACACTGGCAGATGTCTACGAGCAAGCAGAGATGGGAGTGGATAATCCAATGATGGATATCGCCTATGGACACCTCGCTGGGATCCTGGGGGACATGATGGCGAGCTTCGTCAAGTCCAATTCGCAATACGAAGTCCTTCAGGTTGCTTTTAGTGCTGCTATTTGCGCACATGTGGGGCAGATGGTTATGTCGTGGTCCATCAGGAGAGATACCGGAAAAGAAAAGAGCTGGGACGAAGTATTCAGCCGTATTCGGCGGTCAGGTAGGAGCATATCTCTTTCAAGGTCAACGTCATCTTAGTCCTTTTTAGAGAAGCAGGCTATCGCGGGGAGATGGCGTTCCCTAACACAAAAAGCTATAATACCGTCGTCCAAGCATGACGAAGCCGCAATAGAGGCCATCGTTACGGAGACCCTCGTCAATATCCTCATCGTTGCTGGCATAGATCCAGGTGACAAAAAAGTCGTGGATAAGCTGGCAAACTCAGGATTAGCGAAAAAAGTGATGGAATTACGTTTTGGTGTATGGCAGGGTGTTACGTCGTGCGAGATGCAACCCGTGTACGCTGCTCCAGGTCTTCCATTCAATTCCGGGATGATGGAGGATGCTTTGGGCCAAGGGGACTCGGAACGGCAGGATAGCCAAAATCGAATATGTTGTACCACGGAATTGGGCCTTGCAGCAGTTGAGAGCCAAGGAGAGGCCAGCAGAACAAGCCCAAAAATCCTGAAGAAAGCCAAGGTGATCCTCCTGTCGGGGCTGAACGAGATCGTGGCATAGTGGTACAACAATGTACTTAGTAAACGTATTTTAGTCGTATCTGACAGTGAGGACTTACTTTGTAATTTTGTATGCACCAACCGACACGGAGGGTTGAGACCGACAGAGCATGGCTGCCGCTTCGGCGCATCACGGCATCAGGTTCAGAGATCAATATAAATTGAATTCCGATAGTTGCCGTTGATGGCAGGTCAACCTAAAGGCCCACTCGTCACTGTAGAATCATTCCGATTCCTGAATAAGCTCGCTCAAAGTTCTACACATGAATTTTTTGTGTGACTCTCTGAAACGAAGGGTGCATATTGGGAAGCCAAGTATCTATGGGTACAGTAAACGGTAGCTGCAATCTTTCGCCCGTGAGCCTCTTTACCTTACATTCTGTGTATTATCTCTGATATCGTCGAGTAGAGGATCACCTTCGGCTTAATGAGGATGGTCAACGGCTTTTCTGAGTAACCATTCTTTTCCACCGACCGCGAAACCTTCAATCCTAGCTCGCAGGTGCAGAGAACGTGATCTGAGTCCAGGACCGCGCGTTCCCCATCACCATTCTCCATCGTATCTGGCACGAAGGTACTTCCTCGGCTGACGGAGAAAACAACGATATCTCCTGATACGACGCTCTCTCCCATCCCTCTGTCGAGATCTATGGCTAAATGGACGACCTCTTCTATCCTCTCCCCGTATTTTCCCACCAGAAAGGACGTACAAGCGTCCCAGCTCGGATCTGTACCGACGCTAGTCCATCCGGCGAAGATGAAAAGGATCGCCAGTTTTCTGACAATAATGTTTATCCATTCTTTCTTGACGTCGGCAAGGAACTCGTACTTCAACCCAGATCGAGTCATTGCCCTCCACCGGCCTGCGACCACCTGTGTATCTGGGATATGCTTTCAGTACTCATCATTTCTGATTTTGCGTAGCTGGCTCACTCGTCGCTCGGATTTGTGCATATAGACGGCTCAGATTTGCGTCCGTGCGTCTTTCCGTGTGCCACATAGAGATGAAGTCTGCGCAAGTTTGAATCAACGACGCTTGCACTGCGATCTGAACAACCTGAATGCGCGTCTCTTCATTCATGGGGGAACACAGCAGATCGATGATGTAGCTTCCAAAGTAATGCACGGCCTCTGCCCGAGCATTCTCGAAATCGTTCCTGGTGCCGAATGTCATGGAATCTACCATGTATGCTGATACCTGGTATACCTCCGCATTTAAGGATTCAACCTTTGCGACGAGCTCGGCACTAGACAAGGAATCGCTTATCATCGAATAAGCATGCGCATCCTGTAATTCCCGCGTGCGTATGTCCAAGAGACGGCGCTCGTCTGTGCGTACTGCCTTCTCTCGCTCTAAATCCGTGTGCAGTTGGATCAGCTCTTCATTCCGGGAGGCCATTTCCTGTTCCAACGACGCAATCTTTTGCTTAGCCATGGCCAGCTCCTTTCGGAACTCCTTCGAGCCTTCAATACGCAACGTTTCAGACGGGTTTTGATCGTTCTAAGTTGTGTCAATGTCCACAGTGCCATGCACAAGGAGGAACCTCACCACAGGATCAATAGAGTTCCTCTTTCTTCTCTCTCTCCGGCTGCTGGGATCAACGGCGTTCATCGTACGTGCTCGGTGCGATGACTGCAAGGCATTCCCATGACCTGAATCCACAGCAGGCCACCGCCCTCGATCGGCGCTTGTGTCGCCTTTAGGTTTTTTCCCGGATAGGCGCTGCATTAGTTCTCCAGCCTTCCCCATCGTGCTTGAGCGACTGCTCTGAGGTCCCGTTGGTGGATGGAAACAATCAATGTGACTACAGAGGACCAACGGGTCACACTGGGTGCGTGTAATGCGCATGTTCTCCTCTAAGGACTGCACATTCCTTTCACCATATCACTGGACGTGTGAAGAATAAGGGTGCGAACAAGTGTTTATATTCCCTTGGATGCGCCGTTTTGTCTAAACACAACACGGCCACCATGAACACCCGCTTGCCCTACGCTGGCGATTACAGGAAACTGCTCTTGGCTTTCGACCTTGGAACGACTTACAGCGGGATCTCATACAGGTCAGACTTTTGTCGTGCGCGTGTAATAAATTTCTGAGTATTCGTTTTATAGTGTACTCGACCCCAGTCTTCCACCGACGATTCAGCCCGTGACTAGGTATAGTTTTTGGATTATTTAGGTACCAGAAATCTAATGCTGTTCAGGTATCCTTCCCTTGAAGGCACTGGTAGCAATGCCAAGATCCCGACTATCATCTGTTACGATCGGAATGGCCGGATGAGGGCGGCCGGCGCCGAAGCGATAAGTGAAAATATCAATGACAAGATCCAAGAGGAGGGATGGGTCAGATGCGAAAAGTAGGTTATATTTCCATTAGTATGCTGGTCTTACAACGAACTTTCCGTTACTCAGGTTCAAACTGCACCTCCGCCCTCCTGCCAAGGACGTCAAGTCAGACAATATCAACCAAGCCATTTCACCGCTTCCGCCTGGCAAGAACGTCGTTACACTTTTTGCTGATTTCTATGCGTATCTCTTTGAGTGTGCCAAGACCTTCATACAGCAGACGCATCCGAGCGGTGCGACATTTTGGTCTTCGGTGGAGGATTCGATAGAGTTCATCCTGAGCCATCCGAACGGATGGGAAGGGGCGCAGCAGGAACAGATGCGCAAGGCTGCGGTGCAGGGCGGTCTCGTCAGTAATGACGCCAAGAACACGCGTGTACACTTTGTTACCGAAGGAGAGGCTAGTCTGCACTTTTGTATTCAGAAAGGTCTTTCATCACATGTGAAGGTGAGCACTGCATTTGCTCGTATGATGGATGAATCTAATGTGTTGGTTTAAGAAAGGAGAAGGCGTAATTATTGTCGACGCTGGAGGCGGCACTGTCGATATTAGTAGCTACACTAGTGTTTCGGCTGAAGGTGCTGCGAAATATTCATTCCAAGAGATTGCCGCCCCATTTTGTAAGTTCTTGACTTTCTCTCTACTATTTGACGCTCGTAAACTTATGTACAGGTGACTTTACTGGATCAATTTTTGTCACGCAGAGCGCTCGTACTCACATTGACGGTAACGTCTGACGTACCTTCAGGCTTCTTTTCATTCATAAGTTTATAGAAAAGTTGAAAGGCTCTAAATATTACGACGATGTTGGCCATATCGCAGAATGCTTCGACAAGTCTACGAAGCTTCGTTTCAAAGACCCGGAGGAGCCGTCTTTCGTTAAATTCGGGAGCCTCCGTGACAGGGACAACGCGCGCGATATCCGATCGGGTCAACTCAAATTGAAAGGGTGAGTGAAAGCAATAGACCGAAGACCCGTATCTTATATTACATAGGTCAGATGTTGCGACCTTCTTTGAACCATCGATAACTTCCATCACTAAAGCTATCGATGCCCAAAGAGCCGCATCGACAAAGCCTGTTTCGGTGAGTGTAGCGTTTTTGTAAATGGTTATGCCGGACGCTCATCGCGTCTGTGAAGGCTGTTTTTCTCGTTGGTGGTTTTGCTGCGAGTGATTGGCTCTTCCTTAAAGTACAAGAGCACACAAGTTCGCTTGGCTTGACCCTTGCTCGACCTGATAGTCATGTGTTAGTCTTTTTTCTTCAATTTCATCTAACTGTCCTCAGAAATGTTCGTTCGCAGGAACAAAGCAGTCGCTGACGGTGCCGTCTCGTTTCACCTCGATCACGCTGTTACCGCCCGTGTCTCGCCCTATAATTACGGCGTGACGGTGTGTACTGCATTTGACGGCCTGGATATGGAACATGTTTCCCGTCGTGCGCAGATGTTCGTGGACCCATCTGGCGTGCGTCGCTTGGCCGGGCAATACGATATCATCCTTGCCAAGGTAGTGTCTGCTACCATAGCCACGGGACCGTTGACATATACATCCTCTTTAGGACGTCTTGGTGTCGGAAGAGACAGAATTTAGTCAATCTTATTGCAGAATTGGACGGTCTTTGTCGGATTTGAGTACCATCACGACCTCGATATGGCGCTACAACGGGGAAAGGGAGCATCCGAGATGGATGGACGTGGAGAATGGTTTGTGCTCGTCTAATTCTACAAGATTATTCCTAATTCTTGGCCGACATTGCAGACAAGTATTCAGTACTGTGTCGCATTACGGCTGATACATCTGTCGCGGCAAAGTCACTCATAGCCCAGCGTTGTTCCGACGGAACCTACTACTACCGGTTGAGTATAGATGTCATTATGCTGTTTGGGATGACAGAGTTGAAAGCACAACTTGCGTGGATCGAGAATGTGAGTTACATGGACTATGACTTTACACGCGCCGCTATTAACGATATTTTTTCTTCTGTTCTAGGGCGAAGAGAAGAGGTAATACTGTGCTTCTGCTGATTGATTGCTTAGGATACTAACCATGTTAACAGGGGACCTGCTCAAGTCATATACGATTAACGGGATTGAGCGTTCGCTGCGTATATCTCATGTTTTAGGCTCAATCTTTGGTGATTTTTTCGCACTAGGAATATCGTACTTGGAATTTCCTAGCGTTTGTTCCTGTATTCCTATATTCTGAGAATCATATAATGTAACATGTTCTTCGAGGTTGCTGCGAAATATTGAGCAGCATTCAGCGGTATCCTGCCGAGCTACAGACAAACCACGACATACAACTGAGCGCCCACTTGGCACTCAAACTCTCCACGTACCGTCATAAATAGTTTGCGTGCATTGATGCTCCAGGCCGATCATGGGTGTTAACAAAAACTGCTCTTCCGAAGCGTACAGAAGAAAGTCATGTTAATCCCACTTGAAACGTTGCAATCTTATCTATTGGAGGGCCAGAAGACTCCCAAAAATATTGACGCACGCTGAATGGGATGTCAACGACAGTAACCCGGCCCGGCCCGGCCCGTGGCAGCCGTGACAGCAGGTCCCACCCGCTGGCTTGCATCATCACCTGTTCCGCATTGTTCTTTCGTAAGTTCTTTCACAATTACCTCGTATGGTCGCCTACATCCCTTCTGTTTTATAGAGGAACATATTGAAGACATATGGTCATGTCGCCTTGGTAAAGCCGGTATTTTCATATTTCGGTGCGTCGAGTATATCTTTGCTAGAAGGTGCTGACCAGGCTCGACATACAGAAAGTCCTTTGTTAATGACAATGCAGGACAATATTTCTGTTGCAAGTGATTCATGTCCCTCTTTGCCTCAAGAACTTGTCGATTATATCCTCGACTTCCTGCACGATGATATCCCTGTTTTACGGACGTGCTCTCTTGTTTCCAACGGCTTCTTGCCCAGGAGTCGTCATCACATCTATTCAGGCGTTTTAATCGTGCATGATATGGAGCTTGACTCGTTTCGGGAACAACACGCTGGGAAATTGTACAGATGTGGAAATTTCGACGCCCTGTTGAAACATTCCCCTCACGTTGGACCGCTAGTGAGGACATTAGGGATGCATACCATGTCAGAGAGACTGGACGATCTGTGCGCCTACTCTTCACTCCATTCTATCTTTCACTCCCTCCACAATCTCTCTCAACTCCAACTCGTCGATCAGAGAGACATGACCATTTGGAACTTCTTGCCGATCGTATTTCGAGAACTCTTTCTCACAACGCTACGTTCCTCGCGAATCACAACATTGCAACTCAAAGGCATTGCATATGCCACAAATAATGAACTAGAAGATGTATTCACCGCGGTAGCAAATCCAGTTCTAAAGCATCTGTCGATTGACTCCGATTTCGGAGAAAAAACATCTTCAACCTTTCCATTAACGATTCGCCAGCCAGCGAATGGTCTCCCAGAGCTGGAGTCTCTGTCCATGTCTGGGGATTCCATGTGTCATCAGATAGAATACCTTTTCTTCAATAGATCCCTGTACAACGTCAGCCATGTCCGACAGCTCTCTCTTCAACTGAGTAGCGACACAACGGGATCAGTCGTACAATCCCTTCTCGACGAGATGAGAGATACCCTTGAATGTTTAACTCTCGATGTTACGCATTATGCGGGTATGCAGGTCTCGGCTTTGATTTAAACAATCCACTTATCACATCTTCAGATCAAAATAATGGTTTTGACCTCAGACGACATAAGAAACTCACATCCTTTTACAGTGTCCTTTTCTTCACACTGAATACTTGGCTCCTGACGATATGGTTCGGTCCTGCATTACAATCATTGACTACTGAGCTGCTTGTCGATGATTGGGTGATCGAGCCAGACGCTCCTACATTGACAAAAGTTGATGCGCACATTGACAAACTGGCGCTACCTATGCTACAGCATGCACATGTCAAGCTGCATGATATCAGCCATAATGTGTGCAGCTATTTTTGGTGTGACGGTGATTACCTACCTCCGGGTCATGATGAATGGAGAAACCAAGTCGAAGAGCAGATGCCGTTGCTAAGCAGCAAAAGGATCTTAGAAGTTGACGTTGTAAAACGTTAGTCCATCCTTTTATTCGTCATTGCTCATTCTAATGCACCTTATCCTAGAGCGCTATTGCGTAGCGAGGGCAAATGACTCCATCTGATACACAGGTCTATTTCACCTTGTAAAATGATATTCTCTCGTGTATAATTACAAGCATATACCCGCCGAACTTCCCAGTTTCGTCAATCGCCAATGAAAGAACGGGCCGGAAATTACTACCTCAACACATGCGCTTGAAGAAGTGTGTCACTGCTCTGATTCGGAAACTGGTCAGCAGTGAACCGGGCAGATGGGAGAACCTTGTCGAAATTCAGAATAACATGCAACATGAGATATCTCGTGCACATCTATAAGATGATGTAGACCTGCGAACAGTAATTACAGTTAGTGACATCAAAGACATGTTGTCTTCCCTCGGAGTCTGTCAGTGATCCCCGGATGCATTCCAGGTTGAACTTGGAAGTGCTCGTTTGAGGAGGGTTACGGTCACGTTATCTTAAAATGGCTCCTATACTCAGGGGCTACTTGAAGAACAGCATAAATACCCGTTAGCCAGGTACTCCTAGACCAGAAACAACACGAGCACTTACAACCATCACCACCAGAGCAAGTGATCAGCTTTATCAATGTCTACCATGACATTGTACAATTATCCCCCCTCGTCGTCGTCTACCGAGTCCATCGATTCTCTAAACTCCGTGCCCGAGATGCCGAGGGATTCCATACTATCCGCTTCAGATGGAGACGTTCGCAGCCTCCGAGAACGTCGAGGCGTGACTTTCTTCATTTCATTCACTCAACCGGATTTTGGTCCCGTCATCCCTGCGAAAGGCCATCTCGAACCCAGAGCTGGCACGTTTCCTAGCAGGAGAAAGGCCTCTGCTCCCAGACATATATCTGAGAAAATTGTAGCAAGAACTGACATGGGAGGAGGGTTCTTTTAAATGCACGCTCTGCCACCAGGGTGTTGGTACCATACATCCTCCGGAACGGGCCAAAATTTACCTCTTTCCACTTGCGGGAGGATGCGCCGCCTAGCAGTCCCCAGATCAACGCATGATAATTGTAATGCAGAAGGGGAACATAGATGGAGGAGCGCATAGAACGATTGTCATGGACTCGTTGCTTCGATATAACTTTGTTTTAAGGGAAAGTTCTCAAAAGATGAACTGACGCACGAATCACTATCGTTGCGATCTAGGAATGGGCTGCTAAGAATCGAATACAGAACAGTCGAACTGAATTGCTCACCGAGACATTGCGTCAAATATGAATAGCCTACCCATCTGGAATGAAATAGCTAAACCCAATGACTTTGTTCCTCTGCGCAACGGTGGAAAAAAATAAGCAGGCCCTGTTAATGTCGCGAAAGAAAGATTGCTTGCAGCGGTATAGGAATCATTCTGAAAGGCCCTGTGCCAGTAATGGTGTAGCGACAACGAAGGCATCGGAACAATGGTGGCGGTTAGAATTGGGTTATAGTGCAAGAAAGCGTTGATCGACAGAGCCGGCCCACCCTCCGAGAGATCTAAATAACATTGGCCACCTTCTCTTTTTCTATTGTTCTCTTGTCGCTCAGAATATATCCTCACAGTTTTCGGTGAGACGTAAATCTTAATGAAACCTTTATTCAGCGAATTCAAACATCAAGTACAATTTATTCGTCCTTCAGACTCTTGGTTTGCTTTCTGCCTAGTGACATCGCATCTACTAAGGCTATTATGACCTATGGCCAGTGTCGGGAAGGGTTCTGTCCTTGTAAATTGTTCTTCTCGTTTACAACGATGACTAATCATTTAACGAGATGTATCTCTATCTTCATGGTGTACATACACGCTTTCTGAACAGCACCTTGCTACTTTGGCTTGGGAACTGCTCACTGGAGACCCACTTGGTCGGGGGAACCTTGTCCATCTTCACGTCATAATTCATGAGGACATAGGAAATGAGAGCCTTTAATTCGTTGACAGCGAAGAAGCGGCCGGGACTACACAGGAGTTAGTGTTAGGCTCGAGGAAGGTAAACGTAGGGATGAACGCATCATGCTGGTCGTCCATGGCCAAAGAAAATAAAATCCAGGCTCGGTGTGACCATCTGGTGGCGAATAGCATCGCCTTCTCGTTTCCTCTTTTCGGAGAACCTCCACGGCTTGAACTCTAATGGATGTTCGTAGTTTTCCTACGCAGAAAAACTTATAAAGAGGGCAGTAATGGAAATAAAAGTTTTGTATACCTCGCCGAAATGAGTACTCATAGAATCCACGGCGACTTGACACCCAGCAGGAATAACTATCCCGTCCGAAAACACGAAGTCCTTCTTAGCCAACCGACGCATTGCAACTTTGCTTAATGGTCACCACGAGTATCAAAATAATGAAACAAGACGAATGCGACTCACAGACGCCAATGTCACCATACAGTCTCTGAGATTCCTTCAAGAAGCTATCAAGCTGGTTCATCTTACCCATTGCAGCTTTCGTTTTTCCTTCTTCCTTTATCACAGTTTCCACCTCAGTCCGGAGCATTTCAACGTACTCTGGATGCGCAGCCAATGCATACAACGCCGACGTAAATGTCTATAAGCACTATCAGCTAGTAATACCATCAAATACGTGATTTAGCTTACATTGGATGTCGTGTGGATGGCTGCCACGTTCGTGAGGAGCATCCTAGCAGACAGACTCCGTACTGTGCGCCTTTCTTCGACACCATCAGTCGCATCAATCAGCCACGAGAGCATGTCATTCTACCAAAGCATGAGGCAAAGGGCGACACAGCTGATGCCAGGCAACTTCCTACCGGTTTTCCCGGTCAGTCTTTGCCATGGATCTTCTCCTGATGCAACCGTTCCTGGATGGTCTCAGCAAGAAATTTCTCAGTCTTGGCTATAGCCCGCCGGCGAGGCGTTATAATGGATCCCACAATCCTGGATATATGTCCCGGTAATTAATTATACTGTAAATAATGGTGGGCTCAGATAACTTACGGCTTCATAAGTGTCGGAAAAAGGTTGATGATTTGAGCACAGATGAAAACATTGATAGTGAAGTTGATATTGAGTTCGAGGTAGTCGGAATTTCGGCCTTAACAAAGAGTCGTATCAGGAGCATCGATGATGAGGACCACCACTTACAGAGAGGAAGTCCAACGAACATCCGATTAGTTGTTCGACATACAATTTGCAAGATTTTTTGATATGCAGGCACCTCAATCCAGTCTACCTAATATTAGCTAGAGCATCTTAAAACACCGTTAGTTATCGCACCTTCGGTCATTGGTATATTTCCCTTGAAGGCTGCTTCTATCTCGTCCTAAACATCCGCAAAACAAGTGGCGATGTTGCGGGTAAAGGTACCTCGTATGGCTTCTATATGATAAGTGTCCGTCCTGCATCAGGAAAAAATGACACGCCGATATACCCATACGTAGCGTCTGTACCTGGTATTGCAAATGCGAAAGGTCCCCTTTATGTCGTGATCGTACTTCTCACTCGGGTCTCTGTAGCTCTCTGTAGCCCTCCGTAATCTGCTGCAACGACTACTGTAGCACTATTGTAGGTGTATATAATAGGATATACATCTAGCTAATCAAGGCCACATCTGAGGTAGACACCAAAAATTATGGAAAAAATGATATATTCACTGGGAGATATGTAATACACAACTACAACACATTCTGTACATGGTTCCGGGCTCCCGCAGCTAGCCCTTGGCCTCTACTGGACCCGTGCTAGCGTCCAACAGTGAAGTCCCCGGAAGAGCTTCGAATGCCTCGAGACATACGATCTGAATAATCAAAGTCAACGATTGAGTGAAAGATATTATAAATAATACGCACCATCAAAATGCTACATAGCTCGAGGACCACCTCCAACAGCCGATATCAAACAGACGAATACTACCAAGAGTAATGAGTAACAACGTGAGGGATAGTTCGAGCAGAGCCTGACTCACCGTTAGGAATGCGAGACTGCCAATCATTCCGAACTCACTACAACAGCAACGATCAACTCCAAGCATGCGAAGGCAGACGAAGAAGACCTACTTCATCCACGACAGTCCACGAAGAAACTCGTCAGTGCTTGCATAGTATCAGTCCGTTGCCACAATCTTCGTAAAAGATGAAGTTACTAGTGCGGACCTTGGACGACGCAGTAAAAGGGGAGGTGGTGGTAGGAGGGAAGAAAAATGGTTGGAATTGATCGCATTTTGGTGGTGTGATCATGTTGATAACGCACGAACCATCGGAGTTGGACCGGAAATTGAAACGAACTTCGTAATTCTTTCGATGTTGATCGCGCTTCACCCTTGACACCCACCCGCCGTTTGCAATTGCCCTGCACAAATTTCTTTCGTGAGGTATCCCAGAGACATCTATTAAATTGTTCATTTACTTTGTATCATAAGAATGGATTTTTATGTGACCTTGAACACCTGCCACATCACTCCCATTCATATATCTATGGAGGTGTGCACTTTGCTTTATGTATGTCCTGTTTGGCTATGAAGGCTAAGCTTGGAATTACGGATTGCTACAGAGACATATGGTGGGTAACAGGTGGAGCAACGTAAGGTACCGATCATCAATATGATATAGACAAATTGTGGTCAGGTACGTAGTATTTCAGTTTTTCCTGATGTGAGTGAGCGATCGATAGTGTAATCCGTCTGCAAGGCCTATAAGTGCTAAGAGTAAAACTCCCAATGCATAGAAATAGTACTCGAGCACCCACATCTATGTTCACCTCCAAGGACGACAAATGCTCGCGTGATGACTTTCGGATATCATTAATTTTATCAGGCCCGCTAACCACGACCACCCATTTGTCGAGCAAGGGCACTTTGAACGTTGACCCGCCGTACTTCTCGCAATGATTCAGACTTGCGCCAATTGAGGAATGAACCGGTTGATACGCACCATTCTATGTCCCTCTTCAATGATTTCCTTCGCGTGGTGCACGAACTTGAAAGTATCTATCCAAGACATGATGATACCAGATGACCCGACCGTAGGAATGGCTTTCAGCTGCGATGCGATGAAATCAAGTAGCATAACGTCTCACCTTCGCTCTGATGATCAAGGCCTTTCGAAGTTGGAATGGAAGGAAAAGCGCAGTGGCTATGGCCAAACTGCGTAGCAGTGTTGTGTTGTCCATCTGTTGTGCAATATCGATGTATTCTTCGAAGGCCATTTGTTGTGTAAGGAAGAACCTGGAGGAATGGCATTTATATACGCATGCCAGAAGTACTACGGAGCTCTTATCCGCACTTAGTCATTTTGATTTGTGTAGTTGCCTAACTCCGTTCTGAAGTGAGCATAACGAGGCGAGAGACTGATTAGCGTCCTCTCTTTTCTTGGAAGGGTACATATTTGATTTGAAGCGACAACCTTGTCGCCGAAGACATTCAGGAGTTTGAAGATAGTCCTATGATAGCACAATACATCGAAGGCGAAGGTGGCCTTTAGCCGTGTTCGTGAAAAGTTGATGAGTTCGGTATGGGTGCGCGAGGTCAGTCCCCACGAACCACACATGCGTACCCCGTGCTTGAGGCGTCCATTACCTGCTAGCCCGCGTAATAGACCCGCTTCTCCGTTGGCCCGGTGCATAATGATGATTGCGAATGACCAGCGATCTGCCAAGCTATTATTGTTACAAGCGCTTGCAAAGAAGGGAGGAACACGTGCGCTTTTGTCTTCCTCACATCTGACATAGCCCACGAATTATATAAAACGTCATCGCTCGAGCTCATCTTGCTATCGTTCTCGCTATTGTTTCATGGCAGCCGTGAAAATGGACGAGAGCGGTAATAAGACGAGCCAGGAAGCCAAAAAATGCGGGAGAAAACTGGGAGACAACGTTACGAAGATCATCACCATCATATTGCACAATGTGTTTTGCTGTAGAGACAGTCGTGGCACACAGTACAAATAAAACGTCGTAACGATGGTGGTCGGCGATGGCTGATGGCCGGCTGTATCAGGCCGACCAATCGTTTCTCGTTTCCGACCCCAGATTCACTGCGTTTTAGGTGTTTAGCTAACCAATCTTTCTTGGTTGAGGAAACCCACATTGAATGGCGAGCATTATTCCTTCAACTTTCCTATAGCCCGAGATTTTTGTGCCCCCGTTATGTCTATTTACGTTTACAGACTGATAAATTCTCACAAACTTGAAGACGCAGAGCCCGGTGACCTTTGGCCAGTCAAGATACGTATAAACGGTCTGAAGTGGCTTTTTGACTTCATTCGCATTACGCACAAGTCTGCGATGACCAAAAATATTTAGCAAAGCGGCCCTTCTCAATCCAATCTCGCCCAGATCTTTTATGACGTACGCACACGCTTCCTGAACAACACCTTACTGCTCTGATCAGGTAGCTGATCACCGGCTAACCACATGGAGGAGGGCGGCCTATCCATCTTCACGTCAAAGTTCAGAAGAACATACGACATGAGAGCCTTCAACTCATTGACGGCGAAGAAACGGCCAGGACTACAGGATGGTTAGCTCTCAGAACTGATCAAGCTGTTACTAAAGCTTCGCACCATGCCGTTCGCCCAAGGCCAAAGAAAATGAAATCCAAGCTAGGAGTGATCATCCTGTGACGAATACTCTCGCCCTCTTGTTTTCTCTTGTCGAAAAACCTCCACGGTCTGAATTCTAATGGGTTTTCGTAGTTCCTCTGTACGAATGTCGATGAATATGATAGTTAGACTTGCGTCATGTGCGACTCACCTCGTCCGTATTCGTAGCCAAAGCAGCCACCGCGATTTCAGTGCCCGCCGGAATGACCGTCCCATCTGAAAACGCGAAGTCACCTCGAGCGACGCGACGTATCCCGACTGTGCACAATTGTTAGTGTGAATGCGATGCAGCGAGAGAGTACCAACTCACAAGTGCCAACACTGCCATACACTCTCTGCGCTTCCTTCAAGAAGCTATCAAGCTGATTCATCTTTCCCATCGCAACCTTCGTACATCCTTCTGCATTGATGACAGATTCCACCTCGGTTCTGAGAGTTTCAGCGTACTCTGGATGTATGGCTAAGGTATAGAGAGCAGTCGTAAATGTCTATCAGGGATCCAGTTAGCTTTTGGCCTTGGACATATAATCTAGAGTAAATACCATAGAGGTCGTATGGATCGCTCCCAGATTCAGGCTGAGCATTCGAGAGCTTAAGTCCTGTATTGTACGTCGTTCTTTGTCGCCATGAGTTGCGTCGATTAGCCACGAAAGGAGGTCATTCTGTGGTCCGTGAGACGAATACTCGACAAAACAGAGTTAGTAGAGCTTTCTCACCGGCTTCCCCGGCCAGTCTTTGCCGTGAACGTTTTCCTGATGTAGGCGTTCTCGTATAGTTTCATTCAGGAATTTCATCATCTTGGCTAAGGCACGCCTGCGAGGCGTGAAGAGGGTTCCCAGAAGTCTTAGGACGAAGATAGTTTCAGCCTCGACAATATCAAGCTCTGGTGACTTACGGTTTGAGGATCCTGGGGAAGAGATTGATGATACGAGCGTAGACAAAAACGTCAATAGTGAAATCAATGTTGAGTTTAATGTAATCAGGATCACGGCCTTAAGACGGGTTGGTGTCGACAAGGCACTAACATGGATAGCTTGCTTACAGATGGGAAGTCCTATGAACATCCGATTGCTCGCTCTGCATACGATTTGCAAAATCGTCTCGTATGCGGAAACTTCAATCCAGTCTATAGCAATATTAGCCTGGGTACTTGAAAAGTGCCGGGTCCCCGTACCGTCAGTCATGGGTATATAGTCTTCAAAAGCTACTTTTATCTCGTCTTGAACGTCCGAAAAACAGGTAACAATGTTCCGAGTCAGAGCGCCTCGTACAACTTCTGTCTGGTACGGGTCAACACATAGGTTGCGACCCATGGTATGATTCATTTGCAAAAGCTACAGATGCTGCTATGAGAATCATACAAGAGACCTCACATATAACAAGGAACACTCACATCTATGGTCGCATCCAGAGAAGACAGCTGCTCGAGCGTGGACTTCCGAATGTCATCAATCTTCTCGGCGCCACTCACGACGACCATCCATTTATCAATCAATGGCACTTTAAACGTTGACCCATAATACTATAGGGCAATCATTTAATCCCAAAGGATACTAATGGGACGACCCGGTACACACCTTTGCATAACCCTCTTGAATAATTTCCTTCCCATGAAATATGTACTTGAAGGCGTCTATCCAAGACGTTATGAGACCCGACGACCCCACCGTTGGAATGTGCTTCAGCTACAACAACGTCAGCGTTCACCGGGTTAAAGGAGATACAACAACCTACTTTTGCTCTGGTTAACAGCGCCTTTCGGATTTGTAGGGCAAGCAAAAAAGCAGTGGCTATGGCCAGAGTGCGTAGCACGAAGGTCCTGGCGCCTAGCTGCCACGGAGGTTCGAAATAGTCTTCAAGCGCCATATGTTAGATGAGAATCAAAGAGAAACAGAGGTTTGTATGCATACGTACCATGGGAATGTTGGCATCGTGCGAACGCATGGAAGGTCACAGGTCCGACCAGCGCATATCAGAATCACCGTTGCCGACAGGACATTTGTTCCAATCGCACGGATACTACATACCGCGTAAGCGCCACTCGTTTATCTGTTAAAGTCATCGCGGTGCTAGTGCAAACGCAGAGTGCACCAAGCTTTTATACCATCATAATAGCCACAGAGAGGTAGTAGTCCGTGATCACCGTTCTCGTGTTGCCACTGATTCATCCAGTCCAGAACCGAATATGACAACACTTTCCCGAAAAACACCTCAATAACACACGTGTCGTTCTTTCGGCTGCTTTATATATTATCTCGGACCGGCAGTGTGAGTATACAGTTTCGCTAGGCTAGCAATACTGGATGCCTCTGCATGCTGCATTTCTCTGGTACGACTCGGAGTGTTGAGTAATCCCAGTTTGAAACGAGCAACTATTCCTATTTTCGCTGCAGGTTCAGTTATCAGACCAGTATACCAAATTTACAAGACAGTACACACCGTTCCATCGCTTCCCTGTGAGCCAGCCAAATCGGTAGATATGCTTCCATGGGTTCTGATCATGAAACCGATTGAGCCGCGGAGACATTTCCGAACATGACACCTATGCTCGAGAGGGGCTACTTGAAGGACAGCATAAATACCCATTAGCCAAGTACTCCTAGACCAGGAACAACATGAACACCTACCACAACCATCACAGCACCATGTCAGCTTCACCAATGTCCATCGCAACATTGTACAATCATCCCCCCTCATCGTCGTCCACCGAGTCCTTCGACTCTCTAAACTCTGTACCCGGGACGCCGACAAGTTTTGTACCATCCGCTCCAGATAAAGACCATCGCAGCCTTCGAGAACGCCGAGGCGTGACTTTCTTCATCTCGTTCACCCGACCGAATTTCGGTCCAGTCATTCCTGCGAAGGGGCATCTTGAACCCAGGGCTGGCTCTCTTCCCCGTAGAAGAAAGGCCTCTGCTCCCAGACCTGCGTCTCCGAAAATTGTAGTAGACGTTAACATGGTCGCAGGGTTCTTTTAAGCGCATCCTCTGCCACCAGAGTGTCGGTACCATTCATATTCCTTCGTGACCGGTCAATCTTCTACGCGCGAGAGGAAAGCGACAATGTATCGTCCGGGGTCCAGGGTCCATCCTGCATGAAAATTGTAGTGCAGAACTGGGACGACGTTGGCGTAGCCCGTCATGTTTTGATAGCTCGTGGACTTGTATCAAATAAATCTTCTCTGTTCCGCGAAAAGGCAACCGAGCATCAAGTGTGAGATAGCTGCAAGAGAGAAGAATCGGCTGAGATATTCCCTACAAAAAGAGATAGACATACACAGAATATTGACGATACCTCACACCAATCCTGAATGCTCGTAAGGGGTACGGAGATGCCCTATCGCTGCCGCCCATGACACTCCCGTCATCTTTATCGTCCAAGGAAAAGGCAGTCGCGCTAATGAGCCGGGTCTGCCTCTACACCACCAATAAGATAAAGTCAAGTGGGAAAGCGCACGACGTACCAATAGCCGGACTATATTCCTACGCTTGACTCGACATCCTCAAAGTAGGACAAACTTGTTTTCTGGCAGCGCTGCAATGCATCCCACTAACGGCTCCGAATGGCGATTTCCTTTACGATGCCAGGCAAACTTTGAATCGTTCCATGTCGTTGAATGCGGTAGGCGCTGGAGTCGACAGAAATGGCGAGGAAAGCAGTTAAATTCACCAGCATCGTCGGCAAGGTCGTGGTGGTAGAAGATCAAGTGACCGTGACCACTTTTGCTTCCGTACCACCATCATCGATTATCCCCCTCCGTTCCCTCACCATTTCCTCCTGCAGCAGTGCATATTCTCGTCGTTTCCCCGGATATCTGGAAGAGTAGCTTTTCAGTATCGTGCGTTGCTGTATTTCTTCTTCCCAGGAAAGCGCTGATGGATACTGTAGATGACGACGCCGTTCAAGGACAGCGTACCCGTCGAATTCAGCCTTTCTATTCCCCAAGAGCTCTTTGATTACATTCTCGACTTCCTGTACGACGGCGCCCCTACCTTGCTGGCGTGCTCTCTTATATGCCGTGCATCCCTTCCCTGTAGCTGCTATCATATCTATTCAAGCGTGTTTATCGTGCACATCTGTGAATTTGACAAATTTCGAGAACAATACGCAGGGCAACTGTACCACCACGAGAACCTTGCCACATTACTCCAACATTCTCCCTCCGTTGCCTCGCTGGTCACAAGATTCGGAATTCATGCAATGTTAAACGCGATGATGGACCCTTTTGATGGACATCTCTCTCTTGCCTATCGTTCAATCTCTCCATAATCTGTCCCATCGAATTCATCACTCGCCGAAACTAGGGATTCTGGACCGAGTCTCCAGTCACCGCACAGACTCTTCCTCACAGCTCTCCGCTCTCTCCCACTCAAAACACCCGTCTTCAAAGGCACTAAATTGCGCATAGATGCCCAATTCGAAGATGTTTTTGCTGCTGCCGCGAAGCCCGCACTAAAGCATCTGTCAATTACTCACACTTACGCAAGAGAACGTCAACGGATCCCCCATACGTATCTACTGTACATATTCTCACGTTTTATCATTCAGAGCGCTACTGTATGCATGCAAAAGACTTGCGACTAAATTGTCATCTAAATGTGTACTAGTACCAGGGTAATGGGGAGCTTGAATATGGAACAGTGTTACTTTGAAATGGAAACGAGTGTTCGTCATGTACTTGTATTCAATTGACATTGGCCGGGTACCGCTTTCTCGACTGTGGCATACAAACTGGCTATTATCGTACTGCAACCTTCATAACGCAGGTGCCCTCTTGCGGAACAGCACCTTACTGCTCTGGCTTGGGAACTGCTGAGAAAGGAACCATCCAGGCGGGGGAACTTTGTCTATCTTCACATCAAAGTTCAAGAGAATATGGCACATGAGGGCCTTGAGCTCATTAACGGCGAAAAACCGGCCAGGGCTACAAACAAAGAGTCAGTTTTAAATTTCTCAGTGGCTTGATGTACTCACCACGCCGGGCGTCCGTTACCAAAAAGAACATAATCCGAGTCGAGCGTGACCATCTGGTGGCGGGTGCCCTCACCCTCCTCTTTCCTCTTATCAGAAAATCTCCACGGTTTGAACTCTAGTGGGTCCTCGTAGTTCTCCTGCATAGGTCAAGTAGTGAGAAGGAAGGTAAGGTCAGATATCCAGACCCGTGGTTACCTCGTCCATATGCGTGGAATAAGCTGCAGCGGAGAGGTGATTGCCAGCAGGAACAGTGGTTCCGTCCGAAAAGACAAAATCTTTCTTAACGACGCGTAACATGCTGACTGTTCTCGTTTCTCATTATGTTTCAAACCAAGGACGAGGGGAACAACTCACAGGTACCGATGCCGCCGTACAGTCTCTGTGACTCCTTCAAGAAACTATCAAGCTGACACATCCTTCTCATTGCGGCTTTCGTCCAGCCTTCTGCTTCAATTGCGGCTTCGACCTCGTCTCGAAGGGTCTGCACATATTCAGAATGAGCAGCTAATGCATACAGAACGGTAACAAATGTCTAAGAGTGTACAGTTATCAGCTGCTCGAACTTCAATTTCAACGTTGAACAGACATACCATAGACGTCGTATGAATAGACCCAAAGTTTATGAAAAGTAATCGAGTGACCAAGTCCTGTATTGTACGCCGTTCACGGTCACCATCTGTCGCATCAATGAGCCAAGAGAGAACATCGTTCTACCAATACCATGAGAAAAATGTGTTTGGAAAAGAGTAGTTTGGATTTCCCACCGGCTTTCCCGGCCAATCTTTGCCATGCACATCATCTTGATGTAGTCGTTCCTGTATAGTTTGACCAAGTAATTGCTCCATCTTGGCCACCGCACGTCTGCGAGGCGTGAAGATAGAGCCCACGATGCTGTAAACATGGATGAGCCAGGTTACGATTCAAATTGAACCAGGCTAACTTACGGCTTTAGGATTGGGGGGAAAAGGTTGATGACATGAGCGCAGGCAATAACATTGACGGTGTAATTGATGTTGAGGTTGATGTAATCGCGATTGCGACCTTGAGTACCAGGTCAGATCAATAAGGCTTTGAGACGAACTCGGAGGTCGACTAACAAAGAGGAAGTCCAACATACATCCGGTTGCTTGCTCTGCATATAATTTCTAAAAATGTCTTGTACGCGGGGACTTCTATCCAGTCTACAAGTGCGTTAGCAATTGTCCCGTAGAAGGCCGTGAGGGACTATACCTTCAGTCATAGGTATGTCATCTTTGAAGGATGCCTTGATTTCGTCCTGAACATCCGCAAAACGCACAGCAATATTGCGGGTCAGCGGGCCTCGCACAACACCTGCATGATAAGGGTCGGCGCTGACGCTCTTTCCCATCGTATGGTCGAACTGGAAAAGCTATATTCGTTGTTACGATAATTGCGATGGACTGAAAATGAGAAAGGTTCACCTCTTGACCCGCGTCCGTAGCAGATAACTGCTCATTCGAGGCTTTTCGAATGTCATTGATCTTCTCTGAGCCGCTCACTACGATCATCCATTTGTCGAGCAACGGCACTTTGAAGGCTTTCCCGTAGTGCTAGGGAAAGAAACGTGTCATTTCGAAGATCGGCAAGACAACTCCATACATACTATGTTATAACCTTCCTGAATGATCTCCTTCGCGTGGAAGACAAACCGGAACGCGTCTATCCAAGACGTGATAATACCAGACGACCCAACTGTAGGTATATCTTTCAGCTGCGATGACATTAGCATACACCAGGACGAGATTGGTGCAATAACGAACCTTTGCTCTGGTGATGATAGCCTTTCGGAGCTGTAAGGCAAGCAAAAATGCAGTGACTAAGAACAGACTGCGTAGCAGTAACACGCTGTCTGATTCTTGCGCCATATCGATGTATACTTGAATACCTGTCTGTCGAACGAGGAATTTCAGAGGCAACCTGGCCTCTATATACAATCCTGGGAGAACGGTAAAATTAGTCAGCCCACTAATGTCCGTTTCGTACATCAGTAGCCGTACCCACGATCCGTTCTGTCAGAGGAGAATTGTAATAAATTAATAATTCAGAATTCCATTCTGATCAGGTCCTTACTTACGTGCAGATCAGAGGTTTTCGGCAGTACTGTGATAATATACCGAACGACCAAGGCGCTATGTTCGACTTCGTCAACGACTGGCCAGTTGGGCGTGCGTAAGCAAGGTCGACGTTGAGCTCCCGCCTCCATGTGTCGTACGCTGGTAATGCTCATTACCTCCAGTATGCATCACACGCATGAGACTCTCCATCCGGTCAGGTCGTAATAATTGCAAATGTCACCCCAGCCCAATGCTCTTGATCTGGGGTAAGCACAACTGGTACCCCGAATCGATGGGACAGTACGTACATGAATCTTTATGCCATGTGAACACCTTTTCTTCCCATAGAACAAAACCGGTACTGCCACCGTCTCTCCGTTTGACGTTCAAATCCTGGCGCCGGCCCTGATCCAAAGCGAAATATACCCGCAAGCATACCCTTCTTTGAGTTGTTAGTTTTACTCCCGGAAATATTACAACTCCAACGCTTACCAACATCGGCATAACACTCGACATGCTTTATTCCACCTCGCCGTCGTCCACGAATCCTTGAACTCCCGGCAGCGAAGAGTCGATACGTTCCATACGGTCTGCTCCAGATGTCGCGAATACCAAGTCGTGGCCTTCTTCGTCTCATTTGACTGGTCGAATTCTTGTCAAGCCATTCCTATCGAAGGTTGTCCTGAACGCAAAACTCCTCAGAGAAAAAAGCTCTACTCCCGCACCCGCGTCATAATGGTCGCGTACAATCGAGCGGGCTTCTTGTATGCATAGACCATGGAATGCTAAGGTATTGGCGCTCCTTCACGGCGAGGTAAAGCAGTGGCCTTGTTCTGCTTGCGTTGCTCATCGGTTCCTTATTGGTAGTAATCATAATCCAAGGAGAAACTCCAGTGCCTTGCGGACAAAAAATTAGTCAGTGTTTGCGGTGAACATGGAGAGAGCTCACCAAGGATGCTTTACCTCTCTGTATCTTGGCGGCCAGTATGTGGATAACACGAAGGAAGAGTCCAACATGAAAAAAATAGGCACGGTGTTAGTGGTGTCGGCCGTCACCGACAGCGATGATGGCGGTAAAGGATCAAGGAACGATCGGTTACCGGCAACCTTCCTTTCTGCCGCCATCATTTCCTCATTAGCATCCTTGGTTTCTCGAACGGCATCTGTGCCTCCATTACTTATTGAAGGGTAATCTGTCAGTAATGTAATATCTCCTTCTGTTCCCAATGCAACGTTTTTTCATGATTTTTGTGCCTACGTCGAGATCGATGAGGACCCACACATTCACCTCTTCGACGTAGCTATTCGACTGTTCTCCATTCAGGTAAAAAAAAAAAGACATCGAATACGATGCTCGCTTGTACGCCTGCAGCCTGTAGTTCTTATTCATATTGCTCTCGGTGTGAAATATCAAGTAAAACCAATGTTTTCTCACAGGATCCTATAATTGAACAGGAAGCAGAAACTCGCCTTTTAGCCCTTTAGGCATTCCACAGAGCATTATAGTAGGCATAAAATGCGTACTACTTCGTCGCGTAAAACCAAACAGCATATTATTCAAACAAGATTAATCAAGCATCACTACTTGGATGCACAAAACTCTAGCCCATACACATACCCGCCTTCATGACGAGGTCGCGCGTTTCTTGAACAAAACATTGCTGTTCTGAGGGATCCGGTCCGCGAGGAACCATTTGCTCTCTGGAACCTTATCCATCTTTACGTCAAAATTCAAAAGAACGTAAGTCATCAGGGCCTTCAACTCGTTGACCGCGAAAAAGCGTCCCGGGCTGTAGCAAAGAATCAGCTCCAAGTTCCCGGTGTTTCGACGTGGGACTCACCATGCTGGGCGTCCGTTGCCGAAGAGAAGGTAATCTAAGCTAGTCGTCACCATCTGATGACGAATGCCCTCTCCCTCCTTCTTCCTCATATCAGAAAACCTCCAAGGCTTGAATTCTAGTGGGTCTTCGTAGTTCTCCTATATGGATACTGAGATAAGGAGACGTGGCGATGGAGGAAGAACTTTATGTTTACCTCGTACATATGTGTGGAATAAGCAGCGACAGAAATTTGATGGCCAGCGGGAACAATTGTTCCATCCGAGAATACAAAATCTTTCTTGGCTAAACGAACCATACCGACTGCGATCGATTGTCAGAATTCTTCAAGCCGAAATGGAGAGTAACAACAACTCACAGACAGCAAAATTACCGTAGACCCTCATGGCTTCCTTCAAGAAACTGTCGAGCAGGTTCATCTTTCCCATTGCAGCCTTAGACCAGCCTTCTTCTGCGATAATCGTTTCTACCTCACTCCGGAGGATCTGGACATGTTCCGGGTGCGCAGCCAACGCGAAGAGACCAGTGGTAAAGGACTGGAAACGTACAGTTAGAGGTCGCTCAGAAAGCTGGAATTAAATGAACGTACCATAGACGTGGTATGGATAGCCGCAAAGTTCATGCCAAGCATTCGAACAATCAAATCTGATACTGTACGCCTCTCGCTGTCGCCATTGGTTCCGTCAATAAGCCACGAGAGGAGGTCATTCTGCCGTTGCGTAAGACCCGCGACTTTCGGGGGAACTCATTTGGAATACCCACTGGTTTTCCCGGCCAGTCTTTTCCATTTACGTCGTCCTGGTGTAGCCGTTCTCGTATGTCGGCACCAAGAAAGTTTTCCATCTGGGTCATAGCACGTCTGCGAGGTGTGACGATGGATCCTACAATTCTAAATCACGATGGGTCAGCCTTGACAAGATTTATCCAGACATGTTAACGTACGGCGCTAGGATCGAAGGGAAAAGGTTGATAATATGAGCACAGGCCACTACGTTCATAGTGAAATCGATATTGAGCTTAATGTAATCGGGGTTGCGACCTTAAGAGCGAGTTTATATCAGGAAGAGATTCAGAGATGGAGGAGTTACTAACAGAGAGGTAGCCCAACAAACATTCGGTTGCTCGCTCGGCATACAATTTGCAAGATCGTTTTGTACGCAGGGACTTCGACCCAGTCTGTAGATACACCAAGATAAGAACACATGGCGAAACACTAGGAAAGACTCTACCTTCAGTGATAGGTACATTATCTTTGAATGCCGCTTTAATTTCATCTTGAACATCCGCAAAGCATGCAGCAATATTACGAGTCAAAGAGCTTCGGACAACATCTGAATGGTAGGGATCCACCGTGAAACTGTAGCCAATCGTATAATCCATTTGGAACAGCTGTAGATTAATGGAGTGTGAATCGCAGTATACAGTATAGATCGAAAGTCAAAGATGGCCTCACGTCTTGGGCCGCGTCTACGGAAGACAATTGCTCGCGTGAAGCCTTTCGGATATCGTCGATCTTCTCAGCACCACTCACAACTACCATCCACTTGTCGAACAACGGCACTTTGAACGCACCTCCGTAGTACTGGGTAAAAGAAATGAGCTACCCTGAATATTGGTATAATAGGCGGATGCATACCGTTCTATGGCCCTCTTGAATGATTTCCCGAGCATGGAAGATAAATTTAAAGGCACCTAACCAAGACGCGATAATTCCAGACGGCCCGACAGTAGGTATGTCTTTCAGCTGTTACGGCATCAACACGGGCTAAGAATGACAGTGGTGTAGAAACATACTTTCGATCCAGTGGTGATAGCCCTTCGCAGCTGCCAGGCGAGGAGGAATACACTGGCTAGGCCGAAACTGCGTAGCAAGAGGGCAGTGTCCATATTCTGAACTAGAGTTATGTATTCTGGGAGAGTTATGTGTCAGATGAGAATGAGAAACCCAGAAAGACGGGGTTTATGTACCAGCGCACCACTGGCATGAGAAAGTTACTACGGACCCCGGCCTCCGCACTTACAAAAACTGTATTGGTAAGTAGTGGTGCCCGCGATCCGTGAAAGGAAGCACCTAGAGGGGGTAAGCGAGGTGCTTCTCTTTCTCGATTTTCGGGTGTTTAATCATGTGGTCCTGTATTTAATGTTTTCAGTATCGTCGTGAGTGTAAAATGAATATGTCAAGGGGCTTGAGGCATTGTAATGAAAGACTTACTGGCACTGAAGACCAATACTCGGCTTTCATCTAACATACGTCGGTTGCGTCTCTTCAGCATGATGCTTTTCCCGCACAAAGGTCTGTTGTAAGTACACCCGACTGATCGGTTGAATAAGTACGTACAGATATTCCGACGTGGCGTGCCGGCGGCATGGCTCCTGGAAAAACAGAGTTCATAATATAATCACCTAGTTTTGCTGCACTTGTTAACAATCAACGTCTCGCTGAGAATACCGAGGTATCGTTAATTTACCTTGAGATTTCTCGGAAGACAAGTCAATAGAGTCTAGATGGAGCCCTGTACCTTCTGAGTATAAGTAGATGATATGCGCTCGGAATTTTGAAGATGTCACGGTAGGCTTTCTGGTCCTTGCACAAGCGGCTCTCGGGCCAGTGTTCCTAAACGCCTGATAAGATGCGGTAGGTAGGGCCCTAAGGTAGAGGCCATCCATTTCCATCACGTGTTATGTAAGCAGATTTCCTTGACTTTTCGACCTGCATCTCTTCCACCACGTCGGGGTACTGACTGAAAATACTGCCAGAGGATGATGAAGAGATGTATATAGAACATTTCCCTGAAGCTACTTTCTTAATATATATATTAATGATAGAGCAGTAACAAATTTAAGATAAAAAATTTCGGGGCATTTTCTGAATGTTCCCAAGTCATTTTCCGGCCATTTGGAGTCATCTCGAAAAAATGATGTCGAAGAATTTGTCCAGTCACGTGATCACGTAAGCTACCTGTTCGACGCGCCGCGAGCTCATTTTTCGCAGTCATTTTGGTCTCTAATTGCTACAAAACGATGCCTATGAAGTCAAAAGCAACGAGAGCACGAATTTTGAACCTCCGTGGGGCCGCTGCCCAGTCTCGTTCCGTCAGAATTCAAGATGTCCTTGAAGAACTTGGAGAAGCTGATGTGATGCGTGCCAAGGACATTCACCACTGCGATAGCAATCACTCCCAGCATTCACATGCACCAGAAGATGGCGCATTGACATGGTCTTTTGATCTCGGAGATCAGCTGCCAGATTTCGAGGTGGATGAGGAAACTGGCAGTGATGAGTTCATAGAAATTGACGAGATTCAGACAGAGGAGGAGCTCGGGAGTTGGACAGTTTTCCTGGAAAAGGCACAAGAGGCAGTGAGAGAGGAAGAGAGGGAGAGAGAGAACAGCCGGAAAAGAAGAACACCATCTTGTGAATGTAACTTCATAGAGATGTACTGGGGTGCAGCCAAGTACCGCTACCGCAGTTCTCCTCGGACAACCAACATCGATGAAATGGAGAAAAACATGATAGCATGCCTTGATGATGTTCCGCACTTACAGATCATTCGGTGAGTGGGTTCTATTTATATATATATTGATCTCTATGCTAAATCTCATAAATAGCTATGCCAATCGCTCTGCCCGTTTCATTTCAGCATATTATTATGGACTTAGTGGTGTGGATGCAGTTTGGGCTGCCAGAAAGTATGCTGGACATAGGATTCTCCCTCTGGACATACTTGCAGATATAAGGGAGTTTGTTGAGAGTCGGGAACGGTCTCAAAGGGAGCGAGAGGCAGCGAGAAAGTAATATATTTCCATTAATGAAGACGCGTCCTATTCAAGCTCGCGATTTTGTCCTCACGTGATCTGCTGACAAATGCTTACATAACACGTGATGGAAATGGATGGCCTCTACCTTAGATAAATTCGCGTGAGGGGAATAGACAAGTACGCCTGTATGGGGCCGAGGACAAATTCTTGTCCATATTATATTGGAAAGGGACCATCGAAATGATTCCATACGCTCTGATCACTGGCGCAGTCACATAAAACCACGGCGACATTCTTGAACTGTGTACTGTGTAATGTAAAGAAGCAAAAAAAATCCAGAAAGTCGTCAGCACTCTCGCAAAGTAAATACAATTCGAAGACTGACCACCATCATCGGAGCATTCTTTTATCAGTACCCATCGTGGTATTCCATAACCCTCCCGGCGCAATATCCACCTTGCAAATTCATTGGCTCTCAAAGCTTCACATCCCGGATGGTGACAGATTCACTCCATACTCAAGCTTTCGAGAGCATCGAGGGGTGATCTTCTTCATTTGTTCACCCAACCAGATTTCGCCCCGTTTATTCCTGCGAAGGGCTATATTAAACTCAGAGCTGATTCGAAGAAGAGTCTTCAGGAGTCTTTCTGTCTTGATTGGTGCTTGCGAGTCGTGATGGACACTAGGAGAGTTCTTTTGAGCGTCCACCGGATATTCTGCCACTAGGATGTCAGTATTGGAGCCGTATCGCTGGGCTCAAAAGTCAAAGAGAATAAGGAATCGATAGTCGCTGTTGTAGCTACGAAGTAAAGAACAACCGTGAAGATATGGGCAGCCTGCCCTAAGGTATACGTGATCATGGAGGAACCGGACCGTGACCTACCGCAGCGAAGTCACAGCCAGACATACTTAGGGCTTCGCACCGTCACCGTATAGTACGGTTATACGGGTGCCATCATACGGGTACCGTACCCGTTCCGTCTGGCGAAATAACTCGCCCAGAGACGGACGGTATACGGACATCCCGTATCCCGTTAGCAACCGTATAAACACGGCCGTCATACGGTAATCGACGGCCGTGTATGTATCTAAAAATAACCGTCATCAGATCACGCTGTACGCGTGTTTGCCATACACTTAACATCGTACCACGATGTGCTGGCACCGCAAGCTCTTCAGCGCTACCACTCGATCTTCTTTCACTCGCTCTACTCAAGCTCTAATCCTTACCAGCATAGAATACTTTCTATTTCCTGCTTCTGCTGCCTCTATTCTACTACTGTTTCATCCTTTGAGTTTGACTACCCGCACATATTGCGCAATAATTTGCCCCCACTAGCCTGTGCACCTGTCAAATACTGCTGAATTTTAAGCCAGAGGAGTTCACGAAAGAGTATATAATGGCCCTTTTTTTCGCAGACTTACCACCACATTCTGAGCATCATGACAGATCAGTGTGCCCTCGATGCCAACGGAAACTCGAAAATCAAATTTTATCACGATGCAGATGACGACGTGCCCATGGCAGGACCTGAAGCTGCTCCAAAGCCCCAAATATCAGTTATGTATTATTCAACGGCCGTATTGACGACGTCTATATACCAGTACCGTACCGTCAACCCAGTTCTAAGAGCCTTGACGGTACGGTTACGGACCACCCGTCGCCCGTCACTGTACCGTGGCTATACGGCCGTATACCGTATACGGTACGGTGCGAAGCCCTAGACATACTTTCCCCTACAACTCCAGACCAATCTTTGAACAGAAATTTCTGAATATTTCTGATATCATTTAGAATATGATATGCCCTGGTATCGATGGTGGCAGGGTAAAGGATCCACAAGTAAATATTACCATGCAGGTCGTGGCTGTAGTGGTGGAAGATCTAGGAAGCTACCCGGACAAGCTTAATAATTGCTCTTGCTTCCGTACTACGATTTATCCGTCGCAGTATCGTCAAATCGTTTCTTGTCCTGAGCGGCTTTAAATTCGGACGCCTTTCGACTTCATGTCTTTACACACAAATTTGTCACTACAAGGAGCATATAACACTGCATCTCTTTCTTCTCTATCCAACCACGTCGAATACTGCCTTAATCATTCGTGGTGTATGTTCGCTTCCTGAATGATACCTTACTGCTTTGATTGGGGGACTGTTCGGAAGAAAACCACATGGATGGGGGAACCTTATCAATCTTCACGTCGAAATTCATGAGAATGTAAGACATGAGGGCCTTCAACTCGTTGGCAGCAAAGAAACGGCCCGGACTGTAAATGAGTTTCAGACTTACAAAGAAACAATTAGAGATTGATAGAATGTACGTACCATGCCGATCTTCCATGCCAAAAGAAATGAAATCTAGGTTCGGTGTGGACAACTGGTGGCGCATACCCTCGCCTCCTTGCTTCCTCCTTTCCGAGAACCTCCACGGTTTAAATTCCAGTGGGTTTTCGTAGTTCTTCTGTAGCTATTTTGTAAGAAGGGTTTCTCCGACAGAAAGACTAGCCTTTACCTCATCCAAATGTGTGCACCAAGAAACCACAGCAACTTGAGTCCCAGCGGGAACAACCGTTCCATCCGAGAAAACAAAATCCTTCCGAACCACACGTCGCATTCCAACTGAGTTCGATATCAGAGGGAAATAATGTGCCAAAGGGAACACAACTCACAGACCCCGAAATCACCGTATAATCTCTGACTTTCTTTCAAGAAACTATCGAGTTGGTTCATTCTATCCATTGCGGCTTTTGTATTTCCTTCTTCCTTTATCATAGATTCCACCTCGGTACGTAGAGTTTCGACGTATTCGAGGTGGGCAGCTAACGCATACAGAGCATTAGTGAATGCCTGTGAGCATAGTCAGTTGTGGTTTTTCGTATAATTCAACGTACCATAGCTGTCGTGTGGATAGCGTCATTCTGTCGGTGTATGAGGGGCATATTCAGAAATTTGAGCTTATAAGCCTCACTTACCGGTTTTCCCTGCCAATTTTTCCCATATATGCCCTCCTGGTGCAGTCGTTCACGTATGGTTCAACCAAGCAATTCTTCCATCTTGGCCACAGCAAGCCTGCAAGGCGTGAATATGAACCCCACAATCCTAATCATGCACATATACGGACTCAGTACTCAGTCTGAATGCTATCGAGCTGGAATAACCTACGGCTTCAGGAAGGTTGGGAGAAGGTTCATAATATATGCACATGTGAAAGCGTTGATGGTGTGGTTGATGTTGAGTTTAATATAATCGTGGTTCCGGCCTCAGGAACAAAGAATCTTTAGCGACACAGCAGGTGTTGGTGTAGGAGGTTAAGTACTCACACAGAGGAAGTCCGACGAACATCCGGTTGCTCGCTCTGCATATAATTTGCAAGGCCGTTTGGTATGCAGGAATCTCGATCCAATCTACAGTAGCGTTAGACAGGACGCTACTGTTTGCGATGAAACATGAGCTCCATACTTTCAGTCATTGGTATGTTATCGTTGAATGCGGCCTTGATCTCGTCCTGAACATCTGCAAAGCAAGCTGCGATGTTTCGGGTGAAAGCGCCTCGTATAACATCGATATGGTAAGGGTCGGTGACAACGGAGCGGCCAATAGTATAGTTCATCTGTACAATCTAAAATATCCGCACTGAGAATACTATACCAAATGAACGAAAAGAATACTCACATCTGCGTTCGCATCCATAGAAGACAACTGCTCGACGGGGGACTTCCGGATGTCATCGATCTTCTCGGGTCCGCTGACTATGACTACCCATCTGTCGGGCAACGTCACTTTGAATGCTGACCCACAGTGCTATTTCCGGTCGGCCAGTTAGCCACGCGAGGGGATAAACAGATACACACCATTCGCTGACCCTCTTGAATGATTTCCTTTGCGTGGAAAATGAAACTGAAAGCATTTATCCAAGACGCGATGATACCAGATGACCCGACAGTAGGAATCGCTTTCAACTGTGATACAGTGAGCATATGACAGAATCAAGTAGTATATTCTCTCACCTTCGCTCTGGTGATTGAGGTCTTTCGAAATTGAATTGCGAGCAGCAACACGGTAGCGATACCTAGGCTCTGTACTAACACTAAGGCATTGTCAACCTGTCGGACGAGACTGACATATTCATTGAGGCTCATACTAGGAGAATTCAGAGACAGTGTGACGGAAAGACTGGTACTGACATTTATATAGTATCCTTGTGTGCCAGATTGATACCTTTCTTATTCACTCGTCCGTGATGCATAGTTGTATTTTCCACTTGTTATTCGGCACTAAGAAGAACCGTGCATGCATGGTGGCGAGCGAAGTGATCCGTTGTTATAGCACGTTTGCGTACATCTTGTGGAGTACACTCCCCATGGGGTACACTGGAAAGTGGTAAGGATTGCATGGCATATCCTAGTTAATAGAAGTCGTCGATTATGGATCAATTATGGTGCCGAACAAACCTTCAGGAGATGTATTCATAATATTATTGTTCAATACCCATCGATGCCCATTTGTGCTCAGCCGAATGCGCATCAATGGTAACATAAAGCAGAAGGCTATTCCGAGTGCGGAAAGCCTGAGTCTCACGTTTGACATGCTATACGCCTGTGCAATGCTGGTTGTAGATCGGGTCAACCTGATAGTCCTGATCCGCTGTGAGTTTGGAAGGTACACCGAAGGAGAGACAGGTTGGCAGTACATGCAGAAACCTTTATGCCGTGCCAACGCGGTCTCGCGACAGTCTACGGTTGATTTTTGGTGAACGCACAACCTTTATCAGCTTGTTATACCGTAGTGAAAGCGACGCTGCCAGGTTGCACCTAAGCGACAAGCAGAGCTTTAGCAGTATGATGAGATAGTGGGGACCAGGACTAAAAGCAACCAGAGAAGCGTTGGTCCGCTATGTCGTTTTGAAAAGGGCCATCGCTTCTTCGCACCATCCCAGGGAATTGAATAACCCGACTTGGGCTACGAAACCTACTGTGGATGAGATAGAGAAACAAGTTATTCTGGGTCTCTGAGGTTTCGCCTTCCAAAGATTTCAGTTCCACTACTCGGGCAGTCCAGTGCTAGGAGAGCCGAGGCATAGGTATTGCAGCTGCGCAGGACGCGGTCATGATGGAGAGATAACAACGAGCACTCCAAAACGACGATCCTTCTTCCTCTAGTACCGCCATTATCTGTTCCGAGTCCTGTGAGTGAGTATACAGGCGGCTCGGTCTTATGCTGTTTTTTTTGGTGTACTCGGTGGCGGTGTATTTTGGACCTTCGGACGTCATGTGGCTTACGTGTCCTACTCGCCTGCCGGTCCAGCTCCATCTATTTCAAATCTCGACTGTCTTGATTTGAGAGTCTGCCTAGGGGAGACTACATCTGCGTGTTGTCTGCGGTTGGCATTGAACATTGTTGCTCCTTCTACCGTCGCTCTTTTCGTTTACGATTTTCATGCGGCGGAGAAATCCATTGTCATGTATTTGAATTGTACACATCCTACGTATCTAACAACTCCAGTACAGGGTATAAACCTACAACTCTCCGATACAAATATCCAACCACTCCTTGAATATACCAACATACAAATCCATATTCTCTTGCGACAGCCATTTTCTTCCCGAACACCACGAGAAGTTAATCCGACCGGCATATTGCCAGCATATAGGAACGATAAGCGGATGGGTAACCCGAATGGTGTGATATTGACCAAGGACGGTCAATTCTTTCGCGAGCACTCCTGTCTCCGGGACGAACGGATTGAGAATATCCATAGCGTGATAGTCACCAATCGAGGACATCATAGGTACCCGCATGTGGAATGCTGTGTCGTCGTGTAGGCCCTCGTCGAGTACGAATTGACGATCGACTTCGCGTTGGAAGACGGCCGTCCAGTCAGACTGGGAGATGGTTAGAGAAGGCAAGAAAAAATGGCGTGTTAACCTACCGGAGTGCCCTTCGCGACAGAGTTACTCATTTTGATAATTCCATCCCAGAGGACCTCGTCTGTAATAGTACGCTGAATCTTTCCAGTTTCTTTGTCGAGTAAGATGGCTTTGCGCATGGTAGCCATGTCGAACAACAGGCTCGTACCCTCACAACCGAAGAGAAGGGCTCCGTCTTCGAGCGTCGAATATTCTCCTGGAAGTTTGTGACGCTATAATTCGAGTGTAAGAACTTACAACATGGCGATAGAGTGTCCAACTTACATGGTTGATAAAGTAGAAACCAAAGAGGAAATGCGACGCTTGCTCGTAGGCACCGATATTCTTAGCGGTGAGCTCCCCGTTGTCTGACTTTAGAGCAATATGCAGGGTCGACTCTATTTCCGCAAGGGCAAGAAGCGCAAGCATCAGGTCGGTAACCGTTACGCCATGTGCGCGACACACTTGACGATATCGGGCCGTCTGTTCAGGCGTAAGGGTAAGCAGCGCGTTGACGTTGTTCGCCTCATTGGCGGACGTATGATCGGCGTCCACTACCGCTGGTAGGAAGGGAATCTATACAACAATGTTAACGTTCTGCGGAGAAGAGGAAAAAACACGACATACAAATCCCGGAGGGGCGGGGGCGGCTTTGGGTTCTGGAGCCTGGTCTAACGGTAACTGGGCTGCTAGGATAAGTGTGGGTGCAAGACGGATAGGTTCAGAACCCCATTCAAGCTCCGGTGTCCCTGCAGAAGGCGTCTTTAGCTCTTCAAGCGTCCAGGTTAGGATGTGCTCCAGTAGTTTCATGAGGGAGCGGCCATCAATACTATTGTGCGGTGCGAGGTAACTGGAAGATTACGTTCGGCGAATGACCAGTGAACCGAAACGGTCGACTCACCCGATGTGCCAGTCGCCGGGAGTTTCCGCGGATGGTACGAAATGTAACTGGACGATGTACAGACCGTCGCTGCACTTCCACCACTTATCCTCGAGCATCAAGTCTGTCTGCAGGAGCGTCTTGGGCTCCTCGTGCCAGAATATTGTCTCCTCAGCCCAAGTTTGCGCCTCAGCAGCCGTGGGTACTTGGTATTCAAACCAGTAGTGACCGTCATGTTTCGTTTGCCTGCATGCAATTGAGGGGGAAAGGTGGCGCGCCTTGATCCAAGCTTTCTGAATAGGCAGCTCGAGCTCGGCGCGAGAACGGGGCGGTGTGAAACGAGCGGTCAAGGTTCCGGCATACATGGTGAAACCTTCACCATGGTCACTGAATAGGACGTGTCAGGGTCAATTGTATAGCAAGCAGAGGAGGCACTCACACGAAGTAGGCAGCCTGAGCTTCCTGACCATAGAGCCTTCGCGTCCACAGCTTCCCGTCCGCGGTACCGAATTTGAGTTCCGAGGGACATAGTGATGCAGACATAGCGCCGTGAAGATGAAGAGTTCATCGCAGTTGATACTGTATTTGTATTCCGCATGCTATCACACCAGAAGCATCAGAACGATAGGAGCTTGCCCAGTCCCTGCTACTGCCGCGTGTGAACAAATTATTTGGCGATCTGGACAGGATAGGACACGATCTGGTCGCAAAAAATGAATAATCGGTCCGGAAGCAATCCATAAAAGGTGTGACCGGTGTGACCAGTTGGATCTTGAACTTTTTCGTACCACTATCAGTGCCTATGCAATATCAGAAGACGCCTTTAGAACTTGTTTCCTGACATGTGGTCCCTTGTGTCCCTTAGTGGATCACCAAGGTCCAGCATTGCCGGCAGTCTCTCAGGCCATCTTCTTCCTCCATCCTCTTACGATATCTCGCACTGGAAACATGGATCGTCGTATTGATGGGGTAAGTGCCAGTCTCGCAGACACCTTATGGCTATTTTCAGGGAAATCCTTGATGACCTTGGCCTGTTCCTGGCTGGCGATTGTCGTGTTCTACCGATTCTATTTCCATCCGCTGGCCAAATTCCCCGGTCCAAAATTGGCTGCCGTTTCAAGTCTGTATCATTTTTACTACGATGTAGTTGCGGGGGGAGAAATGCTGTCCAAATTGGCCGAGTTGCACAAGGTTTACGGTAAGTATACTGTCTGTGTTGTTTCGAGCGTCTTTCTCAATATCCCCGAATAAGGTCCTGTTGTCCGTTATGGACCAAACTCCGTATGCGGCTTTATAAATTCATCAGAACTTTGGCTGAGCCTTGATCTTCAGTTGCACTTCAGTGAACGCCTGGCATACAGTGATATCTATCGAACAGGCACTAATCTAACAAAGGAACCATTCTTCTACAAATGTTTCTACTTCACGGAGGCCTCCTTTGGATTTACAGATCCTCAGAAGCACAAGACGCGTCGCGAGATGATGGCACCCTTCTTCCATCGGCGTGCCGTACTTCGACTTGAGAGCGTTGTGCAGACAACCGTACGTCCGCCGGTTACCTTACATGCTGATAAACGATCATCTAATCTTGTAACAGGTTGATAAGCTGATATCTCGCCTATCCGAGAATGCCGATGAACCGGTTGACTTTTACTTCGCATTCCGCGCGGTTGCTCTTGAGGTTATCGCCACTTACTGCTTTGGTCAATCCTTTGGTTCTCTTGATGTTCCCGGTTTCCGTCATCAGCTTCTCCTCAACATCGCTATCCAGATCCAGATCCTTTGGGTCTGGAAATGGTTCCCCCTACTTCCTGTGGTTCTCATGAACCTGCCAGACTTTATCATTCTCAGACTTGACCCTACTTTGCGTGCCAATCTCGACCTTCGCGACATGCTCACGAAGCAGATCGACAATTTTGTAGACAATGAAGATGATTTAAAGAATGCACACGAAGTAATTTACCATCACTTGTTGCATCCGAGTTCGGAGAAACATACGAGGCCTTCCAAGAGCTCTCTCCATGATGAGGTAACGTTTTACCGCTACGTCGATTGCTTACTGCCTGACTAGTATCATAGGCCATGCTTCTAATTGAGGCGGGAAGCGATACCGTTGGAAACGCATGCTACACCGGGATGTTCTACGCACTCAATGATCCCTACATCTACAAGAAAGTAACGGCAGAGCTCCAAGAATCATGGGCCGATCGGAATCAGCCTATGCCTCTGCAATCGCTTGAGAAATTACCCTACCTCGTAAGCAAGAATTATTTCAAGTTCCGGTGGACCTTCATTCTCACTGATGATCGTTCCCTAGACTGCGTTCATCAAAGAATCCCTTCGCCTAAGTCATGGGGTAGTCACTGCGTTACCCCGCGTTGTACAGAAAGCAACTCGTATTTCAGACTATGCCGTTCCAGCGGGGGTACGTGGGTCCTTTCACGTTCTATGTTCGTCTGAACCCGGTATCAGGTTGACGTTTCGATGGCCGTAAGCTTCGTCCATCTCGACCCCGAGGTCTTTAAGGATCCTCTGCATTTCAACCCCGACCGATGGCTCGTTCCGAATGCCCATGAGCTAGAAAACTCTCTAGTGGCGTTCTCGCGAGGGACGAGGATGTGCGCGGGAATTAAGTGAGACTGGTTCGCTTTCTATCATCTGTATTTCTGACGGTCGGGGAACAGTCTAGCTTGGGCCGAACTTTATCTTATCCTCGGCAATGTGTTCCGCAAGCTGGATTTGAAGATATACGATGGCGCGAGGTAAGTGGCGTATCTTGGTTCCTGAGGTCCTGCGCTGACCTACTCCATTCTGTAGAGTTGAAGAATTCGCTCATTTCAAGGAGTACTTTGTTCCAGTACATAGAGGACAGAATCTGAAGGCGCATGTGGCAAAGCAGTCCGGTTGAGTGATTTTGGAGGGAGATAGGCACCTTATGCCCGAATTTATTTTTCGTTACGTAGGAACTGAACATCGTTGCAACCATCCTGATTGCCTCCTGTGTATGGCTGGACTCACTGCGTAACGTACGTCATGCTTCAACATTTTAGACGATAACATTACGACGGCCGACTATCAGAAGCATCACGCTTGGTTGCCGGTGAGTGTGTAGAGAATCCGCTGCTGCCAAGCGTAACTGATAAATATCAAGCTAATTCACAAGGAACAGCCCTTGAAGTTTTTTTTAGTCCTACAGGACAGACGGCACCAGCCCAGTTTATACGTAAAGAAAATGGCTACTTAGTCTGGACTGCAAGTCCTGAGTGCACGAGGTTAGCACCTAGTATCGCCAGGTTCCGGAAGTTTTGAAATTCGTCCCGAGTTCCATTGTGCCAGAACGAATTCGAATATTCAAAGTCAAATACTAGGTCCCCGATCAAGAAGTGGAATCTCCGTGTTACGGCATGGCCATCAATTAAACCGTAAACGGCGCCACTATTGCACGCGTCAAAGCACAGATTTTCTTTAGGTCCCTCAGGCTCATGGTTAGCATCAAGCGCAGTTTGACTTGAAGTCTTGGATTTTTCTTTTCGGGCCACTTCGGAAACATCCGGGATAGACACGAGGATTTTGCGGTCCTACAACTTGAAGACGCCTACATGTACATCTCGCACGAGAGGGATCCATCCAGGGTTACGTTTCATAAGGACGCTTTTGTCGCAACGACGCCTTTTCTTTCGGCCGGTATCGGTTTCTCCCAAACTCCAGATTATTCTTTGGTTGCCGGATCTGTACCCCGATCTTTTCGATTTTGAGATGTCGAATATATTATTACTGGGACCCTGATTGTTGGTATGTTTGTCACGCGAACATTTCATTCTGGAAATACCTTAGCAGCGGCTGGATCCAACCCTTTGAGTCTTCTTTTTCTAACCGTCACCCCGACTTCGCTGGCGTTGTTGTCATGTCCAGTCCTATTGCGATCAGTGAGTTGCTTTGCGCTGTGAAGGAGCATTGCTCACCGAGGGCAATTATAGCACATGGACCAGCTCTAGTGGGAATCTTCCTCGCATGTATACTCTATGGCGTCATGCTACTCCAGTGTTTTTCGTTCTGGACGCATTTTTCAAAGTGAGTTCGCCATATCATCCAAAAAACATTCCCTCATTGATTCGTTGAATCGTAGAGACCGAATGTGGCTTAGATGCTATGTACGAGGCTTTCTACGCCATTTCTATCGCAGACACACTAACTTCAGAGGGGAGTTTAGGTTGGGCTCCTGCTTTTGGTCGATACATTAAGGTTCATTTCATTTCCGTGCTATCATGATCCCAGTGTTGATGTCATTCTCAGTACGATATTTGCAATGTGGTGGATATATAATTTGCTCGTCAACAATTTTGGTGCCCATTCCACAGTCCTTTTGCGAAGTGCTCGTATTGACTGATGGTCGACTCAAACAGCAAACCTCAATGCCTTTGCTAATGCTGATTGGCGTACGTTTATTGGTCCTTTGAAAAACTATCAGCATCTGATTCATACACGGAGACAGTTCTTGCGGCTGGTACATATCCTCTCTTTCGTTTATACCCCTGCTTACTGACAGGCGCTCATTAAATAAGATCCCGCTCTGGTTGTGAGTGCCTTATAGCTTTCTGTTGGATCTGTTTGATGGTCCTTCGTTCCAGGGCATCACCGGGACGTTTTGTCAACTTTTCTTTGCCTGGCGGATCAAAGTGCTAACGGGAAAGTGGTGGCTTACTGCCATCGTCACTACCCTAGCCGTTATTTCTGGACTGGCCGCCATCGGGTCGGGAATCGCTGTTTCGTGGGTCGTAAAGTTGGCGGATTTTAACAAATTTCAATCCGTCGGATGCTTGTGGTTGGCGACAACGGCTGCCGTCGATATCCTTATTACCGCTATAGTGACGATGAATCTTGTGAGTCTTATTCAGGGTTCAATTATATTTCACCAATTTCCATGTAGAATCAACGTCGTACTGGATTCAGAGCGACAGATAAGCTGCTCAATAAAATTGTGCGAGGTAAGATTTAGCCCCATATCGTGTTTCTAAGTTCTTCTGACGGTTTTATAGCCACCGTAGCGAACGGTCTTTTGACAATGGTATTCGCTATCGTAGAATTATCCCTCTACGTAGGAAAGGTGCGTTTAAATATACGGATATTTTACATCGAAGGGTTGACATAAATGCATTCATAGCCTGATACAGGCTTACATATAGGATTTAGTTTCGTTCTGGTACGTAGAACCGTTTCAGTCAGACGGTGTAGAATTTAAATCCGGCATTCGGCAGCCTAAGCTCTACTGCAACTCTGTTCTTTCGAGTGCGTTCTTGCCTATAACTCTCTTCTGGACATCTAACAGCGGAATCATGCAGGTCTAAACGCTAGGAAGTCTGGCACACCTTCGTCAACCGACAACACATCGAGTCATATATCAGGGCAAGTGAGTGCTGACTCCGAACGTGCGTAGGAGTCTCTTATCGTATATGTAGCGTCCACTCCCTGCTACCGGAGGACATTCGACTCGACAGGATCCAGTGGGTTTCCCTGACAGATGATTACCGAATATCGTTTACTGATGCCATACAAGCTCGTCATTACTGTGAACACGGAACACCTCGAGATGTATGATCTCAACAACTACAATGCCAAAGGCAACTCGGAGTGGGACGACAGCGCAGAGGCTGGTTCGCAGCGTACCAAACAGATCGATGTTTAAAAGCTCGCGTTATTTCTTGTGCTTGTTCTTTTTCATGCTTCTGACTAGTCAGTGACTAGAGGGTGACTGGTATTTGGATATATTTTGGTTAATGCCCTTTGGATTGTATGTTCTACCAAGGGTATAGATATGTAGATATGTAATATCGTGACGCGCGACCCGCCGCGATCGGCAAAATTGGCAACGCTTTCGGAAGATCTTCCTTCCGCAACACAACCACTCGTGAGAATAAGTTTCCTTATGTAGATAACACCGCTTTCTTCACTACCGCCATGTCCCCGTCGAACCTTACGGCCCTACAACGTGCGCATATATGAAGAACGTTTGATACATATGCAGCAATGTTCCTTTTCTCCCAGCATCATTTGGCCTGCGTTTTGTGGACCCTGGAGGAGTAATGTTGCGCGTTAACGTGTGTTCTGGGACAGTCTTCGGTCGCCGCACACCGGAAACTTTAGCATAATGCCTTGCCCATCATCGCTCATCACCGCTGCATCAATGTCGTGGAGGACGAAGACGCGTGGAAATTCTCTTAGCGCTGAGTATACAGACCGAGAATCGTAATATTATTCAGTGTGCTGGGTGAGTTACCTTGCTTCATGCCTGCAGCGGTTTGTTCAAAGGCTCTTGGTTCCTATCCTCACCGTTTTCGGACGCGTAATGGACCGTGTTTCGGGCCATTTCTATCACCACTTGCTCCTACCACCGTCCATGGCATGGGTTGAAGCATTGGGCGAACATTTGAAAGTACGTTATTCAATGTACGTCGTTCATCCTATCCTTCTTTCTTTTTTCTCATCTCGCTCCTAAGAACCTAGTACGGATGCGTCGACTCAAACTCTGACGGGGACCGTGTTGACTTACTTGATCTCATCTATAAATACCCGACTCCGAACTTTATTTGTCAAACAAGCGCCGACGGCCTTTCAACCCAACACCCTGATACATCTCAGAGCAGGTCGTCACAAAGATATATCACTTCTTGCGACGGTCCGCCGAAGAGGTCATCCAACTTCATGACTCTTTGCTCGTGGTCAGGTGTACTAGCACCTGAGGTCCTTCTCCTTCTTAATGATGGCATTGATGTTGTTCGCGTATGTCATTAAAACCAAGCTGGGGTGATGCTAGTAACTGACACAATCACGCAAGATGAACTTGCTCGTCATCTGGACGACTCTTATCACAATTTTCAAACTCTCTTCTGCTTTGCCTCCTTACCCCGTTGTCAGTTTGGACTTGCATCTGCTGTTCGACAACACCGCTGCTTCACCCGACGGCTCAGCTGATTTTGATGGGAAGGGGGCCTCATTTGATAGCAGTTATTTGCCAACGGGACCATGGGTGCATGATAACATCGAGGTGGGCTTTAACGTCGTTGGCCACTCCACGACCTAAAACATGGTTCGGATGACAGTACGAGCTTCCTTCGGAATGGGGCATATCCAATGACAACGTCATAGCCAACGGACAAGACCTATCCCTGGACAAACCCACGTTCATCCAAGAGCTACATTTCCTCTACGCGGGTGATGCTGGACCAGGTGTGCTTTATAACTGCACAACGGTGACCATTGAGCCCTGATCTTGCTCTCATTAGGGACAACCGAGTTTGGGAGCGTCTTCACGCTTACATTCACTGACAACTCTACCTTGGATGTTGAACGTAGGATTTCCTCTCGTAAGCGTGAATTCGGTCACCTAAACTCGCTCTAGTCATTACGCAAAACTGGTGGAAGTGGCCTGTAATCAATAACGGCATTATTCACACGTAAGAAGCTTCTTCGTTTCACGTGGTTCTCGTCTAACAAATGTTGTCATCAGACCGTACCACTACGAGTCTGGGGGAACAGTGAAGAACGAAAACACGACAGACATCTTCCAATGGTCCACTGCTATACCATCAGAACTCGCCGTAACCGGCATCACATTTCCAAGCATTGACAACGGCAACAGAGCCCACATCTTCGCCATGGCGTTTTCGCCTTCAGTAGTCCCTGCAGAGGCCTCGAAGCCCGAGCTAGCCATACGCAGAGTTCGGTTCACCACCCGTTGGGAAGCCGTAAACAGTACTCGTGCCCAAGTCGTGGAGGTCACGGTGGCGAATATGCTTCCGACGCGTCTTCTGTCTGTGGAAACATCTCTTCGTTCGAAGCATGAGATTTCTATATCTGGATCTGGGGTCGATACGCTAGTTCCGGGTGTTATCAGTCGACTTGTGGTCGGAGATCAAGTCACGGTTGAGGTTTTGGTGTCGGGAAGTCGTGCAGGCGGAAACGCTATTGTCACAGTCGAGGATTCTAACGGCGGTATTGTGGGGACCTCAGCGGGGTGGCCCGTCAGTCCGTTGGTTGAGCATTGGACTGCGGATGTTGATCTTTTAAGAACTCATGAAACGCCCTCTTGGGTAAGCGGGTCTACTTGTGAAGACATTTCATGTATTAACTTGTATGCAATAGTGGAACCAAGCAAAGTTTGGTATCTTGTGAGTATTCTAGTCCTCATACCGATTCTCATAGGTTGATGTCAATATTAGCATTCATTGGGGACTGTATAGCGTCCCGGCATTCGCGCCTCCCTCCTCCTATGCGGAGTGGTATGAGTAAGGCTCCGTCTTGTAACGATTATCCGTTGGCACTTATTGCTTCGTAGCTGGACCTTGCACCAGGACCCTGGTGCTAGCAACCCCACCTGGGTGTATCACTTGGATACATATGGAGAAGTACGAAGTCTGACTCCTTCCTTCCTCACAGAGCAGTAACTTCGACGACAGAATATTGTCTATGATGATTTCATGGTTAACTTCACTGCGTCAAATTTTAACGCCAGTGACTGGCTAAATCTCATTGATGACGCCGGTGCTAAATATTTTGTGTTGGTCACTGTATGGATCCCGTATTAATAACGGATGCATGCTAAGATTTGTTTCTAGAAACACCATGACGGCTTCGCACTATGGGATACACCTACAACGAACCGGACGTCATTCGCACTCGGACCCAAACGCGACTTCGTAGGAGAATTGCTCTCAACATCGAAGGCGGAGAAGCCTCATCTCCATCGAGGAACGTACTTTTCTCTGCCGGAGTGGTGGGTTAAATATTATATTCATTCATATTTCATCTGAAAGCCGACCTCTAGGTTCAATCCGGACTACGCGAAATACGGCTTTGATGTGTGGCCTGGAGGGCTGGCGCACAACGCATTTAATTCGTCCATACTTGAGCCGTATACCGGGCATCTGGAGATTGGCGACTACCTTGATGATTTGCAACTGCCCCAGATGTTGGAATTGGTAACGACGTACGAGTCTGAGATCATGGTGCGAGGATCCTTTACCGCATCAGAGAAGACGCATTCTGATATTGTGTATAGTGGTGCGACATTGGCGGACCTAACAAAGCGCTAGAATTTGCCTCCGAGTTCTATAACAACGCCCTGGCTAATGGCCGACAAGTTACTCTGAACAATCGTGGGTTCTATTCCGCGCCTCGGTTGATTAGTACTGACTGCAGGACCGGCAGGATGCGGGGCTGTACCAGATTTCGATACACCAGAATACTCGACGTTCAGCGCAATCCAGCCGCAAGCATGGGAGAGTAGTGAAGGGATGGATCCTTTCAGTTATGGATTGAACTTGCAGACCAAGGATAATCAATACAAGAACGCAACAACGATCATTCATTCGCTTGTGGATATCGTCTCAAAAAACGGCAATTAGTAAGGAATATCTGTGCCATCGTGATATAAACTAATCTTCGGTCGACAGCCTCCTTGATATCGGACCTACCGCGGAAGGCGATATCATTCCGATCATGAGAACTAATCTCTTGGATACCGGACGTTGGCTCAAATATTCTGGAAGATGCGTTTACGATACCGTGGGTGTTACAAGCTTTTGATGTTGTCAGGCCTTTATGTTCTGTCTCACAGAAATTCTGGTTCCAAGGTTCGCAAGACACGAGGTCGACTTCTGATGTGCGATTCTTGACAACGCCAACTACGTTCTGCATCGTGGTTTTTTCCCGACCAGAGAACGGAAAGATTGTTATCGAGAAACGTCTTCCCTTACTCCCTGGGGACGAGATGGTTCTCTTGGGGCCGGATTCAGATATCCCTGCAAACTGGTCGATGGACGTGGCAAGCGGACATTTGACGATTGACGTAGCAAAGATTGATATTTTCGAGTATGCATGGGCGTTTGAAGTACGTTATAACCTGGAGTGAACATTTTGTATACCTTGTGTGTTTGTACTGCTACTTAAATAAAGTCTTGAAACTTTTTTCAGTGATGTCATGCATGGAGCGGTTCGGGAAAAGCCGGTCTTGCACGAATGTCGCACCTCTGAACTCTCCTGCTTACTTTCTGCCAGATGTCCGTAAAGCCATTCTTTCTCAACGTTTCTGAGGAAAAGCACCAATGGATAATGCAAAGAGTACAAACTGCTTACATTATTCCGGACATATCTCATCCTCAAGGTAAAGAATGGGACCACGGGACACCTAGTGACGTCGTAAAGGAACTAGTCGAGTATTGGAAGAGCTCGTACGATTGGCGAAAAGTAGAAAAGAAGCTTAATTCTACATTCGAAATGTTCACGGTCGAACTGGAAGAGGCTGGCCAGACAATTGATCTGCACTTCGTGCATCACAGAAGTCCTCGTTCAAACGCTATACCCCTCATCTTTGTGCACGGCTGGCCGGGTAGTTTCTTGGAGGCATGCATACTTCTTAGTATATATTACCATTCTCACATCTCACTGCATATTATATTAGGTGGAAGGCATCCTTAAGCTTCTAACAGAACCGAATGATCCCGAGCAACAAGCGTTCCACGTAGTCGCACCTAGTATTCCAGGTTTTGCGTTTTCTTCCCCACCAACAGTGAGAATATTCATTTATTTGGTTCACGATAAATAACTCACAATTTTTAAGGCTCCTGGATTCTCCGTAGCCCACATCGCGTCTCTGTTTAAAAAGTTGATGGATGTCTTAGGGTATCACCACTTCGTAGCCCAAGGAGGGGACTGGGGCGCCTCAATTATTCGCTCGCTGGCCCTCCAGTATCCCCAGTCTTGCATGGGTATCCATACCAACTTTATCCAGGCCTTCCCTCCGTCGGTTTCACAGCATCCTTTCGTCGTACTCTGGCTCATGCTCGGATGGCTAACCCCGAGCGAGAAACGGCGTATGGATCGAATGCAATGGTGGTACCAATCCGAGATGGGCTATGCGTTCATTCAAGGGACCAAGCCGCAAACTGTTTCTTACGGCCTACTAGATTCCCCCATAGGGATGCTAGCTTGGCTGTATGACAAGCTTCATGCACTTGTAGCGCCCGGATTCGTATGGGACAAAGAAGTCGTTATTACCTGGACGATGATGTACATTCTATCCGGAAACGCCGGCCACGCTAGACTTTACAAGGAAAGCATGCAGACTGTACAACACGAGGTTATGGATAAAAAGATTACCAAGGATGTCGCCGTTGGTGTCAGCGCCTTTGAATTTGACACGGTGTATATTCCAAAGTGGTGGGCGGATGCTGTTGTCGCAGAGAAGATTGTGACTTGGCGAGAACATAATGACGGAGGCCACTTCCCTGCTCTAGAATGTAGTGACGTTTTGGCAGACGACATTAGGGAGTTCGTACGACAGATTCAGGGAAAAGAACGTGTTGTGTTAATTGAAGCAGGTAATTAAGGGTAACGTAGCGAAGCTATTTGACTGTATCACTACTGTAACTATAAGTCAGTGTAATAAACCACCTCCGTTCAAGCTAACGTCCTCATCAGATTCTGTCTTAATGACTGGTGATCCCGAATCCATCTGCTTGACGAGCGCCCTTACGTCTGCTGCCTTAAGGCGAGCGGTAAAGAAAGCCCCGCTTCTGTCTGGTGGTGTGCCAAAGACGCGGATGTAATCGCTGTTCTCTGCAGGATCATCGATGTCGTGCCTTTTGGAAGTGTGTGTCAACTTGCGGATCAAAACCAATAAAGCTCCAAAACTACGTACCTGGCTCTAATATGATCCTGAATAAAATGTCGAGGAACTGGGGAACTCTCCGTCGAGGAATCAAGGCACCATTTACAGAGATAATTTCCGGCCATCACACGGAAGGTAAGAAACTTAGATGGCGGTTCTAGACTGTATTGGAGGATTTGGTTGGGAGTAAGGATACACCAATGTGCCTTGCCGGAAGTATAGTGTTTTCTCAGAATATGTCTGAACTGTGAATGAAAGGATGGACTGTCAGATTGATCTTCGGTCCCTAGACGAGGAAGACCTACCGCTAATCGCCACTTCCATATCTTCCCGGAGGCTTGCTCGACTCTGTCGACGTCCTCGAATGTAGCGCAGTCCATGCAAAAGAAATAAAGCAACAGCTGATCCATCTCTACTGCGCTCGTAGTCTTGGGATCCTTTCCTGCTGCAATGACAATGTCCTCGGCGATCCCCGCATGTCGTGGAATGATCCGTAGGGTGTGCGAGCTCCAAGCGAGACGATTCGAACGCTTGTTACTGACATACACGATAGCATCCACCTTCTCTATCGGTGCCGGTATATCTGCAGGGTCAGCCTCGCCTCTAGTAAGGCATTTATGAGACAACACCCCTGGATAGGTCATAATGCCAAATCCGTTGACAATCCCCAGATCAGAATTAGAATCTGAAAGGTCGTGATAAATATGTGTGCAGGTTTCGCAGGTGAATATTGTAGTGGCAAGGTGTAAGGCCTCCCGCTCATCGATGGTCGATGTCGGATCTGAATCCTTAATCAGGGCATACAGCTCCTCGTGTACCCGGTCGCGCCAGGCTTCAATCAGGTCCGGTAGGAGAGGCGGGATGTGTTCAAAACTGGTATGATCGATGGTCTCTTCGGGAGGGCGATGAATGATGGCTCTGACGTCTGGAAATTCGAAGTAATCAGGGCACTCAGGCATGAAACCCGAGAAAGGTATATTGATTCTTTTGTAGGTGCGTAGGATCGAAAGAGCCACATTCTTTCGCGCACGAATCAATGCGTCGTGCTCTGCCTGTAGCCGACGAACTCGTACGTCTTGGAGAAGCTCGATGATAGCAGGTTCAATTCTCGTCCATACTGAGTTTTTTTACTAAGTGAAGTCCAACTAGAGTGTTGAATTTACGTACTGCGATCAGTTAAAGGGCGAGTCTGGTCCACAAAGCGATGTTCCGACAAAATGTGGTAGTCATTCTGCCGCTCCAGAAAGTCTAGCTCCTGAGTCCAGCCAAGATCTACAAGTTTGTTGTGGATACTTGAAATCCGATAATTGGAATCGAGGATAGCAATAAAAGACACAGAACTCACGCCCTGAGACGATTGGCCTTCTGACCGATTATTTCGGTCAGCTGGTCAATGGAGTAACATTTGGTCCAAACGAGACATTCTCTGGCGCGCTAGTATAGAACATGATGAGTACAGCATCATTCGATCTCCTTTAATAAACGCGGCTTACTTGTTCTATCTCTCTTGCCATTGCCGATTTTTGCGATTTGAATAATTCTTTCTCTTGCGGGTTATTAGTAAGTTTGAACTGATTAGCAAGGTCGTGAAAGTCTTGTCGAAGGATGTGTTTGCGTCCGGTGGCTTTAGGACAAGTCAGTCCGAGTTGCATAGGGACTATCGGGGGCTCACTTCTGTCGATCTGCATCGGAAGCATACCGGCAAGCATGACCGTCACCGGCATATTCTCCCATTTGTGCCAAGGAGCATCGACATCCATGATCCAACGCGAGATGGTTATCACACTGCATGATTGTCAGAAACTGTGAGCTTTGTTGAGCGACCTGTCTAACTCACTGCTTGTGCCAACATCTGTTACACAGGCGCTTTCGAAAGCACCACTCGATGGTATGGACTACTCGTGAACAGAACTGATAGTGGGATTTAGCATTCGATTCATGGAGGAAATGCGGAAGATATACATGACATTGCGGGTGAAAGACGAGGTTGACCCAAGCCGGTTCGGTCATGCCAGGAAAGGTGTCCGGTAAATTGGGGACGTTAGAAAGAGATGCTCTCCAGCAAGAGCGAGATGAAGGATGCATAAGGAGCCTTCTGAATTCTTTGGTTAATCGTGCCAAACGAAGAACGTCGTAGGGAAGCAAATGTCCGAATATCTGGTAAACAGTTCATCAAGAGGGTCTTAATCAAAAGGAGTGACACACCTCAAGTAAAACATCTAGTGGCATATCAATTAAGCCCTTCAGTGCTCCCTTCCTCCCCCTTCGAGCGACCTTCTGATGAGCACCGTAGTCGCCGTCCTTCACATCCGTTCTGCGTTGTTTATTCGCGACAGGACGCGTCTTCGACATCGTGATTAATTCTGATAAGATTTCAGGTGGTTTCTTGGAAGGCTTGCGCAAGATGCCAACGTACCACAAGCGAAGACACCTCGCGTCGGACGTGATGGTAGGAGAGAAAGAGTGGTTTCCGATCAGATGATCCGGAGCAGGACCCGACGCAAAGGCCGACGGCCGAGTTCAAATAAGGTTATTTAATATACTTTTTTTCAGCTATTTACTCCAAATCGCACCTGGAAGGCCCATGCATGTTGTATAGCCTCCAAGTCTGCCCCAGAGATATCCACGAAAAAATTACCTGTAGTTCCATTAACAGTCCATGGCAAAGGACCAAAAGGACTGGAGGGGTTCAGAAGATAGACCTCGTCCCCAGGAAGAATTGGCAGTCGCTGATTGACAGCTAGCTGACCATTGGTAGGCGCTACGAAGGTGATGATACAAAACGTGTTTGGAGTAGCTGTGAACCGCGCTGGTGTCGATTCTATCGGCGCATAGATGTCCTGTGAACCAGGAAACCAGTAATTCTGCAAAGGCGCGTCAATGAACGAAAACAGGGGATATGGAAAACTCACTGTGTCGTATACACATTCTCCGGCATATTTCAGCCAGTCCCCAGCACCTAGAAGGCCTGTTTGCATCGGGGCGATGATTTCTCCTTCTGCGGTTGGTCCAACATCAAGAAGGCTAAACTAGCAGCTAAGTCAACCGAGATCTCGTCTCTCAAAAATCACTGACAAGTTGCCGTTCTTTGACACTATGTCAACCAGGGTCTGAACGATGTTAGTGGCGTTCTTGTACGAGCTAGCATTAGTGGCGAGATTGAGACCGTAGCTGTGAGGATCCATCCCCTCGCTGGCCTCCCACTTTCTGGTTTGGATAGCGCCAAATGTAGCATATTCAGGTGTGTCAAAATCAGGAACAGCACCACAGCCTGAGAATCAGGTTTCTCAACACCCAGAATAGGTATACTTAGACGCATATACTTACGGTTGTTGATGGTGACTTGTCGACCTTGCGCGAGCGCGTTATTATAAAATTCGGCAGCGAATTCAAGGGTCCTGTTCGGACCTCCGATGTCGCACCACTACACCACAAAGTCATCCAGCGCTGCTGCTCCAAGGATTCGCTAAAGTACATACCATTATATCCATTTCGTATTTCTTGGCAAGATCGAGCATATGAGGCAGCTGGATATCCTCGATATAATTGGTGATGTTCAGCCTTCCTGTGTAGGGATCGAGGAGCGAGCTGTTAAATGCGTTGTGCGCGAGGCCTCCGGGCCACGCTCCAAAGCCGTAGGGAGAGTAGTCCGGGCTGAACCTATCTTCACATTAGCTAACACGGCATGGTGTAGAAAAGGATCGTTCCTCACCATTCAGGCAATGAATAATAGGTACCCCGGTACATGTCTGGTTTCTCCTTCTTGGCAGTGTCGAGCAGTTCGGCAACGAAGTCTCGTTTAGGACCGAGATATACGCTGCTTCTGTGAGTCGAATTTCCGGTGTCGAAGAGGGAGAAACCATCATGGTGTTTCTAATGCGAAGGTCAGTGATAAGGACGAATCTTCAGATAAGATACTGACTGTGACAAGAACGAAGTATTTAGCACCCGCGTTGTCAAATAGGTCAAGCCACTCGCTTGCGTTGAATTTCGACGCAGTGAAGTTGGCAATAAAGTCGTCGTATACGACGTCCTGCAGATTCATGAGAGCCACGACGTACATAAAGATATGCGGCTTACTGTCCCGTAAGTCTGTAAATGATGGCTCCAAGTCGGATTGTCCTCGCCAGGATCAGTGTGGAGGAACCAACTATTTGAAGTTCCAGCGACGGCGAAAGGTGTAAAGGAATCTGGCTTACTCGTATGATTCTGCATAATTAGACGGCGTAGCCTAGCGTTTCAAATTATCATAAATGCCGTTATGCTTTGAATGTACGCCTACCCAAGCAGGAACGCTGTAGATGCCCCAGTGAATGCTTCCAAGTATACGTTAGCACCAATCCTGAAACAAATGTGGCGGACGTACAAGATACCATACTTGGCGCGGTTCCACTATAGGATTCAGTGTCGTGTCGCAGGGGCAGGGCTGAAAGTACTCCTTACCCATATCGGAGTTTCGTGTGCCCCCAGAACCTGTGTATCCAGAGTCCAGTGCTCGAACAAAGGTGTTGTCGGCCATCCCTCAGATGTACCAATTACACGGGCATGGGAGTCCCTGATTTCAACATCTGCAGATTCACCTTCCTGTGCGCCAAGTATAAAGATGTCTACAGTAACTTGATCCCCGGGGACCAACCGATAGACGAGACCAGAATAGAGTGTCTTGATACCAGAACCGCTGATGTATATTTGGTGCTTGGCATTTAAAGATGTCTCTGGGGAAAGGCTATACGTCGAGAGAAGATTCGCCAGTGTTACTTCCACAGCTTGAGCTCGAACTCCATCAAAATCTTCCCATCGAGAGGTGAACCTTGCCCGTCGAATGGACAATGCCGGCTTCACATCCACTACATCAGGCGAAAGAACTGTCGATGGTGAGATGGACATAGCGAACAGATGTAATTTGTGTGCTGTGTTAATTGATGGCAACGTGATACTTCGAAGAGCGTGCTCCGACGAGATCGAGCTTGACCATTGAAAAATGTGGCTTGAATTCCAATTCTTCTGTGTACCGTTTTCGAAATGATATGGCCTGGAAAAATAATTTAAGGGCCTGTTTGGTTATGGCGAACAGAAAACGAAAGTCTGGATCATTCCGATATTGAGGATCGGCCATCGCCGCCAGTTCCGAGCGTAGACTGAAGATTTCAAAGATGATCGTGTGTGAGAGCATTACACCACTCACGCTGCACTTGTTGAGTCGAGCCGTCCGTGAATGTAAGAATGAAATTGGCCACGAATTCGTGAGTTCCTAGAAAATACAATGAGCTAGACCTAGACTGAGGAAGCAAGATGGTGCCTATTATTATCAACCTTGGCCTGCGTCACCCGCATAAACGAAATGCAGTTCTTGTGTGAAAGTCGGTTCGGGAAGACTGATCACTTGACTGTCTGCAATGACATTGTCGTTACCTGAGCCCCAAGACTCTGGTAGATCATACTAGAAGAAGAGAAGTCTATATCGTTCACAGCACGTAGACGTATCTTACGATTATTCCGTCATGCACGTATGGACCTGAGGGGAGGAATTGGCTATCAAAACTGGAGCCCTTGCCATCGAAATCTGCAGAGCCATTAAAGGAAGCGGCTTGATTGTTGAACAGGGAACGAAGGGATATAGGTGTCGATGGATAGCTGTGAAGAGCTGAAGCTCCGGAAAACAAAATACCGGTAAGAAGGATCGTCGTAAAGAAGAGCATAGTGTGCCGAGTTATCATACTAGTTCCATTTATAAAAGGAAAGCTACCAAAGAACCTTGCACATGATATGCATCCTTGTGCTCGTCGATGTCCAGGTGAGCTATTGGTCAACTTCTGATTCGAAGTCGATATGAGATGTCGGAAAGTGAAGTCTCCCTAGGATGTTTAGTTGGTTATGGATAGTTTCTGCCGTGACCTAGAAGTTTCCATAGGTTGATCCAAGATAGATGTGCAACGGATTAGCTGTAGAATCATCGTTCTTATAGCTACAGCCCTAGACCGCAGATCCTGTGACGGAGTCTGAAGAAGGTCCTTCTAAATATCCGAGAGTGATATTCTAAGAAATGGAATGGAGCCGAGTTGTCGTTTTCTTGGATGTTTTCAAGGGAAGTTCCTGCCGTGGGAAAAGTCATCCTGTCATCAATGCATCACCCCACGTGCCTCATCGCGACGCGTCTCGGCCCGAACGGCCCGAAGAGTTTGGACCTACCCCTTCACCTCTTTCCAAGTTTGTTCTGAGTCATAGATGAGCAGCACTGGAACATGGCAGGGATTCAAGCTATGTGATAACTGAAACTGGCCGAAGTAGCATTAAAACTTTGTGCACTGCGGAGCTGCGTTTGATGCAATTGTTTCACCATGTTTCAGCCGCCTCGCCTGTAATGCCACACAAACATCGCCTTCCCCGCAATCCCAAGGTACGGTATTTCGGCATGAAAAGGTCATGGCGAAGCACAAAGATATCACCAATGTTCCATCAATGTACAGTATTCCCTCCTAAAGGATTCTCGAAATGTAGATAAGGACTGCATAGCCTTATCAAGATGATCCCACAGATCCTCCGGAACTTTTGTAGAACTGAATGGAAGCCAGGTGACCATTGACAGCAATTGAAACATGAGAGCGAAGTTAAATGTTAAGTGCCCGGGTCAACCGAAGCCACGGGATGAACCTGTGCTGTAAATGCGATCCATACAAAAACCCAGCAATCTGATGATTGCACCTCTCTCCACTTTCAAACCAGTTACGTTCCCTGGGCCTGGTGAGTCCCTTTCATCATGGTTGGAACGCCAAGGCTCAAAGGCTCAAAGGCTCAGTTTATTGCATGAAACCCGGGGATTATCAATGCCAGCCGTGCACGTTAGCCTTCGAGAAACTGAATCGGATTCGTCGCCTGCCCACGGGACGGAGATTACCCTCATCTGTGTCATACTCGTCGTGGTTTCTGGTGTCTTCTTCCTTGCCTTACTTATCCGCTGCATCATGAACCGTCGACGAGCCCAGAAATATCAGTACAAGCGTAAACCGCGTTCCATCGAACCCTTTCTATACGAAACCACGCCATTCGATATATCTGAATCGAGTGGTCGTGCGCCCCTTCTTCGCACCGAATCTCATCCTTACTCGGGCGATTCTTTGAACTCGACTCTTCACGAATACAGCCGCCCACCCATTACCCAATACGCGTGGGATTCGCATCAGTACGCTTATATCACCCCGGAAGAGCACCTTCCTCAGGTCCCGCCGCCTGTACCATATTCCACTCAGAGTCTATTTAAGGCAGATCCATTCACTCCCTCTCTCCATACCGCGTCCGACAGCGACCACTACTCACCACCATCACCATTTCCGGGAGTGCTTCCATCACCCGGTTTTCACCAGGAGCCCGTGAAGTCACTCCAGCTAAGCCCAAAACATCTCCCCCGGCTCGTGATACCCAACGCGGCATCCATGCCGAGATCTGCTCGTGCTGTCGAGCATTCGAAAGATGTCCTTTCGGAACAATCATCCGGGTCCGAATATTCACAGCCATCCGCTTCCTCTTCGTTTATACAACAATCTTTCCACAGCCAAGACCTGGCTATTCCGCCGATACCGCCACATCCTGATTACATTGTCATGCAAGGAAGGTTCCAAGACGAATCAGTTGGTCTGGGGAGAACAAATACGGTCGAGATAGCCAGTCTGTTGAAGGATCGCGCCAAGCGCGACGGAAGTCTTCTTCGTGTTCCGAGTAACATTTCACATATTGAACGTTGGAACTCTATAGTTGTTGTTGACGGGGAAATGAAATCCCCACCTGTATATTATTAGTATTGATTGAGAGGGTTTACTTATCCCATAGCTCAGAGGGCCTTTTCAAATCGTTTTGATACCACGTACTTTCTCCTGTTTATCTGCATAGTCAACCATATCGTTATCGTTATCGTTATCGCTATCGTTATTCATTATACCCTCGCATAAAAGAATTTCCCAATCACTGATCAATAAGAAGATGGATGCTTCAGGAGCGTCTATAACCACCTAATCAGCCAGCACCTTAGCCATGAGAAGCGAGACACTTACGCCGCCATCGATTAGTACTGTTTCCCCAGTGACATACCCATTTGCGAGTAGGAAGAGCGCGAGCGATCCAACGTCGCGCGGTTTACCATACCCTGGTTCAATGGGAACCTCGATCCCCATTTTAAGGTTCGGCGGAACAATTGCGGTTCCAGCCTCGTCAGTAGGAGCACCGGGAAGAGACATCTAACGATAGTCAGTGAACGGCCGACATTCATGGTCAAGTAATAAGTCATTACTGCGCTTGGGAAAAGACCTAGGGTTCGGATTCAGAATGCAGAACTATCATTTGGAATACAGAAAGACATGCCTGGCGCAATTCCATTGACTCTAATACCCAACGGGAGCAGTTCATGAGCGAGGGAAGAAGTAGCATGTCCAATAGCACTTTTTGAAAACATATATGGGTATGAGAGTCCTGAAGTTGCCGAGTCCTATACACTGAACAATGAGAACTGAGTCGGAGGTTGAAACAAAAAAGTAACCTTCGTCCATCCATTCATACTGCTAGTCATGATGATCTGCGGTCCAAATTTCTTGGTAGCTGGATCATCTGAAAGTTTCCACTTTTCGAGCAATGGCAAGAAGGCGAACGTTAGCCAGTACGGTCCGACGGCGTTCGTGTTGAGAGAATCGTCGAAATCCTCTTGAGTGATATCATCGAAGAAACTCGATACATATGCAGATGCTGTAGGAGCTGCTGGAGGCTTGAATGTGCCTCTGAGAATACCAGCGTTGTTGAAGAGGGCGGTGATATAATGTTCTCGTTTCCCAATTTCATCAGCTAGACGCTTGGCTTCTGACTAAGGAAAAGTCAAGAGCCAATTATTTAATCAAAACATGCCTGATGCAAACCTTCAAACGGACATCTCCTTCAATTCCATGCATTGTACCAGCGCCAGGAATGTTAGCAGCTGCGGTATTGAACTTATCGCAAGTTCTGGAAGAAGTTACTGACCTGCTAAACTGTCTACAATGACGTGACTTACTGGTCCAAATCAGCCTGGGATGGTCCAATGATATAGACAGTAGCACCATTCGCGACCAGTGTTGAGCTGATCATTAGCCCAATGCCCTGTAGCGCAACAAAGCATGAGCGGATATACCTCCAAGATCGACAGAAAGACTAACGGAGCCCCCACCCGTGATGACTACGACGGTACCGCGAAGGTCGAAGAGGTTCACAGCGCGAAGATTATCCAGAGACAGATTCGACATGGTAGACAGTGGGAACAAACCTTACGAGAGAACTAGTCTTTTATATCCCACTGTGGCTATTTCGATTTGTAAGGAAATAAGTTTCTCACCGGCTGACGACGCGAGCCGTGGCATGACGTCAATCGAGGATCAGATAGATTTTCAAAAATTGGAGGTTCTCGTACCCGGCCGTTCCTTATTGGGTCTTTGCACCACCACACCACCACCACCACCAAAATGCACCATTGCTAATATTCATCACGTCCTGATCTTTTCAGTGAACTAAACAAAAAACCAGAGGCGAGACCGAGATGGTGATGAACTCGGCAAGTTCTCGAACGACGATAGAGGTGATGGAAGATAAAACTCAATAGGCCCGAACATCGGAGCTATTGGTTCCGTCTCTTATGGATGCAGGACCTGACCGACGCTCGAAAGCAAGGACTTGAATTGTTCAGTGTGACACTATAGTACATGTCTTGACCAATGTATGGTAGAATCTGGGCGGTTTCGTTCCTGCGTCTACGCAACACAGGATAGTTAATGAGATTGCACAGCGAAATGTCGAGGAGGCCCTTTACCTGAACTCAATGACGACTGGGTTTAAAGAACAGTATATTGGCATTCTCAGATGCTTTTCATGGTGATCGTAAAGTATCCAGCGCAAGGTGTCGATTTTGACGTATCCTGAGGCTCTTGACCAAACTCAAACGCGTATGGCAGTATCGCGGACCCCCCCAGGACGTGTCGTTTTCAGTATCGAGGGCAAAGACGAAAGGAAGAGATCCTGGAACAGCACCAATAAGAATCCCGGCCCGCAAACTGAGGCACTGAGGAAGGGTTCAATGTCACATCAAGTATCCGTGAATACGTCTTTCTGGCTGTATTTTGAGAATTTATCTTTGATTGATGGATTACAAATCTTTTTGATATCACGTACTTCTCTCTGTGTTATCTGCATAGTCAACTGTATCGTTATCGCTATCGTTATTGTTATTCATTATACCCTCCCCCAGTCGCCGATCAATAAGAAGATGGATGCTTCAGGAGCGTCTATGTCCACCTGATCAGCTAGCGCCTTAGCTATGGGAAGCGAGACACTTACGCCGCCATCGATTAGTACTGTTTCTCCAGTGACATACCAATTCGCGAGCAAGAAGAGCGCGAGCGATCCAACGTCACGTGGTTTACCCCACCTTTGCTCTACGGGAACCTCGAATCCCTTTTTAAGGTTCGGAGGAACAATCGCGGTTCCGATCTCGTCAGTAGGAGCACCGGGAAGAGTCATCTAACGACAATCAGTGAACGATCGACATTCATGGTCAAGTAATAATTTCCTACTGCACTTGGGAAAAGACCTAGAGTGCGGATTCAAATACAGGATGATCATTTGGAATAGAAATACTTTCCTGGCGCAATTCCATTGACTCTAATACCCAACGGGAGCAGTTCATGAGCGAGGGAAGAAGTGGCATGTCCGATGGCACTTTTTGAGAACATATACGGGTATGACAGTCCCGAAGTTGCCGAGTCCTATACGCTGAACAATGAGAACTGAGTCGGAGGTTGAAACAAAAAAGTAACCTTCGTCCATCCGTTCATACTGCTAGTCATGATGATCTGCGGTCCAAATTTCTTAGTGACTGGATTATCTGACAGCTTCCACTTTTCGAGCAATGGCAAGAAGGCGAACGTTAGCCAGTACGGTCCGACGGCATTCGTGTTGTAGGTGTCATCGAAAGCCTCTTGAGCGATATCGTCGAAGAAACTCGATACGTATGCCGATGCCGTGGGGGTTGCTGGTGGCTTAAATCTGCCTATGAGAATACCAGCGTTGTTGAAGAGGGCCGTAACGTAATGTTTTCGTTTCCCGATTTCATCAGCTAGACGCTTGGCTTCTGACTAAGGCAGAGTCAGGAGTCAATTGATCAAAGCATGCCTGATGCAAACCTTCAAACGGACGTCTCCTTCGATTCCATGCATTGTACCGGCTCCAGGGATGTTAGCAGCTGCGCTATTGAGCTTGTCGCAAGTTCTAGAGAAAATTACTTAGGTGACGAACTGTCTATAACGATGTGACTTACTGGTCCAAATCAGCCTGGGATGGTCCAATGATATAGACAGTAGCACCATTCGCGATCAGTGTTGAGCTGATCATTAGCCCAATCCCCTGCGGCGCAACAAAGCATGAGCGGATATACCTCCAAGATCGACAGAACGACTAACGGAACCCCCACCCGTGATGACTACGACGGTACCGCGAAGGTCAAAGAGGTTTACTGCGCGAAGATTATCCAGAGATAGATTCGACATGGTAGACAGTGGGAACAAAAGTTACGAGAGAACCAGTCTTTTATATCCCACTGTAACTATTGACGTCATAATGTGGCTAGCCGTACGCGTCGTCAGCCGGTACTGAGAAGCTACAAATCGAAGGTATCTGAACTGCCTGTGACTCAGATAGATTTCAAAAATTGAAGGTTCTCGTACCCGGCCGTTCCTTATAGGGACTTTGCGCCAATACACTACCACCACCAAGAATGCACCACTGCTAATATTCATCATGTCCTGATCTTTTCGGTGAAATCAGCAAAAGAAAAAGAGGCGAGACCGAGATGGTGATGGAAGATGAAACTCAAGGCCCGAACATCGGAGCCATTGGTTCCGCCTCTTATGCCAATGGATGCAGGACTTAACTGACGCTCGAAAACAAGGACTCGGATTGTTCAGTGTTACACTAGGGTACATGTCTTGACCAATATATGGTAGGGTGGTTTTCGTTCCTTCGTCTACGCAGCACCTTGCGAGAGAAGATAATTAATGAGATTGCACAGCGAAAGGTCGAGGAAGTCCTTTACCTGAACTCAACGACGACTGGGTTTGAAGAATAGCAGATTGACCTTCTAAGATACTTTCCAAGGCTATCGTAAAGTATCTAGCGCCATGTGTCGGTTTTGACGTATCCCGAGGCTCGAAGGGCGTGTCAACCAAATTCAAAAGCGTGCGGCAGACGTCGCGGACGCCTCCGGCAATTGTTGTTTTCAGTATCGAGCGCAAAGTTGGAAGGAAGAGATCTTGAAACAGCACCACAGCCCGCAAACTGAGGTCTTGAGGAAGGGTCGAATGCTATATTATCCGTGAATGCGTCGTTCTGGCTATTTTGAAAATTTATCTGCGTATGATAGATTACGCTACTCACCAATGCCCATTCAACATTCAACGACTACTAGAGGCACAGATGCCGTTCAGGGAGAAATCGAGGCTGCCAATTGAGGAGATGATGGTGGTAGAAAGGAAGGTTGCCGGTAAACGATCATTCCTTGATCCTTCACCGCCATCATTGCTGTGGCGACGACCAAAACGACGAAACCATGACTATTTTTTTCATGCTGGACTCTCCCTTCATATTATCCGCATACTGGCCGCCAAGGTACAGAGTGAAGCGTCCTTGGTGAGCGCTTCCCATGTTCACCGCATACATTGATGCGGGTGCGGCATCGTCATGCAGGAAGTCGAGAAGTAATCAAAGAGCTCTTGGGGAATAGAAGTGCTGGAGTCTCCGAGTACCGTTCTCTTGACTGGTGTCGCCATGAGCAATTGGATACCTACGACGTGGATCAGTGTTTTTTTTTAGAAAAAGAGATACAGTGACGCACGAAACACCACAGTACGGCGTTCACCCACGAGCCGTACAGATATCCCGAGGAAAGGCAAGAATATTGAGTGTAGGAGGTAATTGAAGAGAACGAAGTGAGATGATGGCGGTACGGAAGCAAGAAACAGTGAAACAGTGTGAATTGGTCGACTCCGCTAGTACAAGTTCAGGTAAACAATAGTAAACTACTGTGGACCTCGCCGACTCGTCAATAAGAATAAAGCGAAGAAAAGAAAGTAAAGTAAAGTAAGATAGTGAGACTGTTGTTTTTATCACATTTGTATAATATCGGCCAAAAAATCAGGTACAGTTACAGTCGACGGTTTTGATTTTGGAGGCAATGATTGCCTACATGTACGTGTCGCAAGAGTGATCGCGTCGCTTCCTCTTACATCATCTCCTCACCACCTTAGTACTGTCATCACTGCCGTCGAGCGTGACGCTTGTAAAGCCTGCTTAATTCTTTCGCTTGTTTCTGTCCTCGCCTAGCATATTCCAAGCATTATTGTGTCTAGGATGCACATCATGCACTGCGGGGCCATTAGCAAACTAGGCCTGTTCCATGTTGAAAAGACCCCAGAACAAAAGGGCGGCTGATTGTTCGTGAGTCGTACGCTTTTACTTCGGACTTTGTCTTATATATGCACTGTAGAGCAGGCCTAGTTTATCTTCATGAAGCGTAATATATTTCCTTGAAGGACAACGCCATGGGCGGTGGTTGTGAGTATTCTGGTCAGACCTTACAAGTATTTGGGACCGATGCGAGGACCGAAGCGGGACCATGCTACCATACTACGTAGTACGTGTATGTGCAACCGAATTCTCACAGAAAACTTATTTCCGCAGCTTTTCGCATAACGAGAGATGTAGGAACTACCGAATAAGACGCATCACACGGACATTATCTCCCAGCTGCACCACAATGTTTATACTGGATGGTTTGAAGATCATTACTCTGGCGCATGCCTTCCACGGCTGGAAAGATGCCAAGATCAACCCCATCGCGAAAGAACACGAATGATGCCAACACCCTAGTGGTAGAGCATGCACTCAAAAAACCCCGGCCATCTTAGCGTCTGGTCCAATTTCCGCAAGCGCAAGATTGAGAGCAGGTCTTTCTCCTGTGGGGAAGACGGCGACGAGTTCCACGCTATCTGCTCCAGATGGAGACCGTCGCAGCTTTCGAGAAAGTCGGGTCGCGACCTCCTTCATCTCGTTCACCCGACCAGACTTCGGTCCAGTCATTCCTGCGACGGTCCCGGTGTATAGAGTCGATGCACTCAGTGGACGACGATGAGGGGGGGTTATCGTATAATGTCATGCTAGTGGTGGACATTTATAAAGCTGGTAGGTGTAATATGATCATGATGTTTCTACTCTAGGACTCGGGGACTAGCGGGTATTTATCAGAGCTTATTTGAAAATAGAAAACGTGACCGTAGCTTGCCTCAAACGAACTCCATGGATTCCGTGGCTTAACTGTCTAGGTGATACCAGACATACTCCTTGGCATTTGCTTTATAGAACGAAGGGTTTTAACCGATGGCACTATACTACAGGCGTGCGGTTCACTTCTGCCAAGCCTGAACGGTCTTAACAACCATCCGAAGATGCGCCTTCTAAGAATTTCGCGGACGACAATGCCAGCTCAGAACTTCTCGATGATGCCAACTGTACGATTTCCAGCAAAGCCTTAGTTTTACACTGTAAACTCAAAATTGCCAACGTTAACGTCCATTGAAGAGCTGGTGACAGCATCAGCTTGTTCACGACGGATAAATACCGTGGATACAGCCCAAGCATGTCTGTACGTACTGTCCCCTTCTACTGCGCCAACCTTTCCTGTCCGTGTTGTACACAAATCCCTGTAACTACAGGGGAGCCATTTGTGTGCACAGGTCAGGGAATGGTACTATACACCCCTGCTGTGGTGAGTCAGCCATCTTGTGACGCCTCTTGTGACTGCCTGGTGCGTGATTATGTGAGCAGTCGAGCTCGCTGTCGCCTTCGACGTGCTAGGGTCCTTAGGCACTGTGCTCGACAAGCAAAGTGATACTACAATCGAGCCAAAAATAAAATCCAATACAAAAGTAACTATAGGGCTGCCTTTTTCGTCACAGCCGGTGATAGGAACCATGTGCATCGTCTCTTGATTACTTTTTCCCATGCTTCCTGTTCCCTTTCGCAAAATCTGATCCCATCCCATGGCTTGTATAAAAATAATATTGTATTATTTAACAAGTAGATATATGGAGTAAAGGAATATATCTAGTCATTGGATATTCATGCTAAAGGCCTCCTCCCTCACGTCATTGCCGTTACCTCCCTGGCCGCCACCGCCGTCGTCGTCCCGCGCATGGTGAGGGAAAGAAGCGGAAAAAGAAGTGGCACAGCCACTCGATCACTCTGCGGTTTCACGGACCGGAGCGATTGAGCGAATGGAATGAATACCGGGGATGCATCCTCTGCTCCATTCCTGCATCCCGAAGGCCCGAGAATCATTGGAATGTAATGATATTGTATTATACAGTATAGTTCTATACTTTCCTATATATTAAATGAATCCCAGCCTTGATTAATATGCATTTTACGGTTGAAAAACCGCTTTTTGGTTCATTTGCTAGCATATACTCATTGTATGCTGTTCTATACACCGTAGAAATGAATACAATGGCCTGCATATACGAGATTATGTAGTATACTATCCAAACAAAGTGTCTGATCCACAGCGATCTTCTCATAGAAACATCGTTACTCACTTCATTGCTTAGAAGAACTGTTAGAAATTTGACCTCCGTGCACTTTTGTCTGACCAAAATAAAATTGTATCACGGTTTCAGGGCAGGTACATTTTCAGATATATACTACTCAGAATAGATGAAATCCATGGTTTTATTGACTCTGTATTCTCATTTGAATGTGTACTATGGGATAAAGGATGTAGAGTACTTGCATTTGACACCATAATTCATATTTATCTACAAATCAGCTAGAATATATGAATAACTAAGCTATACATGATATATAAATGCCAATAGACACCAATATATTTGATTTTAGAGGGATGGAAGAGCTTCATGACTGTACAATTGCAATCTATTGCTTGCTGCAGTCAATTTAGGGGTTGTCCGGCAAATTCCGGAAATCCACTCCAAATGTTCTTTTTTCACTAGTTCATACATGCATTAAATATAGTCATGATAGAGTCATTAGTGCACATTTTATACCAAAAAAACACACCATATCCATCTACTATCCCCAAAATTGAATCCACTATCAGATTGGGAATGCTATATTCCCACAGTAAATGCATCCAAGCACATGTAATTACTGGGATAAATTGTATTAAATGAACAATACAGCCTCAATACAAAAGGGGAAAAATAGAGTGGGAAGCGGGCAATGACGAGCGGGAGGGGCGGAGCATAGGGTGTAGCAAAGCATGGGAAATCCAAGCATGACAACTCCGGCATGGCTGTGCACAAGCTGAGCGCTTGTGCTACAGGCCATTCCCTGAGCTGTGTACAAATGCTGCTCCCTGTAGTTACAGGGATTTGTGTACAACTCGTTCCCCTGTAACTACAGGGCATTTGTGCACAAAATGGACGGTATAGCCTCACTGCGCAACCGGGTGTATTTACAGGCAATCAGCATTACACAATGGCCAGATGTTAAAGAGTTCCTTGTACCACGCAGGGAGTCGAGTGCTGAATTTCGATGCATGTATACTCATACGAAACTCTTCACCTTTCATAAATATCGCTGCAACCTGTGTTGGTCACTTGGTCTAGCCTGCTACTATTGTGGCGTACCCTTAAATCCGTTTAACGAGAGGACCGCATGATCGAGCACCTTAAAGAAAGTGACAGGGAATCATACTAAGGTAGAGGCCGTCTCTTTCCACCACCCTTATGTAATCATTAGTCATAACATCACGTGAGGACAAATTTGGGAATCTGAATTCGCATCATGACATTTTCTGAATAAAAACAGCTTCACCTCATTTCCTGTCATCATGTTAGCACTTTGTACAGCAATATATGTTGTTTTAAATATGTGAAGATCTCCATCAACTGAAAAGATGGATTACAGCACCTAATAGCACTAACATGACACTGCGTGTTACATCAATGATGTCATTATAATGACGTATTTCAATCACGTGACTGGACAAAATGTTCCGGGTGAAATTTTCGATATTGCTCCGAACTGCTGGAAAATGACTTTTAGACATTCAAAAATGCCCTCAAAAATTTCTGATTAAAATGACTACTAGTCTTTCATTAACACAATTATCAACAAAGTAACTCCAGGGAAACCATCTCCATACATCTTTCTATCATCCTCTGGAAGTATTTTGAGTCAGCAGCCCGACGTGATGGAGGAGATGTCGGTCGAAGAAGTCGGCGCGCTTTGCTTACATAACACGTGCTGGAAAGGGACGGCCTCTACCTTACCTCGACGAAGCTTCTTCGCAGCACGGATCTCGGGCACTACAACTGACAAATGGGAAATGAGTCACCGGCCTATACTTCTGACTTGTCTGTCATGCCCGTAGTGCCGATAGTCTCATGGTGAGTAGGTATATAAATGCCAGTCTCATTGCTTCCCAACTGACATGGCTCTGAATGAAAACATCAACCTTGGGTAACAAACGGACATTGCCTTGCTGCTACGCAGCTTGGGTCTAGCCACTGTACTCCTACTTGCTTGGCAACTTCGAAGGGCTATCGTCAACAGAGCCAAAGTAGGTTATCGCACAAACTTTCCCTGGCAGATACTGACCCTGCCACAGCTGAAAGCTATTCCTACAGTCGGATCATCTGGAATCATCACGTCTTGGAAGGATGCCTTCAGATTTGTCTTCCACGCAAAAGAAATTATTCAAGAGGGTCATCGAATGGTGTGTATTGCGCCGTCTCGCCAATAGCTGACGTCCCTCATTTTCAACTAGCACTACGGATCGGCATTCAAAGTTCCAATGCTCGACAAATGGATGATCGTAGTGAGCGGCGCCGAGAAGATCAACGACATTCGAAAAGCTTCGCCCGAGCAGCTGTCTTCGAAGGATGCAGGAGCAGAAGTACGCAATCTCTCCTTGTTTTGGGCTATAGTGTGATTCTGATGAGCGATTATAGATTTTACAGATAGACTATACGATTGGCCGTCGTTTTAACGAGGACCACTATCATGCGGACGTCGTTCAAAGTTCTTTGACGCGCAACATTGGTGCATGCTTCGCCGATATTCAGGATGAAATTCAAGCGGCCTTCAAAGATAATGTACCAATGACTGAAGGTACAATATCTCGTGGTTTTCTATCAGGCCATCCCCTAATACAAGTGCTTGTAGACTGGATCGAAGTCCCCGCGTACCAAACGATCTTACCAATCGTATGCAGAGCGAGCAACCGGATGTTCGTTGGGCTCCCTCTTTGTTAGCCGATTTCTTCGTCTCATTGAAGACTCATTGATCTGACCTGTTATTCAAGGTCGCAATCGCGATTACATTAACTTCAATATCAATTATGCTGTCAATGTTATAACCTGCGCCCAAATCATCCGCCTTTTCCCTTCAATCCTAAGGCCGTAAGTTCCTCCCATTGGACCGGATGTTGTTCAGGCTGACCTGCTTTGTGCGACCAGAATTGTGGGTTCCATCGTTACGCCCCGCAAGCACGCGGCAGTCAAGATGGAGAAATTTCTTGGTCAAACCATACGAGAACGATTGCATCAAGACGATGTACACGGCAAGAATTGGCCGGGAAAGCCGGTGAGGCATTCAAAACACTCTCGCAGAAACACATTTGCCTTATACAGCGATAGAATGACCTTCTCTCATGGCTTATTGACGCGACAAACGGTGACAGCGAGCGACGTACAGTGCAGGACTTGATAGTTCGGATCCTTGGCTTGAACTTTGCATCCATTCATACGACGTCTATGGTGTGTCTATTGAACTTAAATAAAGTTGGAACAGCTAGTAACTATACGCTCAGTCATTTACTGCTGCTCTGTATGCATTAGCTGCGCATTCAGAATACGTTCAAACCCTCCGCGATGAGGTGGAAACCGTGTTCGCAGAAGAAGGTCGGACTAAAGCTGCGATGGGAAAGATGAATAAGCTCGACAGTTTCGCGAAGGAAGCTCAGAGGCTATATGGTGGAATCGGTGCCTGTGAGTCGTCATTACCCTCACCATCACAACAATGCATTCTGACCATAAAGTGTAGTCAGCATGCCTCGTGTGGTTAAGAAAGACTTTATGTTCTCGGATGGAACGGTTGTTCCTGTTGGCAATCAAATAGCTGTTGCTGCTTATTCCACGCATATGGACGAGGTAGGCACAAGTTTGGGTTTCATCACCGTCTTACTCAAGAGTTTTCCCACACAGGAGAACTACGAGGACCCATTGGAGTTCAAGCCATGGAGGTTCTCCGATAAGAGGGCAAAGGAGGGCGAGGGCATTCGTCACCAGATGGTAACGACTAGTTTAGATTACCATTTGTTTGGCAATGGACGATTCTCTTGGTGAGTCTACACTTCAAAACCGAAAACCTTTAGCTCACTCTTGTTCACAGCCCGGGTCGCTTCTTCGCCGTTAACGAATTGAAGGCCCTCATGTCTCATGTTCTTTTAAACTATGACGTGAAAATGGATAAGGTTCCTGAAGCTGGGTGGTTCCTCTCTGATCAGTTCCCTAACCAGAGCAGTAAGGTGCTGTTCAGAAAGCGCGCGCCTGCCATGAAGGTATAAGTACAGGAATGGCTAGATTATGCATCGAAATAGCGGGTTTAATATAAATTGAATGGTGCACTGGTTGTACACGACATAACACACGTTTCAAAGCAACTCTGTTCAGTGTTTGGGCGCTCCAACGCAGGTGGACCTTTCGCTAATATAGGCTGGAGGTCGATTCCCTCCCGTAGTTACAAGCAAGCAATGAATGCTCTAGTGCCGGGTTGGCAGCAGCAGTGAATACGTCTTCGAATCAGCTGTCTGTTTTAAACCGGATGCCCCTGAGGATGAGCGCTTTGAGTGGCACAGGGTGGAGAGCTGTGAGTATCAAGTATCATAGTCTGACATTGAATGACTTCCGAATCCTGTGACCAGCAGGCGACAAGGGTCTTACAGTAATATTGGTACAGTTGCCCTGCGTGATGCTCTTGAAAAATGTCCAATTCATTGGCTTGTACGATAAAAACGTTTGAAAGGATAGCAGTTACAAGGGAAACAAGGAAGACGTTCGTTAGATAGGGATGTCGAGTCGAATGTAATCAAGAAGCTCTTGGGGAAAAGGATGGCCAGACTCGCCGCGTATGCTATCCTTGAACAGCGCCGTCTACAGCACGGATCAGTGGTTTCCTGGGAAGAAGAAATACAGCAACGCACGATACTGAAAAGCTAATCTTCTCGATACCGGGGGAAACGACGAGAATATGCACCGCTGCAGAAGGAAATTGCGAGGGAACGGAGGGAGATAATCGATGATGGTGGTACGGAAGCAAAAGTGGTCACGGTCATTTGATCTTCTACCACCACGACCCTGCCGACGATGCTTGTGAATTCAACTACCTTCCTCGTCATTTCTGTCGACGCCGGCGCCTACCGCATTCAACGACATGGAACCTCTCCCATTCAAGAGTTTGGCTGGCATCGTAGAGGAAAATCGCCATCCGGAGTCGTTAGTGGGATGCATTACAGCGCTGCCAGAAAACAAGTCTGTCCTACTTTGAGGATGTCGAGTCAAGCGTAGGAATATAGTCTGGCTATTGGTACGTCGTATGCTTTCCCACCTGACTTTATCTTATTGGTGGTGTAGAGGCAGACCCGGCTCGTCAGCACGACCGCCTTTTCCTTGGACGATAAAGATGACGGGAGTGTCATGGACGGTAACGGTACGGCATCTCTGTACCTCTTACGAGCATTCGGGATTGGTGTGAGGTATCACCAATATTCTGTGTATGTCTACCTTTCTTTCTAGGGAATATCTCAGCCGATTCTTCTCCCTTGCAGCTATCTCACACTTGATGCTCGGACCTCGGTTGCCTTTTCACGGAACAGAGAAGATTTATTTGATACAAGTCCTCGAGCTATCAAAACATGACGGGATGCGCCAACGTCGTCCCAGTTCTGCACTACAATTTTCATGCAGGATGGACCCTGGACCCCGGATGGTACATTGTCGCTTTCCTCTCGCGCGCAGAAGATTGACCGGTCGCGAAGGAATGTGAAATATGAATGGTACCGACACTCTGGTGGCAGAGCATGCGCTTAAAAGAACCCTGCTCCCATGTTAGCGTCTACTATAACTTTCGGAGACGTAGGTCTGGGAGCAGAACCTTTTCTTCTGCGGGGAAGCGAACCAGCTCTGGGTTCGAGATGGCCCTTTGCAGGAATGACTGGACCGAAATTCGGTCGGGTGAATGAGATGAAGAAAGTTACGCCTCGACGTTCTCGAAGGCTGCGATGATCTTTATCTGGAGCGGATAGTATGAAACTCGTCGGCGTCCCGGGGACGGAGTTTAGAGAGTCGAAGGACTCGGTGGACGACGACGAGGGGGTATGGTTGTACAATGCCGCGATGGACATTGACGAAGCTGACAGGGTGCTGTGATGGTTGTGGTAGGTGTTCATGTTGCTTTTGGTCTAGGAGTACTTAGCTAACGGGTATTTATACTGTTCTCCAGGGTGCCCCTCTTGAGTATAGGAGCCATGTTCGAAAATGTTTCCGCGGCGGCATAATTATATCCACATCGGCATTATACTGTCCTTCAGGCAGCCGTCAATCCTCTATCAGATCCCAAATGGCGCAGAGCCTAAGCGGTCAGGCTGGCTTAAGGAGCAAGGAGCCATCCATCGATGAACTTGCTATTTCACGAATGCTTCCGTGACGTGATCAGGACCCGTGGATGCATTTCTATTTTCCCTGCTTGGCTCAGATTGGGAGGATGGGATGATTTAATGATGTAGTAGACGTCAGTTGAAAGAAGATGTCGTGTGCGTATCGTCTCCTAAATTTTGGTATACTGGTCTAACGGCTGTACTGTCTGCAGCAGGGACCACTAAACTGGGAGACTCTAATTGTTGTACTCACTGAAACAGAGAGACCATGCGGGAAGCAAAAGGCGGCCAGTATTGCTAATATGGCGAGCCATACACTCGTGCTGTTGGCTCGAGATAAAATTAGGATCCCCACAAGACGACACATGCGTTGAACAGGTGTGATATGGGACCATATTGGCATATTCGGACCTTGACTATCTGAATCAATATTAATGCAAGAACGATAGTATGAAACAGGAAACCCATCGTTCCGTGTGTATCGCAATGGTATAACAGGCTGGTACATCCTTGCATCTACACCGTCACTATAGTGACTATTTTTAATAGTCGGCGGGTAGGCATCATTACGCAGTAGCACCCGTGCGATTGGAACAAATATACTGCTTACAGCAGTGATTAGATTCGTGTAAATCAACAGTGTCTTTCCTAAGACGCACGGGTCGGACTTGTGACCTGCCTATGTGTTCGGACGATGGTGCGTACACATATAAACCTGAGTCTCCCCTTGATTCCCATTTGACATATGGCTCTTAAAGAATATTTCGAACTTCCATGGCGAGTAGACATCAAAACCTTCGTGATACGCGGTCTGGGTATAGTCACCGCTTTTCTGCTTGTCCTGCAAGTTCGAAAGGCCCTAAAAACCAGCGCGAAAGTAAGCTACTACACTACCTTCGTCCTGGTGAATGCTGACATTATTGTAGCTGAAACACATTCCGGGTCTAATAATGTCTTGGATAGACGCCCTTAAGTTCATCTTTCACGCAAAGGCGATCATCCAAGAGGGTTATACAAAGGTGTGTACCGAGCCGCCTCATTAGTATCCTCGGAATTCAATGATTGCCTTATAGTACTATGGGTCAGCATTTAAAGTGCCCTTGATTGATAAATGGATGGTCGTCGTGAGTGGCGCCGAGAAGGTTGACGATATCCGGAGGTCTTCGCTCGAGCAGCTGTCTTCTCTGGACGCGATCATAGATGTGAGTATGCCTTATAGTGAGACTCTGTATAGTGCTCATAACGACGCCTATAGCTTTTGCAGATGAATCATACTATGGGTTACAGCTTATGTGTTGACCCTTACCACGCCGAAGTTGTGCGAGGCGCTTTGACTCGTAACATTGCCACACGTTTTGCGGACGTTCATGATGGGATAAAGGCAGCCTTTGAAGACAATATACCGATGACTGAAGGTATGGAGACCTGGCAAATTTAAGGTACCCTGGCTGATATCGTGATAGACTGGATTGAAGTTTCCGCATACCAGACAGTTTTGCAAATCGTATGCAGAGTGAGCAATCGGATGTTTATCGGACTTCCCATCTGTAAGTAAGCCATCCCTATCAGTGCTTTGTCAATGCTAACCTGTCCTTAAGGCCGTGATCCCGATTACATCAAGCTCAACATTGATTTCACTATCGGCGTTTTCGTTTACTCTCGTATCATCAACCTTTTCCCCAGGATCTTCAAACCGTAAGTTACTAGAGCTCAATGTTGCCGAGGCTGAAAACATCTTCGCCATAAGACTTCTGGGAACCCTCTTCACGCCTCGCCGACGTGCCTTAGCCAAGATGAAGAAATTCTTGGATGAAACTATACGGGAGCGCCTGCATCAAGAAAACATTCACGGCAAAGACTAGCCAGGAAAGCCGGTAAGAGAATTCCCTGGACCAAACCTTCACCGAGTATCTACTTATAGACTGACAGAATGACCTTTTTTCGTGGATAATTGACGCGACTCGTGGCCAAGAAGAAAGACGCACGATACAAGACTTGAGTACTCGAATACTGAGCCTGAATGTAGGAGCGATTCATACGACGTCTATGGTACTTACTCTGGACTACAATTCCAAGGCCAACAGCTGACTCGATCTCCGGTAGACGTTTACAATCGCTCTCTAAACTTTGGCTAGACACCCGGAGTATACTGAAACTCTCCGAGCTGAGGTGGAATCAGTCATCAATGCAGAAGGATGCACGAAAGCTGCAATGGGAAAGATGAATCAGCTTGACAGCTTTTTGAAGGAAGCGCAGAGTGTACGGCACTGTTGGCGTTTGTGAGTTGGTAGTCGGCACTCTATATCGCTTTGCACTGACAACTGCGCACAGTCGGAATGCGTCGTGTCGCTCAAAGCGACTTCGTTCTTTCGGACGGGATTGTTGTTGTGTACGTAATGTCTGGAACCGGCGTTCACTGTGTGGACACTGCCGTGTAATACTACCTACCTACCTACCGACGGGCACTGAAATCGCAGTGGCTGCTTTGGCTACGAATACGGACGAGGTAAATCATGCGTGATGTGAGCATAATAAACCTTGTATTCACCGACGTTTTTACAGTGGAACTATGAAAATCCGTCAGAGTTCAGGCCCTGGAGGTTTTCTGACAGGAGGAAACAAGAGGGCGAGAACCTCCACCACAGGATGGTCACTCCTAGCTTGGATTTCATTTTCTGTGGTCATGGACGACCGGCATGGTGAGGATATTCAGTAACGTCTTTATTAGTTCCGAGAGCTAATCGTCCTGTAGTCCCGGCCGTTTCTTCGCCGTCAATAACCTCAAGGCTCTCATGTCGTATGTTCTTCTGAACTTTGACGTGAAAATGGATACGCTTCCCTCCTCCACATGGTTAGCCGGCGATCAGATTCCTGATCAGAGCATTAAGGCGTTGTTCAGGAAGCGCGTACGTACGCCGTAAATGATCCAGGCGAGATTGGATACCGAAGAACGGGATACACTTCTAAATGTTTCCGGTCGTAGCAGACTTGTGCATAATGCAAAGGAGGTTGAAAAGTCTCTTCAGACTGCTCATCCATATTTTAACTGGTCAAAAGTCGCCTGCTTCTTTGTGTCTTCAAGTCTATCAGGATTGGTTTGTCCCGGTACGTGTATTAGACACAGAGTAAACGTGGCCGCGGTACTAACAAGAGAGTAGAAAAATGCAGGCCCCGGGAGAGAAGAAATATACTCCCTTCACAATCAAGAAACATTGTTTAGCTACGTGCTTGAATCGCAGCCTCTGGCGATAACTCAGAAGTTCTCACTTGATAACTGTGCACTTGTTGTATAGCATCATTTGATGCATTGACGCTCATCGTTGTAGAGACATACTTTATTATAAGTTTATTATTCGTGCGTCGGACGGGACACTTAACATCCATCCATCCATCCTTTGGATAAACGACACGTGCTGATTGATACTTCAACAGGCTGAACGTCATAGTTACACCTTTGGGAAATGACAAGGACTTCTCTAGGGCGTACGAGTCACTCCCGAGCGGTTTCACGAGACGTCAGAAGATGCATCACACCATCTACCGTCCCTGACTTCCGAGAATTCCACGAGCAACAGTGGCAGATGTTGGCTTGGTCTTCTCGGATGAGACGTCCACCGTCACTGCATTACAATTACAGATCTACGCAACGGCCAGACGCCGAAGAGACACTTGTACCCCACAATGCTAGGAGCCGAACTTGAGTTTTGATGTTGGATACTTGTACCAAATCTTAGTCTCCTCGCTCCAAACTGTCTTCAACTCACCTGCTCTGGATCTGCTACTGTCGTTGTGCATCTTAAATCCGTTCAACAGGAGGACCACATGATCATGCACCTTGGAGAAAGTGACACGCTTCGATAATGCTTCTTTCCAGAACGGATGGTGAGAACTGGACAAACAGAAAACGAGTATACGGCCGCCGTCCTTGTGGTAACCCTAATCGAAGCGCCGGTATTCTCATGGTAAACAGGTATATACATACCAGTCTTATTGCTTCTCTATCGACATGGGTCTCCAAGAAAACGTCAACCTAGCGCAACAAGTGGACATTGCCTTACTACTGCGCAGTTTAGGTCTAGCCGCCACATTCCTTCTTGCCTGGCAACTTCGAAAGGCTATCGACAACAGAGCGAAGGTATGCTATCACATGAACTTTCCCTGGCAGATACTGACGCCTTCACTTGGCCGTCACAGCTGAAAGCTATTCCCACGGTTGGGTCTTCTGGAATCATCACGTCTTGGAAAGATGCCTTCCGATTCGTCTTCCATGCAAAAGAAATTATTCAAGAGGGTCATAGAATGGTGTGTATTGCGCCTTCTGTTCGGTATCTCAGAACGTCGTATTTTCGTCTAGCACTACGGATCAGCATTCGAAGTTCCGATACTCGATAAATGGATGGTCGTAGTAAGCGGCCCCGAGAAGATCAATGACATTCGAAAAGCACTGCCCGAACAGCTGTCTTTGAAGGACGCAAGCGGAGAAATACATGATTGCTCTTTGTTTGGGGCTATAGTGTGATTCTGATGACTGCGATCATAGCTTTTGCAGATAGACTATACGATTGGCCGTCGTTTCAATGAAGACTCTTACCATACCGATGTCGTTCGAGGCTCTTTGACGCACAACATTGGCACGCGCTTTGCGGATGTGCAGGATGAAATTCAAGCGGCCTTCAAAGATAATATACCAGTGACTGAAGGTACAATATCTCGCGGCTTTCTATCAGGAAATCCCTTAATATAAGTGTTTGTAGGCTGGATAGAAGTCCCTGCATATAGAACAATCTTACAAATTGTATGCAGAGCGAGCAACCGGATGTTCGTTGGGCTCCCTCTTTGTTCGTAGACCTCCTCATCTCAAAACCCGTTGATTTAACCTAGTACCCAAGGCCGCAATCGTGATTACATTAAACTCAACATCAATTACACTATAAATGTCGTCGTCTGCGCTCACATTATTCGCCTTTTCCCTTCAATTCTAAAGCCGTAAGCTCCTTCAATTCGACCCGGTATTGCCCAAGCTGACCCACTTCTTGTGGCCAGAATCGTGGGATCCATCTTCACACCCCGCAGGCATGCAGCAGCCAAGATGGAAAAATTCCTTGGTCAGACTATACGGGAACGATTGCACCAAGACGATGCGCATGGCAAAGATGGGCGGGAAAGCCGGTAAGAGATCTAAAGCTACTGTCGCCGAACGTCTTTGGTCTAATTCGACGGAAGAATGACCTCCTTTCGTGGCTTATTGACGCGACTAATGGTGACAGCGAGAGACGCACAGTGCAAGACTTGATAATTCGGATGCTTGGCTTGAACTTTGCAGCCATTCATACGACGTCCATGGTGTGATTATTGAAATTTCAAGTTTGAATGGCTAGTAACTTTACGCTTTCAGACATCTATTGTTGCTTTATATGCATTAGCTGCACATTCGGAATACGTCCAAATCCTTCGCGATGAGGTAGAAACTACCATCGTAGGAGAAGGGTGGACTAAAGCTGCGATGGGAAAGATGAATAAACTGGATAGTTTCGTTAAAGAAGCTCAGAGGCTATACGGTGGAATCGGTGCCTGTGAGTCGTCGTTACCCTCATCATCACAACAATGCATTCTGACCATCGAGTGTAGTCAGTATGCTTCGTTTGGTCAAGAAAGACTTTATATTCTCGGATGGGACGGTTGTTCCTGCTGGCAATCAAATCGCTGTCGCTGCTTACCCCACACATATGGACGAGGTAGGCATAATTCTGGGTATCGTCACCGTCCTTCTCAAGGCTTTTACTACACAGGAGAACTACGAGGACCCATTGGAGTTCAAGCCGTGGAGGTTCTCCGATAAGAGGACAAAGGAGGGTGAGGATATTCGCCACCAGATGGTGACAACTAGCATAGATTACCTTCTCTTTGGCAACGGACGACCCGTTTGGTGAGTCCACACTCCAAATTGAGAGCGCGGAACTGACTCTTGTTCCCAGCCCAGGCCGTTTCTTTGCCGTTAACGAGTTGAAGGCCCTTATGTCTTATGTTCTTTTGAACTTTGATGTGAAGATAGATAAAGTCCCCGAAACCAGGTGGTTTCTCTCTGATCAGTTCCCTAATCAGAGCAGTAAGGTGCTGTTCAGGAAACGCGCACGTCTAGCGAAGGTGTAAGTACAGGCATGGCTAGCTCTTACACGATATATATTGGACAAGTACGCTGGCTGTATATGATGAAAACCCGCATTTTAACGCAACATTGTTTAGTATGTGAACGCCATCATGATGCTCTTTCTGGCACTGAGTGGTTACCATCGTTTCCGCCACTGCCTATGCATACCCCAGCTGGTATGAAGGGGACCACTTTGCTACTCAATGAATACTCACTATGAGCTTCTTTAAACGATTAAATGACAGGGAAATGAATATTTCTTACCTGTTTCGGTCCGGCGTGCGTACTTTACGGAGTACGTAAAATAGCCGACCTGGTTTCTCAGCGTGCAACTCCATGGCATTCAAAGAGTTCGTCAGTATCGTACGAAAATTGGACGGCACTTCGCTGCTGGGCATCCTGGGTTTGTCCTTTGTATTTCTGCTTGCGTTCCAGTGTCGACAGGTTTCAAACAACCGGGGAAAGGTGAGTGGGCATGCATATTTTCATGGCTTATTTTCACCACGTCACAATTGAAAGGTATTCCTACGGTTGGGTCCTCTAGGTTCATCGCATCTTGGAAGGATGCTTTGAAATTCCATTTCCCCTCAAAGGAAATTATTGAAGAAGGCTACAGAAAGGTTCGTTTTGAATCGTCTCAACTGTTGTTGAGGTCTTTGGGAAGCTGGCTAATTTCTTGCATAGTACTACGGGTCAGTGTTCAAAGTGCCGTTGCTCGACAAATGGATTATCGTTGTCAGCGGCGCTGAGAAGATTGATGAGATTCGAAAATCCTCGCCTGAACAGCTGTCTTCACTGGATGCAACCTCAGATGTAAGAATTTCTCCAAGATGTGCGCTAGCGGTACAATATTGACTATGGCGATTCAGCTTTTGCAGATGGACTATACGATGGGTAGCAGCGTGGCCGCTGACCCTTACCACATAGACATCGTGCGAAACGCCTTGACCCGTAACATAGCTGTTTGTTTTGCGGACGTTACAGACGAGATTCAAGCGGCCTTCAATGACAACATCCAGACGACTGAAGGTACCAATTTTAATTGTCTGTTTAGGCTCCACGCCTATCAAGTTACTGTAGATTGGATCAACGTTCCTGTACACGATAAAATTCTCCAAATTGTATGCAGGGCAAGTAACCGCATGTTTGTCGGCCTTCCTCTCTGTCAGCATTTACCCTTGTCAAATATAAGAACGCTAACCGGAACTATCCCTGCAGGCCGTACCGAGGATTATATCAAGCTCAATATCAACTTCACGGTCAACGTTTTCGTCTGCGCTCATATCATCAACATTTTCCCATCGTTCCTGAAACCGTAAGTCTTCCCGTCGAATGGGATTACTGACTAACATTTCATTTGATTAGAATTGTAGGATTCCTCTTGACACCCCGGAGACGCTTTAGCTCAGGCGGAGAGATTACTCGGTCAGACTATTCGAGAACGACTGCGCAAAGAGGACCTCCATGGAAAGGATTGGCCAGGGAAACCGGTAAGGAATTACTGGTCCATTTGGTAGTGTCTGGTGTCATAACCGCTGTAGAATGATCTCCTCTCATGGCTGCTCGACGCGACCAAGGACAACAAGGAAAAACGTACTGTACAGGATTTGACCACTCGTCTCCTTGCCTTGAACCTGGGGGCCATCCATACAACGTCCATGGTATTGTCAAATTCAAAGTTCAAAGGCAACCATTGAGCATCATACCCTTTTAGGTATTCAAGACTGCCGTGTACACATTAGCTGCACATCCGGAATATGTTCAGATTCTCCGAACCGAAGTTGAATCAGCCATTGCGGAAGAAGGCTGGACCAAATCTGCGGTTAGTAAAATGGATCTTCTCGACAGTTTCTTGAAGGAGGCTCAAAGGCTCTATGGAGATCTCGGGGTCTGTGAGTCGCCGTGGATATTCTCGCCAGGTGAATAAATTCAAATCATCAAGCACAGTCGGTGTACGTCGTACGGCGCGAGAGGATTTCATCTTTTCAGATGGGACAATCGTGCCAGCCGGCAGTCATATCGCCGTAGCGGCGCTCTCCACCCATGTCGATGAGGTAAATGCATGATTTCCGTCACCGTTATCTTTCACTTAACGTATGCAGAAGAATTACGAAGATCCGTTACAGTTCAGGCCTTGGAGGTTCTCTGAGAGGAAACAGGAAGGTGGGGGTATCCACCAGCAGATGGTTACCCCCAGCCTAGATTATGTTCTCTTTGGTATTGGACGGTCAGCATGGTGCGTATATCTGAACACCGACGTTCTGAAACTGACCCTTATTCAGTCCAGGACGCTTTTTCGCCATAGACACGCTGAAGACCCTCATGACTCATGTTCTCCTGAACTTTGACGTGAAAACAGACGGCATTTCCACCGCAGGCCAATTACCTACTCACCAAGACCGAAACAATGACATCTTCTTCAGGAAGCGCGCGCGCACGCCATAGTGGAGACCGGTTTGTTCTGACAAGAAATATATGTTTTGTAGTGATACACAAATGAGCATGGGTTTACAAAAAATAAATCAGTCAAAAGTCCTTTGTATGCAGTAGCGCCCTGTGATATAAAAGGTGAGAATGTATACCAGATCAGTCAGAATGTCAACTGACGTTTAACAAGTTCGACTTCCAGGATACCTCTGGCTTTCAGTAAAGGCATTTTATCCTCAACTTGACGCTTCCATCCGACATATTCTGTTGGATGCTCACGGCCATGACATATAGTACAGGGGTACTTGTCCTTGTAGCATAGAAAACACTTGCATACGCCATGCTCACGGGCGTGGCATGCAAAGCAGTAGCATGTGCCATGTGAACTGTCATGCAGCCTGATATGAACACATTGCAGCGCAGGCAACGGCAGTGCATCCAGGTGAGCGTCAAACTGAGCCCAGGCGTGGACAGACTGGTCCAAGCTGTGCTCCCAGTTGTGACACACTTGCTCTATCTTCAATGTCCGCAACGTAGGACTAAGGCGCACTCTCAGTAACCGCGAGTCCAGCGGAGAGGCCAAGATCATGAAAAAAGAGGAGAGGCTTCTGAGACGACTCAAATCCAAACGGACCTGTTGATCTTTGGAAAGAAGCTGGTGAGAATAATATAGTCAAAGAAGATGGTGACATACCTGTCCAAGCGTTAACATCTAGAATGAAGTACTCGAGCGATCCCTGCATCGCGTTAAGCAGTCTCTGAACGAGTGATGCATTGTTCTCATAGTACATTTGGAGAGAGAGATGATGGACAGAGCTGATATTGTACAGAGATTGACTGAAGAACATCCATGCAATGTTGCTGCATGTTGCGGCCCCTGCCATAGTCAAAGACTCCAGTGCGGGTAGGCCTTTCGGTGGAGGGCGAATCGGCGGATAGTTTTCAGAGGTCCAATCTGCTCCGTTATCAGTGACGATCGACAGATGCTTTAGCGCCGGGTTGGCAGCGGCAGTGAATACGTCTCTGAATTGTTTATTCCCTTGATATGTGATGCCATTGGAAATGAACGTCTTAAGTGGTACAGAGCGGAGAGCTGCGAGGAAGACTTTGCGTCTGGCGACTGGAAAATCGGTCCAAAATCCCTGGTATTGGCGAGCAACGAATTCGACATGAGACAGATTATGGAGAGATTTAATGATAGGAACGAGAGAGATTTCCATCAAAATTTCCGACATCATTGAGTTTGCGTGAATTCCGAATCTTGTGACCAACGGGGCGACATGAGGATAATTTTTGAGTAATGTGGCAAGGTTCTCGCAATGGTACAGTTGCCCTGCATATTGTTCCCGAAATTCGTCTAATTCACCTTTGTGCACGATAAACACATTCGAATAGATATGATAGCGGCTGCAAGGAAGTAAGGCATGGCATACAAGGGAGCACGTCCGCAAGGTTGGAGCATCGTCGTGCAGGAAGTCGAGAATGTAATCAAGGACCTCTTGGGGCACAGAAGGACTCACATCGCCCGGTGCCGTGTCCTTGAACGGCGCCGTCATGACAGTCCGAGTCGTTCTTTGTATACCTACCGCATGTATCAGTATTTTTTCTGAGAGGAAGAAATACAGCGACGCACAAAATCCAACAAAGTGATGTCCACCGAAGAGCCGTACAAATACTCCAAGGAAGGAGAAAATTATTGAGTGCAGAGAGCAATAGGGGTACCGGAAGAGCGGTGATGATGGTACGGAAGCAAGAGTGATCGCATCGCTTCCTCATGGGGCAGGGCAGCCCTCTGCCTCCTTACCACCATCACCACCACCACTAGGCGCGACAATATTGATAAATTCTTTACTCTCCACAATCGTCGACGCTGAAGCATAACACCTCCAAGCGATGATATCGACGAGGAACGTCGTGGCTCCTATACAAAAAGTCGCCTGGCCACTGGCGTTGTAGGGCTCATTACTGGGATTTGTTGCGATGGCGTCGGTAAATCAGGTGTGTTCTACTTTGAAAAGGCCAAACGAACGCCGGAATAGAAGAGCGTGGCTGTTGGCACTGCAGTGAGTCCTACTTTTTTTCCTACCGACTTCATCTTATATATACGCCATAGAACGAACTCCATCCACTATCGTGAAACGCAACACATTTCTTTGGACGATAAACCGACGAGAATACTATGGGTGGTAACGATGGAACGGTTTGGTCTGCCCATTCAAGCGTTTGGAACCGACGCGAGGTCCCTACAACCGCAATCGGAACATATACGAAGCCAGCATAATGCGTACGTTCACGAGCAGTGAGATTCTCACAAAGGGCTTATATCCTACAGCTCCGTTGATTTATCGCAGAAAAGGAATTTATTCCAGAACAAAAAAAAAGTCCGTGAGCTATCGAAATACACGCAGTATACCGACATGATCTCCTAGTTGCACTACAATTTTCATGCAAGATGACCAACCCGGCATTTTCCCTCTGCTACTGGAGAGAGGCCAAGGTTGACCCCGTCGCGGAGAGACGTGAATGATACCAACACCCTAGTGGCAGAGCATACGACGGCGAACACTTAAAAGAACCCCGCCTCCATGTTAGCGTCTACTACAGTTTTCGCAGGCGCAAGTCTGGGAGCAGAAACCTTTCTTCTGTGCGGAAGAGACCCAGCTCTGGGTTCGAGATGGCCCTTTGCAGGAATGACTGGACCGAAACATGGTCGGGTGAACGAGATGAAGAAAGTCACGCCTCGGCGCTCTCGAAGGCTGCGACCGTATCCATCTGAAGCGGATAATATGGAACTCGTCGGTGTCCCGGGTACGGAGTTGAGAGAGTCGATCGACTCGGTGGAGGACGACGAAGGGGGATGATTGTACAATGCTGCGATGGGCATTGATAAAGCTGGCAGGGTGTTCTGATGGTGGTTGTAAGTGTTCATGTTGTTTCTGGTCTAGGAGTATGAAATTAATAGGTATTTATACTCTTTTCCATGTAGCCCCTCTCAAGTATAGGAGCTAGGTTCCAAAATACTTCCACGGAAGCATATATACCCCCGTGGCAGGCTCCTTCGCCAGAGGTACTGCAGTGTCAAAGCGATGTGCCGGCTTAATTTTGACGTTAAAACCCTCGTTTCCACAATGCGGAGATTTCTTCTAAGCGATTCATATCAATTCATCTTCTTGATCTTGTCGCCTGACTCCAACTGAACATTATCCGGCCGTATCTATAAGCCCAGGTGCCAGTATTCGGGCAGACGTTGTTAAACCCGAACACCTCTTATACTTCAAAGTGCTTACTTGTATGTGCGAACTTTGGTTTTCCTCCTCCCAGCGCTTTCAAATCGCCGAGATTCCATAATACAGGCTTTTTCTGCCGAGCTAGATGGGATATTGGTAACCTTTCGGTTCCGAGATTGTTTGATACCCGCATAATAGAGTTGAAAGAAATAATCGAGTTTGGGGCGTCCGTTTGAGATATCTTTTCGTTGCGCTCATCGCTGTCCTCGAATATCCTCGAAGCCATCATTTCAAATATCACACCAATCGATTTCGTAAAGGCTAGCCTTGCCGTTCGGAACATAACCGCCTCAAAGAGCCGAAGTGCGCTGTATCTATTCTTCCTATACCTTCAACAGCCAAAAGCTAATTTCGCCTACAGGTCCGAGTGTACCGTTACGCACTACACATATAGGCATTGAACACGGCCGCTTTGTACCATGACATACCACCCCATAATGATCACGACACAGTGATACCGAATCTGTGGCTAATGACGGCAGGTGAAACTTTGAGAGGGTGATGCACCGCATACAATTGGTCTGCGGGATAAGAACCTTTCACCGAAGATCACTTGTATGATTTCTCAGGACAGGCAAAGAAGGCTTTATCTCGGCACGGCAGTCTCATGACTGTATATAAGTCAGAGGATGAACACAGAATTGCATCTTGACCTGCATGCAATGGCTGGTTCCACCCCGGGTAAACTTGCAGCCCAACAGGCGCATACGGACCAAGAAATGGTCATGTACTCGCTCGGACCTTGGGTATGTGAAGCTGTCTTTCCTGGAAATTGGTTACTCGTATCGACATGACTACTTAGCTCGTCGGAATGTGTCTGGATTTATTTCTTCAAGGAATATTAACGTCCCAGGTTGGCGTCTTTGGTTTTCAACGTCAATGGTCCAGATCATCATCGTCGACTCCTTCTAGTTCTTCAACTACTATGCGTGGTACGGCAAATCCGACACCTGGAAGTTTACAACTGCAGTCGGCGTTCTTGCGGTTATGACTACCCTTAAGACTATACAGGTCTGTTCCCAAATGCGGATTTTCGGCATGTTTACCGGTGATCTTTTCTAGGCATTGTACGCGTTCTTCTCATTAATGAATTTTACTGAGCTGACTACCCATGGCAGCGCGATTGTTTGGATACAAGATATAGTGTACTTCAACGATCTCGACAGCGCTCTGCAAATGAGGTTCTACGTCTGGTATCAGATGGGTATGGACCCTTTCACACTGACGCATGTCCCTTCTCATAATTACAGGTAATGCCATAATGGTGGCGTTTATCGCCTTCTACGTGCAATGCTACTTCTGTTATCGTCTCTGGGCCGTTTCTTCACGGTATTGGGTTGTATCGCCGATTCTCTTCCTCTACGTCTTTTCTTTGGGAACGGCTGCTGCTGCAGTACGTTCAGTTTTTTAAATCGCTGAAAATGTATTCTGATATTCTCGTCTAAGACGTATTATATTGTACTCGCCGATCCTCGATTAGGACATTGGTGTATGCATGTCTAACTCGACCTAGGCTAAAGCTGAACCGCATTAATTAGTATCCGTTCATTATGCCACTGAGTTCGGTATCTGTCATGTTTCATCTCTCTGTTCTTGCCTTTTCTAACTCTTTTGTAGTAGGTGACGTGTTACTGGCAGTTACCATGGCATATTTCCTTCTACGCACAAAGAAACGCGTCCTACCTCAGTACGTCTATGTGTACTTCTCTTCTTGTTCTCACCAGCGTCCGTATCGACTTAGAACGAAGAACTTGCTTGATTCATTGGTCCGCCTAACATTTCAGACGGCCACGCCGGCTGTCATAGTGTAACATCTTCTTTCTTCCCGTCGACGCTCGATCTAACCTGATTTATTAGCGCGTTACTCAACCTGATATTCATCTTTCTCCCTGACCCTTACGTGAGGGGCATTTCTAGCGCTTTCATCCAACCCCTCCCGAAGCTCTATGCGATCAGTATGATGTGGACTTTGAATGCAAGGAGAGATATACGGATAGCTTCCTCCAGTCTGAGTATTTATACCAGCCGGAATTATGCGCAGGACTTGCCCAGTCCAACATTTCCTAGATCCCCTAGGTTTACCCATGAAATACCCATGAACAGCTTCCAGGTATTGAATGTCGTTGTCTATGTCATAACCATCCGCTGATATGGGCGGTTATAGACATCAGGGTCTAGCATGCTGTTCACTGATACCGAATCTACGAAGCAAGGACAGGCTACCCCGGCCACAGCTTGTGACAATGTTTCGTGCTTATGAACCCTTTATATTGTTATTACAACACGCAGCGGACATCTGGACATATTCCAGTAGTATACACTACGGACTCTTCGATATATGGTCATCACGATCAAGGCGGGCTTGAGATCGTTTTAAGGTTCTTGTTACTTTGATAGAATCGTATAGAGGACTTTTATCTTGGCAAACCAGAGTAGAACTTGTCCATAGTTAGCACACAGCGATTCTATCTACGGTTCTCTGAAATGCCGTACATGAAATATGCCGAGACTCGGAAATACAGACAGCAATGAAGGGAGACACGGGACTAAGGTTGTTGCTCATATTAAATCGCAACCGAGAACCGTGTTTCCAATATTCCGACCGTGACGGAAAATAATCCAACGAAGTACAAGACGCAGCTTCTTCTTTGGCCTCGTTCGCAACTTACGGCTACTTACATCTGATGGACGATTTAAATTAGGAAAGATACATTCAGTCGTTCTTCTGCCGGGACTACAGCCCGCAGCTTATGATGAGGTGATGACATGCGGAATTGTGCCTTACTAGAGTACTTGAGCAAATTGTGGGCGTTTCGCAAATAGTGACCTTATGTACGGTCCTCGGGAAGAAAAGGTACTGTACTGCAGTTGAATGATGATGTTGGGAGATAGTGAAAGGGCCAGTATCAGTGGACCACTAGTGCAGAAGGGAAGAGCACAGCCGCTTTTTCGTCATTTATTTTGAGCACTCCGGAGCAGCTGACGCTCGTGCAGGCTAACTAGCACCAGCACTTCGTTGGATAAATATCCTAGATATAATGCCTACGGTCTGTTGAACGACGGAGTCTCAGATTCTCGGAGGTGATTGGAATCAGGGAACTCTGGGGGATAGATACAAAGTTCAAAATAAACCGGTAGAGGCGCCCGTGCGTTTTATAACTTTGGAATGTAGACTGCTTTAGCTTTAGTAGTCTGTGTTCGACGCGTACGAATGCCGCCATGGAAGTATATTTGCTTCCATGGAAGCATTTTCGAACATAGCTCCTATACTCAACAGGGGCCACATGGGAAAGAGTATATATACTCATTAGCCACGTACTCCTGGACCAGAAACAACATGAACACCTACCACAACCATTACAATACCTTACCAACCTCATCGATGTCCATCGCAGCATTGTACAATCATTCTCCCTCGTCATCGTCCACCGAGTCCTTCGACTCTCTAAACTTCGCGCCCGTGACGCTGACAAGTTCTATATTATCCGCTTCAGATGGATACGGTCGCAGCCTTCGAGAGCGCCGAGGCGTGACTTTCTTCATCTCATTCACCCGACCGAATTTCGGTCCAGTCATTCCTGCGAAGGGCCATCTCGAACCCAGAGCTGGCTCTCTCCCCCGCAGAAGAAAGGGTTCTGCTTCCAGACTTGTGCCTGCAAAAATTGTAGCAGACGCTAATATGGGAGCAGGATTCTTTTAAGTGTTCACCGCCGTTTGCTCTGTCACTGGAGTGTTGGTATCGTATATTTCACATCTCTCTGCAACGGGGTCAACCTCGGCCTTTTTTCAAGTCGCAGAGGGTAAATGCCGAGGTAGTGATATCAGGTTCACGGTGTCTAAAGATTTTAGTGCAGCTACCGGGAGAGATCATGTCGGTACAGCTGGTCGTATTCCGACACTTCATGGACTTTTGAATTATCGAAGAAAATTTCCTTCTTCTGAAGTCGCGGCATTGACTGGTCTAAATGAAATCAGATAAGCGAGGTTGTATAAATTGACCGGAAGGCAAGAAAGACACTCACGACACAACGATTTATCCTGAAGTGAGTCCAGGCGTAAAAAGTGAACTATAAACAAATGCTAACGTACAGGGCAACTGCCGCACAATAGCTCGGACTCGTCGGGCAAGCGTGAAGAGTTCCATATCTTGACACCACTCAACGTCGATTCGTAAGTGGTATCCTTGAAGCTTATGACGGCGGAAAGTATGGCGACAGCTAGGTCTGAGCAGGCGGTAACAAGCTGCCATCTATAAGTATCCACAACGCACCGCAAACGCCATCTTCAGAACTGTGTAAGCTTTGTATAACAGGAAGGAAATAGCAAGACTGAATGTTTCATAGGACATATTATTCGCTACAGTTAGAAACTTTGCTGCTATCACACCAGCTCTTCTTGCCTGAGGGTACAGACCGATTCTATGTGCTACAGGGACGAAAGGCAGTAAGGTCATAGCTGTTTAAAGACTGGAACGAGAAAAAACTGACTAAGAAAACGCATCCACGATCCTCACGGCTAACGGTGAATTCCGACGTTGTATATCAAAAGATCTTACAATCCTCCCGATGCGGATGTGGTAGTCATGCGACAGAAACGAACATACAAGAATATCTTCTCGCTGTTTGACTCGAACCTTCTGCAAGGGTGTACTCGGCAAGGTTGAAACGAATAAGACGTCGCGTAGAAAAATCGGGCGCAGCCACGGTAGATATTAGGATTGGGCGCTCTCCACCATCTCTAGGGCCCAGTTACTTCTTCATGGTACCAGGAACGTCGGGTTCGAAGTTGGAAGTGAGAACGGAGATGGCGCCGACAAAAGCAACGATAGCTGAGTATTTTTTCTGTGGCTGCCGGATTCGGCACGAGCATTTAGGGCGAGCCGGTTGCACGTTTCTCGGCCCGAGCATCCGTTTCGTCCTTCCTTTCCAAAGCATAAACATTCGAACTTCGGTGGCTTGGACACTACACTACTTGTATTAAGAACCAGCGCTTTCTACTGTGTTAAGTCTCAGATACTCCTTCGTCTTATTGCTATTAGCTGTCTTTGCTTGCTACTCAGGAGTTCGTGCACTCCTGGAGTCGAAGTTTAGTTCCGTGTATCGCCCAAACGCCTGATCACCAATTGGCCCGGTTTGCAATCAGCATTACGCACCTTCCAGAGAGAAACAAGTATATGATGCACTCGGAACGTAACGTATCCTTACTACTTACTGGCACACGGCCCCGTTGCTTGTGATCAAGGGTACTCACACCAAACTCGTCAGCCTTTCCACGAACCCGATTAACAATTGCCTTGGTCACCAGGTACCGTACAGTGTTATCGCAGTGCTCTCCACAAAATATTACATCCATTCATCGATAGAACCCAGTGCGAATGAACTCTCTGGGGCAGTATGACGTCTCATCGTCTCTTCGCAGCACGGATTGAGGGCACCAATGTAAATAAAGATGAGTAAGTGCCCGCGGCGTAGCCCACGGCCCACGGCATAGGGTGTACTACTTTTGCCAATCCGAGTACGCACCGTATTCTATATAACCGGCAGGCTATCTGTGTTTCTCATACAACATAGTATGGCTCTTGAAGAATACACAGATCTCGCACGACAGGTGGACAAAACTTTTCTGCTTCGCAGTTTGGGTCTAGCCACTGCATTTCTGCTTGTCTTACAACTTCGAGGAGCTTTGGTTAATAGAGCCAAGGTAAGTCATTACACCGATTTTGTGCTGGGGTATACTAATGTTGTCGCAGCTGAAAGCCATTCCTACGGTCGGGTCTTCTGGAATTCTGACGTCTTGGAAAGATTCCTTCAAATCTGTATTCCACGTGAGGGACGTCATCGAAGAGGGTTATAGAACGGTGTGTATCCGTTTGTGTGGCTCATATACGAGGCGGCTGATTTTTTTGCCAAGCACTATGGAGGAGTTTTCAAAATACCTTTCCCAGACAAATGGATGGTTGTCGTTACTGGTAACGAAAAGATGAATGATATCCGGAAGGCCTCAGATGAGCAACTGTCCTTCGCAGACGCAAGCATAGATGCTCGTGTTTTATGTTTGAGTTGCAACTCGATTCATATGACATTGGTTATAGAACTTTCAGATGGACCACACAGTAGGTCACAGGCTCTCTGCAGACCACTACCATGTAGATGTCATACGAGGCCCCTTGACGCGCAATATCGTTGCATGCTTTGCCGATGTTCAGGACGAAATCAAAGCAGCCTTCAAGGATTACATTCCGATGAATAAAGGTACGAAATCACACGGTCTTCCATCAGTTTCTTCCCGCCCTAATACACTTGCAGACTGGACCGAGGTTCCCGCATACCAAACGGCTCTGCAAATTGTATGCAGAGCAAGTAACAGAATGTTTGTCGACCTTCCTCTCTGTAAGTCGCCTCCCTGTCTCAGGGACTTGTTATTGATTCGAATTCATCCTCGAGGCCGCAATCGCGATTATATTGACCTCAATATTAATTTTACTGTCAATGTTACTGCCTACGCTCATGTTCTCAACCTTTTCCCTTCATTCCTAAAGCCGTAAGTCCTTCCAACTCTACATTGCCTAGGCTGATCCATAAATCAGAATCTTGGGATCCATCTTCACGCCTCGCAGAAACGCCACGGCTAAGATGGAGAAATTCCTCGGTGAAACAATAAGGGAACGATTGCGCCAAGATGATTTATATGGCAAGGATTGGCCGGGAAAGCCGGTGAGATTCAAAGCCACTGTTGCTGAAAAATATTTGACTCATACAACGACAGAATGACGTTATCTCGTGGCTCATCGATGCAACAAATGGTGATGGCGAGAGACGCACAGTACAGGACTTGATACTTCGGGTGCTTGTCATGAACTTTGCAGCTATCCATACGACGTCCATTGTATGGCATATATTCACCGACTTGAGTGACTACTAACTCTGTGCTCCTAGACATTTAATATCGCTCTGTATGTATTAACCGCGCATTCAGAATATGTCGAGACTCTCCGGGACGAGGCAGAAGCAGGCCATCGCAGAAGAAGGCTGGACTAAAGCTGCGATGGGAAAGATGAACCAGCTCGACAGTTTCATCAAGGAAGCTCAGAGACGGTATGGTAGCGTCAGTGTCTGTGAGCCTTTACCCTCCCTATTTTCTGAATGCACCCTAACAATCGGGCAGTTAGCATGGCTCGCTTGGTAAAGAAAGATTTTGTATTTTCGGATGGCACCGTTGTCCCTGCTGGCAATCAAATTGCTGTCGCTGCTCAATCCATACACATGGATGAGGTAGGCACAGGTTTACTGTCATTGGCGTCCTTCTCATCTTTGGCTTTTGTAGGGAAAGTACGAAGATCCATTAGAATTCAAGCCGTGGAGATTTTATGATATGAGAAAGGAGGAGGGCGAGAGTAATCGTCATCAAATGATCAGCCTGGACCTCGATTATGTCCTTTTTGGAAACGGACGACCGGCATGGTGAGCCTATGTCAAAAATCTGGGAGCCTGATGCTGATTTTGTTCGCAGCCCGGGTCGCTTCTTCGCTGTCAATGAGCTAAAGACCCTCATGTCTTATGTTCTTGTGAACTTTGACGTGAAGATGGACAAGGTTCCCGAAGCCGGGTGGTTCCTCTCTGATAGATACCTGAATCCAGACAGTAAGGTGCTGTTCAGGAAGCGTGCGACCGTGTGAAGGTGAACGAATATAGCTAGCCTCTTGTATATCGAAGTAGAGTTTCTGCCTCCCATTTGATAGGTTATGGCTTTGCTGAGAAAACGTCAGTTTAACTTGGCACTGACATACGGACATGGTGCGCTGAGAGCGATAAGGACAAAGATATTAATGGTAATAAAACCCCCACGGCCACGCCTCTCTTTCTCCAACCGCCACCATCTGTTTTGCTCAAGTCTTTGGCCTCGCATTTTCTCTACTTTCATGGAATTGAAAAAGTTTTTTACTTAGAGATCTCAGTGTGTTCCCTGCTCCCCTATCCTGGAATAAGTGCGTTGATGTAACAAGACAGATTCTCACCTCCTTGTATTATGGAACCCCCATCACTGGAATCGCGCCAACATATCCCTCAGGAACTCGTTGACTATATCTTTGGATATCTACATGAAGATATCTCAACATTACGGACATGTTCAATCGTGTCGCATTCATTCCTGTTTTCTGCTCTGCCGCACATCTATCACCAAATAATACTTGTTCATTCTCTCGAAGTGAACCGGTTCTGGAAATACCATCCTGGAAGGTTGTATCAATGTGACAAATTTTCCAATCTACTACTTGCCAATCCCGTTATCGCTCGTTCCGTCAGGACGTTAGGCATATATTCAGACACTCACGGACTTGAACTTCTGTGCCGAAGTCCTTCACTCCCCTCCATATTAATCTCGCTTTCGAATCTTACGCGCATCGGTATGGTTAACAGACATTCCGTGTCTGATTGGATGCGCTTTCCCGAAAATTTACGGTCTGCACTCCTTTCAGTGTTCCAATCTCCTGCCCTCACAACGTTGCATCTCGACGGAGTGGAGAACGTACCAGACAGCGATGCCCAACGTATACTCGATAGAGGGTCTTCAAGTTCTTTGAGACATCTATCGCTGAAGTGGGTCAATGTACCGCTCCGTCCGCCTATGAGGCAGTCTCAGGAGAAGTTACCAGTGCTGGAGTCGCTGACCTTAGCGGGTGACAAGGGAAATCTCATTCTCAACCATCTTATGTTGCCAAATACATTCTTCGACATGCGTCCTATCCGAAAGTTATCGATACAGGTGTCTGAAGCTTATCCCAGGCTTCCTGACATCGAGAACGCTCTTGATGAACTGAAGGAATCCCTAGAGCATCTTATATTTGATGTGAGCACGGTCGATTATCGCGGCGAGTATGTTTTTCTTGTATCAAACCCTGGACTGATCTTCAGCTAGGAGCATCGCAATTTTGTCTCAGCGATTATAGGCGCCTGAAGTACTTTCATATGGTCATCAGTTCCTTCGGCAGGCAGCTTTTCACGCCAGTCCCCTGTGAGAGTCTGCACACTTTCATTATAGAGTTGGTATCCAGCAAACCTGGCATACAACCTTGGAGGCAGGCCATTGATACCTATTTGTGCACTAGTCAGACTTCTGCACTGCAGCAGGTGAAAGTTAAGCTCCATGATTGTTCGCATGGACGATGCGAACCTTACTGGTGTGACGGTGATTATCTTCTGGACCATCATCTCGATTGGAAGAATCGAGTTGAAGAACAGCTTCCCTTATTACGCAGCAAAGGTATCCTGACGGTTGAAGTGGTTCCAAGTAGGTTCTACTCTTTCTGTTGAATTTCCCGCAATTCCTCATAGTAATAATTTGTAGAACGTCACACGGTATGGGAGGAAGACTAAACAGAAGTCCATGTGCGGTGTAATCACCCAAGATTTCCATTCCTTAGGATCCAGATGAGCATATGGGTCTCGGGATTGATGCAGGTGAAACGACATCTCATGATGATCAGTAGAGCTAAAGTCAACCTCATTTCGCGTGTAACTCGTTTCATTTACTGCGTCCGTTTATCTTTATGTGGAGGAACAATGACGTTGAAATCACCGTCCTTGCACATCGAGCTTACCTCTGCTCATCATCGAAATTATTATCAAGGGGTTACCGGACTGTCAAGCCGGTACACCCGGTCGGTCGGTCGGTCGCCTTCGAGAGGCCTTAAAAAAAATTCTATATCAATTTTTTTCTGCACTAATCAGCTCAAAAGTGCCATGAGGAAGCAATAATTGATGAAGAATAAAGATCTCACTGAGGATGTTGGCTGTGTGATTCTGTTAAGCATCTTCTCAGTGATAGAGATGACGAAGGAATAGTCCTGCCAGCTTGCTGATGAGGCGGATTTGGGGATTCCGGCAACGTCTAGACGGGAGAGCTCGGTTACTACCGGTAACTGCTTCTAACTAGTGTTGCCGCGGCTCGGCTTAAAGTCGCTTGAGCCGGTGAGCCGAGTCTTAATAAGCCGAGCCTGAGTCTCTATTGGCTCAGACTCATTCTAGGCTCAAGCCCATATAGGAGCCGGCTAAAGCCGGGCTTGAGTCGCTTTAGCCGGACGACAATGCCTAATTTGGCCAGTGTGTTTTCTTGACTTTTATTGTCCCCTAGGTCACATAAAATCATGCCCTGTGGTGTGTACTATAAGATTCCAACATGAATCAAGGCAACTACACATCCAAGATGCTGATTAATACCATAAAATGGAGGACTGAAGTTTGAGCATCAATGCCCTTACAGATGCCAAGGTCAAGCCGAAGATCTTCCTAAAAAAGCGAAGTGACTGGAATTTACAGCTGTGTTGAAGATATATTTACATAGCTGCAAGCTGAGTTCCTATGTATCACCAGATGTTGATTCTAAAGGATTTACAAGCCCTCTCACCTTGGAAAGTGCATCTTAACCCAGTGACTTCCTTTTTAGATCATTAGTCTGAGCTCAAGCCGACTTGAGCTGAAGCTTAGCTTAGCCGACACAATGATTACCGACTCAAGCCAACTCGGCTCATGACAATTACCAAAGTCGGTATAAGTCTAGCCAAGCCGAGTCTAGCTGAGTCGCAGCAACACTAGTGTTGCCAATGACTCGGCTTCGAGTCGCCGAGTCGCCGAGCAGAGTCGGAAATGCTATGAGCTGAGTCACTGGCAATGACTCAGGCCTAGGATGGCTTGGCTTGGCTATGACTCAGCTTTTCACGGCTTGAGCGGACCCAAGTCGCTGACTCATTCCACTTTTGGACTTCGCTCTCACTGATCTTCTCCGTCATCGAAAATGCGGTGGCCTCTCGCTCTATTCATCTTGCCGACATTCTGAAGGACTAAGAACTTGATAGATGGGGTAACTTATGTTATTTCTCCCGAATTATGGCTGCATTTCTGTCAGTAGGCTGTTCACTCATGGCTTGCAGCTATCTGATTCCATCTGATAAGCTGTATGTTGTTAATGGACTGTTCAGGAGTTCGCATGTGTGGAATGTGCAGATATTAAATTGAAGGTAGGTGACTCTTTTGTATATGCTGGTCATATCTGAGTTCAAGCCTTAGAACATCCAGCTGTCATGGCTTCAAGCAGGTCTCCATTGATGTCGCACCATCATGAAACCGTTCTTCTTGATCCTGGCATTCCTTCATGGTGTTCTTGTGGCCAACGCCTTCTCCGAAGTGATATAGTGGGACCCGATGATGGTGTAGGACGCATACGCAGTCATGTATGTAATTGCAGAGGTATGTTTATTGGTCTTACTACTATTATCCATCCTTATTGAATAATAGACAGCTCTTATGTATCAACTTTCACTAGATGTTATGTTTTACGCTGAAGAGGCTGGCTGTGGGCACCTGTGGAATAGTGAGCGGGCTAAAGGGCAAACCTCAAAAACCCACACACACACTCACACAACTACACAAACTACAATCACCCTCATAAGTTCTAGGGGGAGCGATTATTTCTAATGCGATCCAACTATACTTCAATATCTCGAAGAGTTTCTCTTATTCTCAGCGCTCTTAGCGAAGCTAAGCTTTCTCTAATGACTTCCTAAGTCTAGGAACTTTTTACAGGAAGGTCGTTCACTGGCACGACGCAACCTTCAAGGCAGATTTGAGTTATAATACACAAGGGACACTGATCCCAACAGAAACAGAGGCAATACACGCCGAAACTTTAGTGAGCTCACTAAAAGAACACCACAGGCAAGCACTGACTTAGCCCATTCGCTACACAACTGTATGCAGGGGTTCTCCAACTAACTCCAGCAGGTTATCTCGACTCAAGAACACTTCAGAAGCACTCGGAAAACAGATTCAGAAACGGAACTTCAACAGAACTGACATGGAACAGACTGAAACAGAACAGAACAGAACAGATCTCAGATTTCCACTTCAACACATTCTCCGAACAGACTTATCACACTCAACAGAACAGAAACAGTGTCACTGATTCGTATTCACTCTGACTAAGTTCTCAAAAGTCTTGTCAAAAGGGTATCTCGTATTTCTCTGAGTGAGCTTGCTAATTCTATGCACAGCTCGAAGTCACAAACTGATCCTTTGTTACAGTACCACCTTCAACACATGCACGGGAACTCAGGGGCTTGAAACTTCTCCTCTACCTACTGTAACCAGCCTACTTATACTACAGGGGAATTAGAATTACAAACGTCACACAGTACCCAGACTCCTACATGCGTAGCATGTTGCCACCACCGCCTTACTGAGCATCTGAGTCGGACTTCCCAGTTTTAGTCTCATGTCTATAGCGAGCTCGCTAAATGCGTGCCAAGAGGTGCTCTCCCGACACCCGCGGGCTTGTTCTCTAGTGACCGACAGGTCTAGGTGCACAGAACTATCAGTTCTGGCATATGTCGTTCAGGACTTCTTTCTTGGATTCACAGAGGCTTCTCATAGACACGGCAACAAGTGAGTCTTCGAACAATGGGACTCAGAACAATGGAACGTGGGCTCGTGGACTTCAGCCAAAGCCCATTGCCCAAGCTCATGCCGGTGATATCTGTCATCTCGCTTAAGGATTTCCCTGGATTTTCAGGTACGACGCGTCACAGTTAGCGAGCGCGTTAAGTATTCTCAGTGTCACTGCAACCTTCAAAGTTCTATCTAGCTCCTGCAAGTGTGCTTGTAAGTTAGAGCCTAAGGCATTGGGTATAGGGTTTGGCCTTCTCATCACGCATGCCCATCAGGTACAGTGCCTGTGACTAAGTCCTGTTTAGAATCCCATTGCTTCTTATGCCATAAGTTATATTCCATATCATTGCACCACGTAGCATTAGTGTCGACGCGTAGTTTTAGTCCGCTCGCTCACTATATCTCAGTATGTGTGTAAAACACTTTAGATTGCAAAATTACATGCGTAAATAGGCTGCAGTTGCAACAACGCACAGTATAATGTTATAACCTCTTTAAGATACCACATTGAAGGTTTCCGAAGCACTATGTCATCTGAGGACATGTCGCCAGGTGGCAGTCATACATGTGGGCGCAATTTTTTCCGTTTCTGTCTCAATTGCTCATTCTTCTCTGGTGGCGGTAGGACATGGCTGATTATATTCTAGGGTACCTGTGGCCTTGTTGTCCGCTTAGTATGCTCCGCTGTTAATGATGGTCGGGATTTATTACACGATACTGGCTGTTGGCTTAATCGCTGACATGTATGTGCTTCCTGACTGCCTGCATTCCCCATCCTAACATTTGTTTGTCCAGCCTTTCCGTGCATTGCTTGGAACGAGAAGGTACTACGTCATCGTTTTTCACGTATATAAACCATTCGAAGTAGTAAGTACATTATTCATTGCACATCCATGGCTCCTGCTGGCAGAAAGCAAGGCAGACAAAAAGCTGATGGCAGCAGTATGGCTAACGCTGATCATACAGACTCCCATGTCGAGCCCGTACCAGATACCACTGTGCCACCAACTACTCGTTCTCGTTCTCATGCTGGTGCTCTCATGCATTCCAGGTCCAACGCAGGTTCCAGTCTGGCATCTAATGGGCCAACACAAGTGTTGCCTCCTACAGAGGCCATTCCAGTTCCCGGTGTTCAAACAATGTTCCACATTCATGGCAAGTACTTATATATTGAGTCTTATCTATAGTTCTGATATTTGTCATTAGGCTATAACCACCGTCAACCTACTCCGTCAGAGACAACGGCTGTCCCCTTTTCAGATCCATCGATGCAGGTGGCACAGGCTTCCGGCAGTACAGTGCCATCACAACCCATTATCTCTCCATCCCCCACTCATCAGCCCAGGGAGATGGTGCCAGGTGCAGTGCTGGTGCCAGTACCACGCTCCTGACGTGCGCATTTTGTTGACGATCCAGAGAGTTCAGATGGAGAGTTCCTTGAGCTGTCTCCTCCATCATCTCTGTCTGACAATTCCGCTGTTCATAGCGAAACACCTCAGCGACCATCAGATTCTGATCATACAGCTCAAGCTCTGCATACTCCTCATCGTAACCCATTCCCTATACCCCGTCAATTGTCCAGAACACCAGGAACACCTCGACGACTTTCCCATGCTGCTGCTGGTCATACTGTCAAAAAAGGCCATAATACTGCCCGTGACGTCTGGTCATTCTTTATAAAGTCTGAGAACCGCCATCATTGCGCTTTCTGCATGTGCATCTTCAAAGTTGTCTATCTAAGTCTCTGAATTCTGATCTTTATTTTAATCACAGCACGAAGGATTTCGAGAAGGATAATGAGCTTCCCAGAGCATCAGACTTTGGCTCAAAAACAAGTACTGATATCTTACAGCACCACTTGCTTGATTACCACACCACTTCATGGCTGACGAAGTGTGACAATCAGGGTATACAGGTGCGCTCTACTCAAAAGCGATATCAAGATGCGATCCGCAAATTTCACCTCGACCAAGGGAAGCAATCTTCCATATTTAACAGTACTGGACATTGTGCATTCTTGCATGAAGCGTTCATTGATTCGCTAGTTGCATGGGTCATTGCTGATGATCAGGCTTGTACTATTCATATTTGATCCAAATTTGCATGTGTTAATGAAATTTCAGTCAATCAATGCCATTGAGAGTCTGCATCTACGGTCTATATTCTTGATGCTTAGAGAAAGCTTGAAAGACTCTGACATACCCCATCGATCATCGTTACGTTGAAGAGGCTGGCTGTGGGCACCTGTGGAATAGTGAGCGGGCTAAAAGGCGAACCTCAAAAACCCACACACACACTCACACAACTACACAAACTACAATCACCCTCGTAAGTTCTAGGGGGAGCGATTATTCCTAATGCGATCCAACTATACTTCAATATCTCGAAGAGTTTCTCTTATTCTCAGCGCTCTTAGTGAAGCTAAGCTTTCTCTAATGAATTCCTAAGTCTAGGAACTTTTTACAGGAAGGTCGTTCACTGGCACGACGCAACCTTCAAGGCAGATTTGAGTTATAATACACAAGGGACACTGATCCCAACAGAAACAGAGGCAATACACACCGAAACTTTAGTGAGCTCACTAAAAGAACACCACAGGCAAGCACTGACTTAGCCCGTTCGCTACACAACTGTATGCAGGGGTTCTCCAACTAACTCCAGCAGGTTATCTCGACTCAAGAACACTTCAGAAGCGCTCGGAAAACAGATTCAGAAACGGAACTTCGAACAGAACTGACACAGAACAGACTGAAACAGAACAGAACAGAACAGAACAGAACAGATCTCAGATTTCCACTTCAACACATTCTCCGAACAGACTTATCACACTTAACAGAACAGAAACAGCGTCACTGATTCGTATTCACTCTGACTAAGTTCTCAAAAGTCTTGTCAAAAGGGTATCTCGTATTTCTCTGAGTGAGCTTGCTAATTCTATGCACAGCTCGAAGTCACAAACTGATCCTTTGTTACAGTACCGCCTTCAACGCATGCACGGGAACTCGGGGGCTCGAAACTTGGCCTCTACCTACTGTAACCAGTCTACTTATACTACAGGGGAATTAGAATTACAAACGTCGCGCAGTACCCAGACTCCTACATGTGTAGCATGTTGCCACCGCTGCCTTACTGAGCATCCGAGTCGGACTTCCCAGTTTTAGTCTCATTTCTATAGTGAGCTCGCTAAATGCGTGCCAAGAGGTGCTCTCCCGACACCCGCGGGCTTGTTCTCTAGCGACCGACAGGTCTAGGCGCACGGAACTATCAGTTCTGGCATATGTCGTTCAGGCCTTCTTTCTTGGATTCACAGAGGCTTCTCATAGACACGGCAACAAGTGAGTCTTCGAACAATGGGACTCAGAACAATGGAACGCGGGCTCGTGGACTTCAGCCGAAGCCCATTGCCCAAGCTCGTGCCGGTGATATCTGTCAGCTCGCTTAAGGATTTCCCCGGATTTTCAGGTACGGCACGTCACAGTTAGCGAGCGCGCTAAGTGTTCTCGGTGCCAGTGCAATCTTCAAGGTTTTATATAGCTCCCGCGAGTGTGCTTGTAAGTTAGAGCCTAAGGCATTGGGTATAGGGTTTGGCCTTCTCATCACGCATGCCCGTCAGGTACAGTGCTGTGACTAAGTCCTGTTTAGAATCCCATTGCTTCTTATGCCATAAGTTATATTCCATATCATTGCACCGCGTAGCATTAGTGTTGACACGTAGTTTTAGTCCACTCGCTCACTATTTCTCAGTATGCGTGTAAAACACTCTAGATTGCAAAATTACACGCGTAAATAGGCTGCAGTCGCAACAACGTGCTCGTATCCTTGAGATGTGGGACAAATACATGGATGACCTCACTTCAGAATTCAAGGTTAGCGCTATTTATTATATAAGAGTTCTCATGAACATAGCAATCTAGGCTTCTATGGGACGCATTTCGTTCACTGAGGATCTCTGGACAGACCTGAATATGCGTCCCTTCATAGCTGTTACCTGTCATTGGATCGAGAACCGGATTGTTGATGGTCATGCAACACTGCATCTGCATTCAGATCTCATTGGCTTCCATCGCGTTCCTGGACATCATACAGGGGAGCACTTAGCGGAAGTGTTCATCTACATCCTTGACCACTTGCAAATTATGGGAAAAGTGCATATGTCTTTCGTTTGGGGGTAACATATTACCAATGTTTCTATGCTAGGTGGGATGGATTACTTGTGACAATGCGACAAATAATGACACAATGATGGAACATCTCGAAAGGTTATTAAGACTGCGATATCCGGACATGTGTTTTGATCGGGTAGACAACCGAATTCGGTGTGTGAGTCTGACCTCTCCTGTAGTTCCTTATTCATTAAATACATAGATGCTTTCCTCATATTGTAAATCTTGCATGCCATGAGGCTGAGAAGGCAATTGGCGAGATACAATACAATGGTGTGGGTAATGAAGGAGCTTTAGCCTATATTACTTGGGATCCCATTTCCACACTACATTCTCTTGTTAGATCGGTAAGTGGATAGCCTTTTTGTGGGTTCCCAAGTTGCTTATGGCATCTGTAGATAAGATCATCATCGCTTCGCCGTCAGGCATTTTCCGAGAAAGTTGCTCAAGCTGGGTTGGGTTCTCTACAGCTACTCTGTGATGTAGATGTCCAGTGGTCCTCAACAGATATTATGATTGAGAGGGCAATTGTTTTACGCCAGGTATGTCGTTCTCTTCTATAATAATTTGCTTTGCCTTCTCTTTGTTAACAAAATCTGGACACAGCCAATCCAGACATTCCTTCAGTGCCAAGAGCAGCGTGAACTTCAAAAACATCAATTAAGTGATGACGAATGGACTGTTCTCTGACTTTTTCACGAAATCCTAAGTGTGAGTACCAAGCTTATACAAGCAACTCATTCTAATGGCTATCATTAATATTAGGTTCCACATGCTTTTCAACAATGACTTTCAGCAGAGAAGACTCCCACGCTTTGTGATGCTCTTCCGTCTTTCTCAGCATTGATTATTCGGTGGTGTTTACTGAAGGAGAAAATGCCAGAAATGTGAGACGTAATAACAGCCGGCCTCGAGAAGCTGGAAGACTACTATGGCCATGTTATGTATATCCCAGCATATATATTTTCTATGAGTTTCGTTTCGTTTCGTTTCCTCCATATAATTCATTTCTAAAACCTATTTCAGTCTTAAATCCTACCATGAAGCTGAAATGGTATGAGCAGCATGACCCGACAAAGATTGGGTGGGTCAAGAATATATTTATGCAGGAGGTAATCTCATAACTACAACTGATTTTATTATATTGCATGACTCATAATACTTCACAGCTCCAAAGCTATTCTACTGATGACTTTAGTGTCAAATCCTGCACCTCTGCATACTCGCAACTGGGCAGATGAAGTACTCGGTCTTGATATGCCTGCCATCAGCTCGACAGTACGACAGACCCTTGCTGAAGAGTTTGATGCATATCTTCTTGATCGTCAATCCTTATCTAGTAGTTTGTTATTCTGGCAGGTATGTGGTTTTCTAAGATATCCCCTTCTCTCTGACACATTTTCATAGGAAAATCGTACACGCTATCCAACTCTATTTTTAATGGCTATGGATATCCTTCCGATCCAAGAGTCATCTGTACCTTGCGAATGAGTCTTCTCATCTGGCAAGCAGACAATCACAGATCGCCGTTCCTGGATTACACCTGAGCTGACTGGAAGCGCTGCAGATACTGAAGTTTCGCTTGAAGAAGGGTGCTATGTTAAATTTTACACAGCACTATGACAAGGCCACACATACAGCTTCACTTGAGGGTCTAATGGATGAGGAATCAGAAGTCCCTTCTGGAATGGATGATTTTCTGCGCTTTTTAGACACTTTCGAGGCAGTAATTGACATAGAGTAGGCTATATGAATTACATTGCCTAATTTAGAGTGAAGCCGATCACTTGGCTGGAAATCAGTGGCTTTGAGCCAAGCCGAGTCAAAGCCAATGACACAATTTGACTTTGGAGTCAGTCCGAAGCCGAGTCGGTGATAAGTTGAGCCAAGCTAAGCGCAGCTGAGCCGTGGCAACACTAGGCAACACTACTTCTAACCGGGTGGCAGTGTGCTTACTAATACCACATGTTATGCCTTCATTAGGTATGTTATTCCCATGAATGTTAGTCGGTCAGATCGACCAGGCCTTAAAAAAATATCGAGTGGATGTAATTACAGTCATCACCCGGTCAGATGTACAGGCAAATTTCCGATGGATTTTAAAACCTCCCTCATCCATTTTTCATCCAGTAAAGTATATAATAATGTCAAAGCTATGTTTAAGACTATACATTATGAGTTTTAGGTGGTTCCATAATGATTTGATAGCATGGTGAATTTTTTTCGAGGAAAGTCCAAAATTACCAGTTACCGGCACCTCTGTACACCGGTTTCCTGTGCGCCAAATTTGGGCCACCGTTTCCCAATTTGGAGTATTTTCTCATGGCTCTGAAAAGTGGTTCTGGTTCGTTTTGCCTGTAGCACCACAACAAGTAATCTCTGGCCCATGGTTCTGCAGGAAAAATCCATCCTTATAACTAGTAAAATGATTTGCGACATCAATTTATGCAACCCAATGCCCTCACTTTTTTCTAATACTGTATTCTTGTTTTTCTAAAATTCATATCACTCACAAATCACTCATCATTGATTTTTTCCTGACTGATACAAGGCTCCTTGACTTGATTTTCATTAGTGGTATGATGACCTATATTGTCCTCTATAAGATAAAAATAAAATTGGCACCACAATAGAGCGGAAAGTGAAGTTATATTCAAATGTACAAAGGAATAGTGATGTACAAAAGACCGGGTGATGACTGTATTTGACATCCTCGTAACCCCTTGATTATTATGGCGGATTATTATTATTATTAGTATTTTCATAAAAATATCGCTGCCGGATTCGGCAGAAAGGATTCGGACCGGTCATCCCGCCGACCAAATTCCCGAAAACAGTCATTGTCTTCTTTGCTGTCAACCACGACGACCGCCGCTCTCCGTCTGACATATAATCCTCTCTCTCCGCCGTTTGAGATCTCGCCTCGTCTGATCCATCAGCATCACGGCAGAACATGACAGTGAAAGCCTCGAGATCATCCGGAGTCACGTGGAGCAGCTCGGGAACAAAGGACAATTCGGGCTGTAGGACGCTGTTCAGCTTTGTTCAGCAAGGAGACACAGGCTTTATGGAGGAATATCAGCGCAGAATTCGCGACCGAATTCGCGACCAGAAGGACCTGTAAGGATAGCGGCAGGTACCCGACCGACACAGCCATGTCTCACTGTTTCTGCCTTCAATGATGATCAGATCTGTCAGTGACGGCTTCATTCCTTTCTCTCACCACGAACACAAGCTGTAGACCGGAATGACGATCAGTAATCACTCTTCCGCGACGTCGCTCTCCAGATACGCCATGGCTCGGTCACCAGGGGACGACATCTACAATGGCAGTGTATCCAGGGACTTCTGCAATTCATTCTGGGGCCCGAATGAAGCAGGTGTCAATGTCTTGTGTGCTCGTATGCGGGGTGCTGAGCGTACGACGGACGAGCTGAGAAATTTTTGGAAAGAGAGGTATGGAAGCTTGTCGAGACATACCGCCTTCGCTGACGTTCTCTCAGGTCTGTTCTCGAGGAAGAGTATGGGAATCGCCTTATGGAACTGTCCAAAAGGGTAATAGGCAGGGACGAGATTGGGTGCGTTTTCTATACTATCAGTATATCCCCTCTTTCCGACTCCTTTGCTTCACAGTGACCTCCGTAACGTCCTTGATACAGTGAAACTTGAGACAGAGAAACAGGCAGCAGCACACATCGACCTAGCGACCAAAATCCGCTCTGAACTCGGGAAGCCTACTACCGAACTCTTGAACAAGCAATCCGACCATCGAAAGAACGTTCAGGGCCCCATGGGGAAGAGGTTCAAGCTGAAGCTATTGCAAGAGTCGTATGTGGCAAAGGCTCGGGAAAAGTACCAGAATGACTGTCAGCGCATCGATTCGTACGCGAAGCAGATCGAAGTCAACTCTGGCAAGGACGTCGAACGACTGCAAGCTAAGCTGAACCGATATAAGCAGACCGTCCAGGCCAACGAGAAGGACTACGCAGCATATACAGACAAGCTCAAAGAAATGACGGTGGCATGGGAGTTGGAATGGAGAAACTTTTGCGATGAAACCCAAACGATGGAGGAGCAGAGAATGGAGTCCATGAAGGACACGCTGTGGGCATACGCTAATCTTGTCTCGACGGTCTGCGTTTCTGACGATATAGTGCGTACTCCCCTTCTGGCCTAGTTGCTGCCTATCTAACACGACCTTCCAACAGTCATGCGAGGCCATTCGGACCCATCTCGACCAATTCGAAGCCGACCGGGACATTGAGAACTTTGTCAACGACTATGGGACGGGGAACAGGATGCATGCCCCGCCCACATTCGCACCTTTCTCGTCCTCGGAATCATCGCCTGTTGCTGGACCCAGTGTATCGACATCGACGCGTCTTGCGAAGTTTAATCGCAGAAAGAGAAGTGCGTCAGCAGTGCCGACGCGGAAACTGTCAATGAGGCAGCCTTCGAACGAGCCGTTACTCCCTCCTCAGGTGAATCCGTCGCCTCAGAAGCAGGGTAATCCTCCACCAGCAGCTATGACGAAGCAGCCTCGAGCATCGTTACCGCTCCCTGAACAGACTTCCAATGGGAAGCCAGTTCCGGGGTCGACTCCCCCATCACCTCCACCGAACGAAGGAGTTGGGATATTGTTTTATGGTATGAACTCTCCTCCTTTTCTGGTCTTCCTCATGCTGACCGCTTTGTACAGTCAAGGCACTTTACGACTATACGGCTACGATTGATGAAGAATTCGACTTTCAAGCGGGTGATGTCATAGCTGTGACGGCTACGCCGGACGATGGATGGTGGAGCGGAGAGCTTCTGGATGAGGCGAGGAGGGAAGAGGGCAGACATATCTTTCCAAGCAATTTTGTTTGCTTGTTTTGATTACTGAGGCTTCAATCTTCGCTGTCATACGCGGCTATGCTATATCATTTACATCCTAATAATGACTAACGTTTCTAGCTGTGAGAATGATCTATATGATGGGATCTGGAAGTGACGGTATGTTTGCGTTCATGACGCTAATGTCTTGTTGCGCCGGGTGACGGTAGGTGCAGACCGGTACGTTTTCAATGTTATTGCTACCGCTGCTGCTGTACCTGACGTACATTATTGAGTGGCAGAACATGAAAATTAAGTCACATTCCTCAATTACCTCTGAACTTGCAACTCCTGCGAAGCAGACTAAGAACGAGACTGTCCACGAGGATCCTCTACTTCGGTCCTTCTTCCAGAATCTGTTTTCCGCTTGCCAATTCGGGACTTTGCAGCTCAAGGAGTTGGCCATTTCTCCGCGGTTATCGAGAACTAAAGGGCCGAATTGTCCACGCAATTTGCTGCGAGAAGAGTGAATTCCGTCCCGCCGCCGTAAGCAGTTTTGCCTTTTTTCTAGAACCGTCTGTATATCTACCTTCTAGCTCGATACAGAGGACGTCCGTAATCCACTTGGAGTTCCACGACATACTGCGGAGAGATATACAACGCCTACGCCCGAATATGGTCCACGGAATACCCTGTTCACGCACTCGGAAGTAACCATGGGGGGAGTAATGTGGCTGACACTACCTATCCTGCTATGGGCCGCATATCTATGGCACCGACGTGGAACTATTACCTTGAAACTAGCATGCTGCGCGCGAATTTTTGACCTTCGTCGAATACCTCATTTTTCGCCCTGGGATTCGCTATAAATTCGGTGCAGCGATAGGTCCCATTCCCTACAACCTCTGTCATGTTCTCACTGATCCTCGTATTCGTGGCTCTCATTTTCCCGACTTTGGCTGCACCCCAACCGGCAAGTTGTTTTCCAGCAATAGGATTCAAGATGCCTTCGATACCACCATCCACGACGAACAATTGGTGGTGTGACATGAACACAGAATACGCGTTCGTTGGATTCAGCTATGAAGTTACTGCTTGTACGTCGACACTTCTCATTGTAAAATGTTTTCTGTTAATATCGCATACAGGTCAGGATTTCAACCAGCTCCGATCCGAGTTCACGGACATTCGGCGAAGATTCAACAGTCGTTATGTCCGCATGTATGGGGCTTGTGACAGGGAAGGCTTCTAGTACGAGAAATGCCTGCTCGGTTGTAGCAGAAATACTAATTCGGACTACTCATAGCGATGATGTTATAAGTGCAGCCTGGGAGGCTGGTCTAGGCATACACGCTCTTGTCTGGGTACGTATATTCACCGATCCTTAGTGTATAAATCACCCGAAGCTGACTCATATCAATCAGTTTGGATTCGACGGGGACGACATCTGGAAAACTCGTCGTGACACGCTCTTTGTAGCACTACACGCGAACCCAAAGGCCAAATTTGTCACGCGAGTAGTGCAGTTTGGCTCGGAGCCGCTCTTTGACAACGTTCTCGAGCCGGGTGATCTCGTAGCTCAGGTGTTGGCTGCCAAAGCGAATCTATCGAGCTTGGGTATACCCGTTACCATATCGGAGATGGCGTAAGTTGCTTACCTTTTCTGTTTCTTGTAGACCTCGTCTAATTCACGTCCTCTTGCATTTAGGTACGGGTATCAGGTCCGAGTGACGCCATATTCATTTTGATTTTGCTCCTAACGTCTTCCAGGAACGTGGTGGCGCGAAAGCAGTGCTCGATGCCGTTGATTTAATTGACGCGCACATGCTGCCCTTCTTTTCGCAACAAGCTTCCACTGGTAAGTCCAAGCGTTATACTACAGTGTTCTCGGCTAACGCCTCCGGCGTATCATTCTCTAGCTAACGCATCCTGGCCTATCGTTTTGACCGACATGAATTGGTAAAGGTTCATATTGTAGGTTTTTTGTAGAGGGACTCAACAGTTTTGTGATAATAGGTTCATTGATAATGGCGAAGGAAAGAAAATCTACCTGTCCGAGGTCAGCTTTCATAACGTAATCATTCTTCAGTCTCTGATTCACCGTCCAGAATGGCTGGCCATCGGTCACCTCCGAAGGTGTACAACCTAACAGTCCCGACGCAGTATCTGATATTCAAAATGAATCTGTCAGTTCTCTTCTGCATGTAACATGTCCAAGCTGTTATTCACGTTCACATTCCAGGATTATTACAAGCTACTCGATTCGAAGTGCTCTTACTTCAAAACAGTTCAGGGCGGTGGCGTCGGATGGTTCGCGCATATCTATTCTGATACGCAGGAGCCGGGATATGGCATTTACAATACGCATGGAAACCTCAAGTTTGCCTTTAATCCTGCTACGTCTTGTTAAACTTGGTACCCGTGATTTGATATACCTGTTTTTGTTGTAGTAGAGATTCTTTAGCGTTAGTATGGGTATTGAAATCTCCCTGAATTGTAAAACAATCTGAACACGAGTTGGGAAGAACGCTGGGTCGGGCTAGAATTCGAGCTAACCCAAGGGATTCTTCGTTTTTTTGAAGATGCGAACAGGTTTTTTTCCCTTGCCCTACTTGAAATATTATTGCTACTGCTACTAAAAAAATCTTGATTAGGAGAGCGTGAGAAGACGTCATAATCAGACCTTTAGGGCAGGTCTTTTCCCATTGCTGTCTTTCTACAATTGCAACGGTCCTTCTCTCGGGATCATGACGGTCCTGTCACGCGGCAAGTGCCGGGATCAAGGGTCCAGCACAGCCGCACAGACGTTTCCCGTCCCTGCGACCGTCTTGACGGTCTGTTTGGTTCCCTCCCCTACTGCCCCCGTGGGAGACGCGTCCCGTCCGTCTTCCTTCTCTTCCGATCGCGATGCCGCTCGCTCCCTCGCTTTCAGACTCTTGGTGTCTGTCTGTCAGGCGGGTTTTTCAGGCGGGTGAGTGCACATGGGCTTCTGGTGCCCATGCATGCTGTGCTCCCCTGCCCTGGTGTTCTCCTCTTGGTGGGGAATACCGTGTTTCCTTTCCCTTTTTCGCTTGCTTTTCCTGCTTCTTTTATTTCCCAATCTCCTCCTTTTTTTTTGCCTTACGTGGGGAGGAGGGAGAGACTCCCTACGCCTGTCTGTCTCTCATCCCTGACTAAACCGAGACATTTGCTAGGGATACCAACTACGCCACCGCCCATCATGGCTCTCGTCTTGCGACTGGTCTGACATTGTTAGGGTCCTTTTTCGCTATTGCAGTAATCGCCGCCACTGTTTATATCGCGATCGCCAGGAGGCAGGCACGGTTCTCTCAACAGCAGCGCCGTGCATCTACCAGCTCATTTGGACGGATTATGGACTTGTTTCCCCTACCCCCGCCTCTGCCTTTGCTACCAACAGCATCCTCTCCGTCGGATCCAAGTCCAGAGCCACCGCTGGCAACAAAATACGCCTTTCCTCGCTTGAATGGCAAACTTGACAAGAATGGTGATTTTGAGACTGAGGAAATCGACTTGTACGTTAAATCCATGGCCTCTCCTTCCTTCATTGTCTGATCCTGTTTAGGTCTCTGGCTAATAAAACGGATTGGTTTGTGGATCTCTGCCAGCGTTACAGTCTCCCCTCCTACGGTACCAAAGCAGTGCGACGGGACCGTCTTATGAAGTTCAGCCAGTCCGGAATGGCAAAGTGGAAGTCGAGGTACGTTTTGCCCTTCATGTATGCCATCTTTGCTAATGGGATCATCTTGCTTCGCAGTCTTTTTACTCCTGCGCGTATCCCTCACAAGGGCGTAAGGAACGGTGGTGTCACCAAGAGAAAACCAACAAGGCGGGAGCATCGTATCCTTCAGGCAAGCTCACTCACAAGTGCAACTCCACCGGTGATCTTTGCTACGGAAAGATCAAAGGACACTCGTAGTCAGACCGTGGTGGACAGAATCCTACCATGGGTGCAGTACCTACTGCTTCTCTTTTCTATCTTGTGGTGCTGATGGCAGTCTTAGGCTCATAGTCTCTTGGCCAAGATGGCACAAACTCCTCCTACAAACCCCCGCCACACTCATCTGCCAGAACGAAAGACCAGCGGTACGTACATTGGCATGCAACAGATAGTATGTGTCTTCTTACCTTATGGCTCTTCTACTCTAACGGTCTCCCGAAGGTTCAGGATCCCTTCGAGAACCCGGTTTTTGCGCAACGGGTCGCTTCGATTGTTGATGAGCACTTGGCCGTTTATCGGGGTCCCGTCGATGCTGCCACCGAGACCTTGCCCATTTCTTCAGTTGAATCGCCTCGTCCATCCATGGATCTTGACACTGCCTGCCTTGGCCTGACTACAGCTTCCAACGACAGCTTCTCTACTTATGTGGACCGCTCGGATTCACCAACCTTACCATCTCTTGAGCCTCCTATGGTTGTGACGGCTTTAGGACCTGAGATACCTGAGAGGGCACCTGTACCTTCCGACAATGATTCCGGCAGCAAGATACAGTGTGTACTGATCTTCGCCGATGGCTCAAAAATGCTAGTCCATCAACGCGATGTTCCACCGACAAAGCCGTTTCGCTATGCCACCAATATTCAAAGTCTCATTCAGAGCTGGGACGACAGTTGTCCTGAGTGGGCGCCGCCTCCTGATCACCCAATCATTATCCATGGACGTTCCGTTCCTATCAAGTACTGGAATATGCTGTATAAATATAACAAGACTGTTCATGGCGAGTGGAAGACATTGAAGAACGACTGGATGAACTGGAAGGTATCTCTTTACTACCTTCCTTCTCTCTTCCTTCCTCTCATCTTTTATCTTTCAGTTCTTCATGGAGGCCTATCGAGCCAGCGGCACACCTGAAGCATTTTGGGCAACATATTCCGACTCTCAGGGACAACGTCTGAAATACTCTCGCATCTTGCAGCTCCTTCTAAAAAAACGTAAAGCGAGCAACGTTGCAGAGGAGGCAAAGCGGACTTTTGACAAGGGAGTTCATCAATCGATTTGGGTATATGAAGAAGGGGATGTGGGTCCCTATGACAAGAGATTTGAATATCGCCCAGGTATCTAAAGCAAAGATAGGAATGAATGGAGATGCAGAAGATGATTAGTTTACATTCTTTTGTCATATTTTTGAAATTATGTCCTTTCTTATATTTCTTTGCACAAATTTTATTGAAGCTATACGTATTGTGCATAAAAAAAGTCCATTGAAGCTTTATTGAGCATACTTAGTAGTCCATCACGGCATTGTAAAAAACAAAAGTCCATTACAGCATTGTAACTAGGCACAGGCGCACGTACGTCCACAGCTCCAGCACTTGATGGTGGCCTCACGGTCAAGCTTGAAGAAGTCCTCGCGACGCAGCATTGCGACGTCGTTCCAAGAAATCAGGTACTTGACAATTGTTAAATGAGTAAAATCTGTGCTCCATCCGCCCCACTCACAAATCTGTCGGATTGACCACCGAAGGTCAACCGATAACCACTGACATCCCCCACGGCGAAAAGAATGGGTGCCGTATGCATATGGTGGTTCTCCCAAGTCACATAGGTTGTTGCGAAACAGCTGGAGAAACACTTCAGGTTTCTGAGATAAAGTTACAAATGAGTATGAGTTATCCATAAGATACTCGGTATGCTTACCATCGCAGTATTCTTTACAGTGATAGGTCGATCACGTTTGTCAATATTGGGGAAAAGGTATCCCTGCGTAATCTCTGAGGCATCTATCCATTCTGCTAGGGCTCGAACAGGGCAGAGATGCGCCATGTGGGCTGGCAAAGCGCGAAGCACAAATGGGGGTATGTCTGTCATCATTGAATTGAATTCAGCAGGTGCGAAAAGATGATACAGGTACACTTACCGCCAAACGGGCTGTTCTTGCGGAAGGGTAGCGTGATCGATACATAATGGATGCCGTCTATATCGTCAATGCCAAACTCGATATCGTGAACTTGGATTTTGAGGGCCTCATCGATGCGGAGAAGGCAGGAAAAGGTGACAAGATAGACAGCTTGGAGCAGCCGTCGCACGTTTCCCCCACACCAATTTTCAGGTGTCTGTGGACTAGCATTCCAGTTTTCAGGCTTGTGATTATATTCATAGAGCCTCCTTAGAGTACTCTACAGAAAAAGATTATAATAAGTTATATAGATGGAGAACAGATGAAAACGTCGCAGACTCACAGGCCTAATGGCTCTCGCACTAGTTGGAGTTTCTCCTTTAGCGACCTGTATCCTTATGTCAGTTACCCATATTCTACATGATTTTTAAAGCTTACCTTGCGCTTGCGCAGACCCAGCATGTATGACGACACAACATCAGATATAGATGGGTTTCCGGAAGCTGTGGTCCGATCCCAAGGAACCTTACCTCTACCACCCCTGCGGAAGCCATACGTAGTACCTGCCCGAAGCTTTTGAGCATACGAGTAAGTCTTCTGTGGCTCGTTGGCCCCTTTGTTCACGCCATGCATGTCAACATTGTCGCACCTGGAACCTCTTAAGTTAGACAAAATATAGAGCTGGAGTGAGAATATACTTTTGCATAACAAAGCCGACAATGTAGTAGTCGATCTTTGGGTGGAGCATCTGCTCAGTGAATATGTCTGTGCCTGGTGGAACGACCTTCTCCTCGACAAGGAAGGCATTGAACTGCGCCATGACACTGATAAAAATGCAAATTAGTAAAGACAGTGAGGAATAGGAGTAGAACACCGGGCATACCCTCGATATGCAGCAGCCGTGCCTTCCTTGACACCTTTTGATGCTTCCTGGATATTTTCTAAAACCTCCTCCGTATCTGCAGCTGCGCTGATGTCCATATCACCATCGTCATCATAAGCGTACAAGTCGCCGCAGGTCTCCTGCTCGCCCTCAATATCATCCATGACCTCCAAGTCGGTTGTGTCGGTTCGAGACTCGTCAAGGACTTGACAGATTCCGATTGCATTCGCAACATTGTCAACGATGTTCATGTCCATATTACAGCAGTGTTATCGAGATAAGGGGATGGCAAGTTAAGAAATATGGAGACGAGAGACAGTCCGAGCAGGTACAGAGAAAGGAGAGACAGTCCACAGTATATATAAGAAAAGAAAAGGGGTGGTGCTAACCCCTTTTCAGACTTCAGATTTCACCCTCATCGTCCATACACAACTCCAAAACCTCGCCAGTTGCCTTGAGGTGAATCTCGATGCGGTATTTGGGGGAAGCAGCACGCTTCTGGCGCTTTCTTGGGGTTGCTTCTGACAAGGAACTGTAAGAAAACAATGAGAACAGTTTAAGTGAGCCCCACCTGTCATCTCCTCGCCGCTCTCATCGCTTGATATCTCTAAGATGGATGGAGTACGGGCGTGTTCTGCTTGGACATGATGACTAGTTACTATGTCGGTTGAACTCGAGGCTAGAACATTGCAAACGTTCGAAGATAAACTTGACAGGCAGAGATACTTAACGTACCAATAGAGTTTTCGATATGTTCGATTTTTTTGAGATGTGGCTTCATAGACTTGCGCCTTTTAACAGGCTTGCCTGTCTGATTCGCATCATCCAAGAGGTTCGGCTGTGCATGGAGCACCAATATACGTGAGAGCCATGCATGAACCTCACGCTTTTTCATGAACGGAGTCAACATGCCCCTACTGTCGGTATCATATGTTATGTCAAGAACAGACGTGATCTGAGTGAGGATTGCATGAGGGATGATAAGAGACACGAAGATTTCTGACCCCGATCGCTCACGCTGGTTTGCGCGAATAGCACAGACTTTGGAAATAACGGCGTGCGGGGATAGATGGGAGTCATTAGCCTGTATCAATCCTCGTCGCTTACACAGATCTTGAAGCAATTCACGGGTCGCTAATCCCGGAAAGACATGATGAGAAAAATTCTGAATGATGCCCATCGGGTGTCCCCAGATGAAGAGCTCTTCGCATAACTTTGCAAGCTTCAAGATATCTGGTTGACCTAGCGATGGAGCAGCAGGCAGATTGCCGAGCCCATTCGACCAGGATGTCACTGGATGGATATATTGAACGAGAACCAAAGCTTTGGGAAAGTTAGAAGGAATACGAGAAGCCAACGACCGGTGGCGAGAGGAGAGACGGCCAGCTCCTTTAGCTTCCAACATCGTACGGAGATCTAGACGCCACGCAGAAGTTACAGCAGGGTAGTCATTGACTTCAGATGCTTCGAGGGCATCAAATAATTTTTTTCCGATGCCTGTTCGAGTGATTTCAGCGGCAGTTTGAATCCCGCATCCCTGGATTCCATCCTACAAGAAAAAAGATGAGGCTATATTTGCGAACAGGCTTGCATGACGTACGTCGTAATCACCACCAGCAAGTAATGCGATTAGTACGAGATCATTGCGGGAGAACCGAGATGCTTCGTAAACTTCAATCAGATATTTAGAGTCACTTTCGTCTTTGCTAATAAACAGACTTAAGGGAAATACTGATCAAGCCAAACTGTTGCTGCTCACATCCGAATTACTCGCTGAGTGCCAAATACCATGGTGTCGAAATCTTCTGACATCACAGCATCGATACGGCCAAGGCTCGAGAGCTTCGCCAGCTCTGCTTCTGCTTCGCCTGGAGCCTGTTTTCCCCTTCAGTAGAAGAAAAGAAAGGCGCAATGAGAGCTCATACCTCCCAAAAGGGGAACCCAAATCCTACGAGTAGCTTCTTGAAATCGGCAGCCAACCAGTCCGGTGTTTTCTTTACAGCCTTTTTGCGCTTATTGGAAGGACGCCCTGGACCATCGAAAACTGAATATAGGTATCACTGGAAGGTGAAAGAGGCGACCCAGTCGTTTAAAAAGTGATGCTTGCGCCGGATTTTTTGTCTGTCCATGGTGATACTTTGCGGCAAACATCCATCCACTAAGAGTCAATGATCAGCAGCCTCACAGGTGAGAATAAATCAACAATAATGACCTAGCATCCACACCAATACGAGGGCCTAGATCCTGGACTGCGCCAGTGGAGATCTTCTGAGCGGACCAGTCAACAAAAGAGACTGAATCTACGGAGTTCAACAGCTGTCAAAAGCGGGTTAAAGGTAGTCTTAAACTGTCATAAAATGAGCGTACATTCCAACCGCCTTTGACACCCATGATGGTAAGACGAGATCACTATAGGGGTTGTCTGTCTTTCACCAGGATCCTTATCAACACAATAACACATGTATAGCGTGTCCGCATTGAAAAGATGTTAAGACATGGCCCCGAAAGCATATTAACTCTTACGTGTCTTTCACCAGTCCTACACAGAAGAGTCCAACGAGGGCAGCGACACCACCGGCTAACAATGCAGCGCGCAACGCTTGGTCCGGAGCATTCAAGGTATGAGCGACAAACAAATACGTTGAAAGCGAATGGAAAAGTTTATGTCAATGGAGCTATTCCTCACAATTAGTATCGGGAAAATATACCACGGAGACATTCACATACGTTCGGCACTAAAACCGCACTTGCCAACTTTATTTGTTAATGATCTCGCTCTGCGCGTGCTCGGCATAAAGGGATCACCGGTGATGCCCACATACACCAGCGCATACTTGCTCAATGCTATGGTGATACCCTCCAAGAAGCCAATGACTACTCGGATCCCAGTAACAAGAAACAGCGCCCGAGCGGGCATATACAAAGGTAACCGTTAAAAGAAGACCGTTAAAAGCGTCAAAAGTCTGATAGCTATTAAAATCAGGGCTAAAAGAACAACTGTGCCTAGAGAAGGCCCAGTAGAATGCATCAAAGCAGCATGAATCATGTGTGTTGACATTGAGGGCAGCGGGAGGGCGTCGGGACTAAAACAATCAGACAGGGATATAAAATACTCTATTAGAAGTAGATGGAATATAAGCGTAACGAACGGTATTGATGCAAGGAGGGTGGCGAGGAGGATGGTTGGAGAAAGTGCGAGAAGGAGAGGATTGGCCATTAGGAGCTGGGTAGACAACGTTAATGTCGACGACGTGGAATGTATATCTCTAGGAAGACCGAAAAGTCTCCGAGCTGTAAGAATAGACAGAGCCAAGGGAATAAGAGAGAACAAGCGAAGTCTGCAAAGTGTAGGTCAGTCGAGATTCGATATCTAGCGTGGCGGTACGCGTACGCTGTAGTTTCTCCCCATGTTGGCTTGGTATCCCCATCCCACATGAAGCTTCCTACAAACGCCCAAATTGCAGATATGAACAACACCGCGGGGATAAACACGAACGTGATGATCATCACAGGCCGTACGAATATCCGTGAAAGGAGCACATGAGTATACGCCACGAATGCACTCACGAAAGTGAGGATAGTGATGAGGGGTACAGTATGTAGGAGGATGGTATATGGTAGTGTCACCCCAGGTTTCCGGTCGGATGTGGGAGTTGTAAACAGCATGATGATAGAGAACAGGGAACATAGCATGATCCCTGTACACCACAGTGCTGTCCATATAGAATCATTGAACTTCCTGACCTCTAGGAACATGCCGGAGATCTGGCAATGAGAAGACATCCAGAGGTCAAACCGTACCATCACGGGGTAGTAGTGAATCAGTGAGTGATAGCGAGACCGGCTGTCTGCCTGTAGACAGAGGTGGAGGAATGAACAACGGTGGATGTTATCGACTCTTAGATGTAGCAGCGAGAAACTCTGCCGGTGGCTTCAAGTCTGTCGAGTCAGACAATGAAGGCGAAGGATCCCTCAACGGAGACGCCTGATGCGTCAGCCAACCCTGGGGCGAATCTGACCGGTCTGATAAACGATCCGACGAGATGAGTGGTCGTGACTGTGGATCCCGGTGCCTCAAGTCATGTCTCGAATGCATTGCCTGCTCCTCGTCAAGTCGAAGATATGGGTCCTCATCATCCTCATCATCGATTTCCGGAATATTTCCACTCAAATTACCGCTCCTCAGATGGCTCTCTCGCAGGTGAGGATCATCGAGGTCATTTAGGTCGGCGTCGGGATCGTATCCGGCAAGTTGAAACACCATACCCACACTAAGGAACGATATTCAAACGAAGAACAGACCAAAAAGCAGAAGACGTACCCCAAAAAGCACTTCCATATCATAGAGGTACTTCAATTTCGCTGATCTTGTCGATGCTATAGCCACGATGGAAAGTGGTTGAAATGGTGAATATACACTTATCTGTTGGATTGACAAGCTCTTCGTCGATATCTTCCACAAAGTCATTCTTCACAATACTCATCAGAAACGAGCATGTGTCAGAGAAAGAAAGTTTACCTTCGCAAACCCTGAGAACTGGTCATCGTTAGCTCGAATAGCCTTCTGAACCGTCTCTTCAAATGTCCGCCCGATGCTCATGACCTCGCCAACACTCTTCATGCCACTACTAAGAAGGCGACTAACACGATTGAACTTCTTCAGGTCCCATCGAGGAATCTTGACGACTACTTAATCCAAACTGGACTCAAAGCATGCGCTAGTGACCTTTGTGACCGAGTTTCATGGCAATGAAAGCGAGAGGATAGCCAGTAGCTTTCGATGCAAGAGCCGCTGATCAAGGCAGACGTGCGTTGGCCTTGCGGTACGTTTTTGATGAGTACGATGATGAGCATGAGAAGGTGACGTTCGATGATGCAGATCTTATCGTCGACGACATGCACGCAGTGCCCCTGGGAGTTGGGATTGAGAGCGTACTGTGTTACATTCACCAACAACGCCAAGATGTTTGATCACATTAATGGCAGTTGTCCGGAACATGTTGTAGTCTGAAAGCGTTTGTGAAGGGGCTACGACGACTGAATCACCGGTATGGATTCTCAAGGGATCGAAGTTCTGCACGGGTGTTATAAGTGCATCAGAAAGATGGAAAATAACAACTAACCTTCATATTGTGATGCATTTGTTGCGACAGTCCTCGACCACTTCTTACTCGACTCCTTCCATCCCTTCATACTCTTTTCCACCAAGACCTGAGGACTAGTAGCGAAAGCCTTGCTACACAGCGCCTTGAGCTGTGCTTCGTCCTATGCAAAGCTGGATCCCAGTCCTCCTGATGCATAAGCAGCACAGACAACGACCGGGAACTCAACGTTTCCTTGCCGCGTTGATAGCTTCCTCCTGATTGACAGCAGTGCAACTCTCTGCGCACTTCTCCCCAATCTCGGCCACGGCACTCGCGAATAACTGCCTATCCTCTGTGATGATCGTGTCGATAGGCGTTCCCAGCACTTGCACCCCAAGCTCCGCAAATTCATCCTTCAGCTTGATACCGATGTTCAGAGCTGATCTGGCCACCAAATGTGACGTAGATACCATCTGGCTTCTCATACTTGATAATTTTCCGGACAAACTCTGGCGTGATTGGGAGGAAATACACCTTGTCGGCCAGACCTTTGGACGTAGTAATGGTAGCGACGTTAGGATTCACCATGATCATGTAAATCCCTTCCTCGAATGCCTTGATCGCCTGAGATCCAGAATAATCAAACTCGCCCGACCAATGGACAGGCCTCCGGACCCAAGAATGATAACTTTGGTGACATTGGCACGGGGAACGCATTTGTCATTGTCCTCTTTCTTCCCGCCGGGTAGTGAGATAGTGGTCATGCAGTCAATGTTTTTCATAAAGACGTTAAACAAGAATTCGGTGTCGCGCGGTCCAGGAGTCGACACCGGATGGAACTGAACAGAGAAGAATGGCTTGTCTTCGCAATAGATACCCTCGGTGCTTCCGTTGTTGGCATTTCGAAACAGTTCTTTCCAGGTCCTAGTTCAATCGCCTTGTTCATCAACTGCAGTCCACGCGTGAACCCGCGTGAAACTCCTGGCATGCTTTGAACACTCTCGGGGAATGTGCCTTTCCAAAACGAATACCACTGCGTCACCTCCTCGAAACTGACATTCGGCTGTGTAAGCCAGATGTGCAGAACATCCAGCCACTTTGGAAAGAATTCTGTCTCAACTAGTTGTGAGAAGATGTTTGGGCGGATGAATTCTGCTCACAGAAGGACGTGTTGCAACGGTTCCATTCGTTGATTTCGTGGGTAGACACGGAAGTCATTTCTCAGCGTCGAACCCAACTTATATTTCAGCAGGATGCTATCCCAGTCGCTCGAATCGAACACCTGTAGTATTTCAAGATCAGTAAAGGCAGAGTTACCGAAGAGATTGTGACATACGTCTTTCCAAGCAATGAGATCCTTCGGAATGTCGTCGCCCGCCATCCAGCTACAGAGTAGGTTCTTTACTTTCCATCTGGCATCCCCAATGACTTCCTCTAAACGGAGGCCTACATGAGGAAGCCAAGGGAATACAATGGTTTGAAGAGTCACTGTATCTTGCTTGGGGATCCAAGTCGCTACAGCTTTCTGAACTTTTGGTAAGATAAGACTTGAACTAGGTTGGGAGGTCAGAGGTGATGCTCAGTCGTTTGGACACGCCATAGTTGCCGATGAGAGGATAAGTCAGGATGAGGATCTGTCCTTCATAGGACGAGTCGGTTAAAGACTACGTGTAGTCTACCATACCTATAAGAAAAAAATTCAGAAGATTTTTCCCCATAAAAAACAGGCACAGCGTACCGGCCTGAAAAACGTATTCGCCTGCTACGCTCGTTCCCTCTGATACCTTTGAAGGTGGATCCATCGGCTAGTACAAGGACTGCATTGTCACAAGACAACGTTGACTTGTTATTTTGAGCGTAGCGATCGTAAGAGATGTGTCCGAAAAGATGTGTCCGAAACAGTGAGCTCGATGTGCGCGACAGTGCTGGATGGGTCATAGACATGGTTGATGGCAGAGAATGGATTCAAAGTTTCGGCGGCGGTTCTCGTCGTCGTCTTCCTCTCCACCCAGATTCGCTCAAAGCCATCTGACGTCGCGCGGCCTGGAGTCCGGATCCTTGCAGAGGATATCAGAAAAAGCGTGGGTGAATATTTGTGTAAGTAATTACAGATTAGAAACACGTAGAAAGGAGGAACTCGGCAGTAAAAGGTGAAGACTGATGGCACGAGCTGCATCAACAGTATTCCCCACCAGGAGGAGAATACTATGAAAGCACATAGGCGCCAATAGCCTATCTGCTGGACCCAGACGCCAAAAGTCTGAAGCCCACAACTCATGCCAACGCATGCCAGTACTCCGGAGACACCTGGTCGATAGATAGTATTAGTGGAGCGCGACTAGACCGTAGAATACCGGAAAGGACCGAGGTGTGCATAGCCAAATAACTGCCAAAGTCCCTTCTCACCTTCTAAGTTCGCCATCACCATCCGACCTTCAGTAAGTGCTTTATACTTGTTCTAACGCGTTGACTGAGTTTCTTGAACAGAAAATCGTACCTTTCACACTGTGGATACAAATACCCCGTAGCCCATACAGCCTTGCAGCCAGAAACTCTTGGTGTTTCTGGCTGTCGTCTCAAGTGCTCTGGTGCACTTGAACGTTGCCTCTACTATTGGTGTAGAGACAGGCGTGGTTGTGGTTCACCCCCGTCCTCCAGAATCACCTAACTCGCATATTCCAAAGCTCTCACACTAACTACGAATCATCTAAGTGCGTATGTTTACTGTTGATTCCCGATTTTATGCTAACTAGCTGAAGTATTATCGACATGAATCTCACTCGTGTCATTAAGAAAGAAGACTTGCTAAGGAACTCGCGAGCCTTTTCGGGTATGTAATTCTGTACTCTCCTTTACTTAGTTCTGGATTTTCTATATAATTCTAGGTACTTTGTCGTTTAACGATGGTCGTGTTGGCGCCATTTTCCCTGACCGCCAGTTCTTTATAACATCGCCAACTTCTGACTTCATTCCTTTGCCGCCAACCACCAAGGAGGTTCATCTGTACACCGATGGTCGCTTTGGGGAGCACGACTACAGCCGTGTCCCACAGTACTACGAAGAAGCATACTGTCATCTTCCGCTCATTCCACGGCGGCCTACTAGCCTCTCGAACTGATCATCCTTACCGGGACTACATATACATGTGGGATAACATAACCAGTAACGATATCGAGTGGGCTGCCAGCTCTGTTCAAGGAATAGGCCTGTTACGAAGACCATGGCGTGGCCGACTATCCCGTGCTTTCAATTACATCGATGGCCGATGTGGAAATATGTTGGCGGACCAAAAAAAATCATCTGACTACCACGACTTGCTACGTATCCTACGTTCTCGCTTACAGGCAGTACTTGACCGTCTGGGGCATGTCACGACGGATACTTTTACGATCCAGGTTTTAGTTGCTACTGCGCAGAGATTCTGGCTTGAGATCGTTGCTGCTCTGGACTACATGGACTGGGTCAAGCCGGTCATGGATGGCATCAAGTCTCTGCATCCTGCACACAGGGCTGAACATCGCATTGGGACGTTCACCTGGGACGTCGGTGTCACCCAACTCTTTTTCAAAGCCCAGATCCCTGTATTCTTCATTCGTCCTTGGGAGTCGTTCGCTAATCAAGTTATCCTACGCGTCATTGAGCCGTCTCCTCCAGGGACCTGCATCACACATCCTGCACATCCCTTTCCCATCGTGTTCGATGGGCCACCCTCAGATCCCAAAAAATATGTGGCTCAACACCGATGTCTATGCCTTTTCCAAGGGTACCGTGACCCGTTCAACTTTCATACGGTTCCTTCTTCTGCAGTTGCACCATCATCTACATCCACAATGCTGCCACAAAATTCCTCTAGGACAGGACCCATATGCCTGGACCGTGATGTTTCTCATCGTCTGGACTACTCGTCCCAGGTTGGTCGCCCAAAACATAAAAAAAATGCCAACAGTGAGTATTTGATTTATTTCGGGGACAACTCATACTCATCTTGAGATAGATATCAGTCGAGACAAGTTTAGTGATCTCCATGGTGATTATGCACCTCTCGCTATTTCTGCCTGGTCGGAAGCCCTGTCCTCAATCAACGAAGAATCTGAACGTGCCCAAACTCTTTCCCCTGATCTGGTGGCCACAGCTTACATGTTTCCTGATCCAAGAATCATTACCAACGTCAACGCAGTGCGGCAAAAAGCGTATCTCCGACAACTTGACCATTCTTTTGATGCCTTGAAGTATCGTGCAACCGCTATGGGTTCCGAGGCATCACCACTCCGCCCTCAGCAGTGGCGAGACCTACTAGCCCTTGCCCTCAAATGCGCTGATGGGCCTAGTTCAAGCAAGCTGAAGAGCTCCTCATCTATCAAGAGTTTCAAAGCAGCTGAAGATATGCTAGGGTCATGCATGCGTGATCAAGGCGTCGTAGTCCAACTCGTGCCACCGCCGTCTTCTGATGATCACCCCTTCGATGTTCATCGTGGTCGTCAACTCATCTGGGAGCTCTGTGAGCTCAACTTCCGTTACGAACTTCTTGCGTTGGACAATCGTGCGGCGCGGGACTGGGAAATGCCATTGGCAGTCAGCGCCACTATGAGTGCCATCAACGACTTCGCATCTGATCGTCAGAATATGATTTTGGCTGTGTTTCCTGGCGGTTCATTGATACCATCAGCAGGAGAAGGTGTGGGTGATGGATTTGGCGGTGAGTGGGTGACACGACGGGAACGTCTCCGGAATCTGCAAGAGCTGATGCGGGGCTGGGTGGTTCCTCTACCTGGAGCATGTCATGGCTTGTTAGGTATGACGGAATCAGAAGGTTCCTTAAAGGTAGAGAAGGCTTTGGCGGCGCATTATGCGCAGACATTCTTCGACTTTTTCGGCCGTCCTCCAATCCTCCCTTGCCGTAAGCCAGTGTATGATCATTGAACAGTATATTAAAAAGTTCTTTCTTGTATTGTAGTCTAACCGTATATATTTCTTGCCAGTTTCTTATTCCTGTGTCTGAATGTATGCTCCGTATAACAAAATGATTAGTTCAATTCAAGAACCCCTGCCTTCCCTTCCCTGCCTTCCCTGCCTTGCCTCGCCTCAAATGTCACTACATTTTGCTTCGTTATCTTCGAAAATGTCGCCTTGTATGTTGTCTGCTTCTGTATGACTACCAATACAATAAAATATGAAATTGCCACAGATTACGAGGGTAGCACAAACCTGACCGAACACATGTCATTTATCGAGTCCTATTGGGAATGTCTTGGAAGTGTTGTGAACGTCATTTTGCAGGTTCAAGTAGGCTTCCAAAATCTTTTGGCGGGCACTGACAGTGTTTTGTAAACACGAAGAAGCGAGAAAATGATGTTCCGACAACTAAAAAGACGTTTGCCTCACTTGGCTTGGACCCTCGTCTTTTTTCTTCGGTCTCGCCCTTTCTTTTGCCTTTGCCTTTGCCGTCCTACCTACATTTCGGCCTCATGGCTCGTGGCAGAGATCCTCTCCCTTACTTAAGGAAGAACGTTGCTTCAGATTCCAACCCTTGTCTCTCTCTCTCTCTCTCTCTCTTCTTCTCAATGTTTTCCCCCTCTCCCTCAACATTGTCGAGGCCCTATATGTGCGTTCATTTTCTTTTCTTTTTCTTTTCTTTCTGTATATTATTCAATTCCCGTCTATATATTTAACTATTGTGTACGGGGTACGGGGCTCTCCCTACCTACCCTCTTCCCCTCCCCTCGCTTTTTCCTTTTTCTTTCTTTTCTTCCTTCCTTCGTCTCCCATCTCGTCCCGTCCCGTCGTCGTCGTCGTCGCGCGCTCACGCTCACGCATCCTTCCGTGTGTCCGCTATCGCGCGCGGCGGCAGGCAGAGATTGGCGAGATCGATCGCGTTGCGCCGTTGGCCGAGACCCGTTGGTCCCGACCCTGTTTGTCCCCTGCCGTTAAGTTGCCGTACTTTGTCACCTTGTCACTCGTGACGGTAACCGTCTCGAAATCGTGTGTAAAACGGCTTCACAAGTGGATCGAAATCCGATCGGGTGAATGTGAAGAATGTCACACACTGACGTTCTCGAAGGCTGCGACGATCTCTGGCAGTATGGAACTCGCCATCCTGGGTGTCCAACTTAGCGAATCGATGAACGTGGATATGATTGCACAATGCCATGGTGGACACTGATGAAGCTGATACTCCGCCTGATAAGCATGGGTGTTCAGATGACGATCATGGTTGTCTTGGCCGTCGAAGGGGTCTGCGACTGCGACTATATTTTCACTGTGTATTCCACTACCTATTTTCATCTTGTCTCTGGCATATGGAGATGTCTTTCATTCAATCTCCACAGTGTATCTTCACCGCTTGTGGCCGTAGGTCATGCTGTCTCTGGAATCTGGTGTACGGGATGTCAATGTCCCCGATTCAATTTCCAATGTCTTCGCCGTTCATGATGGTGCTGGTGTTCACGATGTCTTTGGAATTTTGTCCAGGAGTAGGGGGCTAACAAATGTTTACGCTATTTTCGATTTCGCTCCTCTTGAGTATAGGAGCCCTATTCGATAATACTTCCACGGATGTATATATACTTCCACGGCTGCGTGTATTCTATTCCCTACAAACCTCTGCCATGATTTCGTTGATCTTCACACTACTAGCTACCTCCCTAGCTTTGGCTGCACCCCAGCCGCCAAGTTGTTTTCCAGCAATAGGATTCAAGATGCCCGCGACACCACCATCCACGACGAACAATTGGTGGTGTGACATGAACACAGAATACGCGTTCGTTGGATTCAGCTATGAGGTTACTGCTTGTACGTCGACGCTGCTCATTGTAAAATGTTTTCTGTTAATATCGCATACAGGTCAGGATTTCAACCAGCTCCGATCCGAGTTCACGGACATTCGGCAAAGGTTCAACGGTCGTTATGTCCGCATATATGGGGCTTGTGACAGACAAGGCTTCTAGTACGAATCTTTCGTACTTGTTCGTACTAGAGGCACTGATTTGACCCATAACGACGATGTTATAAATGCGGCCTGGGACGCTGGTGTAGGAATACATGCTCTTGTCTGGGTAACGGTATATTAACTATCCTTAACGTGTAACACTGACGCCTGCCAATCAGTTTGGATTCGACGGTGGCGACATCTGGAAAGCTCGTCGTGACACACTCTTTGCGACGCTAAACTCGAATCCGAAGGCCAAGTTCGTCACTCGAGTGGTGCAGTTTGGCTCGGAACCGCTCTATGATAACGTTCTTTCGGTGGATGAGCTCGCAGCTCAGGTGGGGGATGCCAAGCGAAGATTGTCGAGCTTGGGTATACCCGTCACCATATCGGAGCTGGCGTGAGTTGCTTAGCTTTCTCTTTTCTTGTCGATCGCGTCTCATTAAAGACATCTAGTTATGGGTATCAGGTTCGAGTGACGCCATATTCATTTTGATTTCATTCTAACTTCTCAAGGCACGCGGCGGCGCGAAACCAGTCCTCGATGCCGTTGATTTAATTGATGCGCACATGCTCCCCTTCTTTTCGCAGCAAGCTTCGACTGGTAAGTCTGAATGACGTGTTTTGATCCTATCTCATGCGTTATCCTCTAGCAAGCGCGTCCTGGCCCATTGTCCAGAATGATTTGAATTGGTAAAACTTCCCTTTGTCGGGTTTTTGTAGGGGAGCTTAAGTTTTATGAATAGGTTTGTTGCGAACGGTCAAGGAAAGAAAATCTACCTATCCCAGGTCAGTTTTTATATCCCGATAATCTTTCACCCTCTCTGATCCATCGTCTAGAACGGTTGGCCCTCGGTCACCTACCAAGGTGTACAACCTAACAGTCCCAACGCAGTATCTGATGTCCAGAATGAATCAGTCAGTTCTTTTCTGTATGCACCATATACAAGCAGGTTTTCATGTTTATATTCTAGGATTATTACAAGCTTCTCGCTTCGAAGTGTTCCACCCTCAAAAATATTCAGGGCGGTGGCGTCGGATGGTTCGCGCATATCTATTCCGATGCGCAGGAGCCGGGATATGGCATTTATGATGTCAATGGAAATCTCAAGTTTGACTTTAACCCTCTTACGTCTTGTTAAATCCAGTATTTGTGATTTGACGTGTACTTGTTGTAGCAATAATTCTCTAGTATTGTTTGTATTATTTGAATCTCATCTCTTGGTCGTAAAATAATTTTAAAATGAGCGTGCTTATAATCTACTGAGTTCAAAGTTTCTATCATCCAAAGGATTCTTGACGAAACCCAGCACTTGCTCAAACATTTGATGCTAGACATGTCCCAGTGCGTGACTGGTAAAACCTTTTTTTTACTTCTTTACTTCGTCATCTTGATGAAGCAAAGACCTAACCGGGTAGCAACGGCAGAGGCTGGCTTGGCAAGACTGGGTCGGAAGGATATTCTGCGCATTGAAACAGTCAAAAGTGAGTCTGTTTAATTGCTTGGAACTCCCACTTATCAATGACTTCGTAGGACAAAGGATTGGGCACAGCGAATGGAAAGACTAGACATTTGATGAATCTTGTCAGAATTGTGAAATGTACACAATCGTAGGGCACCATCTTGAGGCATGCTGGGGATGTGCATGAGTGGTGTGTTGGTTGACGAAACATATATTACCCAGAGGGCGCATACTGTAATACAAATACAATAACGACGATTTTGGCATACAGGATAGGAACAGAACGATAAACATAAACGGCGTTCTGTTCAGTGGTCGGTTTAGATCTGTCGGGAAAACATCGCCTCGCACCTCTAGACAATACTCTTCGGCATCTCGTCCAATGGGCCTATCTCCTTCAGAATGTTGTCGCTCATGACGATGATAGGTAGTGTCAGATCGTATAAGATGCCACACACGGCACACACGAGAAGGATAATGGACCGAGGCAAGGAAAGCATAGCCCAACGAACGTTGCGTTGCATCCGCACAGAGTCGGAGACATACGGCTCTGCGTGTCAGTCAGTATCTAGTGGCATCCGAAGAGGGCTGAAACGGACCAGTGACTCTCAAACACCCATTCGAATCACATAGGTTTAACATAGCATGGTAAAAAATAAGTTGAAAGTTGACGTCTTTGCAGACGATCTTTCCGGAAGGGCTAATGATCTGCACATTCGTCTGTGAGCTTGGTGTAGAGCTACCCACTGCGAAAATCACAAACCGAACAGGTCTCTAGACCGAAGGTCTCTTGAACTTGGATCATATTGAGATCTCCGGAACCAGTCAGCTGGAAGTCATGTTCGAAGCATGGATCCCGATTGCTTGTGGCGTACCGCGGGTGGGTATAAAACAATACGCGCATATACCTGATCGTTCGATCAGTGGGACGAAAGGACATTTACTAACTTGGCATACCCGGGAGGTGGAGGGATGAAAACTTTACGCCGGGGAATAGGCGGGCGAGTTTTCGCCGTCTCTTCGGCGAGCTCTTGTGGACAGCGCACGAAAAGCCAACATTCTTCTTTCATGACGGTCAAGACGGTTTTGGTGCCCATGGAACGGCAATAGGAGATGAACGTGTAGAGATAGGCAGAAAAGGAGAGACATAGCGCAGAGATAAACAAAGACCGCAGGACGCTGAACGAGAGTAGAGACATTAGGAACATGGTCGAAAGTCTTCGGGAGCGCAGGGGAGGTAGTTGAGCATAGAGGTCAGATATCCTTTTTATAAGGATCAAATAATACCCCAGTAGATACAAGGCGTAACCACGAGAAGGCATGTACAAAGGCAGTGTCCACGAAAATACAAGGCGAATAAATTAATCAATAGATTGTTGTAACCTGACAGACTGGCAGCGGATATTAGAGGATTCTCTCGAAGGAAGTTGAATACCAAAAAGAGAATAAGACGCGTACGATCGTTGAGAGGGACGTTGTTGAGGCAGAATACAAGAAAGTCAGAGCAAAATTGGCACGCGCCGATAGCACGTGATGCTCTTTCTGGGATATACGGTCCGAATTCCGCGGGTCATTAGTCGAACTCGGGGCCGAACCACCATGTTCGGTCGTTCCAATATTCTCGCTCTCTTGACTGTCCATGGAATGACCTTAGCGACTTTAACAACCTACGATGGAGCCGTCTAGCTGGCAACTATATTCAGTGAGTCTTCCCCTCTGTTGCCTCTCAGTTTGTTAATATTCTTTTTTTTTGTCAGGCGCAACGACCTCCAAAGAAAACGAGACGACACGCTAATTTAAGATGGCACTGGGGAGAAGTCGGGACTAATGTTTCGTGGAACGACCAAACGTGCAAGATTAATCGCAAGGTCGCGAAGGCTTTTGAATTAGATAGCGCGGAGCTCATCTTTACGTCGGTGGCCTGCTTCATGGGCTCGGTGAACCTGAGTGGGACGAAAAGCTCAAGAAAGTGACAACAGACTTGACGAAGTTGTCATGCGTCAATTTACGGCACGCTTATGTCCGTAAGTTTACCTGACAGAAAAAAAAACAAGTTTTTAGCTATTTTACTCCGCACACTGGTACCTGGAGATGGAATATCTCAGAAGCAGAAGGACCTACGACATGTCGCACCATGACTGGATAGCTATACAGCAATGATCTCAAGGATTAGAAAGGGACAAGGCTTGACGGTGATGGATGGTCAATTATATTGACGCAGTCTGGTGGCAGGGTAATCGACCGTGGATAGTTACCAGCGACCGTACTGGAAAGTCTTCGCTTACAAGATCCGTGGCATTTTCGTATCTTATAATCGGAAAAATTGTCCAGACGCGCGCTTATGACCGTCAAAATCTTCTTTCGTAATGCTAAAGAGCTCGTGGCCACCCTTAGGCGCCTGCTCCCACGTTCCTTCGTTACTTGCTCTGTTCCATCGCTTCATCGCTGGCTCATCTCTGCAATGACTGATTCCTCGATCCCCGCATCTGTCCTCAAAGCTGATCGTGATCAGTACCACCATGTCATACCTAAGTTCATCCTGCGTAAATTCCAAGTGGGAGGTCAAATGTAAATTGCCTCTCTTCCGTAGCGAAGTGCCTGGTCTCATTACAATCGTATCCTAGGTCGAAAAAAGAGCGAACGAAGGCCTTCAAACGCACCGGCCGAGAGCCAGGCGAAGTGCTTTTCTACGACATAGCTGCCCGAACAATTCAAACCCGACCTATCGCCACTGTCTACGGGGTGATGAACCTCTACAGGAACGTTCGCTTCCCCTTTAACCTTCATCATCTGGAAGAAAAACTCTCTCGACTTGAGAGTAATGCCGCAGATGTCATCCTACAGATGCACGAAGCCGTTGACAAAGGTAGCTCATTTCCCATCACAAGGCAAAAGCTCGGCGACTTGCACCAGTTCCTCTTTCTCATGCACTACCGCACCGTAGCGCTCTCCTCTTCCTACACCAACTCTGATCATCCGGAGAATACCCTCGTCACTGAGCAGCTAAAACGTTTCGGAGAGAGTCTGGCCTTAAGTACGAACTCCGAGATATGGCTTCATTTTCTGCATTATTTCCTTGATGCACAAATTGCATATGACGGTACTTCCTTCATAAACGAGCCGGACCTGGCAAATTATACGGAGCGGGATATATTGCCATCCAATGTGGATATATCACGCACCCCCATGAAAATCTATCAGCGACATGCAAGCATGTTCTATCTGGCCGCCTGTCAGCCTGCCGATGGGAAAGAGTTCATCCTAACGGATAACGGATTCGGGTTATGGGAAGGTTTATCAGAACAAAGTCATATCCATCGCATCTTTGTTGTCGGGCCTCGCTTAGCCATCATCCTACGCAACAATTCGGTTGATGCCCAAGCGATCCCGCGGCTGAACAGTACTCTCGTTGATATACCATTACCACGTCCGACTTGCCAATACAGCATCACCGGTTCAGACTTTCCACCCCGGCAAGACGGCGATATCACCAGTGCTGATCAGTATCGGATGTCAGAACAGGCCCAGCTGGATGAATTTACTTTCCAAATAACGAAGTTGACGTCTCAGCAGACGTTCGACGTCAACTCCGTTTTCCTCCTCAATGGGCATGACGACGGGTCTGTCACATTTGCATCCAAGGAATTCATGATGAGGACCCTAGAGTGTTATACCGATCCAACATCTTCTTCGCTTGAAGACCCGCATAAAAGACGGTATGAACCCGCCCTGTCTCAGCTACGATCTGAGCTGCATCGGTTATCCTCTCCTTCACCACAAACTGAAGGGATAGGTAGGGACTTCCAGATAGGCGAGACAGATTTTGAAGCAGAGCTCTCACCAACTACACAAGCCACGTCTTCACATGCAGTTGGTTCGTCGTCCACTGCAGCTGGTCCTCACGCTTCGCTTCGCTTATCAAAGCGCTCCAAAAAGTTGAATTCATCCACTGTCCAGCTCGCAGGGTCGGGCGCTGGGACCATCGCGCCGCCACCGTCACATCCTTCTGGGTCAACGCAGGCGTCAGCATCCGAAGGCAGGCTCGATCCATTCACTCGACCCGTTTCTGAATCGAAGCCTAGTGACCAGCACATAGAGGCACTAGACGAACTGATGACAGACATCATCACCAGAAAAGTTTCATTTTCATCATCGTACGAACAAGGATATAAGCTTTACATTTTGTTCACGGCGGTCCAGCCCCCCACGGTCCATCCTTTCGCCAAAGATTGTGATCGTATGCTCTCCAGCATCATCTCACGTTTTGAACAACTTTTGAAACCTCCAAATCGAAGGGTCAGACCGCGGCCATATGCTTCGAGTCCTGTTCCACATCCAAGAGTAGACCAGCAACGCTGGGATCTTCTGATTACACTCTTGACTATGCTTGGTTTAGGATCTGCCGAGAATCCCAGGAATGCGTTGGAAGACAGATGGGAAGAAATGGTTAGGGGTGTTCTGGTGGTGGGACTGTCCACTTGGATTGTGAAGAACAGACCTGATATGGCACCCTCGCTCCATCTCGCGTAGGTATTTCGTGGTGCGAAGAACGATGTGCTATGTGATGACAATGCCAGTGTTCAACGCCCGTGACACTGAAGGAATGTATTCAGCATGTCTCTGTAATTCTACTGTAGGATTTGGTATATGTAAAAGTATGAAACTGATAGGTGACAGGTTGTGTAACATGAAAGATAGTTACCGATGCGCGATAAGGGACCACCGAGGTTGACCCGGGTGATCATGGCTCTTGACTTTGGTGTCGTCGTCTGATAGCTATGTCAAATGGACTGTATCTTAACTGTACGTGCGGCTGGCTTGAATATCTCTTTTGGCGTGCCGCGATGCCTGCTAGACTCCGAGTCGTACTATCTCTCAACACTTGGCCTTGCAGGTGGGAAGATCCCGCTTTCTTGCTTGCAGAGACTAGAGTGATCAGATAGAAGCACATTAATCAGTAGATGGCGAGGAACGGTCATATATTTCCGATACCTTCCCGATATTGCTCAGAGCTCAGTGTCCGTCCCACTCTGAGCTTGATGTTAATGGTAAAAATTTCGTTAACGTTCAACGCACCAGCTACAGCTAGAGACTGATGAACCGCGAATTTAATCGAAACTTAGAGGGGCATCCGGGAACATTTTGTGTTTGAGACTTTGCCTCATTATTTAACGTTGTGTGACCAGTCCGGCCGCAGCGGCATTGTAACCGTCTGAAGCCGTAGCATGCCGTACGATCGGCAACGGTCCCGATGCCGGCTATGCTTATGGTCAATCGTGATGCCTTCTCCTTATTTCACTCGGCTTGCATCCTACTACTTATCCTTGAGTAAGTCTACGTCGGAATATCTACGAGGACTCCATCTTGGGTTGACACGCTGAAAGTAAACCTATCTGGCTGGAATATCATGACCTGGTAGTCACCGGTTGCGTGCGCTTTTTTCGTCACATCTATCTGATGGTGCTAACCGTTGTTCTTCAGTACTATGATCGCCGTCGACCCGTTGCTTCAATGTGCTGCCCAGGTATCCCATTCATCATTCTATGGCTATCATTCAGTTTTGTACCACATGGTCTTGGAACTTTATTCAAATAGTTTGGGTGCGTATGTCTACCCTCTCAAGCTATTTATGATTTGACACTCATCGTTTAGGGTACTACTGCCGTAGCTAGTTTCCCCAGATGAGATGTAAATTCGTCCGGAGTACTCGCACTAGATACAGCTGTCATGGACCTGTCGTTGTTCATCAAGGAGCACGTCTTTGCCATCTTGGTCCCTTGTACCTTGACCCATTCACTCAGATTCAATGCGTCTGGCCTTTCTCCGGGCCTCTGCACTCGCGCATATCGCTAGCTAGTATCATAAGTTTATTTCCACTGTCAGATTATCGGTGGCTTGCTATGTTCATTGGTCCCGCATGTGGATCGCCGCAAGACGGGTCGTATTGCGCTGGCATATGATATTCCGTATAATTCATAGCCAGTGAGTATGCCTCCATATCTTTCATACTGTAACATAAACGGATTCTCAGAACAACCTGGACTCTCGCAGCGGTCACGAACACCTTAAATCCGGTGAGAAAGCAGGTGGAACATTGATGGATTCCCTCCCAGTGATTAGCACATATAGCGACAGTCATTTGTATTCGCACGCCAAGCGCGCTGTTCTCAGTACTAGAGGGCCGCTGCTCCGTAACGAATCTATGTATCTCTCGTGGTGGTACTACGACGACACTACCGACATAGGGCGGATCTTCGTGTCTTCAAGCAAAATGTTCATGGCTGTTCCTTAGAGACTTGGTTATTTCTGGTCGGAAACCTGTCAAGGCTCAACATGGCATCATTTTTATCTCACCTTACGCTCGCCGTGAACCATTCATTACGTCCTGCTCTACGACGTCGTATTCACATATAGAAACATGAAGCTCCCGGGTGTCCATATGAGGCCCCGGATTGCTGCCATTCAATTGTTCGAATCCACAAGGATCACCCGTTCGTTCCCATATATGCTCCGACAGCCTTATCACACATGCTTCCCTTCTTATCGGTCCACATGCTAGCTATGTGATGTGTGCCTTCGCTCATAAAGCTTCGATTGTGTCCTGATGTTGGGTAGGATCTTCTGCCTGAACCCAGTCTTTCCCAATGGCTGTAGTGCCGACTCTTCGCACGGAGAAGGAAGCCTCTTTGAACGAGAAGAAGTCCGGCGACAGCGTCAAGGTTGTTTCGTCCATCGACGATGAGAGGGGACCTCTCGATGAGAAGCAGCTATCATCGCTAGATATCTCAGAAATTGGGGACGTCTATGCTGATGGTCCGCGACTCATCGATCTTGGCGCAGATGGCAAGGAAAGGCCTATCGGTAGATCTCTTTTCTTGCGTTGCGAGCAATCCTTTCATTTACTATCATAGAAACTGACTCGGACTATGCCCTCCGTCTGCTCTCCTTAGAGGATGACCCGACATTGCCAATCTTTACGTTCAGAATGTGGTTCCTTTCCCTTGGTCTGTCGTGTTTCGGTGCTGTCCTGGGGCAAATCTTTGTGTGCTTTTAGTGCTTATCAGTATGCGGAATTTTGAATTGATTGCTGTTCCAGTACTTCCGTCCTCAGACCATATACGTGAGCTCGCTGTTCTTGCAAATCATCTCGTATATTCTTGGCCGGGTTAGTCGTCTATAGCTTATCTCCCACTGTTCTTTTCACTGATAGCCCTGCCTTTCCAGTTCATGGAACAGACCATACCTGGACCAGGAACTACTCTCTGGCGTTTTGGTGTCCTTCCAAATAACTGGTTCTGGCGGTTCCTGAACCCTGGCAAATTTAGTGCGCCGTACCTTCCTGGTATTCTCTGATTTACTTTCTGATACTACGATAAAACAGACATTAAAGAACATGTGGCGATTACTATAATGTCTTCGACAGCCTCTGACAGTGCTCTAGCCATCAGTATCTTCGCTGCACAAGACCTGTACTACAACGTCCGGCCCAATGCTGCTGTAGGAATCTTTACTCTTATCGGTTCGCAGCTAATCGGATACGGCATGGCGGGGATTATGCGGATGTTTCTTGTGTATCCCACGTTTGCCATCTATCCCATGGTCATTCCGACTGCTCAGCTGTTCGATGTGCTTCATCGTGGGCAGGAGGCTGTGATGAGAAGAAGAGACTGCGGTTCTTCTGGCTTGTATTCCTCGGGATATTCGTATGGGAGTGGTTCCCTGAGTATATCGCTCCGTGGGTTTTGTTTCCTTTACGTGCTTCTCCGTCGGAGCTAATCATCATTCCAGAACACTGACCGGAGTATCTATCTTTGTCTCGCCATACAGGATAGTGCATGGGTCACCCGTATATTCGGAGGCGCAGCAGGTAACGAGGGCCTTGGGGCTTTCTCGTGTGCTTTGACTGGGTGTATGTTGGGTCGGGTGGAGGTGCTATCGGGTCACTCTTTACGCCCCTTATCTACGCAGCTCTCACTGTACGCGGGATGTGCAGTTTGTATGAATCGCGTTTTGCGCCCTGTTATGCTGCCAATACGTGGAATACGCAGAACTTCCCGTTCTTACGCAGGTTACTGTTTTCGAGAACGGTACGCTTCGTCTCATTCTCTACTGCTGGTTCGCCTTAAATTTATTCATCATCCAGGGACGGAATATGACCAAGTTAGCTATCTTGAATGACGATTTACGCTCAACGAAGAGAAGCTTCAAGCTGTTGGTCTTCCGTGGTATGCGGCGTCTCAACTCTTGTACAAAGTTAGCCGGACGATGTATATCGGAGGTCAGTGCTACTCTTGTTTAGGCGTAGGTAAATAGTGCTAACGACCCCTGTGCTACCCCAAACAGCCGCCGTCACTCATTTCTTCCTGTGGCACTTTAAGACCCTCTACAAGATCATACAAGATTCTTCTGTCAGTTTTCTTACTTCTGAAGCTACTACTTGTGCTTATATAAAAGACAGACCAACGAATGCAACGATCCGCACTATCGCAGGATGAAGATTTACAAGGAAATGTCGAACTGGTGGTATCTAGCCATCTTCGTCGCATGTTTTGGCATGGCCATTGGCACGACTTATGGTGCTGATTCTGGCTTGCCGTGGTGGGGAACGATCGTGGCATTGATTTTCGGGTGGATATTCGTGCCTATTATTGGGACGGTGAGTCCGGTTCTCTTCCCTGTGTTTCAGGCTCATGCTGTGACGGTAGTTGTACTGCACCGTCGGGTATGCCCCTTCTATTGAGAACATGGTGCAAATGCTCGGAGGTGCCATTATTCCTGGAAAGCCTGTGGCTAATATGTATTTCACTTTGTAAGCCCTTGACCCTCCTTGTGCATTATCTTTCTGATGAAGCATTCTTCTCAGATACGGGTATAATTGTGTTACCCAGGCAAACAACCTGATGAGAGATTTGAAGCTCGTATGCTCACTATTTCTTCCTAACCGCATCATGGAAGCTGATCTTTTTGCAACAAGGGCCAATACACGAAACTCCCTCCCCGCGTCACGTTCGCAGTGCAAACGATTGGCAGCGTTATCGGGGGCTTGCTCAACTTCTTATCATGAAACTGTGGTGTCGTCACATAGGGAAATCTTGAGGGATGTCCAGGGCTCCAATATCTGGTCGGGTCAACAGGTATTCTTACGCTGTATCGACAGTTCCTTTACTCAACTAAGTGACTTGGTGATAGGTTCAATCGTATAACAGCGACGCTATTGCTTGGGGTGCCCTGGGTAAACCGCTGTACGCGACGGGAACGAGATACGGAGTGAATTCTTCATTTTTCTAGGCTACATATCAATCACTAACCTTGCCCTTTAAAGTTTGTGCCATACATGCTCTTAGCCGGTCTCGGATTTCCCATCCCATTCTGGTTGCTGCACAAGAAGTATCCCAAGTTCGGATTCGACAAAGTTTTTCACCCCTATTTTTGTCGCTGAGTTGGGATACCTAAGTGTGGGCATCAACTCGAGCGTCTTTACCTCCTTTGTTCTCGCGGTGTTTTTCTCAATATTATTTGAGGAAATACCACGCGACGTGGTTCAGGAAGTATAAGTATGTGATTTCGACGTCGACTTTGAAATACTACTGATGCGAACATTACGATAGCTTCCTGATGAGTGCTGCGCTCGATGGAGGAACGGCTATTATGATATTCGTATGGACATTCGCTGTTGGTGGCGCTGGTGGAAAGACTGTAGCTTTCCCAACGTGGGCTTTGGTATGTATCTTTCTTTTATTCCTCCAGGCGTGCCATTTGCTAACTGTCCATAATGATAGAATCCTACTGGCAACCCAGATCACTGTAAACGTCTGACTGATTGAAATGTAAATTTTACATTCCTTAAATGACAATAAGCATTATGAGATTTTATATTCCCCGCACGCGTTCCAATTTTCATTTCCAAGGAGACGAAAATGTTGCCAGCTAGTTCGCTCTAGCTCGTAGCAAGTGAGAGGTTTGATTATTCATTTTCAATTTGAATGTAGGCTGACTATTTCGTAACTGACAGCGGCTTATTTAAGCAATGCCCAAGAAATGAGAGAAGTTTGTCTGAGTCCGAAAGAATATAAAATTCAGTAAGCTGATGATCACAATGCCTGATCTGTCGCATTATAAATGAGCTCGTTGATTGCGAGACTCATTATCAGACCGAAATTGTCCTGCCAAAACTTTCAGTTTCATCATTCCATCTCCACGAGTAGACCTCACCGATCCCGTAAGCCACTCTTCCAGGACTAGTAAATACACCGTCGCGTTGGTGACATTTACTCCTCCGCCCCACCCGGAACTGGGTCGCTTGGAAAAGTCTGGCATCGTCAGGTTAGCTGGTGCTGGATGGGTCGAGTACGGTACCGCTGGAATTCCGTGAGACAAAATTTTGATTGACGTACGTCGAGCTTACCCGGATAATTGGGATAATCGAACCTTCCAAAGTAATGCCCGCTTGACCACTCGGTGCTGGAGAACAACGAGGATGGGAGTTTTGTGAAGAGAAAGACGGTGTAGTTGTACGTGGATACGCTATAATCTGCCATCGCGTCGTAGCTGAAGGCAAAGGATTCGCCGGGCATAATAACGGTTCCGTTCGCAGGAGCGGTGATTACGCCCCCATCTGCCGACACGAGCGCAGCAAGGGCAGCCAGGAAGATGGCTCGGAGGGTGAACGAAAACATCGCTGTTTTTCTCTCCTGCAGGATGGGAGAGATATTTCGAGAATGTGGTTTTTATAGGCCGATGATGCACGTGTAGGCTATTCTTAATCGGCTTGAGAAATCCGAGGAGACTCAGCCGCCGTATCTCTTGACTGGCAGCTTGGGCGAAAAGAAGGAGTATAAAGTTGTACTACCCCGAACATGACGTAGATAGACACACATGAAACAGGAACAATGACCGTTCCTCCCCATATCACCCCGCTCTTCCCCATGTCACTCATCCCTTCATGCCAGTCTTTCGCGTCGGGCACGGAGCAATCAGGCTGTCTCCAAGTCTAGAGACCGAAGTAGCCTCGAAATTTCCACGCTCTGCGTTAAAATAAGGTTGCGGAAGAACTCTTGTTGGAAGAACGGTCGCTTGTAACCATGCGTGAGAGCTCGGCATTTATCATGTAGCCTTAGCTCTGGCCATAAGCTGGGCAGTTGAAGTGATCTCCTTAGCGCCGAGGTCTATGACAGGGAATCTGAGGTAAGCGAGAACACTTGCTACTGTCTCGACCGCCTTAAGGTGTATGCTGATTCAGCGAGATGTCAAGTCGTTACCCAGATTTCAGCAGGTAACCCTCGCAAACAGGCGAGGGCCGTCGTCGTTCATCTACCAGCCTCTCCACGCCCTGTACACTGATAGAAAAAGCCTGTTGAATAAAGAAACCGGAGGACAGCGCTTCAATACTTAGCAGCCGAAGATTCTGACGTGCAATTAAGTAAAGAGACATGCATATACAAACACTTCTGAACTAGAAAGAGTTCCCCAGGCTTGGAAGTCGAGGCACCAGATTTCTAAAGAAGATACGTACAGTCCGTCTCATCCCCTTGATGAATACTGCGGTCGTGAACGTTTCGACAAAGAAAGAGTCACTGAAATCTTCTTGTATTAGAGGGCTACAACTCCTTTCGCATACGCTTCCTACTCCGACCTGGGCCTGAATCTGAAAGGTCAAACGCTACACCAGACTCACTCAGATAAGCATCCTTTAAGCCTTCAAATTTTGCTATCTCATTGAAGAGAATGTCCCTTCGTCCCCCAACGAACTTGCGCACCGCCCGATCATACGAAATGATGTGTCCATGAAAAGACCTCTGGCGATAGAAGAACAGTGTCTCAATATGCTTGTAATACGCCTGGAGCTCCGCCTCCCGTCCAGGAAATGCGAAAACGACAGCATCCTTGTATGTGTCAAAGGCCCACATCCAGTCTCCGGCATTGCACACCTGGCGCTCAAGATCCAGGTGGTACCCATAGATACGGTCAAAGTCGACATAGACGTCCCGGAGAACGTTCTTCCACTGATCATAGGGGAATGTGGGAGCGCCAAAGGAGAGGCTAAGGCTGCGAAGCGCCTCATTGAGGTCGCTGGTGTAGATGTCAATGTAGTCGCGAACTTGGCGGTGGAGGGGAGTTATAGTGCTTTCATCGGAATTCTGGGAAAACGGAAAAGGGCGCCTGGCTCCTTTCCTCTCCTTTTCATCGTCCAGAGCAAGGATTTCTTCAATATAGGGTACGATGAGTAACCCGTCTGAGTCTTCAACCCCTTGTTCTCGACAAGCAGCTGCAGAGATTCTCGCAATATTTGCGATGGTGGAGGCACGGTCACGGTGCCGGCGTTTGTAGTCGTCGATGAGTCCTTGTATGAGAACAGTTGGGTCGGAATGAAGGCGAAGGAGGACCGTAAGGCTTGAGGAAGAAGCCATACTGAATAGGCATCTTAGTTGCTAGACATGCATGCAGAGAGGGATTAACAATAACATACCCGAAGATGTCTTGAGAGCAGTGAAGAACAATGAATAGGGGCACTGAAGCACATTTCCATTTGTTGTCATGCCGATCGTCCCGCCTCTTCCTTGGCGCAAAAATAGCGAAGTCCGAGTCTGCATCGGAAAAGGCCTTACAAAAGGCACTGATTCTCAACTAGCGCCAAAAATTTCCGCCCATGGAATTAACTAACGAGGCGTCACGTCCTGTGCTGTTACGCTAGTCTTTTTGGGACGGTGGTCAACTTCAGAATTGAAACATCTATGGTTCTTGGGGTGACCACTGACGACAGCATATTACGTTCGTCAAAGTGAATAGGCTAGATGAACAAGTCTAAGGAAATTTTCTGGTTAGATGAGAGAACAGTGGATAGGGCTAGGCTACTACCGACACTCAAAAGGGCTGGCGAATGTTCGCGTTTTCTACTGGTAAGCCGCATGGCCAACTTTGTCCACAGACGGCATATCACACTAACAATAACCATGGTTCAAATACACAAATGATAGCTTGCAGCAAGCGCGAGGGATGCGTCTAACAAATCGCCAGCCATGATGAAGTTCGGAAGAAAGGTGGATGCACACGCGCCGCTTCGGAATTTGAAAAACTTGCCTCTTGCTCCCATGTTGATCGCGTATCAAAATTTATACGTACTACCGTCGATACAGAAGGCGTATGAGCAGTGAGTTCGTGTCGCCCGTTCCTCAGTCGAAATTCTGACCGTAAAACGCTTTTGTGTAGAAATGCCGCAACCACGCCAGTTCCGCGATGCTCTATACTAGATTTTTTTTCGAACATCCATTGAAAAAAAACCTAGTAGAGTTAGAAATATTGGTGGTACGAGGAATTCAGGCGTTTCTCGGGGACTGTAGACCATGCAGGTGTGGCGTGTGCACTGGCCTTGTGGGCCGTCAGTTAATACTTTGACTGAAAATGAGAGAACACCGGCCTGGGTTTGTTTTACTGATTACGTGTCATCTTCCCTAGACTTATTCAGGAGTCTTGCATCCAGGAGACTGCATGAATATCTTGCGATAAACGCGTCCAGCATCAATGTTCGACGTCAAGAGATGCGGCAGGCCAGCTTTGGCTGCTACGTGTCTTCGTTCATCAAACAATGCACTTCATTACCCGATATGAGTTTGGTGAGGATCGCAATATATTAGACAAAGCAGTCCGTGCTAAGTGAGTCTAACGCGTTACATAACGGACCATCCTGACTATTAGGGTCACATTAGTGGATGCCAACCACGACGTCGATTGAGATGAAAATTGAACAAAGAGGACGGACGTGGAACGTGGAGATCAACTTGACGAGTAAATTGCCGCGTGGCTGGCTCACCATTATTGATTTACTGAGCTGGTGTAAGAACAGAACCTTGCTGTGCGACCCGGAATGCTTTGACTAATCATTCGTACTAGTCAGACAAGCTTTGGTCAAGTGCCAACTAGAGCTTGTCATTTAGGAGGATGCAATATATCTTCCCAAAATATCATATTTCGTGGCTGAAACAAAGGGAGGAGAAACCCGATTTTTCTCGCTGCCCGTCCCCTTCGGAACCCCAATGCTCACTTTCGACGAACAATATAACGATGTGCAGTGGTTGATGGTATAGAAGGATCATGGCCAGGACGGACACGTACCTAACATTGACAAGGATGCATCGCATGCTGCTGGGAAGGAATTTTCCTCTGACCGCTATCCAGGCTGACCGGGCAGCTGCTCTGGAATCTGGAAATGTCGGTTCGACTGTATTCGAATGACTGTATTCAAGCGTAATCATGAGTTGATCAGCTCAATGGTATCGTGCTTTGCAATCATGGTTTACGTGATAATAAATCTACTTTTGAATTTAGACTCATCGGCGTGTATTTCGAACACTCATCGCAATTATACAAGACACATCGGGAACGGAGTAATGTATATCCTTAACTTTAAAAGTCTCCTGGATCTAAGTCACGCGACACTTTCAGTGCATAAACCAGCGTGATTTGTTCCACCTATCGAGAGACTGAGAGTCTGCCTAGGAGACCATTCGCCAGTACACTCCCAAGTACAACACCAGCCATCATACGCGCAAAACCGGAAGGAGTCAAGAAGGAGTCCACCATATATATCCTCTCCGACTCGGGCGGAGTGACAAATGAGATCAAACGGTATTTGCAATTTCCCCATAGGAGGTATTTCACTGACGTCAAAGAGCTCTGAAGAAATGGCCACTGTTTTGTCTGTGGGCTGGGCTTTATTGGACAAAGATAGGGTAAACTCCAAGGGCCGTCTTGATCTTTCTCATCCGATTTCTTACAAGGGTACTGCGTCCCCGAACCCGACTCCGATCCTGAACGAAACCTTAAACTGTCAGTGCTACAATCTCCCACCAACGGCGAACAGACAATTGTGGTGTCTTTCAAGACATTTGGCTCTTATTTACTTCAAGTTTCTAGCACTTTGTCTCTCGATGTTTTTGAATATTGAATAAACGCAACAGCAATATTGCCGAATCGGAGCAGTGACAGTTAGGGACCCTGAATCCTCAAAACAAATACTCGCACGTGTCGGCCACCCGCTCTCTCTCATAATGTCTTGGTCACTAGCGCGAGCTCCTCTTTCCTTGTCATTCATGCTCGTTCACGCTGCAGCAGGAGGGTAGACAGGTCGTAGGTGTTGTCGTTGATCCTTCCGCTTCTCTTACCCAGCGATCATCTAGGTAATGACTGCCGAAGCTGTAACACATAGCGAAAGCCAGCTTGAGCCGGCCTCATGTTCGCTGGCCCGAATTCCCACTGAACTCCTCGCAATCATCATCAGTTATCTCGGGAAAAAGGACTTGTTCTCTGTCGCTCTCGTCTGTCGGAGGCTCAACGATATAGTGACCACTGTCTGGTTCGGGACTCCCAAACAATACCAAAAAGCATACGGCGCCTTCAGTCCCTCCCGTGCCGGTCACGCCCTCCCATATTCGTCATTCAAAGACCTCCGACTATGTCTTGTCACGAAACCCATGATCCCCAACATAAAATTATCCTTAAGCAAAGACTTCGCCCCAGACTTTCGCGAGTTCCTGCGCTATTTCGACACTCTTCCTCGGGATAGAGCGCCTCCTGATGTCCAGATCGATCTACACCACACGGTGTGGAGACGTTCAAATGTACGTGATGCCGACGAGTACGACGCAGAGAGGCTCAATGCCTTTTTCACCCGCATTGCCGAATTGAACTGCGTTACAGCCCTCCATACATGCACAGAAAGCGAACCATGGCTGGATGTCAAAGGAGAGGACGGCCAACCTATCTTCTGTCCTCCTACACTCACTACCCTTACTGAGGAGTACCTCAAACCTCTTTCCGAATCCTACTCCGACTGGCTCATCCGCTCAGCCAACGCGTCACCCGTCAACAAGCTCGTCATCGCCTACCCAGACGGATCCATCCTCCTTCGATTACATCTCCCTAAACTCCGCGATGCCTTGATCAACGGCGGGAAGATATCAACGCATCATTTGTCGCTATTCCTAGACCAGGAGGCACATTCCCGTCTCGAGGAGTTGATCTTCGCTCCGAATACCGTCTTGTATCACGAAATGCCGGATGTAGGTCACCCAGAGTGCCATGCAGCTATGCAGCTTCGCCCTGGAGCGCTCTCCCACCTCACGTCCGTTGCTGCAGACACCGACGTCCTCGCGCTCCTCCTTTCGGCACCTCACGCGTTCACAGGCCTGCAGCGCGTGGATGTCCGGCTTCCGTACTATCGGGGTCCTAGCATAGGGCAGGAGGTACGTCGGATATTCTCATGGGTATCAGAGATTCCTAGCGTGCTGCGTATGACGCTGCCGTTAGAGGACCTGGCTTACAATGACTGGGAGTACTTGTCATTGGAATCGGATGAGGACCCGATCGTCCTGCCGCATGTGAAGAAATTGGTATGTGGTGGGTATCCCCGGTATGATTGGTCGATTCGTCTTGACCAGATTGCGGTGTTTTTCCCTGGGGTGGAGGAGTTTGTTATGGATAGAGCAAGCTGGAAGGAGCCGCGTCGGTTGGATTGCGTGGAACAGATGAGGGAACAGTGGCCCTCACTGAAACGTGTGGTTATTGATGGTGTACGATATACGAATGGGAAGTAAAGTTGAGATGTGAAGCTGTTTTTATTTCGGCTCGTCTAACGCGTGTATGCTATGCTTGCTTATATTGTTGCTGATTTTCTTATAGTTGACGAAATGTACATTAGATACGTTTTAAATTAATCTTATCCCTGCTCTTCGGATTAAAACGACAGTTCTCTTTCGCGTACAGGCTATCATTTATATCATCAGCAATGCACGACCAAAAGCCAAGTAACGACGATCATAGTTACAGAGCTGCGTAGTGGAGCACCGGACCGGCAGTTCACCCGAATCACCCGAGTCGAAGAAGTTTACGTTTTCCTCATTGACCAGCGCCTATCGATATCAGTCAGATATGCTTCGAGTCTTGTGATGAGAGAATTGTGTTTTCCCCACAGTATCCATCGATAATCCTCCGAGTCAACGATACTATCATACAATGTCCAAAGTGAATTTACAACTTCGCGATGCCGTTCTCCAAGCCGCTTGTCGACGGTCTGAGGGGCAGAACCAACTCTCCTCCCTCGTTACCAGAGACGATCCAGGTTTCACTGACTTCGACAAGGGGTACAAGATGCGCACTGAAGTCCGTCGGATGATAGATGTTGGGATCCTTGGAATGGTTAATGACCACGAGGCTTCGAAGGAAGGTGTTGCCAGTCTGAAGGTGATCACGATCGGGATATCTGCAATCGACTGTGCTGATAACTTTTCGCTTTTTGAAGACTCTTCTTAAGCTGGCTAACAATATCATCGTCCATCCAGAAGAAGAGAAGTTCAGGCGGTTCAAGATTAATAACCCTAGGATTAAGAAGGAGATTATGGATCCAAAGGGTGTGCTTGAGTTTGCCATCAAGGTCTGCGCTTTGTTTTGTGGTTGCGAGCACTAATATTAACTTATTTATAGATGGGATTTCGACAGGAAGTGCGTTTTGGCTTTGCGGTCGCCCTTACCTGATCTGATACGACACAGAAAGTCATCGAACTGGAAACATACCGGATATTCATGCCCAAATATCATGATGACCTTGTTCTATGCGCAAGCCTTCTTGAAAAAGCGATAGATAGAGAACATCTAAGGGTAGACGAGCGGCTGAAATTAGCCAGAGAAAATGAAGAGAAAGAGGAACATTGGACGATTGTATGTATGCTTTCTTCCTGAGGATTCTTGAAGGAAATTCACCTCATTTTTACAGGCAATGAAGCGGTTTGGGGATGATAGGAAGAGGAAGGAAGAGGCTGACAAGCGTGAGAGGGATGCGAGACAACGTTCTAACGTTGCGACAGCCGAGTCAGGTAGCAACGAGGAGCAGGAGACCGAGTCGACCGTTAACTGCTTACCCATCGAGAATATAACGTTGAGCGGCAACCAAGATGACGAGAAGGTTGGTGTGCATACTGGCGAACTCATTGCCAAGAGTGTTGCGCCCACTTTAAATCCTAACACAGCGCCAGTCTATTCTGATTAGCTGTCGCTATATGATCTCATATGTTCTACTGATGTCGATAAGTACTAAAATCTCGATTCCCGGGAAAAAAAAAAACTCACTTCTTTGTCTTTTGTTTTGCTTTGGTATCAATCAAGTCAAAAAGAAATGTGAGTAACCGGCGGGACCAAAGTTGCCGCCGGCAATCATGGCCCGTGCACCGAAGTTGGAACTTGAACTTTCATCTGATTTTCATCACATTATGTCCAACTCTCCGACGAAGCTCGTCGCAGTTCAGCCTACCCCAAGAACTCCAAGTATATCCGACCTGAGTGGATAACCATCACATTTCTTTCTCTCCGGAAAAGGAAGACTAGTCGCATGAATTCCAGATAAATGAAAGGCGCTACAGAGACAGAAGTTAGAACGGGGAAGAGGTCGAACAGGCAGTTCGTGCGGTGCCTACAGCCTATATAAAAGCTTTCGGGTTCGAAAGCAGACGGTACATGAAAGGTACGCTCGCCTAGTAGATTCGCGACGAGAAGCTTAATCCACGACCTCTAGGGAATATTCCCTTCGACTGTGCGCAAAGCACAGCGAAGACGCCAATTGTGAAGAGATATGACCCAATGTACGAGCTTGGAGGACCCATTCTGGATGAAAGCGTAGTATTCGACGCGAACATGGTGGAGCAATGACGGGACAACGTCGAGATCTCGCTTGTCCTCGTGAGCCATATGTCCAGCATTATCTTCTCGTACTAAACGTCATCGCAGGCGGGTTCTCTTATCTGCCGTGCTCAGAGTTATCGGGGTTCCCAAGTCGACTGCGTTCAAATATTTGTCTGCATCTTTACTATCCGAACTCGTTGCTATCCAGCAGGCGCTTGCCCCCGTCGAATCGGTCCCACCTTCTTCACTCCATTCCGGCATCAATTACACTCCTACGGCGACATATGTCTGGGTGAACGGGTCGTAGTTCACGAGCCTTGCGCCCAGTCTGACGACGGCGTTGGTTGCCATGCACGTGGAACAATGACTTCATCATCATACGGTACTTCCTTCTGGAACTCCATCAGAGAGTAACCATGTTCGACGATACCGATATGCGAGTTTCCAGAGGCGGCATGTTCCTATGATCGCTGGGCTACTTCCAGTGCTCATGCACGTCTCCCTCGCCCTGTTTTTTCGTGGGTCACTGGCTTTGTCCAATACGGGACCCCCTCTTGTATAATCGATACATTCGCTTACACCGTGTACCTCGTCACTATCATTCTTCCGGCCCTTTCCTTTCAATCTCTACATCGCTTGCTCTATTCTTAGTCTTGAATAATTCGTCAATTTGTGGGTAAAGATACCCTCGCCTTTTGGAGGTGACGTCCTGCAAGGATCGATTGCGCAAGCTGGAAACCGATGTGGTCCAGAGGCCAAAGTGGGAGATGAAGTTGACGACTGGGGAGGTTAATATGGTGAAGAAGAAACTGCTGCGCTGTTGTTGGAGGCAGAGGAAAGGTGAACCTAGCTCGGGTTTTTGTATTGTTGTACTTTTTTTCTGATTATTGTGATTTAGAGATGACATGGACGGGACAGGAGCAACGCGGACGTGGATATGCATGTGAAGAGATAAAAAACCTGAACTGCACCGACAGACTGGTTCCATTTTCGCATGCTAAGTACGACGCAACGGTTAACACCGCCCGCTTTCGGGGTTCGGATCCCATGTACTTATTCTTTGATGACATGGACCTATAACCTTTTTTGTTTACTATTTCATTAGCAACTTCAATCTTTCTCATCCTTTTCATGTGTCTCTTACGGTGCGGCGGCTGAGATCGCAGGCTTTAGGGTTCGATCCCACCTGTCGGAATACACCAAACAGTTTGTACATTTTTGTTCTCTTGGCTAGCGTGCATTCCTTTATCTAAGAGCCTCGGTAGCTCGGCCGTTTTAGGGTCTTGATGTGCCATCCTTCATCAGTATGGGTCATCTTTTTTTCTTTTTAGTACATTCGTTTGCCAAACACTAAGTAATGACCTCAAATATATATGCCCCATCATTATGCTATTTAACTTGGTCTTTCCGATTGTGACTAGCATCCTCCAGGCTCTTCGTATCGCTACCTTCTTTTCGACCCATTTATTTTGTCGTTGACTGGGCACTGTGATTTTTCGCATTAGCTGGGTGGTATCTTCTTCTCAAGTCACAGGCTGTCGATCCGTCATATCGTAACTCAGATACAGTGTTGCAGTTGACACCACCAGCTTAGTCTCATTGGGAGGAAGGAGGTAGATCTCAGAAACTTGAATGTCTTTGATAAGAGTAAATTCGTGACGAAGTCTGACAAGAGAGCTTTGAACAGGAACTGTGCGCCCTGCGCGCGGCGGGCGAATAGTCAAGATTTTGCAAAAAAAAAAAAAAAAAAAAAAAAAGATAAAAGAACGGAGATCTCTGACAGTAACTTCGGATACGGGGAATCGAACCTCGAGCTGCCGCGCAACATATGTGAGAGGCGGCAATGTTAGCCGTTACACCATATCCGAACACTAAAATTTGTATAATGTCTTATTTCAGTAGACAAGAACTAAACCCCCTGCTGCTAGCCATGATCAATCCTGATTTTCTCCTTCTCGTTCGGTACGACATATTAAACACTTACTGCAATTTTTGCACCCGTACTTTTTGATATTTCATCTTGCCGTGAATGACCTGTATCGCAATGAAACGCGGGACCCGGCAACTGCCGGAGTACCCGCTTTGGGTTCCCTCCGCATCACTATGACTTCATTTCTACCATGAAGACTCCACATTTTCAACATGCGCTCCTTATCCTGATACCTAACGAATACCGTATGTCTTGTTTGTTATCTTTCTCTGTACGGTTGGTTCAATAAGAGTTGCAGCTTAGAACCAGGAGCGCCATAGACAAACCTGCTCGTTGCGACGTGCGACGTGCGTACGTCTTTTCATTTCTTTGACTGGCTTTCTGACGCTGGTCCTATTTATACAGATTCATTCCTTTCCACGAACTCAAGAGGACTGCCTCTCAGCGCTTCCATTCAAGACTCAGACTGTAAACGACAGAACTTGAAGCTCGCCCGATTTGTTGCTCGCTCCCGCTCTGCCACCCACGCGACCAAAACGAGCACGAGTGCATACGTGCTACTACTACAGAGACTTTACACTTTGCGACTGAGAAACGCTTACTGGTGCGTGGTATTCACATCTCTGTCGTTCTCTGGTGCTAATTACGGCTGCGGGTATCAGACTATCTCATCACCCATCACTGACCACAGCCCGCCATACAATAGGCACAGCGCCCCAACGACGGCTGACAACAAGCACCACGATGGTCTCCTCCCCGGCATCTTCGACCACGCTTGCCAACCTCGGGCTTCTTCACCACAAGCTAGAGCTAGAGTGTGGCTTTGTCATCCAGCCAAAGGGCCACCTTGAACCCCATATCAGCAATCTTCCGCGACGGAGGGTGGTCAGGAGGAGGGTTGTAGAGAGCGAGAGCGAGGACGAGGACGGGGATAAGGCCAGCGCCAAGACAGAGTCCTCGCATTCGCTCAAAGACGCGGACGAACCTCATCCCGTGCGCATACAAGCCCTCGGCGAGAACACAGACGTATGCGTCTCCGTCGCAGAGGTGGAAGGATGGGACGGGGACGTCGTTCGCGTCGACGAGGAAGAAGAGAATGACTGTGGTGTACCGACTTCGCCGCGGTCGACGTTCCTCGAGCTGGTGTCGAAGGGGTCGGCGTTGCGAAAGGTGCTGGTTGTCGGGACCCGGGTAAATGTGTTTGCTGTTGGACTGGGGATACTCTGCCGGCGTAGTGGGAAGGATATGATAGAGACGTATATGGAGCTGCATGACACGGGTGGGTTGGAGGATGCATGGAGGGGTTTGTTGAGTCGGGATGGCGTCGAGTGGGTCGCAGGAGAGGACAATTAGATTTTGATATAAATTTTATATATGGGTAGATTGGGTATTAGAGGACTCGATGCTTATTGTATTCCTAGACAATTTGTAGATATAAATTCCGTATTACTCCTTACGAACATACTGAGTGTGAGCTCGGTCAACGAATCCATCAATTGACCCTACTACACTGACAAGGACGAAAAGGAACGACGGCACTTCTTTTCGGCTTGGGGGAGACTGCATGGGAACGGTTTCTGATAAGATGCATCTTTCAGGCAAGTTTCACGGCGCGCGATGGGCGGGTCAGCTTCAAGCCATGCAATATCATAAATACAGAAACAGTAAGCGGAGGTAGGATACGACCTTGGAATTGTATTCTAACTTCTAATTATTTACATAAAGTAGCCGAAAAAAAAAAGCAGCCTTAGGGACGCACCTTATTCCGGACACGGGAATCAAACCCTGCGAGCAGCGATTAACTGTTACACCAAATCCGAGCTACCTCATCGTCGTTCCACGTCTATCGAATGCCTTGATAATGACCCACGTGGACAGCACGATCCGGAACCGAGATACTTCGCGTCCTATCCTTCCTATCATTTTTCGCGTTTATCAGCCATGACCATGGCACAGACTCGGAATCTCACTTGAATTATCGTTCGACCTTCCCAAGCACCAATATGAGAACTGCCTAGAGCGATGTACTACTCTTCAGACTTCCATGAATGCAGACTTCAAGAGCGTGATGTATGACTTTGCACGATATCGGTTCGAAGAAGAGCTGAGGGCAACAACCTGACTACGTTTTAGGAGGGGAGGACTGCTCCGGTGGAGCTAGGGATTGCTACGGTTCGAACTAGTGAGTCGCTCGATTTCCATATTGGCCTTGGCTCAAGAACTTGAAGTAGGAAGAGCGAGCCGTGGCCATCTATTGCGCTTTCCGAACCTATTCACACTAACTTACCTTGCCCTTATTCGCGCTGATCACAATCACGAGAGCGCGCTAACGTATGAAAGGGATGACCTGTTGATCGTTTCAGCGAAGTGATTCATAGGTGTTCCGTACGGTGGATGGAAGTCAGTAGCTGTATGCTACTTGCCAACTCTGACCGCTTACTATTTAATAGTAGTGTTCAGAGTCGCGATTTTCAGGTCGATTTGGTCCACAATTTTTGGATGCAGTAAAATTGACTGTCGCGCGGAACACCCCCGAGAGGCGAATCCCTGCTTTTTGATGTCGATTCTTTGAGGCGATTTTTACACAACTCCCCGCGAAACTGACAGGATAACGTAAAATCGACCCGAAAAGCATGACTCTGACCGCTACTACTTAATATTGGTGGTTAGCGAAATTAGCATCAGTTGACGAAGTGAGTGCTCTCGTTTGTGAAAGGCCAGTCAACTCTGATCTTGATACTCATAGACTTGCGCACAGCTCTACTCAGTGAGCCTGCTGGAGCCACGGCGTTATGAAGGCTGGAATCTGTCCGTCGTACTTTGCTCTAAGCCTAGCGTTTGGACTTGGGCGTGGGGTCGGTTCTTTCGGCTGCGACTAGGACGGCGTATGCATATCACTTTTTCTTTGACAAATTTTCCGATCAGTCATCAGGGATCTACACTTAAAACTCTATAGCCTGAGTCATAATAACAGCAAGACTCGTTGCCGCAGTGTCTTCATGTGCCATTCTTCGGGCTTCATTGCACTCAGAATCAGAGACTCTCATCAGACTTCGATACAGAAAAAAATCTCGCCTCCAACTCTACAGTGGGGCTATGACTTGTCATCTGTCTATCTACAGGTACCTCTCCCACCATCCATGCCTTTCCGACGTGATATCCACACGACGCCCGGTCGAGTCGTGCTTGATTCGTGGCCTGGGATCAGATTGTATTAGGTCGGCATTGTCAATATATTCTTTCTGATGGCATTCTCGGGACACTGTCGTCTTCAAGGCACTACAATCATCCTTATAAACTGCACACACCGACAGTTGCTCATCCATTCCCTCAATCCTGTTCTCATTTCTTTTAATCCTTCTGCCTCTATGCTCAGCTGCAATATACGAAACACTCGCAGACCTTCCGTCTCTGGACTTTGACTACATTATCGTAGGAGGTAGAGATGGTCTTTCAAAACCTTTCCTACGCTCTATCACTGATGCCCGTCATAAGGCGGCACTGCAGGGAATGTCCTCGCGAATCGTTTGACCGAACAGCCTAATACCTCCGTGCTCGTTCTAGAAGCGGGAAGATCGTATGTTGATCCTTTCCTTTTTTTCAGAATATTTCTTCCAACACAACGTAGGACGGCGGACGTACTAGCTTCGCAGATACCCTTCTTCTGTTTTTCGCCACCAACTCTGCTGAACTGGAACTTCACCACCACTCTCCAGCCTGGTCTCAACAACCGGAGCTTTCCCTATTACAGGGGGTTTGGGCTGGGTGGGTGTAGCGCTATTAGTAAGTTTGGTTTGACCTTCCATTGGCGCGTGCTGACTCCTAGTGTCTTTTCGTTCGTAGATATCATGACATACACACGCGGCTCGTCGGAGGACTACGATCGCTATGCGAGAGTCAGCGGGGATGAGGGGTGGGGCTGGGATAGGATGCAGCCATATTTTCGAAAGGTACATCCCACAGGGCTCAGGATATTACTTGTCTGATTTTGGACACAGAACGAGCGCTTTGTCCCCTCTGCAGATCATCACGATCTGAATGGTTAATATGATCCCGCGGTGCACGGCTTTGACGGAGTTAACTCTGTTTCGGTGGCTGAGTATCCGAGTGCGATCGATGGGCGGGTTATTCAAGCAACTAAAGAGGTCCCGGATGAGTTTCCGTTCAATTTGGATTATAATTCAGGGTATCATTTGGGTATCGGTGAGTGAAGAGTGGAGTTACGATATGGGGTAAGCTGATTATTGGCGGCATTAAAAGGCTGGCATCAAAAGACTATCGGGAATGGGACAAGAAGTACCTCGGAGACCTCGTATCTCGCTCCCGAGTACATCAACAGGGAGAACCTGCATGTGCTTGTGAATTCGCATGTCACACGGATTCTCGCTGCAAACGGCTCCAGTGTAGACAACAGGCCGTACTTCGATGCTGTTGAATTCACGCAGGATGCCGGAAGTAGGCTTGTCCTGTTGTTCAGCACTAGCTTTGTCTGATAAAACATCTCAGAAACAATGTGTATCCTTTCAGCTCACAAGGAAATCATTCTATCGGCTGGAGTTATCGGGACTCCCCACATCCTGCTCAACTCGGGCGTGGGAGATGCAGAGGTGCTCTCTGCGTTAGGCGTCACCTCGACGGTGCACCTTCCCGACGTTGGGAACAACTTCAGGGAACAACTAAACTGGGCCCTCAATTGGGCTGTGAACGACACAAACACGATAGAGAATGTATACTGGAGGAACGCGACGTTCCAAGAAGAAGCTATGACAGAATGGCAGGCGAGTCGAACGGGGTACCTGGCCAACTCCCCGTCGAACCAGTTGGGATCCTTCCGGGTAAACGAAGGTTTACTGGAGGAGGAGCCTTGTGCGGGTAATCGGACGGGCCATTATGAATTGATATTCACGGTGGGTGTCGTTTTTATCCATTGGTCATCACTAGTAATCGAAATCATCAGGGCGGGATACCCATCGGCGCTGTCCCACAAACTGGGAGCTTTCTCGGGATCTCAATCACTGTCCTATGCCCACTATCCTGTACGCATTCAACTCATACCTATCTTAATCTTTTTTTGGTTGACTCTCGGAAAGACGGGAACGTCAGCATCAACAGCACCAACCCTCTCTCCCCACCAGTCATCAATCCCAACACGCTCTCGCATGAGCAAGACTTGGTGTTGATGGAACAAGCTGTGGCGGGTGCGCAGAGGTTCGTCTCTGCGCCCGTGTGGAAGGATTATGTCCTCGGGCTCGTGACGGATATCACGGATCTGGAGGGGAGCATCCGGAGTAGGGCCATGCCAGGGGGACATGCGGTGGGTACGGCGAGTATGTCCCCGCCCGATGCGCGTTGGGGCGTCGTCGACCCGGATTCGAGGCTCAGGCGGGCGAGAGGGGTGAGGATTGTGGACGCGTCGGTTTTGGTGGGTTTTTCGTTTTCGTTTTCGGCTATTCTGGAGTGTTGAAGTTTCGGGTGGTTTTTTTTAGCCTTATATTCCGGCTGGGCATACTCAGGCGGCGGTGTATGCCGTTGCGGAAAGGGCGGCGGACTTGATCAAGGGAAGGGAATCTTCTTAGGTTGAGTTTGCTCTAGAAACCGACAAGCCTATTTTGTTGATACCTTCGTGGTAATACATAAGCCAGTCAAGTCAACAGCTCTCTTTTAAATTGAACCAACAAAACAGAATCGATAAACATTCATTTCCTTCCCGAGTCTTCCGGTCTTCAAATAGGAAACAGAGCGTAAACTAGATAATACAGCCTTGAAACGGACACTGACATATCGTAATCAAGGTTGCGTGTCTCGTTAAACTGCGAAGACTAATCAGCCGGATTCGTGCCAAGTCAAGTCACTAGCTTGCTTCTGTCATTGCTCCTACATACACCGGTCATGGTCACTTGCGGCCATAGCTTGACTCATCTGCGGTTGTTTCACCTCTACTCAACCCCATTGAGCCACGGATCGGAAAGCAACTCGGCGGCGCTGGCTCGCTGTGCAGGATCTAGACGTAAACATCTGCGCATGAAAGCAGCGGTGGAAAGAACATCCGCTTCTTCTATAACTTTGCGCCTCCTGATGGATATCTCGAAAGGATAATCAACGAGTGGATGGTTGGCTCTGAGATTACCTGGATATACTGAATGAACACGAGGGACGACGTTGGGAATGCACACGTACAAGTTGAATCGAAATATTTGTCAGCCAATGGACTGACGGTGAGCTGTTGCGCTCCAAAGTCTTCGCCTGTGAAGCATATCATCTGATAGAGGATGTAGGTAAACCCGTCAAAGTCGAATTTAGGGAGCAAATCATATTTGAAGAGGGCATGGCCGGTGATGAGTTCAAAGACCTTGGATATGTGTTCGTCAAAGGAAGTAGATGATGAATGGGAGAGAAGAGCACGCACCAAGCATCCGAACGACCATATATCCACCTTTTCGTTCCACGGGCCTCCGATGATTATTTCCGGAGCACGAAGCGCTATAGGAGAAATTTCTTCTTGGTCATGGACATCGACGGGCTGCGCTGTAATAATAGGTGAGCAGTGAAGTAGCATACACGACACGTTTGAAACTACCACTGCCAAAGTCGGCCACTAAGAAAGTTCGCTGCATGGCCTCCTGCAGAGTGGGGATCGGAAGCGGCTGAGACACCGCGACCGTTACTAACCCTTCGTAAGAGAGTTCGGGATCATGTCGACGGGGCGGGTCGGACGTAAGTAGTTCGTCGAAGTCGCTGGTGGACATCGGAATATCGAAAAAAACGTTGTCGTGCTTCAGATCAGTGTGGACGACACCGCGACTGTGTGCGTGGGCGATTCCATGAAGCAAATGTAGGATGATGCGTTTAGCGAGAGGAAAAGGAAAGTGTCCGTGCTTTATGAACAGCGATTTTACGTCTCCACCGAGAACCTTGGTGACTAGGCAGAGGTGCTGTCCTGCGCTGCCTTTGCCAGGGAAGGTGAAGTGCGACATAAGCTGAAGGCAATGTGGACTCGGCGGGGGCGATGATACCTTCTCGAGAGCTTCGAGTTCCCAAACGCGACCCCGTTCGACGAGGTCTGTATAATAACCACTAAGGATCTTAAGGGCAACATAGGAGTTATCCCTATAGAGATATGTTAGCGTCATCAAGAATGAAAGAGCAGCACATACACTGTATCACGAGCGAGCCATGTGCTCGAAGACATGCCCCAGCCAAGCTTTCTGGATATAACATAACGGTTTTCTGGGCCGATGGCTTCATCAAACTCGAGCTGAGGCCAGCCAAAACCTTCCTGAGCAGGTATACCAAGTGGCTCTTCAACGAAAGTCAAGTCAACACCGACTTTGCCATCGGTATCAACAGGGGTATATTCGTTAGGTGCTGGAGTATTGATGGTAGAAGACATCCTGACAATTACAAGCAACGAGCGCAAACGACACAGTGACGAGGTCAAGGGCAGAAACAAGGGCATTGCCGTGGGAAAGGATTAATGTCTTAGGACGCTCAGCAAAGCCCCTGTTTTCGGTGACTTGTGATTTTAGTCATATATACCGGCTGGACATACTCGATTGGAAGATTTGACCATAGGAGAGAAATCTGTTTAGTTAGTTGAGTGAACACTGGTCATCCATGAGCAGTTCTACTCATTGGATCATTCCTAGATGCAGGGTGAATTGTATCTGGGTTAGGAACCTGGATTTGCGATATCTTTGTGCTAATAGAGTTGGGTGATGCGTGTTCGGATGTGGGAGTTTGTGGGTGCCAGTTTCGGACGCCACGTGTGCTACCTTCGCGAATTGAAAAGTTGAGAACAAGAACAAGAACAAGAGGATGACCGGTCTATATCCTCAAATATCAGTCTGATTTCGTCAATACCAACGTGAATGAAAAAAGGTCAGTCAAGCGAAGCAATTTCCCTTGGAAGCAGGATTGCATTTGATCAAAAGAAACAGCGAGATCTATTCTCTCCCGATGCCCGTTCCTTATTGGGACCTGGCGCCGGTAACACCACCACCACCATTTCCCCCCTCTGGGCGATAAATAAGCAAGATAATCCATACCTGATGCAAACACAGATGTATAGAGTAAAGGTCGTGGTTGGCCTTTTATTGACAATCTGTAAAAACGGCCGAGATCGGCTATATCCGGCCATCCTAGCTTCTCCCATCATCGACATCATCGATCAAAATTTCGTCGCAAGTATCGTCGCATTGAGCTTGAGGGCTTGCCTGTTCAAAGGTTCAGTGGTTTCTAGTGAGATGGCTTACTTTTCACAAATAACCTGTGTGCAATGCACGGAATTGCTCTGCAAGGATGTGTGATAGGCACTCATGAAACGCGAGTCATATATCAGGAAAGTTGAATGCGGTCCTTATTCATTCTTATGGAGCTATTCATCGATGACTCAGGAAACAAATATCATCCTCGAGATACGATCTATAATGAGGACGACCATTGCTGACCATATACCGCCCACCCTCCGTGCTTGCTAATACGCCTTTGGAGAGATGTTGGTGTCACCAGTACGACGCCACAAACCCGTCGCAGCAAAAAGATTCTTCTACCGCGATTGCAGCATACCTAAGTCAATTTTGACCCAAAACAGACATTGTTAGAGCTAGAGGTGGAGCGAAGCCTTGCCAGATTGGGCTCCCGCTTAGCACCACACCTATCACAGGATACAAGCCCATCTTGCTGCTGAATATCCAGCCCAAGGAGACTTTTAACAACTTCTCTCTCGTAGAGAACCGCCGTATAAATTTCCACCGCTCGCCTCGCCGCTAATCATTTCATTTTTTCCCATCAATATCACAATCGCACTGTCTATATACTGCTATGCCTCCAAGTTACCGGTCTGTCATTGCCTCATCTCATCGATGCGCTATCCACACAAAAATCCCGGTTTGTCTGCAGGATAGTGGCTTGGCAACAACGTACGTCACAGAGGCTCTGCCTATTCAATGTCTATTCTCGATGCGCCAGCCTTACGACAACCTGTAAGGCAGAATTCATTTTCATATAAATCACTCTTACATCTGGCCGCTCCTAATACAAACTGGCGCCACTTGTGCACTACTTTCCTCCCTCTGTTCGGCGATACACAAATCGACCTTTTTCTCCTTTGTGCTGTAGACCAATCGCGGGAATGTGGATGCCACTGCGGTGGCGGAGAATCCGCACAATATCCACTGGAGACATTAATATTCGTCCCGTCTCCTCCATTCTATCTTTTAGAGACACAGTCGCCTCCGGAGTCCGCAAGGCAGATTATTTATTGACTCTCAGAAAGCTTGGAGTCATGCGGCTACTTCTCCATCCCCTTCATCATGATCTCACTCCTTCTGTTGATCCTGCCTCTATGCTTAGCTGCAATATATGAAAGAGCAGCAGACCTTCCTACTCAGGACTTCGACTATATCATCGTAGGAGGTACATATATCCTCGGTCTTGCTTCGCTATCTTCGCTGACGTCTTCTATAAGGAGGAACGGCAGGAAATGTCCTTGCCAACCGTTTGACTGAACAGCCTGATCTATCAATCCTCGTTCTTGAAGCTGGAAGATCGTATGTGATTCATTTCCCTTCATGCTATCTCTTCCAACTGTGATCTAGGACCGCAGATGTCCTGACCTCGCTAGTACCCTTCTTCTGTACTGCTCCGGAATGGCCATTGGACTGGAACTTTACTACAATCCCGCAGCTCGGCTTGAACGGCCGGGTCTTTCCCTACCTAAGGGGGTTCGGATTGGGTGGATGTAGTGCTACTAGTGAGTCCTTTCTCGCTGGCATGTGTTCATAGCAAATGACTTTTGATAGATATCATGACATACACGCGCGGATCGTCGGAGGACTATGGTCGCTATGCGAGACTCAGTGGGGACGAGGGATGGAGATGGGATCAGATGCAGCCGTATTTTCAAAAGGTTGAGTACAAAATTAAGTGTTTGCAACAGAATGTCTGACTTTTTTTGTGCAGAATGAGCGGTTTGTTGCTCCTGCCGATCACCACAATATCACTGGTCAGTATAATCCCGCAGTGCACAATTTTGAGGGAATCAACTCTGTGTCGCTCGCTGAATACCCGAGTGACGTCGACGGACGAGTCATTCAAGCGACCAAGGAGCTCTCTGACGAGTTTCCGTTCAATCTCGATTACAATTCTGGGTATCATTTGGGTGTTGGTGAGTGTTGAGTCTGAAGAGGTCGTCCTAGACTGACCATGATGATTGTCGGAAGGATGGCACCAAAAAACCATCGGAAACGGGACGAGAAGTAGCTCGGAAACGTCATACCTTGGCTCTGAGTACATCAACCGGGTGAATTTATACGTCCTCGTAAATTCGCATGTCACTCGCATTCTGGTAGCAACCGATTCAACTGTGGACGACGAATCGGAGCCGTATTTTAATAGCGTCGAGTTCACGCAGGATGCTGGAAGTAAGCTTGTTCCGCCATTTTTGGCTCTGGCCCACGCTGATCATAGGTTACAGAAACGACGTATACCCTTTCCGCCCGCGAAGAAATCATTCTGTCTGCCGGAGTTATAGGGACTCCTCATATCCTCCTCAATTCGGGTGTTGGTTCCGCTGATGAGCTGTCTGCGTTGGGCATCACTCCGATGCTGCATCTTCCCGATGTTGGGAAGAACATGACAGATCAAGTGAGCATGAGGCTTTCCTGGGCTGTGAACGATACGCAGATGGTAGAGAGTGTATATTGGAGAAACGAGACCTTCCAGGAGGAGGTTTTGGCGAAATGGCAGTCAGATCGAAGCGGGTTCCTGGCTAACCCTCCCTCGAACCAATTAGGATTCTTCCGCCTAAAAGATGTTCTGATGGAGGAAGAATCCTGTGCTGGAAATCAGACAGGTCATTACGAATTGGTATTCAGTGTAGGTTCGACTCAAGCAATTGCAATAATATTTACTAACAGATATCATCAGGGCGGGATGGACACCTTACCCGTTCCAGCAGGCGGCAGCTATTTCACGGCACTGGTTAACATCTTGTGTCCGCTTTCTCGTACGCAACCAAAACGTTCTCTTCTGAGGTTTCGTTGACCTAGCATAGGTGGGAATGTCACCGTCAACAGTACCAATCCCCTCTCCCCACCAGTCATAAACCCCAACGTCCTCACGCACGCGCAGGATCTAATGCAGATGAAACATGCTATTGGAGGTGCACAGAGGTTTGCCGCCGCGCCTGTCTGGGCAGACTATATCCTCGAGCTCTCTGTGGATATCGGCGATCTAGAGGGAAGTATTCGAACTCAAGCAAGGCCTGCCGGTCATTCGGTCGGTACCGCGAGTATGTCCCCGCTTCATGCACATTGGGGAGTTGTCGATCCCGATTTGAAGCTCAAACGGGCCAAGGGTGTGAGAATTGTAGATGCATCGGTTCTGGTGTGTTGTTTTTTTTCGTTTTATTCGTGATGGTTTGGGATTTTTAATCTGAGAATTCTAGCCCTACGTACCGGCAGCACATACGCAAGCTCCGGTGTATGCGGTTGCGGAGAGGGCGGCGGATTTGATAAAAAGGGGAAAATTCCCTGAGACACATGCTGCGTAGTATGCCAAATATATCATGCGAGTTCATTTTCCGAGGCAATCAAAGGTGACCTGGCTTCCACTGCCTCTGGCTGTACATCAATCGCGTGTCAGTTCACCAGTATGCTCCCGCCGACAATACCGGCAATGCCGGCATCTATCATTGAGTAGACCAGTATTCTGATTGGGCACGAGAAATTTGATGCTCCAAGTTTTTGATACTTAACAGACAGCTCCACATCGTGAAGGCTCATTTATTTCTGGTGCATGACGGCCTTGATGCGGTAATACTCATTGAAAGACTTGAAGATCATAGAATAAGCGCGAAAGAAGAGGCTTCATGTTCATCACATTGATACCAATGGGCGATGGGGACAACTTTTTTGATAAACGTACGTTGTCCAGGCATCAGATCGAATTGAGATTACAATGGCACATTGGTTACAGCTAAACACGGTTCAATGTTCAATAGCCGGCTTTTCGTTGTGGGCGTTAGTAGGTGACAATTTCCAATCGTCCGCCACGTGTCTCGCGAGTTTCCGCACCAATTTCAATCTTGAACTTGATCTTACTCCACTTAGTAGCTGATCCACGAGAGTGACCGATTCTACCAAGACACCTCGGCAGGTCCCTTCCATGGCCTCGTTGTGGAATTTCACGGTCAGCCTCCAGGGCTCCATCTCTCATTTCCGACTGTGGAGATCCGAGACGTGAACCGAGGAACGTAGTGCTTCGACGGCGGACACACCACGCCGTTTGCTAGCACTTGGGTGTATCAGAAGTCGACAAAGTGGTGGCATATCAAGCCTCAAGCCAACTTGGAACTGATGCATGATATACATGGAAATTTTCGTATCCTCGCGCATTAATTGGAGAGCAGACGGGATGTAATAGCGAACCGTGTGTATTCTGGTTGGTTTAATTTTTTATCGACGTATTGTGGTACTAAGTGTTCAACTCCACAGGCCATTTTTTGTCTCTATGTCGGATCCTCTTAGCACTTAGCGAAGATAGGATCATAAGTCCTTGAAACGCTGAGATGCTTAAAGTTTCGGCGATGTTGTTGTCGAACTTCTGATAGATCAATGTTCGGTACATGACAGTGCCCGATTGCAGTGCGTTATACGGCACAATATGCGATGGGAAAGCAGACCGTTCTTCCCAAAGTAGCAAAAAAAGCACATTTCCAGCTCTCGTCGCACTCGCCGGTGTTGTCACTTCGTTACGACAGCTCTATCGCGATCTCATGTCTTCTAGATTATCCCTCGGCATCCTCCAATGAGATATCCACCCGATATCCAGGTTTCATCTACTCCGGTATGGGATACCTGTCGCGACAAGCATCTCTATAATTCTGTTTCTCTTTGCCTGGCACTTGACATCCTGATGTCCGTTCTTACCGCCGTTCTCAGTATCATGTTCGAGGCCAGCTACTCCTTTATAAGCTGCACATAGAGGTAGGTGCTCCCCCACCCCGCATCATGTTTTCTCCCTTTCTTCTTCTCTTACCTGCTGTATGCTCAGCCGCGATATACGAGAAAGTCGCAGACCTTACAACTCTGGACTTTGACTATATCATCGTTGGAGGTACATAAAACCTGCCTTTTCGCTTCTTCATCACTAATACTCTCCTTGAGGCGGCACTGCAGGAAATGTCCTTGCCAATCGTCTGACCGAACAGCCTGATATATCTGTGCTAGTCCTTGAGGCTGGACAGTCGTATGTGTACATATCATCTCTTTTATTCAATCTCACAGTCTACCCAGAACCGCGGATATCTTGGTTACGCAGGTACCATTCTTTTGCACACTAGCTACGCCCGACACGGCTTTGGACTGGAACTTTACCACGACGTCCCAGCCTGGCCTAAACGGACGGGCCCTTCCATTCCCAAGGGGCTTGGGCTTGGGCGGCACTAGTGCAATCAGTGAGTTCGACTAAGTCGTGTTGCAATATCGTCATTAATTTCCAACGTTGTCCAGATTTTATGGCATACACCCGCGGTTCATCGGAGGACTATGATCGATACGCCAACATCAGCGGTGATCCCGGGTGGGGATGGGACGAGATGCAGCAATATATTCGAAAGGTTCGTTCATTATCATCAAGCCCAGAAAGAAAATGACCTTGCTATGGTCTAGAACGAGCGTTTCGTCGCGCCTGCGGACCGTCACAATATCACTGGAGAATTCGATCCAACAGTACACAATTTCGGTGGTGTAAACTCGGTCACGCTCCCAGGATATCCCCGCGCTATCGATAGCCGAGTTATCCAGACCACTAAGGAACTACCGGATGAGTTCCCATTCAATCTAGACTCTAATTCAGGCTATCATTTGGGGATCGGTGAGTACAACCTTGAAGTGGTAGACCGGTTTAACTTATAAATGAAAGGATGGGAGCAAACGACTGTGGGGAGCGGGACGAGGAGTAGCTCCCAGACGTCTTATCTTGGGCCTGGGTATATTGAGCGCGAGAATTTGTATGTGCTTGTGAATTCTTATGTCACCCGGATCCTTCGGAAGAACGGGTTGGATTTGGACAACGGTCTGCTTTTTGATGCTGTCGAATTCACGCAAGATGCAGGAGGTAGGCACCGGTTCCATTGCCTGTCGGCAGCTAAAAAAAAGTTATCATCCCAGAAACGATGCACACCCTTTCTCCATCTAACCTCAAAGAAATAATCCTTTCAGCCGGCACCGTTGGAACTCCTCACATCCTGCTTAATTCAGGCATTGGGGATGTCGGCGAACTCAATGCTTTGGGCGTCACCCCAACGGTCCATCTACCCGATGTTGGGAAAAATTTGACAGATCATCCGAGTTTGAGTCTCGTCTGGACTGTCAATGATACTAACACAATAGAGGACGTATATTGGAGGAACGAGTCGTTCCAGGCGGAAGCTCTAGCTGAATGGCAAGCCAATCGGACCGGGTATATCTCCAACATCGCGTTAAACCATCTTGGATTCCTTCGTCTAGATGGTGTCTTAGAAACTGAACCATGCGCCGGTAGTCAGACAGGGCATTATGAATTGATCTTTGCTGTAAGTTAAGGTTGTCATGAGCGGGTACAAAAGTGACTAAACGCGTGCAATTTTTTATCAGGGTGGGATTTTCGGAGAGGCCGTTCCGGAAACCGGCAGTTATCTTACTATAGCTGTCGTTATGTTGTGCCCGCTTTCTCGTACGTCTTCCTTTCTCGTCAATCATCTTCGCCTTAACGTTCGGTTGGCAGGTGGAAACATCACCATCAGCGGTACCAATCCTCTCGATTCACCGCTCATCAACCCCAACTATCTCTCGCACCCTCAGGATTTAGAGGCACTGCAACACGCTGTAGGGGCTGCACAGAGATTTGTCGCGGCACCGGTATGGAAGGACTATATCATTGAGCTCACTACCAATATCACGGACTTGGAGGAGACCATCAGAGATATAGCCATACCGACTGATCATCCCGTTGGTACTGCGAGTATGTCCCCGGTCGGCGCGGACTGGGGAGTTGTGGACCCAGACTTGAGGCTCAAGCGCACGGCAGGGGTGAGAGTCGTAGATGCGTCTGTCTTGGTGAGCGTTTCGCTGAAGTCCTTAGCTTCGCCGGCTGGTTTGGCTGATTCCTTTAATTATGTAGCCTTTTATTCCTGCTGCACATACGCAAGCAGCAGTCTACGCTTTTGCAGAGAGAGCAGCTGATTTGATCAAAGCAATTGGCCAATAAAGGAGATAGGTAGATACTACATAGTGAAGAACTCGTACGTGAAAGTTTATATTTATGAGTCTACAATCCCGAAATCAAAACATCTATTCTTGAAGAGGGAGAAGCTGCACAAAACGTCTGTTCTTGACCTCAGCTCCAGCATTACCAAAGTACCGCATCGTCATAAAGCTCCAATGAAGTGATCTGAATGAACGACTCTGAGAACGATGCAGCAGATAATCCACAAAAAGGCGTACCCCGCAATCCAATCCTGAAGGCCCTGGATGTACTTCTGTACGATGGGGTCGATGTCAGGACCTCAAGACGGTACATGCTTCGTGTCTTCAATGAAGGCGTCTATGGTCTCCCTACAGCGATCGCCGACATAATCAACGGTTTGCTGGAGAGCGTATCTCCACGGGATTGTTCGACATTGTAGGAGAATATGCCTCGCCCCTAGCCAAGCAGGTCACCGGGAGACTGGTGCGTATCTCACTCCGTCGCTTAGCCGAGTCATCGTCAGCTGATGGGGATCAGGTTCTAGGTAAAACCAGTAAAAATGTGGCTCACAGGTGGAAGAAGCATGCATCAGAGGCGGTGTTATAGCAATAAGCTGTCAGTTCGCCGGCTTGAAGTCCATAGAGAGCCTTTCGCTGCCTGGCGCTCAAGTCAGGGCAGTTGGTGCCCTCAGCTATTTATGAGAGCGGGTGCTCCTATATCCCGAAAGCGTTAGCAAGGACAAAAAGAGTGAGAACGTTAAAGATGAAAGATCCGAATACAATCATGACGGGTTTCAAGACAGGATCAAAGGCTTTGTTAGGTCCTGAATAGGAAACGCGTCGGCTCATACAGTAACTCGGTATTACGAGCATAGGATATAACCAATACGAAGCACAATGATACGATATGCTCGTTTCAGATACAGAAAGGAAAGGGGGCTCCTGGTCTTGAACTTGAGCTTCGACGGTAGATCTTGAATTTTTTAACCATTATTTTTTTGGCTAGGGGGACGAAATGCTGCCTTGAGATCAATGATGAAGGTGACAGTACCCACATAGTACTTACACTCTTACAGACAACATTCCATTGATCCTTTTATTAGGTCTGGTGGATAAAATGGGTTTTGCGTTCCGAAACAGAGACGAGTCCTAATCGTCGTCGAGGCTAAAGTCTGCAGTCGTGGATTGTGCTGCCTCGCATTGAGTGACTACCCGGTGGTATCCAAAATTGTGTTGCTTAGAGTCTAGAGAGTGCACGAGACGAAGTCCATCAGGCAGGGGTGGCGTGGTTGGTTAGTTGTGGTTGATTGTGGGTGGTGTTGGTGTTGGTGTTGGTACCGGTGGTTGTGGGAGACAAAATCGAATGCCACGTGTCGCTATCGATCTGCCTTGTACCTTACCATTACCATCAAGATCTTTTCCTTGCCGCTATAGCCAAAGCCCCTACAAAATGTCACGTTCAAAAGAAGATCTGATTATTCCTCTTGACACTGAAGCGCAAATTGAGGATCTCAAACGCGAAAGGGACAAGTCCAGGACCCAACATCTGGAGACCCTGAAAAAACTGCGGAGAAAAGCCGACGTGGAAAGAGACAACGACACCTTGCGCAAAGAGAACGAAAGGCTGAGAAAAGACTTGGATGATGCGAAAGCGAGAGCCTTGAAGGTGGATGAAGAGGCGACCGACCTATGGGGCCAGAAGGAAACCGTTGAATACGAGAACCGAGGTTTGAAGAGACTTGTCGCGAGGTTGCAGGAGAGGACTAGGGATGTGCACCGTACCGTTACGGATACGGCCGTACCCTTGACGGATGGATACGGATACGGATGGACCGTATCCGTACCGTAGGAGCAGGAAAAGCGAGGTTCACGGTACGTACGGGTATACATACGGACGTAACGGCCGTATTACGGTCGTAGAATACACTCAAAAGACCTGCATGTTCTCTGCAGCATAATACTAATAATCATCATCGTCTCCATGTAGACAAAAGAAGATCCACTATAAAAACAGTCACTTTCGAAGTCTTTCAGGGAATCAAAGAGACGTACACATCTTGTGTTCATGAATTGCGTGGGCAAAGTCATTTTGGTGATCTGTATCGTAAGAGTGGCAGTGAGTGCGGACAGCAATGGAAACCTAAGCAAAGAATGTGTGAGGTATGCACATTTAATACTCCAGAGTTTATTGCATCGTGCCAGGTGATACAGTAATGTTTCATTTATAAAATACTAAAAAACAGATTGACGACGGCAACTTGCACATTGCTGAGACAAATGCAAATTGTCATTGAGAGAGGGGGACTACGCATGTAATTGGCATACCTTGTACCAGGTTGAACTAAGTTGAAACACTCGACAGATTACAGTGGCAAGCAATTTTCAGATGAGAAAGCGAAAAGGGAGTACAAATAGTCTGTATAGACAAGACCAAGATGCCCTTCAAGGCAAATGGGATGAACAACGGATCGAAGTATGGAATGCCAGAGTAGCTACACCATACGCACCGTTATCGACATTAGTGCGAGAGAATGGACCATCAAAAGCGGCTTCGGTTTGATATCAGTTGCAGCTGCCGTATACGGCCGTAACGGCTTGTTCCGTACGGTTGTTACGGGTACTGACCGTACCGTGAACCGTACCGTACCTTGCAGTCTCACACTCGCGACGGTACGGACCCGTATCCGTATGTGCCGTACGTATCCACCGTATTACGGATACGGTGCACATCCCTAGCTCAGAGGACAAAGGACCTTACGGATGCAAATTATAGTAATCAAATCAAAGTTGAAACACCGCACAAGGTTCTAACCTTGACGACGGTGAGCCTTATCTCTCGCTTCAGTGATTTCTACCTTTTTCAATTCATTACAGAAGCCCGCGCCTTCCTCCTCTCTGAGATCCCAGTCGACGGGAAAGGAAGTACCACAAGTCATCAATCTAATAGATGATGACGACGATGACATGGTCCCAGTCAGCACATCCGTATGTTTGTTCTGCCTTCTGCCGCTTCCAAACTCATTCTAGTCAGAACGAGACAAAGTTCCCAACACAAGCTGTTATCAAAACAGAACCGTTGGAAGGAACGGTGAGCGCTCTTTTTTAGTCTATGTCTGCTATTCTTGAGCTTCCATCGGCAGGATGAGGTTAATCTACGGACATCTGGTCGTAAAGTTCCTTACACACTCCATTAGGTACTGTCAACACCTGCACCTGCCTCTACCCGGTCCACCAGAAATATTAAGAAACGGCGAGCAGACGTTGATCTTCCAATCGCACCACCACTGAACGATAGGGATATGCGGCCGCCCAAGAGGACAAGAAACGCGCACTCAATTGTGGTAGGTTACTCTTTACTCGATGTATGATTGTTTAGAAGCCTGGATCAGGGATCCTCTCAAGAACCAATTGCGCAGATTGAGGTAAAGTTGCGTGTCTACATTTTGGCTTTCAATCAGCTAAAAAGATGATCACGTTCAACAGACTTCACATTCTGCGTCGACATCCTCTGGATCCCAATCTCGTTCTGATGCCCCGAACGACGATGAACCTTTGGACGTACGTCATGCACGTGTCTTAGGAAGATCCTTCCTGAATAATTGCTTATGGGATGAATTTGACCCCAATAACATGGAATTCGTCGGTGTTTGAATCGTCATTGACTAAGTGTAACTAATTTTTTTTTCCAGGAATCGATAGAACCTGAACCCGATGCGATGGAACCCCAAAGAGATTATGACGTCTATCCAGGAGCAATGAAGCTGCGGACCCAACTAGATCGCCCAGAAGAAGTGGTCCTCAAGAGTGAGGTTAATCACACAACGCTGATCGCCTCTCCCCTACTAATCCACTTGGTGTAGGACGAGTTCGATCCAAGTGATTCGCTGAGTGTCGATGATGGTTTTGAAGATGCATCCAGATCAGAGAAGCGTCAAGTCGCACGTCTTCACCGGAATCTGATAATGTGTTCTGATGGCATACTAACCAGGGATCGGGGTCAACAAGTCGCTCACACCTATCTGAGATCGCCAGAGGAAAGAAGAAAGCGGTACCCCGACCATTGAATGTACGTTTGACGTGTCTTTTTAAAGGTCCCCCCTGACATCTGCATGAAAAAGGACAACTACCTCGCACAGATCGAATCTATACATCTCAAGAATGCTAAACAGTATACAACTAAACCGCCTCCGCCAACTGGGTTCTACGTCCCACGCGTTTTCGTATCAAGCGTTTACGGAGGCAGCTCCATGCAATTCATGCAAAAGCTCACAGCCTTCGATATTCAATGCATATGGCCTACCAAGGATCTCAATCCCCTCGTCGTGGACTCCCCTGGTGCCCCAGGATTGTTATTCACTTCAAGACCAGAGATTGTTGGAGGCAAGCCTTGGCACGTTTTCTGCAAGTGGCAAGTGGAAAAACAGCTCCGCTGGGAGTATGCGGGGAAGTATACCATGGTCATCTCAGGTAAAATCAAGGCAGAGCAGCTCGCTGCGCAAACAGAGGCGACGAAGAAGCGATGGGGGGAGTACTTGATAACAAGGAAGGAGGCGAGGGTATATGTTGCTATGCGAGCGCGGATTGCGCTGAGGAAGCACGACCAACCGCTGGACGAAAGAAGGGTGTGCATGGAGATTGAGGCTGTGACGGGTAGGGCGGTAGAGAAGCCAGGAGATAAGAGGATGACGAAGGAGGATAAGCAAAAAGAGAGGGGAAAAATCAAAGCTCGAGTACCATTGGCCGTCACAGCTAAGGATGTGATCGAGGCGTTGTGCAATGGTGATGAGGTAATGTATATAACTCTATCGTCAAAGTTTGCCGTAACTGACTCTTAATACAGCATATCAACATCCTGCGAATGGATTGTATTGGGTACGATCATACGTTTGTGAAGGATATGCAGAAAAAACTGCCTCAATGGCAGTCAAAGTCGAAGAGCACACCGAAAAATAAATCGGCATCAGCAGGCAAGGGGAAGTTGCCATTAAGGCCTGACGATGGTAATGAGCAGCATACTTCTTCTGTTGCTCCTCGTCGACGAACTTCGAGGCGGATGAAGAACTCCGTTCGTTCGCGGCAGCTTGCGGATGAAGAGGTTGAGAGCGAGGTGGTAGAATCGGAGGATGAGCGTGATGATTCTAATGCCGATCCTGACTATTGACAACCAATAATGAGGTTTATGAGCTACCTGTTCTTATAGCAACATCATGTATCTCTCATGAAAATCTTTATTTGAATTCAGTCGCTCAGGCGAGAATTTAGATGGCGACTTCGGTATTATTATACAATCGCTATGCAAACAATTCCAACTTGTTAATGGTATCCTGTCCATCGGGAATACTCCAGTACACCAGTGTACCAAGGCCAGCCCCTGCCATAGATACTAGATCATTAAAGTTTTCTTCATCCTTGAATGACCTTGGCAGGCCAATGTCTAGCTGAGGTTCGTGGTCTGAACTGTCATAGTCTAGGCACAAAAGGAACGGCAAGTCAGGATCCTCGGGCTCGCCCTTTTCCTCGATATATTCTTTCTTAGCATCTGCCCACTCCGCGGACAGATTTTTGTAGTGCTTAACAAACGCGGCATTGAACACTTTCAGTGTGTTTTTGTCGCTCCGGGAAATGGGTAGCACTCCGCCGTCTGAGGAATATTGGAAGGTGAGATATGCATCTCTTGGCTGAAGGCACCTCTAGGCTAAAGACAACATACCGTTTCTAATCCTTTTTATATCCTTGCAAAGATTACGGCGCTGTGCCTTCCAGTCATCTCTTTGGCATGTACTTGAACAATACAGCTCCAACTGACACCCAGCACAACGCATTAATACAGTCGTTGCGGCTTTTCCGGATCTTCTGGGGCACTAGCAGAAAGAAAATGAGCATAAAAGAATATCTCAGAGAATACGAATTGAATTACCTGCGCGTTACCACAGAGTCTGTACTCATCACTCGTGAGTATATCCATTCTGTACGATGAAAGACATCCAAAATCTACCCATGCTCTACAAAGGACACTGATATCCACTGCACGATCGCTAACTCGGAATCCTGGAAACCTGCCAGCCCGTTCCGCTTTGTATATGAACATGCTGCTTCTCTTTAAGATCGAAGCATAGACAAAACGTGATGAAATCTTCTCAAGAATTTGCGACATAATCACCTCTAAAGAATTGGCAACTTGAAGCGGTTTGATTGGCGTGAAACGCCGATAACGATAAAGACAATCTGTTGCCTTGAGCAAGGATGGAAGCAGGCCATATCCAAGAGCGTCGAGAATGTATGAATGTCCGAGCTGTACGACCAGCAAATGTACCGAGACACATAAGTGACTCCCTGAATAACCACGTTCAGCTCTGTAACTGTAAGTTGTCGGTGCTTCGTCAATGACCGTAAGATCTGGCACATCCAGCGAAGACAATTCCTCTTAAGAAGTTCCATGTGAATGGACGAAGACTCGTCTGCAAGGTGCCATATTGCACGAGTAATGGTCGTCATTGACCGACACTCGTGTGATACATTTGCTTGCTGGAGAGAAGAAAATGTACCAACAACAGCTCGAATACACAAGTCTGCCATAGCAACGCCATTCTTCTCAAGGAGGCCAACAAACGACCGTGGCATCGATGATCGAGGGGAATACAAACCTGAGAGCGTCTGGGCTAAAATAGACACAACATATTTTGTGTGATCGTATGGGGAGATGGACATGGATAGTCTTCCGGATGAAGGGTTGAGTCAAAGAAATGGTGCATATTCCGTGAATAACTTGGGCTCTAGAGACAGTCTCTGCACAAATTCGCCACGTGTCGTTATCACGAAGAGAACCATCATCGAAACTCGATGAAAGTCTGGTTCGAATTCATGGCCACGAGATGGGATGAGTATACGTTCGCAATACAAGGATATCCAAAAGGAAGCGGCAGGTAGAACTGGATAGACAACATCGTCAAAGGTTTTCGGGTCGTTCACATCTACGCCTATCGCAAGCGCATGAAGCGAATTACAACTGAGATTGAGTGGATCTTTGGGATCGGAGGACGGAACGGCAGGGAGTTGTCCTTCTTTTATGGCCTGAACGGGTTTGAACTTGAGATTTTCGTACAGAACTAGGAGAAGATTTCGGCGTGAAACGGGGTCCTGGCGGGCTTGCTTGGCCAGAAATGACATGGCTTCGAAGGACCCTGCTTTGCAAAGTTTCTGAAAGGGATAGCTTGAATTTCTCGAGCTGTATATATACTTCAAACATACCACGAGGTTATCCATAGCGTTGTGTCTGAAACGTGGTCCACTATTCTTTCCAAATATCACCTAGAAGCAGTTTGAGATTAAGTCGGCTTCGCAAAGGACTAGGAACACACTTTGAATAGCCAAAATACTCACAGCAATGTAGAAGATGAAAGCTGCATGAAAATCAGTGAAGATGATGCCAGCATCAAGAAACTCAGCTGTCATGTTCAAGTCCGCTCAATCCCCGTTTGTTTGAGTTCTTGATTCGGACTTAAGAACTTGAAGAAAGAAACACATCAGCCGCAGATCCTTCACAGGTCGTGCGGCCATTTTTGGCTAACTTGCCGCCCAGTTGATAATGGATGATCCAGATGTCAAGCATTGTTGAGCCTGTTGTGGGGAGGTCCGCCGGAAGACTGAACGGCCGATCCGGCACCGGTCCATGGCATCGTACCGAGTATGGCTCAGAAGCCGCCTTCAAACTTGCCGCTCTCTCCGACAGCCAAAAGATGTTTACTTTCATCTTATGCCACGGGATTCATGTTTCTCTCCCTTTGTCCGCCATGTCTGTCCAGTCCTCGTGCTTTTCCATTGCCGCCAGGAGCTTTACTATCCGAGAAATGCTCGATAATTTGCTTATCATGCGTCCATCCTACTCCCGATACTCAGACCAGGAGTCGCTTTCAAAACGCCTAAGAGTCATATCAGCTCTCACCGAAATCGTACCATCGCTACGCCGCTCATTGATATTGAATGGTGACATCCCCCGCCGTGATGCGGAGACTCTACAAACGTCCCAGGAATTTCTTTGCTCAGCGAAAATCCTTGTGCAGATGGCAATATTGTCGGATGAAGAAAGCACAGGCGTGCTCGAGACAATCACACGAATACTCCGTGATTCGAAATTGTTTGCAGTTCTAGGACCTGGTCGCCATCACATTGTAGAATTCTATTCTCACATGGGAAACTCTTACAGTGCAAGTAATAGGACCGTTTCACCCAAAGCGCGCGCCATACGAAGTTCACCCGCCCTGAAACAGCTGGTGGATTTTATGTTCAGCAAAGAGTACCCTAATTTTAAAGCTGTCTTTGATCTCATCTGTGGCATTCTAGCGTTTGGACTCGAAAAGCACATTCAAGTTCCATCCGCGTACAACATTTTGTATGATTTTTAAAGCCTTGGGAACTACTTGTATCGACTCAGCTTGGTAAAATTCATTCGCCGGCATGTTAGAGGGCTTGCGCGGGCACCTGAAAGCGACATACATACTAGGATTGTAGAGCGGCACGTCGGTTCCCGTCACGACCTGTAACCTCTTCCTTGCAAGTGTTATTTTGATCACCGCTAGTCGAGACAAGTCCCCCGTCTAAGACCCTCTCGTGCTTGCCCGCCCTTGGCCGTGGGATCCTTCATGAACTGTGTGTCTCCAAAAATCCGAGAAGCGATGTTCCGTGATCCGCATGCTGAAGAAGAGAGGATAAATGTCCTATTGGTTGTCGATGTTATTGAAAGATATATTTCTGGAGAAAGAGACACGTCTATCTTGGTAAGCTGTCCTCGGAAGCCCTTGGTCTCGCTGACTATTTTCGCCAATTTATTTGATTACATGGCATTTTATTCCTGCTGCACACACTCAAGTGGCGGTCTATGGTTTTGCAGAGAAAGCAGATGATTTGATCAGGTAAGGGGCCAACGAAAGAGATAAGTAGCTAGCTATATGGTGAAGGAGAAAGACTCGTATACGAAAGTGTTTAATTATGAATCCAAAAGTGAGAATATCAAATATCTATCCTTGAAGAGGGAGAAGCGGTACAAAACACGTCTTCTTGACCTCAGCTCCAGCATTACTAAAGTACCGTGTCGTCATAAAGCTCCAATGAAGTGATCTAGAAGAATGACTCTGAGACCGATACAGCAGATAATCCACAAAAAGACGTACCCCACAATCCAATCCTGAAGGCCCTGGATGTACTTCTGCACGATGGGGTCGATGTCGGGACCCCAAGATGGCACATGCTTCGTACCTTCAACGAAGGCATCTATGGTCTCCCTGTATCGATCGCCGACATAATCCACGGCTTGCTGGAGAGTTTTCCCATGATAAACCATCATAATGGCAATCATGTTATGCGTATTTCCACGGGATTGTTCGACATTGTAGGAGAAAATGTCCTGAATATGGTGTGAGGCAAGGAAATCTAAAGGGGAGTGAAAGGCTCCTTACATTGGACCAGGTGACCAGATCGTTTGTGTGCTGGTTAAGTGCTTGAATAACTTCATTTTCGGCGACCTCATCGGGAAGATCAATGTCAAGGGCATACCTACGGATCAATCAGCGTACGAACCAGAAAAAAATTAGGCAATAAACTCACTCTATTAGCGCCCAGCATGGCTTGCAACCTATTTGAATTTAACTCTTATCAATAAATAACGTCGGAGGGTACGAGAGGCAAAACTCACCAGACGTGTCCCTTCTAACATTGATATAAGATTCAAGGTCCAGAATGACACCGCGATCACGATCGAGGGCTTGGATGTTGATAGCCTCGAAGAACAATTCGAGGGTCTCTTTGAATCTGGCTTGCGCACCAGGTCCAGCATCGGGAATGCAACGGGCCCAGAGGCTACGAAACGAGCGAAAATCGGTTAATGAAATCATAGAAGCATGACATGTGGAAAACACTCACTCTCTAGCGAGTTTACCAGCATTCATCTCTTCCTCCGGCTGGATATAGTCGCTTCTGACTGTAGGCTTGTAATAGCTCGGAAACCAAAGCGCATTCATAACACAATCAGCGAGAACGTCAGTTTCTTTGGTCATCATGCCATCGCTAATGTTGTCCCTAACCTAGCATGTTAACATGTCGAGGAGGAAAAACGGGTGAAAACAATTCTGACTCACAGGTGGAAGAGGTAGTTCATGAAATCCGAGACAACCCTCAGGCGTGCATCAGAGGCGGTGTTATAGCAGTAAGCTGTCAGTTCACCGGCTTGAAGTCCATAGAGAGCCTTTCGTTGCTTGGCGTTCAAGTCAGGGCAGTTGGTGTCGAGCCATTTCACGGACTGAGCAGCGATGGCATCCCCGTTAGGATGGTACACGAGGGGGAAGGTGCAGTGAGAGACGAGATCAGGGAGAATGAAGGAAGTAGGGCGTTCAATTTCGGTGGTAGCTTCGATAACCATGGTAAACGATGGGGGGAGGACACGTTTTGGTTCTACAAGCGCACATCTACTTATGAGAGTGAACGCTCCTATATCCTGCAGGGTCTATCATTTAGCAAGGACGAAAACAAAAAGAGCGAGACCATCCAAGACGAAAGATCCAGATATAACCACAACAGGTTTCAAGACGAGATCGAAGGCTTTGTTGCATCTGGAATAAGAAACGCACCAGCTGATGTAGTAGCTCGATAAGACGAGTATAGGATATAGCTAATATCAAGAATGTTGGGAATATACGCTGGCGGTAGAAATACGATCGGAAATGAACATGGTGATCGTGGTCTCGGTGCTGATGTATTTGGCAGTAGTTGATACAAGCTGCTGTGTCTGACAGCGAATAGCTCGGGTGACTCCTGGGTCTGTGAAGTTAACCCATATCCGTACCTGTCAGGGTTTTTACCCGGATCGGCGCGTGTACAGGTTTTGCGGTTTTGCCAAGGTAGGCTTTGTGTTGGCTAGTATTTCTTACTATTGAGGTTTGGACCGGTAGGTTGCCGGTTAGTTGCTGGTAACTTACCTCTCCTCGCTGTAGGGATTTTCGTTGAGGTACCTTGTAGTTCAAACACGCGCCGTCAGATCGGAATATGGTGCAATCACTGGTGTTGTTAGCGCGTGATCAACAACGTGAGTAAAAACTTACTGTATAAGGCAAGCGACACACGAGATCTTTAATCTGAGGCGTAATCTTGCACCCCTGCCCTCACGATTCCATCAAAGCCCTTAGCCACGGGGACTCGCTCAGTGATGTGAGCTTGCGAACATCGTTTCTCGTGGAACTCGACAAAACTCGCTAAGCGTGCCACCAGCTCTCATTGTCCCGTCCCTTCGGTCTTGATTTGTTCTGTTCCGGTCGGACTGTAATCAGTATGCCCATAGTGAGGTAACTTCAAAATGAATTGCTTCTCCAAAGTCTTGATGACATCACTGTAGCATCATACTGAATGCCATATTAGTTAGTAAAAATTCAATATATATGAAAAGATCTTCCGGGACATGACCCGTACCCGACAATCTGGTCGAACCTGAGGTACCTGTGCTTTTCACTACTAGTACTAGGCACAGAACCCGGCCCAAGTAGCAGACTGAACTGGATGAAGTTGGGGGCTAGCACAAGCATGGCAAGACCAAGTCCTCAAATATTTTTGTGAAACAAACGTCTAATGAATTCATATTACTTACGGATATTGGTAGTAAGGAACATACAACGAGGCGACAGGAGGGCCGGTACGTAACAAGAATTATTAAGAGCAAGACTTGGCGGCATTGAGAGGACCTCCTGACGAGGAGACACATGCCTTAGACAGGGCAGAAAGGACCCCTGGACACAGTTGACGTTGAACCTCCGGCGATATTGTCAGTGGAATGGACCAGAGCAGCGGCATAACAGATTGTAGGCATAGAGGAGGAATTAAGAGCCTCAAACGAGGCATACAGGACCTGGGATGGTCCTCAAAGTGAAGGCAAGGGCGTTGCTTCGCGAAATGGAGCAAGATCATGGCGTGTGAGAGGATCAAGGTAGTAGCGAGATATGGTTCAGGCATTGAGGGGTGAAGCGAACCTCAGGTGAAGTAGAAAGGCCACGAGAAAGCTCCAGAGGTGAATGCGATAGTGAAAAAGTCGTTTCATGGGACAGGGGAGGGCCTTTCCCGTGAGCTGGTATAGCTTGGGGTAGCTGCAAGCATAGCCATGGATGGCAAGGAAGGAAACAAGCACCTATGTCACTCGAAGAGTGAGCGGGCACAGAAGAAGCATGAAAAGACTCACCACAAGCCTCCCCCCTCACAATGTCAGTGACGTTGAGCCAATTCCTCTAAAATTCTTCATCTGATGCATTGTGATAGGTCGGATACAAATGGCGGTGGTACTGCGAAGGTGCGCTGTGAGACTGGATCTCGAATGGTGCACGGGTTGGGTGGTTTGAGTAGGTAGCGATAAACACGATACGACACTCCACTGAGAACGTCAACGCGTCACGCGCATAGGGGTGGCCCAGATTCCATAGAAACTGGATATAGTGACCGGTGTCGGTTCCAGTAGGGTCGCGCTCGTGTTCAGAGGTTGAACGAGTGCAGTTGAGTCGAAAAAAAAATCGTAGAAAAGCGTAGGGCGTCAAAGCAGCCGAGAAAACTGGGGCCAGTCGAGACTGCGGTAAAGAGGTATCATGCATCGATAAAGCGTCCGCGTCAGGTGAGTAGACGCAACGTGAGCAATGCAGGAGAGGGTTAGGGTTCAAGCTGATATTGAACGAAAATGGAACGATGCATAAGCGAGATGACAAAGAAAGCAGCACGCGAACACCAAAAGGAGGAAAATCACCAATAGAAACGGCACCACCAAAATTTGGAGTTCAGCTTTGCCAAAGACCGAATCCTGTATACACAGGACTCGGAATCTTCTTGAGCTCATGAACGCGGTCATTGGGAAGTCCCTGCTGCGACCTTCCTGTCAGCTGTTACCTCGCTGCATTTGCGATGAGTCGGAAATTCTGTATTGTCACTGGTCAGTCGTGTATTTCTTTACCTTTGCTCTTACATCAACTTGTATTTTCCTGGACACTCTTAAGTTGCAGGCGGACTTTCTGTATGGTATGATCCGTCTCGGTGTATATTAGTGTATATTAAAGTCCAAGAGATCACAGCAATAAGCACGCGATATGGACCCTCAACGCGACTCTTTAATTAAATCCGCTGCCCGCTCTGCAATGGCGTACACCGCTGCCTGCGTATGCCCTGCTGGGATGTACGGCTACATTATGAAGTAATGATCAGCAAAAAAATCCTGGTGAACCAGTCTCAACTCACCAAAACAGACGCATCAACAACTCTCACTCCTGCCGCCTTCTTGAGCTTTAAATCAGGGTCCACAACTCCCCAGTCCGCATCGCGTGCAGACATACTCGCCGTACTAACAGGATGGTAGGTCGTGCCCGCTCCATTCCGTATGCTTCCCTCCAGATCGGTAATATTTGTCGAAATCCCGAGGACGTAGTCATCCCACACGGGAGCAGTGAGGAACCGTTGCGCACCCGCTACGCCGTGCTGCATGGCGATTATGTCTTGGGGGTGTGATAAAAGGTTGGGGTTGATGAGAGGTGGAGAAAGGGAGTCGGTGCCGTTGATAGTGATATTCCCACCTGTCAAGAGGTCGGAAAGTATAGAATGGGAAGGAGAAGACGGACGTACGAGAAAGCGGGCAGATCAGTATCACGCCTATCGTAAGGTAGCTTCCCGTAGGTGGAATGGTACCGGCGCCAATACCGCCCTTTATGGTATACAATCAACACATAAAACGCCGTGGCAGGAACCTCAGACCCACCGAAAAAATCATCTCATAATGTCCCGTATTTTCCCCTGCACAAGGCTCCTCCTCCAACACACCCTCTTCCACTCTGAAGAATCCTAGATGATTAGCGCTTGTGCTAGCGATGAACCCGGTCCGATTAGCTTGCCACTCCGCCAGCGCCTCGGCTTGGAATGTAGCGTTCCGCCAATAGACGTTCTCGATCGTGTTTGAATCATTAACAAGCCAGGCGACACCCCATCGAGGGTGGTCAGTGAGGTTCTTCCCAACATCGGGAAGGTGCACGGTAGGGGTAACACCTACTGCGGTGAGTTCGTCGGCGTCTCCAATACCAGAGTTGAGCAGAATGTGGGGTGTTCCAACTGATCCAGCTGAGAGAATGATTTCCTTGAGGGGCGAAATGGTGTGGATAGTCGCTGACATTAAGAAGATCATCAGCCCACCCATATCATCATAGGGTACCAGTGAGTGGTTCGTACCTCCAGCATCTTGTGTGAACTCCACAGTGTTGAAATGCGGCTCATCATTGAGAGTCGATTCATTCGCGACAAGAATCCGCGTTACGTACGTGTGAATAAGAATGTGCAAATTCTCCCTGTCGATATATCCAGGACCAAGGTATGAAGTTTCCGAACTGCTCCTTGTCCCATTCCCTACAGTTGTTTGCTCCCATCCTTCCAATCACTCATTAGTCCTGAGTGACCTAAAACCTAGCACGTGGACTCACCAATACCCAAATGATACCCGGAGTTGTAATCCAAATTGAACGAAAACTCACCCGACAGCTCTTGCGTAGCTTGAATGAACGCGTCCATCGATCGCGCGCGGGTATCCAGGGAGCGAGACAGAATTGACTGCCATCAAAACTGTGTACCGCTGGGTCAAACTCGCCTGTTGTGTTATGATGGTCTGCAGGGGCGACGAGTCGCTCGTTCTACAACCAGACACTCAGATATTTTCAAAACTTTTTTGAAAGTTAAGCAGTACGAACCTTTCGGATGTAGGGCTGTAGCTCATCCCATCCCCACCCCTCATCCCCAGTCACGCGCGCATATCGGTCATAGTCCTCTGACGATCCACGGGTGTAGGCCATATAATCTTTACGGCGGCGATGAAAAACGCGTAACTCTGTGATGAAACTGACTCACTGACGGCACTGCTCCCCCCCAATCCAAAGCCCCTAGGGTACGGAATAGCACGGCCATTGAACCCCGGTTGGGGAGTCGTGGTGAAGTTCCAGTCGAGAACCGTGTTGGGCGTCGCTTGTGGACATAAAAATGGGATTTGTGAAATTTGGACGTCAGCGGTTCTATAACGGCTTCAGAACTGTGTACGGAAAGAGGGGAGAATGACGCACGATTGACCTGCTTCGAGAACGAGCACAGATGTGTCCTCCTGCTCAGTCAATCGGTTCGCGAGAACGTTCCCCGCCGTACCACCTTTCTACAAATTAGTGCACGCGGGACAGCATTAGTTCTGCACGTACCTCCTACGATGATATAGTCAAAGTCAAGCTTGGGGAGCTCAGCGACGCTCTCATATATCGCAGCTGAGCATAGCGCAGGAAGAAGCAGCCCAAAGAGTCGGGGAGAAAACATGGCACGAGCAAAGAGCGAGCAGCTGTATGCTGTTTTTAAGTGCTTAAAGGATGTTATGTTCCGAAAAAAGTGCCGTAATGAACAGGAACCAGAATTAAGAGCCTTACAGTTCTCTCTCCGAAGTACGCCGTCATCTAGGCACGGATTCGAAGATGAAACCGGGATTTTGAGTGGGTAGCTCGTCGGGGAGACGATCGTGGCGGATCTGGGCTGAATGCCACGTAAAATTAAAGCGCAACCATGGATGCACAGACAGAGCTTGACGGGGCGAACAGGATGCTATATTTCCGCATCGAAGAGTGATAGTGGTCCCCCGACGAGGCGAATTTGTGGTGGAATAGGCGGATACTTTATTCTTCAAAAGGAATGGAAGCAGACTCTATCCCCATGGTCATATTGGCTCCTTGATATAAGTACACGGACGGATGCCGAATAATCTATAATTGTGTGGTCCTGATGCGAAGGAAAAGTTGGTCTTATCGAAAAGGAGTTCACTGGGCTAGTGCTCTCCTTGTCTTCTAAGATAAATAACCCGGCTGTATTCATCGGAGTGATCCACGATATCTTCAATGGATTCTTTCTGCCGGACATTGAGCGCCAATACGGCGCCTTCTCGCACTATCATAGTAAGCAATCGTTAACAGATCATACCTGTCTTTTCAACAAGGTAGGCGCACCTGTTACGGACACAGACACAAAAAGGAATTCGCCAGGTGTGTGGTACCGAGACTAGCGCTCTTCTTGTCCTCTAAGATAAGTAGCACAGCTGTGTTCATCGGAGTAGTCCACGAAGTCTTTGATGAATCCTTTTTGTCGGGAATCAAGCGCACCTCGTGCTGTGGCACCATATCATTATGAATCTTTTCAAGGAGGTAAGCGTGCCTGTTACAGACACAGCCCTTGCTCCTCAAGTTCCTCGAATTCAATACCTTGCGTTACTAATGATTTGGTCAGCAGCGATAGCACAGGATGAATGCAAAACCTACGTGCCAGAGTAAAGGTATAATTATAGTGGAATACTTCTCTGGGCGCCTTTTTTTTGCTAGGCAGACGAAATGTTGGCTCTCTATATTGATCCCAAGTGCAAATCAGGCAGCCAGCTAGACGATGTCTGAACAAATAGTTAATGCGTCGCACCAAGGATGCAACACTCACTCTACCGGATGCAAACATCACCGAAATCGAGGATCTGTACACACATCGCAAATTGATACGAAATCCATGCCGGATTTACTATTCATTGTTTCGGTAGTCGACTTCGACTTCGGCCGACGGCGATGCGTGATTCTGACTGTCTGTGACACCGTGGGGTCCCTCGGAGATGCTAGGACGGCGATTATCGACTTCGAGGCATCCAAACGCTAGCGAATATGGCTGGATTTAATGCAGGGAGGATCAAGAGAGTGAAACAAGGCGGTGATGGTATGTAACGATCAAAGTGTTGCGCACGTGGCCTAATTCTGCATCCATTTACTAAATGATTGACATTTACCTTTGCGATTTGGATGACTAAACCTTCGTATCTTTTCACGCTCATTACCTCGGCAAAGGTGAGAAGTGCTGTGCGCCTTCCTGCGCGATAAATATTTTTGTTCGGATGCCAGCGATGAATAGATGAAAAAAATGGTCCAATCTAGCCTAGAACGGCGGTATAAAGATTGTCATTAGAATGCGTGTCTTAGCGTCCGTCCACAACGAAGTCTGGAAAGTGATGCAGAAAGTAAACGAGAATGTAGAAAAAGAAAATTACAACAGCCAAACTAGATCCCAGTCCTCTAGTATGCGTGAAACGAATGACCTACAATAAACGCGCACACCTACGGCTGAGGGTCTGAGGTGGCAGATTCCGGCTTCTGCAATTCAATCGATGTGGCGCTGCGAAAAGAACAGAACAATCCGTATGCCAGTTCGTTCCACCAAAAAAATCTAAGGTCCTTCACGCCGGAGGAAACAGAGATATGAACGATACTGCAACACTAGAGACCGAATAGATTTTTTTTTTTGGTAGGGCTTGTTACATTCTCACAGCAATTTTAGCCCGAGAATCGAGCTATTTTGAAGGAGCTTTACTCCAGCTGGAGGTTATAGGTCTGGGAATGGTGTTGGTGTTGGTACCGGCACAAGGTCCCAATAAGGAACGGCTGGGTCCACAGCCTAAACATGGCAAACTGGCCATCTCCGCTGATACAGCTCAGGTAAATAGAAGTAAACTACTCCTACCGACCTCGATGGCTCGTTGTGAGAAGTAATGACAGTCGTAGCAACATTATCTACTAGTGCATGAGTCCGAAATGACAGCGAATATGCACATTCCCTCTGAATCCTTCCGACTACCGTAATCCTGATCGTCGCAGACCAGCTGCACCTCGCTGACATCAGCTGCAGATGATGTCGACCCGGGATAAGCCTAGTGTTGCCGCGGCTCAGCTTATCTCGGCTTAACGCCGAAGTCGGTTTTGAGCCGCCGAGGATAGAAAGGTAGGAGGAACAAGAACGCAGTTTCTGATAATACCGATAAGTCTCGTGAGTGAATGCAAGCATCAAAACGTCTGTCATTTTGAACGTTGGTGCAGTCAGAGCAACCGGCTCAAAACTGACTTCGGCGTTAAGCCGAGATAAGCCGAGCCGCGGCAACACTAGATAAGCCATGTGCTGCGGTGTGGTTCCGGCTCGAGGTCCGAATGGAATGGTGGCTATGCATGCGATCTAGCTCCCGGGCTGTCCGGTTTTCTAAACTCTAAACTTCTGCTATTGCGAGGCGTCGATCCATGAAATCCACTGTAAGTAATCCCTTCATTTCCCTCGGCCCCCCGCTCTGGAATGGCCTACAGCAAGAACGATGGCATGATTTTTTTTTTTTTGCTTACGCTGTGACAACTTTCAAAGACAACTCAGACTGTCCAGGGCCAGTGATCGCTTCATGGTATGTATTTACCACCCTTTGCGACCTTAGGTCTCGTAATTATCTGATTTTTCAGTGATCCCTGCCGCAGAGATAGCGCACGTGGGGTTCAAAATCTAAGGTCCACTTCAGAGATCCCGTGAATTGGCTCGAACGGGGTATTCGAGCCAATACAGCAGTTAATGAATACTCAAGCAAAACCCGAGTCGTGAGCAAGGATGTCCGAAAGTCGAGTTCCAACCACCAAGAGGGATCTGCTAACAAGCGCTAGGCGTAACCGATCAGAAATGCTTAGGTTCACACAATTAAGTGGACTTTGAAGGTGAGTAAAATTAGCTTAAGATTCTCCTTTCTAATACAATGGCAGAGAAATATTTATATGCTACTACTAACTAGTAAAGTCTCAATTACGGATTATTCTATAAAGTTCCATAGCATTCCAGCGCCGGCAAGAAGAATAAAGTAAGAGAAAATACCAGTAAGCCGAGGTCAAGACCGAGAAGGACGAGAGTAGGCATGTGTTGACTCATGTACAGACGGGAAAAGACGCAAGATCTGTAACAACAACAATTTTCATCTAAGCGGAATTCCCTGCCTTTATCAAATCCGCCGCCCGCTCCGAAATCGCGTACACCGCCGCTTGCGTATGCCCTGCAGGTATAAATGGCTACATATAAAAAATTAGCAACTTGAAACCATCACAAAAGAAACAAAAAAAACCCACCAGAACAGACGCATCCACAATCCTTACCCCCACCGCCTGCTTGAGCTTCAGATCCGGGTCGACAACTCCCCATGACGCATTACGCGGTGACATACTTGCAGTACTAACCGGATGGTTCGTCGTAATAGCTGTATTGCGAATGGTCCCCTCCAGATCCGTGATATTCGTCGACAGCCCGAGGACATAATCTCCCCATACAGGTGCTGTCACGAACTTCAAGGCCTTCTGGATGGCGTACTGCATGACCGTCATATCCAGGGGATGTGACAAGAAATTGGGGTTGATAAGCGGAGGTGCGAGGTGGTTGGTGCTGTTGATCGTAACGCTTCCGCCTTCACGAGCGGAAGTCAGGAAAAGGGCAGAGGAAAGGAAATTATCACGTACGAGAAAGTGGACAAACCACAATAACCGACATTGTCATATAGTCCCCAGTTGCCGGGATAGTTCCGCTGACTATGCCGCCCTGCATTCATCCATTCAGCAAAATCAGCCACGTTTTAGGCGTCCTAGACTCACCGAGAAGATCAATTCAATACTCCCCGTCCTCCCACCTGCACATGGCTCTGTCTCCAGCACGCCCTCCTCCACACGGAAGAACCCGAGGTTGTTCGAAAATGTATTAGCTACGAATCCTGTTCGACTCCTTTCCCATTCTTCTAGAGCCTCGGCTTGGAACGACTCGTTCCTCCAGTACACGTTCTCTAGTGTGTTTGTGTCGTTGACCGTCCAAGCAAGGCCCACGAGGGGGTGATCCGTCAGGTTCTTTCCAACGTCAGGAAGGTGCACCGTAGAGGACACGCCCAGCGCAGAGAGCTCATCGGAGTCACCGACACCCGAGTTGAGCAGGATATGAGGTGTACCGATGGATCCAGCTGAGAGGATGATCTCTTTGAGGTTGGGATTAGAAATAATCTGGAGCGTCCCTGAAACTCTCGTTAGTAACATACATCACTCTTCAAAGACGTAGTGAACCGACCTCCGCCATCCTGCGTGAACTCGACAGCATTAAAGCGCGGATAACTGCCCGAATCTGAGGCGTTCAGGACGAGTATCCGGGTCACGTACGCGTGCACGAGCACATGCAGGTTTTCCCTGTCGATATACCCAGGACCAAGATACGCCGTTTCCGAAGTACTCCTCGTCCCGTTTCCAATGCTCTTCTGATGCCAGCCTTCCGTGATCACAACGTCAGTGCAGGTTACACTTTCTGACTTCAACTGCACTCACCAATACCCAAATGATACCCAGAATTGATATCTGCGTTATACGGAAAATCAACCGGGAGCTCCTCAGTAGCTTGCATGACCCGCTCATCGATGTTACGTGGGTATCCGGGGAGTGACACGGAATTCATTCCGTGGAAGTTATGAATTGAAGGAATGAACTCGCCAGTGGTATTATGATGATCCGCAGGGGCGACGAATCGTTCAGTCTATAACAAAAAAATCAGTAAACCCCGAGATAAGTCCTATCGTGGACTCGACCTTTAAAATGTACGGCCGCATCAGATTCCATCCCCACCCCTGGTCCCCTGTGACACTCGCATATCGATCGTAGTCCTGCGCCGAACCACGCGTGTATGTCATATAATCTAAGGGCATGTGTGAGCACCCACCGATAAGAAAACAAATGTGGATTAAACTCACTAACGGCGCTACTCCCGCCCAATCCAAACCCCCTCCCATAAGCAATAGACCGCCCATTATAGCCAGACTGGGGGGTGGTGGTAAAGTTCCAGTCTACCGATGTTTGGGGCGTAGCCGACGTGCAAAACCACGGTACTTGCGATAACAGGACGTCGGTGGTTCTACAAGCTTTTATGAGCTTCAAAAATGAGGGAGGGAAGAGAGTTGCATACGATTGCCCCGCTTCGAGAACAAGCACCGACGTATTTTTTTGTTCCGTCAGACGGTTGGCGAGGACGTTCCCTGCTGTTCCACCTACGAGTAAGATCGTGAGCAACGCGTGACAAACCCTCGACTGTAAGTACATACCTCCCACAATGATATAGTCAAAGTCTTGTGTCGGGATATCTGTAAGTCTTTCGTATATCGCTGCTGAGCATACAGGCGCGAGGAAGAGAAGATAGAAAAACATGATACATGGGAGAAACACTAGTTACATGCATGCTTTTAAGAATAAAGTATCTGAATTGGCGCAGTAAGGGGATGCCGTAAGAGGCGGTCGTGAAGAGAGCAAGCGCCATGTTTGGATGCTAATTTTGGAGTCGTGGCTAAGGTTTGGGATACCTTGGCATAGACGGATCTCGTGTGGATACTTGTCGGAGTGGAAGGGAACACCGGCATGAAACAGTGAGGCAGTGAGGGAGGGAGGAAGCGCTCTAAAGGGGATCCATTTTGCATAGACTGAGCGCTCCCATTTCCCCGACAAAGGACGCGGTATCAGGGGACCTATAAGGGCCGTCTTCGCCCACACGAAGGCCGCTCAGTACAGCAAGACAAGTGATGTGGACTAGCGAATACGGGAACGGAATGGCGGGTTGGGTCGCTATATGAACATCGACAATCCCGAAGCCCGGAAACCCGACACAGGGATCGAAACAAAGAGGAGCCTCGGTACCGAAAAAAAGTAGAAATAGAACCACCCGACATGATCGAAGAGGAGCGGCGCACAGCTTTAGTAGAACCCGAGTGATAACCTCAGCTGCCTGTCCCGTTCTTTACAAGCGCTGGAGTCGACAGTAGGAGGTCATGGATCTGAGGAGAACGGCGACTGTTGGTGGAACCCTAAGTGGGAAAAGAATTGCCTTCAAGGAAAGTCAAGAAAAGACAAGGATGAGTCAGACATCTGAATTATCCCAGAATCTGCACGTCCGATTCCTGTGTGATACTTATAATGCTTATGGTTTAGTGCCATCTTCCACAGATGTCATCACTTGAGATTTTTCCGTCTTCCTCGTTGCCTACAGCCACCGTCAGATAGCTCCAAACGACAAACCACGCGACACACTCACCCAGGTCACTTGTTTCCGGATGTTTTTGCACAAACTCCGATATGTTAGATTCGCAGCTTGCCATTATCACGTATCCTGCGGCATATACTATGAGCTCGAGATACTCAGTGGTGTCAAAAAACGAGAGGGCTTACCAGCGGTCCTAGCCTCGCTTCTCAGGTGAGATTCGGACCATTCGATGAGATCATGATGGAGGCAGATTCAGCACTATGAGACTGGTAAATTTTGGGGCGACATAAGGTGCAATCGGGAGGACCTTGAACGTGACAATAGCGGTATCGGCTGAAACACGAGTTCGTCGTTGGTGCAAGTTAAACCCTCTCTTCCCATTGTTAAAGTTCTTCGCCGGAAAAAAGTCACCCAGAGAGCTGTGAGCCTCCCTCCCGAGAATGATACAGGCGTGTGCAGCTGAGGAGCTTGAGGGTTAAGTAGGAGAAAAGATAGGAGAAGAGGTTCGATATGCGGTCTTTAGATACAGCAATAGGAAAATAAAGTGTTTCGGATATGGTGTAACGGCTAACATTGCCGCCTCTCATTGTTCTGCGCGGTAACTCGGGGTTCGATTCCCCGTATCCGAAGTTGTTTATCTCATCCAGCCTTTTTATGCTTGGAATTTTTCCGGTTCAGCGTTCACTTGTCGCCTGTGCCCAGGCCCAAGGCTAATTTTTTTTAGATTCTGATTTCTCATTTTCTAATAAGCTGTGCAGCGTGCAGTGTGCACAAAACCTGCGAGGTTTAAGCTACGCTCTTTGTACCGACTCAGCAAACTTGACTTCATGTCTCTGCAGCATAGCTATGTATGCTTTCGCCCACAGCGAAGACACATCATGTTGTGGTTCATCAGTAAACGCTTGAGCCTTGAAGCTTGAAGCTTGATGATCGGCTTCCGCATTCACTCTATCATCGCACACCAGAGAGCTCTTGACAGAGAAACACACGATGTGACGATTGAGAGGGCAGCGATGCCACGAAGAAGATACCAGTACAGTCGGATAGCGAGAATGACAAACGATAGAAGAATAGCATACTAGCCAGTATATTTAAGAAGACTGAGTACTGAGTATGAAGATCCTTGTCTTTGTCGATGCGGTATAAATTTCCCTGTAGCAGCGCGTTCATTTTGGAGACTGTAGGATTTCGCTGCAAAAAATCACCGGAGAGTTTAGGGCGAGAGAAAAAGGCTGGAAGTGGTTACAATTCTGATCAAGCAGCGGCATCGGAGGTCGGCCCGGTTGTCCGCCTCTCTCACCCAGCAACTGTCATCATCGCTCTGTTTTCCTGAAGCTATCACCTGTTCAACGTTACGTTCAACGCCAACATTGAACGTGTCGTTGGTCCTGTAAAACTTTACACCATGATTGCATGACCTCAGCTAACCTTCGGCCAGTATATAGATGTCGCTCAATTCGGATTTCAAGCTCCCACAAGAGCTCGTCGACGCTATCATCGACACTGTGAAGAATACATCCGCTTCACTTGTAGAAGCAACCAAAAATCTTTCATCCTGTTCTTTGGTTTCACGGGCATTCCTCCCCCGGACTCGATTGCACATGTTTAGAGACATCGTAATGACCAACCCCGAGAAAATAAAGCACTACCATGATATATGCCTCGCATCTCCCATTATCCCAGCTGCAGCCCGGTCTGTCTCCTTCATGACTCTCAACATACCTGCGATCCAAAGCCCACTGATTCCATCCATCCTGCGGCTCACCACCAGCATTGATACCATCCAGTTCGTTAACGTTCATTGGGACAAGCTGCCCCAGGAGGTACTCGACATCGTTAGCTCTTATCCTCTCACCAAAATATTACTCAATAACGTCGTCATCCCATCGGCCCTTCCCTTCTTCTCTTTCTTCCGCCGCTGCGCCACTCGCGTGCCAGTGGATCTCCATATCTCTGGCATGCTCCGCCTCGAAAGCGCCGCAGAAGAACAGGCAGCGGACGGAGTATCTCCCGACAAACCTATTGCCGTTCGATCTCTGATCATTCGATGCCCAGATCCTGCACGAAAAGCCCTTCGTGCTATCCTTCTATCCCCGTCTTCTCCATTCAATTTGCGCATTCTGACGAACACCGTATTCACCATGATTGGATACGACATCGGGACAGACCGTAATGCTATTCTTCTACGCGACATAATTTCATCGCCGAACATGAGTCGGAGCATGAGGAGTCGTTTCATCATGCAAGAACCCCCATCGTTCATGCTCCATATCCCTTCCACCATCCAGAGACTTTCATTCGCCATCACTGGTTCTCCTCTCCAAGTACTCGCCTTTCGGCCGAGTTCGATCCTACGATGGTGGATTGACGGTCTCCTGCGATCCAAGTGCTATTGCTTGGAGCAACTGAACGTTTTGACCTCGTTGTTGCTGGATGTGTGGATTATTGACGATGAAGCGTTGGATGCATGGGCTCACCTCGACGAAGAGCTTTCCTCGCCAAGCTACGAGGTGAAGGTCATGTGTATTGGTATAGGACACCAAGGACTGCTTGATGACCCCGTTCGTTATGCGGAGGTGGTCAATACTTTGACCAAGTGCATGCCTGGACTAGCGAAGAAGGATGCTCTGAAACTGATATGTGACCCGGAACCGTCACCGCGGAAGCCAGAGGCAGGTGCGGCTTAATATTACATTGAGTACTAGCTACAGACGAAGGACAAATTGTAGGCCAAGGCGCCATCATTAATTAAAGATATGAGAAAAGAGAAATTTCGTCACCAGCTAAGTCTGCAACCTAACTCAAGTCCCGACAACGACGAAGTAAGGAAATAGTGGTACATGTGCAAAGCGGAAAAACCGAAAGTAAGGTACACTTGTTGTCGTCGTGAACTTAGCCCACAGATGAGGACCTACTGGTGAATACGAAGAATTGATTCAAGAACTCATGCTATCCTCGCCCTGTCATGGTTCTACGTAGCCATGAGCATGATAAAGGGTGAACCGTTGAGAGACTCACTATGTCGGGACATCCGCCAGTACGTGATATATTGTGAGAACATGAGACTGGAGCAGCAGCAAAATACCCGCCACAGTGAAGACTTTGAACTCAAACACATGACTGAAATAAATTCGTGGCTGTATGCGGATACGTGAGAGCCAGATGTGGACTGCGCAAAGCCGTAAGAAATCCGAGAGGAGACTTTGCACGTAACAATGATGTAACACTACACCTAGACAAGTCGGAATGATAAAAGAACGACGCGGCACACTTACCTGCTTCGAAGAATATCCGACGACGATCTTGAGTGACACGAACCCCGCTTGTTTTGGACTAGAAAATTATGATCTTGTGGATATTTACTCAGAGAATGTCGACGTGATACCGCAATACATCGCTCTGGGTAAGTAGATGGAGTCACCGCTAGCTTCCGCCTTGTGGTGCCAGCGTGCTTTTTCTGCATTGAGTCTTGAGATGGTATTGATTATGAGATCCACATGAATGAACAACTGCCAGAGCAGTCCAACTCAATCGAATGGACTCATTAGAATCTTTCTTTGATGAGATACAGCTTTGCTGAAGTGGAGGGGCAAGACTAAGGCGCGTTACTTACGCGTATTTCAAGTTGACCTCCACTGCGGTGATCCCGGCCCGCGGCACTTTCTCTCTTCAATTACCTGGAGACACTTTTCATTTTCCTGCTTCAGTGGATGTAACATTACTTATTTTCCTCGGTTCATCATCGTCAGAACCTGAGTGAAGTAACAGAGGTTGGCTACTTTTCTCACATTTGAAGACGCCTATATTACTCTACTGTAGGTACACTTTTTCTTTCCGTAATCAGTACTCAGTTCCCCTGTTCTGTGCTTCAAACGGTGCCTGCCCATGGAGTCCCAGCTGGCCACATACCAGTTTCAGGACTCCCTTTTTCGCTAGTCTGGGCAGACACTTGGTTAAAATATCGGCAGCATTCGCACGGTGTGCGGGGTTATAAAACAGTACTCGATGTTCTATACCAATATGCACGGCTTTCACCTTTGAGTAATTCGACGAGGAAAGCTCATCATCGAGATGAGCCCACGCATCTAGCGCTTCATCGTCCATGACCCACATACCCAGCAGCATTGTAGTGAAAATGGTCAGTTGCTCCAAGCCATAGCATTCGGACCGCAGGAGACTATCGATCCACCATCGTAAAACTGCACTCGACCGAAAGGGGATCATTTGAAGGGGAGAAGTGGCGATGGTGAATGAAACTTGGCGGGTGGCAGGGGGAAAACGGAGAATGAAAGACGGGGGTGCTCGTATATCAAAGCTGCTCCTCACGGTCCTCAGCTCCTGAGAGCTCGATGATGAAATCAAGTCGCGTAGAAGAATGGCATCCCTTTCTGATCCGATGCCATCTTTCCCTGTTAGGGTGAATACCATGACAACGTTCGCGAGAATGCGCAGATGGAATGGGGATGACGGTGATAGAAGGATAGCACGAATCGCTCTTCGTGCAGTACCTGGGCACCATAGGCTCAAAGACCGAATTGCTACAGGTTTGTCGTTAGATGCTACATTTACTGCCTGTTCTTCTGCGGTATTTCCGATGCGGAGCATGCCAGAGATATGGAGATCAACAAGCACACGAGTGGTGCAACGGCGAAAAAAAGAGAAGGAAGGGATCGAAGGGATAACGACGTTGTTGAGCAATATTTTGGTGAGAGGATAGGAGCAGAGTACGTCGAGCACCTCCTGGGGCAGGTTATCCCATGAAATATCAGAAAACCGAATGGTGTTGATATTGGCAGTGAGTCGCAGGACAGATGCCAACAGGCAATTTTCGACTGCAGATACGATGCCGATTTGGAGGGAGACAGACCGGGCTGCAGCTGGGATAATGGGAGACGCAAGACACATCTCATGATAAAGTTTTATCTTCTCGGCATCGACCAGTGCAATGTCTCTAAACATATGCCATCGAGTTCGAGGAAGGAATGTCCGTGAAACCAAAGAGCAGAATGAAAGATTTTTAGTTGCTTCTGCATCTGAAGTGGATGCATCTTTCACAATGTCGATGATAGCGTCGACGATTTCCTGGGGGAACTTCGAATCCAAACCAGGTGCCATCTACACAGGCGGCTGAAGGTTAGCTAGGGACATGAGTTCATAGTGTAGGATCTTACAGAGTCAACGTTAACACCCGCTGTTGAAGAGTTGATAGTTTCAGACAGGCTCTGCAGGGCAATGATGATGTTCGTGTTCGTGTTACGGTTCGAGTTGCTGGGTAGGAGACGTGGCACCCGGGCCGTCTTCTGCCGCTGACTTGAACATAGCAGAGCAGGACACCTTGCTTGCGTACACTGGCGACCGTCTCTCTCTTTCTCTCTTTCTCTGTGACCACACTTTCCTGCTTGCAACGGCAGGTGTCCAGAGAGACGGTTACGAGTCCATTGCTTGCGAATGACCGGCAGACAAAACAAGATCCTCCTCAACTTGGGGCACAACTCTTGCTCGCCTTGGTACAGAAAAACGTAGTACTGTAGACACTGAGCATAGTTCGACGCGACCCTGGTACGACGCAGTGGAGGTGAGAGACAAGGATAATGCCGGTATTATTCCCACGACACCGGTCCGTCGTCCGTACTATCATCCCTCTCTTGAATACAATGTCGAGTACTGAAGACGGCGACTGCGAGAAACGATGGTTCGCTCACCCGATGCGCCTACACAGCTGCAGGTAATCTGTCTAGTTTCAGAATGAATTGGCGGATGTTTGGGCCTCTACTTTAGCGCCTCTTTCCAACTTCCACCGTAACGAACCACCTCTGGCGACCGAAAACAAGAAACCTCGATACCAGGACGGTGAACAACGTCTAGTCAACGTCGCCTCAAGTTATCCATTAACTGCCACCTGCTCCACTTCGCTGTCTCTCGACGAACGGCATCTGTAGCACGCGGAAGGTCATACGCGCACGGACCGTGCACATCTCAGCCATCTCTCAAGACACACTCATCGTGTAGATATAGCTCGTTCACCGACGCTTTCATTCTCCTCAACATATCCGTGTCGCACGACGTTGAAGCCTACCGTCGCCTTCAAGGCACCAACGTGCCGCACTTCCACGATGACCATACCCTCGCAAGGAAACAAGACCGTGCGCATCCTCTTGATAGAACTCGTCGGCGAGAAGGAATTCCGTAGTTTCATCCCTGCGAAGAGGACGACGCACACCAATTAGCCATTCATCGACAAGGTGCCCACTTGAATCTGGTCGCTTTCGCAGCCCAGGAACGTCACCTTGCGGAGGCCTCGACGCTGCATGGAATTTTGCGAGAAGCAGGGCTGCCCGGCACATTTGGAGATGTACTTGGACGACGTTCGTGGTGTGTTGATCGATTTGGGAGAGGTCGAGCCCTGAGAAGCTCAGAACCTGGGCGTACCGGGCACGGGTCGCTAAAAAGCACCAGCAGGAGTACCTTGAACGCTGGTTGAAGAACTCTGAATGAGATCTTACGCTGGAGGCAATAAACCCGATTGTATTTACCTTATCATCTACTATTTCACTATGGTGATCATCTGTCATCAGTAGTAACTGGAATTGTTCCAAAAAAGACCGGCGGGCTCTGTAGCATCTCCTCTACTGCTGCTTCCACCCTCACGAACCACCCCCAGTCACTGAGAACAAGGAACCCTTGATAACAGGACGGTGCACTCACGTCTCATAAAGCTCGAAGATCGCCTCACGGCATCCCGGATTGACCATCGCGTCCCCTTCTCATCGATTTCTTCCAAATGGGTGGTACGTTCCCTGTCATCTCTGAATGGTAAGATGGAATGCGCGTATTCGCTCCATCTCAAGTTACACTCGTTGCAAAAATTTTCAATCTAGTGGATTTCAACGACGAATACAGCTCGTTCGCCGACCCATTTGCTCTCCTCAACATATCTTCGCAAGAAGTCGAAGCTTATCGTCGCGTTCAAGCCATCAACGCGCCACGTATACCCACACCTGCACGAGGAAACAGGACCGTACATGTCCTCTTCTTGGGGCATATGAACGGGAAGGCATCCCAAATTTGTGATCTCATCCCTGCAAAGAGGGCGACGCGCATGATTTTGCCATCGTCATGATACCAGGCTCAATCCGGATGCATTCGCAATCCCATGGATTCTCAGCCGAGGAACACCACTTTGCAGAGGCCCGACGCCACATGGAGTTTTGCGAGAAGAAGGACCATCCGGTGCGGAGTTCGACGACGTTCGTGGAGTGCTAGTCGATTAGGGCTTCGCACCGTACCGTATACGGTATACGGCCGTATAGCCACGGTACAGTGACGGGCGACGGCTGGTCCGTATACCGTACCGTCAAGGCTCTCAGAACTAGGCTGACGGTACGGTACGGGTATATAGACGGCCGTGCCGTCGTCAATACGGCCGTAAGGTAGTGGGAAAATGTATTACTCGCCATATTTGACAGGTGCACCGGCCACCCGTGGGCAATGTATTTCGAAACATGAGCGGGTAGTAAAGGGATGAACAGGAGTAGGGCAGAGGCAGCAGAAGTAGGGAAGAGCAAGTATTTATGCCTGCCATAAGAAATAGAGCTTCATGTGAGCGAGCGAAATAAGAGCTAGCTGTAGCGTTGAAGAGATCGCAGTGCTAGCGCATCGTGGTACGATATTGAGCACATGGTAAACACACGTATAGCGTGCTCTGATGAGGGTTATATTTAGACAACCCACACGGCCGTCGAGCGCCGTATAACGGCCGTCTTTATACGGTTGTTAACGGGCGACGGGATATCCGTATACCGTCCGTGTCTGGGCAAAGTCTTTTGCCAGACGGAACGGATACGGTACCCGTATGACGGCACCCGTACAACCGTACTATACGGTGACGGTGCGAAGCCCTATAGTCGATTTGGAAAAGTTCGGGAGAACGAGGTTTAACGCTAAGAGAAATGGATCTGAACGTGAGTACATCATCATTTACCTCTGTGTTATATTGCTGAGGATCTACCATCAGCATCGATCGACGCCTGCCTTCTGCATGCAGCTTTGTTGATCCTAGGTTCGCATCGCGAGATTGCGTAACCTTGGATCCAATCGACCCTGGCCTGGAGCGGCCCGGCGGCCCATCCTTCGTTGCATTCATTCACTCTAACACGAGGATCATCAGGGTATGTCTCTCATGTTCGAAGCAAACAATTGGTGTTGTGTTTCTTGCTCAGAAGGAGACGTCAAACTTGTCCAGATATGGCCATGATGGGGTCCGATTCCGCAGATTTGGATTATGATAACCAAAATAGAATTCTTTTACCCGCCATTGATTCTGATTTGCTTATCTTTCCTGGAAGAGTCCCCTCCGCTTTCTCATGCGGCCTTTAACCGGTGATTTTGTCGACTTGTCGGCATCCTCAAGCGTAATCTACCATGACGCACGATGTGAGAAGCAATGCAGCAACCAACCCTTCGTCCTATTAACGATGATCATCGGCGTGCCAGGCATGGATCTACAAGGGAACGAGGGGCGTACGACTCTAGCGCACTTGGCTTTCTTCGCGTCGGGAGGAAAGCCCAGGGAGAAAATTCTCTACGTCTGCTGCAGCAGTTTTGAGACCGAAAACATCACATTTCCTCTTTTGTGCCTCAAAGGACGACTTTATGCGCACAAGGAGGCCTTAAATCATCCGGATATGGCGTAGCAGATGATGCCATGGTGTAACTTGTACCGCCGTCAATGCACAGCAGAGGCCGGGTCATTTTTGATCGTATAAAACGAAACCTTCAAAGGTTTTGTTTTAGCGAAGCCTTTGTCAGTCCTGAAAAGTCCGTCTGCAAAACAGTGGGAAAAACCTTCCCCCCTACAGAACAATGGAATTGAAATAACATTTCGCTTTACAACGTCCAATGCTGGAGCAATGACTGTAAGTATCTCGTGGTCCACCTCCATGTTACACTGAATATCTACCATCAGCATAAGTACATCTACATCTACCTTCCTGCACCAAGGTTTATTGATCCTGGGCCATACCGCCGGCGCGCACTATCATATTCTACCATATCCTCGAATCCAATCCACCCCGTCAACGGTCATACCCTTCATCGTGACTGGTCCACGTATCTTTGGCGTTCAGTACCATGTAGCGAAGAATCCGTGTCATAGTTCTTCGCTTGTGGATTTCTAAGACCCAGACAAGGCCTAGTGGACAAAGTCGCTACTTTGTGCTGGGGTTCGATTCCCCAGATCTGGATAGGACGGTACTAATTCAGAACTTTTACTTTTACTCGCCATCGGGTTCTAAATTGTTCATCTTTCCTAGAAGAGTCCTCCCCGCTCGTCGCTCTATTCAACCGGCGGTTTCATCATTTCTTCGGCGTTCTCCAGTCTACCCCGAGCGCAACAGCGGAAGGGAGCGCAGTGACCAACCTTTGATCGTGTTTATCTTGGAATGGTCCTCATTGTGCGCTATACAAAGGGTGTGCCGGTTCTATCGCGTTCTCGAGTCGAAAGTTTCACGTTGCAAGGAAGATCCTCAGGGAAATTTGACGCGTTCGCTAAAGGAGGCGCTTTGCCTTGAGTGAACGACTTTTAACACGCAACAAGGGCCCAAAATCATCCGGATATGGCATAACAGGATGGGTCGCTGTTCCGCGGTGCCGGTTCGATTCCCCAGGTCTGAATGTGCGAATCTCACCTACCTTTTTTAGATGTCTTTTCCTCGCCGCTGGGTGTATTCCGACTCAGCAGACACGTATCATTCTATTGTCCTCTGGGTTTTGAATTCATAGGCAGGCAACAACCGCTGCGGGAAAAAGAATTAACCAGTTGCTGTGTTTCGTTGTTTAGAAAGAAACCATACGCTGGGGGCAACTTGGCTGTGAGTACCTCGTCGTCCTTCTTCTTGCTGTACTGAGTGTATACTACCAGCATACTTTATACTATTACCTTCATGCACCATCATAAATTTCCGAGATGGTCTTTTTCGCCTCCTCGAACCTAATCTAACACGATATAGAAAACAACCCTTTGTCCAATGGTATACCACTATCACGTTCTGCCGGATTCGAGTCGGCCATGGAGAGCAATCAACATGTTCTCGGGACCAGGCGCCAGTTATAGCGCCCAAATATGGTGTAACGGATGATGTCGGTGCTGCTTCGCGGGGTTCGATTCCCTAATTCCGGATGGACGAGAGATTCCTGTGACGTTTTTTGTACACCCTCTACCGAATTTCATTTCTGAGTTAGAAGATTCTTTCTGGTGCAGAAATGCAGGGCTCCTTGCAATGTGCATCCAACAGCCGCTTTCATGGAAGTATACTCGATATCCATTCAGTTCTGCCTTGGCTCCTTCCTCTTCTCGTATCCTGACTCGCGATCGTAGGACGCCACGCAAACATCACGGTGAAAGACATAGGGAAGCCCTCGACAGGAGGCAAAATTCTTCTTCGGGATCGATCTTCCATATATCCCTCTCATGATCTGGGTCGGGGAATCGAACCTTAACAGTACCAGTGTCGGCCGTTGCACCATGAGATTGACGATTGCGATTGCGAGAAAACGGTTCTCACTCCCTTCCCGCGTAATCAAACTCGGGGGTTATCGTGCATTTGAGCTTGCGAGTTCTGAGTCGTTTCTTCTGTCTGGAATGCACTGAGGTAAATTCAGTAAGCTCTCCTCGTTGGTACTAGGAGCAAAATACTTTCGCACGCCGTATGACCGGGACCGGGAATCGAACCACGATACGGTACCAAATCCGTAGTATTAGAAGCAACATCCGTTGCACCAGCATGAGGATAATGCATCCTTAGTGACCGCAGAAAGAAAGTTTCCAATCCTTCAGCGCCACTTTCCCTCCCGCTCTCTAATTCCTCAGTGGCTTCATATCTGTACGAAGCCGGGGTCGCCTCGACGCTAGTGAATATCTTGGGGGATTTTGATACTGTGACCTCGCAAGGTTCTTCAAGAATCAAGACTTCGCGAGGCCTTGACTGTTGGGTCCGAACATGCGTACAGAGTTGAGCATCGCATCGTCCTGGGCTCAAGTACAGCCAGTGGATGTATTATGTACGAAGTTTGCGCTCAAGCAATGTTCAAGTTTCTAACGAAATGGGAATCTATTATGAAGAGAGGAATACGCATTAGTACGCAGGTCGCATAACTTCCAACTCCTTCCTTCCGCCCTCACACACTCACTCAGATCTCAGCCAAAATCTCAGATGGGGGCTTGTTCAATCTCCTGATAATCTTCTTCGGCGGTTCAATCCCCCCAATCGTAATCCTCCGGTTATCCAGCAAAGTGATCCACTTCAGCTCCTCAGCATTGATGCCGGTGCCGGTCATCAACCAGTCTTTCGCGATAGCCCAATCTCGCTCGCTTTCTTCTAGGTCTCCGGGATCCGGCATGCCGTAGGGGATATACCGCATGTTCAAAAATTAATTTAATATGATGTCACGGTTAGTGGCCACGTACCTTGAAGCTCGACACAAACATCATCCCAGGCCCGTCGTTCTCCCAGTGGATGTACGCAGCTAAGACGTTCTTCTTCTCCATGTGGCAAAGCCAGTAGTTTATGGCTAGTTCGATCATGGTGTCGTCGTAGTTCAGGGGGTTGGTCATTTTGTAGGCGTCCATCACTTTGGGAAGGGTGGAGAAGGACATATAGTAGCCGCCGATCCTGTAGGACATGGCCGACCCGGGGGGAGGTTCAGCAGGGTTTATCTATACTAAGGGGGAATGTACACTCACCGGAAGTGAAAAAGATGTAATGTGATATGGAAGCAAGTAGTAAGCGAAATGTTGAGATCTCCGCCTTCTTATATACTACCCTTGTTCAACAATTACATAAAATATCCTTTGGCCGTCCGGAAGTCGGAACCATGCAGCGGAGAATTAGTGTCGTGGTTCATCCCCAGTGAAAAGTCGGTCGAGCCACACTGAGCCAAATCAAGCCCAGGGAAATGGTCGATGGGGCTCCATTCCGCTCGTTGTGGCTTCGAAATGTGAACCATTTTCCAGCTCAAATCGAGCCATTTCGAGCTCAGTGTGTCGGTGTCATAGGGTTCCATTAGGCTTTTTGGGGCTCGATTTTATTGCTATTAATATGCATAGAATCAGATTGCTACTAGCACGTACTATGCTAAGTAGTAGCATCCTTCCCATTCCGTCCACGGCTGGCTCTGTCCCGCTCGGATACCTCAACCGTGTTTCCCGACGTCAAGATAGATGTACCGAAATAGATAGCCCTAGAAAATGTTATATCAGTACACAATGACGGTAAAGACGATTCCAGGACTACTCACGAAATAAAAGCCAGCGGGAACGATGGCAAACACGACCTGTATAAGATTAGATTAGTGAGTCCAGGAATACACACATATAGAACAGAACGTACCATCACCACACCCGAAGCTATGCCTAGACGGCATATGGAGCAACTGTACACATTCTAAGTATCAAGAGAAAAACATTCAAGAGCGCAATGAGACGTACCTCAGAGATCCAGATATCTTTCTGCTCAAACGGGATTTCCAAAGACGTATTGCTGCTAAAGGTGTCCAAACATGGCGCATATATCCACTTTATGCGGCATTTTCAATCTGTAGCCTCATATTTGCAAGTCTTCGCATCAGCTTGCCGGTAAGAGACCAACAGTAGGAGGCTACGAGAGCAAGTACGAACCCATGTCCTGCGATAATACAGGATCTGGGTGTAGGGCGACAATGAGGACAGCGAATAGGCCAGAACGCGACGTGGATGGTGGCAGAAGGGGAAGAAGCGTTAATCGCGTCACTGGATGACATCCACGTGGTCGGAACCGTTGACTTGAAGTTGTGCCAATTTGCGCTCGCAAAATTCGGCGCATTTTAGTTAACCGTTAGGTTCAGAGAGATTCTGCCCTGGTATTCTTGGATATGCTGATGGAAAGAGGAGAAGGTTTATAGTCCGAAGCTTTCTTGTACGACGCCGCTTGATCCGGCTCGACTACGCTACATGATAATCTTTGCAGCTTGATTTGGCTCAAACCGGCTCGACGGAATTTTCACTGGGGTTCATCGTAGATGATGGAGGAAGATACAGAATAGAAGCTGGAGCATATGAACACGAGGATAAGACTACAACAACGTGACGTGCTCACCAAGGACCAAACGGAACACCCAAAGTCAGTCAAACGAGACCCTCTTCAGCCGGTGACGTGACTTTTGCCCATATTGGATTAGAGAATCATAGTCTGAAGATACTTAGAAGATCCGGCATCGTTTCGACGCGATTCTGGCAAGCTGAGTACGACGCGGTCGAGGTGAGGGAGAAAGCCGGAGTTTGTTCCCACGATACCGGTCTAGCGTCCCGATACCGCCGAGACCTAATCGCCGCTGTCTTGAAGACAACATCGAGCACTGAAGACGGCACGATGGGCCGCTCGCCTGCCCCGCCTCCACAACTGTTATAACTGGCTTCGTTCCAAAACGGACTGACGGTCCATCGAGTGCCTACTTTACAGGTGTCTCTTCATCCTAGTGAATCGTCGCCAGTCACCGAAAACAAGGACGCTCGATACCAGGACGATGTGCCACATCTCATCCTATTCGGAGATCGCCTCAAGACAACTATTGGCTGCCGCCCGACGAAGAGTTTAAAAAATCGGGCGTACCAAACCAGGGTCGTTGACAAGCGCCGGCGACAGTACTTGAGCACGGTTGGAAAACGAGATCTTACACTGAGGCCGATAAACGACGTAAGTACCTTATCATCCACTGCTTCACTATATTGATCATCTATCCCTAGCCCTCTATCACCCGTAGTAATTGGCGCTGTTCTACTTTTCCGCTGCCTCCATCCTCACGCGCGCGAACCACCCCCGGTCACCAAAAAAAGGACTTCTGACACCGGGACAGTGCACCACGTCTCATAAAGTTCGAAGATCGCCTCAAGACATCCCTGATTGACTGCCGCGTACCCTTCTCATCGACTTTCTTCTAACGGGTGGTACATCCCCTGCCATTTCTCAATAGTCGCATGGATTGCGCGTGTTCGTTCAAGTTACACTCATCGCGAAAATCTTCGACCCAGGCTATTTTAGTGATGAACACAGCGCATACAACGAGAACGTCATCTTGTGGAGACCTCTACAGCTTGAACGCTGTTTTTCCGACAAGGAGGACTGCCCCGTGCGCTCAGAGGTGGACTTGGACAATGTTCGTGGTGTGCTGGCCGATCTGGAAAAGGTTGAGCCGGCGGATCCGATGAAGAAACTTAAGAATCTGGCATATTGGGAAGAGGTCGTTAATAAGCAGGGGCGGAGGTGTCTCAAGTGGTGGTTGCAGAATGATTCGGCACCGGGGGCAATAACCTGACTGTAAGCACCTCGCTGTCCTATATATCAGGTATTAACTACCATCCTATATGCAGCTTTTTCTACCTTGAACGCAAATACAGTGGTATCACCCTTGTCGACACAAAACCACCAACTGCACAGTCTTTGCCACCTCACGCGTCAGTTGAACAATCTCTTGTGAAGGACGCAGGGCATCGAGGGGGATAAGTCCATTGATCGCCGCCTGCCGCTTCCATCGCTCCCGACGAGTAGTCGGCGGCACCCTGCCATCGCTCAAGTAGCGCCCCTCAGCGACGAATACAGCTCATTGTCCGACCTGCTCACTCTCCTCAACATATCTGTGTCGCAGGAAGTAGAAGCCTATTGTCGCCTTCGCGCCCATACCACGCACATCCTCTCCATAGGGGAAGGAATCTTGTGTTCTCGTCCCTGCAAAGAGCGCAATGGCTACCATCGTCGACCTTTAGCCGAGGATGCCCCGACCGACGACGTGGTGTGGAGTTTTGCGAAGAAAGGCTACCCAGTGCGGTTGGGAGATTGATTTGCGTGGCATCCGTGTGATTTGGAATAGGTCGGGTTTGCAAATCCAACTGAACAATTGGGCGTATCCGACGAATGCACGAGTTCTATGCTGGAGGAAATAAACCTTACTGTAAGTTCCTCGTCGTCCACCTACGCGCTATACTAAGCAGTACACTGTCACTTCATGCAGCTTTACTCATCCTCCATCAGCCCCACGTCTCCCCTTGCAGGCTGCGTTCAGGATCAGAGATCTTTATGGACCAGACATAGCCTGTGTTTTTCTCGACGTCAAGGACACCCAATAGCCAGTCCATCTGGGGCAACGAATAAAAGAAATTAACACGATATTATATCATCCAGATCCGGGGAATCGAACCCCCCTTGCAGTGACAATACTTATCCGTTACGCTATATCTGGTTCCTTCTTCCGGGACCGTCGACATTTTCCACTCGAAAGCACAGACCACCCTCCCTGTATGAGGGCATGCTGATGCTCCGGATGCTGCAGTGGATTATGATGGTACATGATAGTACCCATCCTTCGTCGTATTCTCCCTGATACGAGGATCACCAGCACGGATGTTCTTGACTCTGAATCATGCAGCGAAGAATTCGTATTGTATTTCTGGTCGGACTGGTCAGTCCGAAGAAATTGAACAATCGGGCGTATCGGGCGAAAGCACGCATCAATCACTGGTGGGAGAACGAGGGAAATGAATCTGAACGTAAGTACTTCATCGTCCATCTTCGTGCTATATTGCTGAGGATCCACCATCAGTACAGATCGACACCTGCCTTCCTACACGTAGCTTTATTTGATTCTAGGTTTGCATCGTGAGATTCTTGCAACCTTGAGATCTTTGCAACCTTGAATCCAACCGACCCTAGCCTGGGATGGGAGGATCGGCCCGGCGGCCCATCCTTCGTTGCGTTCATTCACTCTGACAGGATAATCATCAGCGTGTATGATCTGGTCGCTTGCCAGGAGGAGTCGTTGCTTTGTGATGGGGTTCGATTCCGCAGATTTGGATTTTTGGATTATAACCAAAATGCAATTTTCATTTCGCCGTCGATTTTTGGCTTGTTCATCTTTCCTGGAAGAGTCTCCCTCCGCTATCTCATGCGGCCTTTAACCGGTGATTTCGTCGACTGTTCTATCGCGCTTGGCTTTTTTCACGTCGGAGAGAAAAGCTCAGGGAGAAAATCTACGCATCTGCTGTAACACTATCGAAACCGGAAGCATCGCATTTCCTCTTTTGTGCCTCAAGGGATGACTTTGTGTGCACAGTGAGGCCTTACATCGTCCGGATATGCATCGTAGGGTTCGATTCTCCAATTCCGGATGGTACAGTACCTTGGCCAAAAAACTACCGCCATACCTTCCTGTTGACGTGGTGTAACTTCATGTACGGCCGATAATGGGGTATATGTAGAAGAAAATATGCTCCGTCCCTGCCCAGAACCGACCATCGGGAGTTGAAGAACGTCGGACATAGAGGCTGTGATACTCGACAGAACAGCGCGAACCTTAAAAATGGCGATATAAATATTGTCATTAAAATGTGGGTCCTATCAGTACAGAAAGCGATACATAAACTAATATATAACAGCGAAATTCCTAGTCATCTAAACCGAAACGTGAAAAAAAAAAACCAACCCATAATCCCCTCATATTTAATCCTGATACCAGATACGCATGTCCTTGCGGTTTCCAATAGCATGCGGCGTCTGATGAACCCATTTGTCCAAAGCATGAACAAGGTTGGCGTACGTGGTGTCTTTCTTCAAGTATCCGGACCGGAGAGTACGCAAAAGCGAGTCCGTGAACAGACCAATGTACCCTCCTTCCACCTTCTTCGCCTTCGCAACCTGGTAATCCTCACATGCAGCCAACACAACGAAAGAGTTCATATCCGGGTACCAGTCATCCTTTAAAATGGAGCGATAGCCAGGATAACGCTTCAAATATTCGTGCCCGGCGAGGAGCATAGCCTGAAGTGGAGTCTGGTCCAGTGGAGGAGCAGTGCGCGCTTCTGGCGGAGGTAAATCTCGAGTGACACCACCAGAGTGGCAACAGTCGAGAATGACTGTGATTCGGCGTCCCTTGGCTCGGGCGATCAGGGTTAGGATGGTATTAAATTCCCGGTCACTAATGTCAGGGACGGGAATACCGTTGGAGTCAGCGGTACCACGATCGATGGGACACAGTGCTTCGACGAATCCCATTTCTGCTTGCTCGTCATCTTCCTCCGAAAATGAATAGCGAGAACCATGTCCGGCATAGTAGATGATGATATTATCGCCGTACTTGATATGGGGATTGCCAATGACACTGAGAAGTGTGCGAATGATGCTGGCGCGGGAAGGATTCTTTGTGGGATCAAGGGAAACTTCCTTCTTCGACCCGAGAAGGACTTGGATGCGACCCTTAGGCACACCGAGGTCGTCGATCAAATACTTCCCCATTGATTTAGCATCTGATACGCAACCATGCAGCGGGTAGGACGCATAATCGTCAATGCCAATGAGCACAGCCCAAAATCGAGAAGCATCGACACGGTGTGGGGGCTAAAACACTACTAGTCAGTACAAAGGCCTATCGCTAAAGGACACTCACTTACGCCTGATGGAAGAGGATATCTTTCTAGTTTGAAATTTTTAATGAGCTTCGACTGAACGCGACTGGTATTAAGGCGAAGATGATAGAGCTTGTTGAGGTTTTTTAACACCTCCAAGAAGCGATGATCACCGTTGTGCGTCACCTCGTACCTGGTCCTAAGGACTCGGAGAACCTCGGTTGAGTCAGCATCTTCGCTCATCCCCAACTGCCGTCGCACTTGCATCTCGAGCTCCTCTAGTGGTCGTCTTTCTCTGGAAAGTTCTTCTAACTGTGATAACATAGCACGTTGCTTATCACCCTAGTCCAAAGTCAAGGTGCTGCAGGCTCAGAGGATGGCAAAAGGTAACATACCATATCGTTAGTACTCAAGGTCACGTCATTTCCCAGCTCAAATCGCATCCAATTGGCAGGTGCCGCATGTTCGTTTGGAGGGTCATAGCAATGATACGACATGTTCATTGTGTGATTTTCCAGGGCACTGTCCAGACGGGGGGAACGAGGTATATCCGATAATGAGCCCGCCATACTAGGACGCATAGAGCTCTTGTGACCAACAGCATCTGGGTTCACCGTCATGCCATTGACAAGGAGATCTTGCCTCGATGCCCTGCTAGAAGTGCTTGAAGACTGATGGGTATCTGGCGACTGATACAAGATCGGGACGCTTCTTGCAAACATGTTCGATCCGGTGAAAATGACGCTGGCTGGTAGCATGTAATACGGTACTATGGTTGAAGGTAGTCGATAATGGTTGTAATCAACTGGATAGTAAGAGAAAGTGGTCGGTGACCAGATAGGAATGTTTCCGTCTAGCCTCTCGCGTGTTGCGGGGTGGTCGACGGGTAGAAAGGTGTTACTAGGTTGAAGCAAATTCCCAGACTCAATGGCTGCGTCTGGGATAATTCCAGGAGAAGTCGCCCGTGTATGCGTCTGATGAAGACATTGGCTGTATCGATTATATTGAGTATCGTAACGGTCATACGAAGACACTAAGCGGTTATGTTGAGTTGAATGATGGAAGAAATTTCAGGGCTTTACCTGCATCGTCCTTCTGCCACGGGCATGAATAGTGGGAAGCACAGACACATCTTTCCGAAGAGGAAAAATATTGAGAATAGTGGTTAGGACGCGTTGTGGGAGCTACTCAAAGTAAGATTGTAAATTTCTGGTGAAAACTTCAAGAATATTGATAAAAGCCGACCTGTGAGTGTCGAAGATGCGCCAGCCGCATCCGGCAATCCGGCAATCGGACTATAGTTGAAGCCACGCGAGAATCTTCGCGTCCCTTCTCCTCGAGTCGTTCGTTCGTCTGCTCACTCAGCAATGAGTCAGACATGGACACTGGTAGGTAGTAGTATGTTCTGGAAGTACTTACCTTGTAGTATATATACCGGGGATCTCAGTCCCCAATACACATTGCTTTAACTACTTCCTAACACAATCTCTCTCAAACGGTTGAGTCTCTCAGTTTACCACTGCGCTTACCACCTTCATTACACTCTATTTTACAACAGGTTATGGGCCCCGGTCCTAACTAAACTACAGAAGACTCACCGTAATCAATTACCTCACTAAATTACAATCCATCCCCATACATCATGTCCGACACCACACCCTCATCATTATTCCGCATCGAGCTACTCCAGGAGCATAACTGGGTTCCGTGGAAGCGTCGCGTCACTGCGATCCTGCGAGAACGAGCCCTGTTGAAGTATGCTGATGGGACATCAAAGAAACCAATTCCGGCAGATGCCAAAGCACCGACAGCTGAAGAATCGGAGAAGATCACGAAGTGGGAAGAGGGAGATGGACGAGCGCAGACCCAAATCGAGCTCACGCTGTTGCGACTGCAGCCTATTTACACGTGTAATTTTGCAATCTAGAGTGTTTTACATGCATACTGAGAGATAGTGAGCGAGCGGACTAAAACTACGCGTCGACACTAATGCTACGCGGTGCAATGACATGGAATATAACTTATGGCATAAGAAGCAACGGGATTCTAAACAGGACTTAGTCACAGCACTGTACCTGACGGGCATGTGTGACGAGAAGGCCAAACCCTATACCCAATGCCTTAGGCTCTAACTTACAAGCACACTCGCGGGAGCTAGATAAAACCTTGAAGATTGCACTGACACTGAGAACACTTAGCGCGCTCGCTAACTGTGACGCGCCATACCTGAAAATCCAGGGAAATCCTTAAGCGAGCTGACAGATATCACCGGCATGAGCTTGGGCAATGGGCTTCGGCCGAAGTCTGCGAGCCCGCGTTCCATTGTTCTGAGTCCCATTGTTCGAAGACTCACTTGTTGCCATGTCTACGAGAAGCCTCTGTGAATCCAAGAAAGAAGTCCTGAACGACATACGCCAGAACTGATAGTTCTGTGCGCCTAGACCTGTTGGTCGCTAGAGAACAAGCCCGTGGGTGTCGGGAGAGCACCTCTTGGCATGCGTTTAGCGAGCTCACTATAGAAATGAGACTAAAACTGGGAAGTCCGACTCGGATGCTCCGTAAGGCGGTGGTGGCAACGTGCTACGCATGTAGGAGTCTGGGTACTGTGCGACGTTTGTAATTCTAATTCCCCTGTAGTATAAGTAGGCTGGTTACAGTAGGTAGAGGCCAAGTTTCGAGCCCCTGAGTTCCCGTGCACGCATTGAAGGCGGTACTGTAACAAAGGATCAGTTTGTGACTTCGAGCTGTGCATAGAATTAGCGAGCTCACTCAGAGAAATACGAGATACCCTTTTGATAAGACTTTTGAGAACTTAGTCAGAGTGAATACGAATCAGTGACGCTGTTTCTGTTCTGTTAAGTGTGATAAGTCTGTTCGGAGAATGTGTTGAAGTGGAAATCTGAGATCTGTCCTGTTCTGTTCTGTTCTGTTCTGTTCTGTTTCAGTCTGTTCCGTGTCAGTTCTGTTCGAAGTTCCGTTTCTGAATCTGTTTTCCGAGCGCTTCTGAAGTGTTCTTGAGTCAAGATAACCTGCTGGAGTTAGTTGGAGAACCCCTACATACAGTTGTGTAGCGAGCGGGCTAAGTCAGTGCTTGCCTGTGGTGTTCTTTTAGCGAGCTCACTAAAGTTTCGGCATGTATTGCCTCTGTTTCTGTTGGGATCAGTGTCCCTTGTGTATTATAACTCAAATCTGCCTTGAAGGTTGCGTCGCGCCAGTGAACGACCTTCCTGTAAAAAGTTCCTAGACTTAGGAATTCATTAGAGAAAGCTTAGCTTCGCTAAGAGCGCTGAGAATAAGAGAAACTCTTCGAGATATTGAAGTATAGTTGGATCGCATTAGAAATAATCACTCCCCCTAGAACTTATGAGGGTGATTGTAGTTTGTGTAGTTGTGTGAGTGTGTGTGTGGGTTTTTGAGGTTCGCCTTTTAGCCCGCTCACTATTCCACAGGTGCCCACAGCCAGCCTCTTCAATGCTGAGCGACTCGCAGATGATACACATCGCAGGAGCAAAGACGTCGGCTGAGATGTGGATGCAGCTTAAATTAGTAAAGGAAGCTAGAGGGAAATTGGGAATACTAGCGCACCGCCGCCGACTTTACCGCACCATTGCTGACGAGTCAACAGACATCATAGAGCACACCACAGAAATGCGCCGAATCCAGGAAGAGCTTGGCATGTTGGGGAGTACCGTCACCGATGAAGACTTCCTGATGCTGCTCGTATCGTCACTACCAGAATCCTGGGACCAGTTTACATCGGCGTACCTAGGATCCACTGGGAACAACCCAACAGTCACATCGCATGAGTTCATCGCCATCATCCTTGAAGAGAACCGTCGATGGATTGAGAAATCCGGAGGGAGTGAAGCCGCCATGTACGGGCGCAGTAATGGAAAGACTGGCAGTGGAAACAGTCGAGGGAACTCCACATCAGGGAAGGTCTCTGATGATGTTGAGTGTTGGAACTGCCACAAGCGAGGCCACATGTCAGCACAGTGTTGGTCCAAGGGTGGTGGTCAAGAAGGGAAAGGCCCAGGCAGGAAGCAGGGAAAGAAGAGGGAAAGATCTAATCAGGCAAAGGATTCAGGAAACGTGAAGGACGATGTCATCGAAGCAGCTTACCATGTGGAGTCTAAACCCCAATTTGACTCGCATTTTTCCACTTACAGTTGGCTATCTGACTCCGGAACAACCTCGCATATCTCCAATCGCCGAGAAACCTTCGTAGACTTCAAACCACTTGAGGCCACATCCATTGCAGGCATCGGAAATGCATCCGTTCGAGCACTAGGCCGAGGGACAGTCCTGTTAGACTGCAAAGTAAATGGGAAAACTGTTACTCACCAACTTAAAGACACACTCTATGCACCGAATGCCGTAAACAATCTCATTTCCATCAGCAGGCTTGATGATGCTGGTATGGAAGCTTCGTTCAAGGATGGCAGAGTCCAGTTCCTCTGCAAGGACGGGAAGATCCTGGCAGAAGGAAAGAAGACATGCCGTTTGTATTTGATGGATGCCCGAGCATGTGAAGCTGTACGTGAGCAGTCAAACATTGCCAATGTCAAAACCGAGAACACATGGGATGCTTGGCACAAACGCATGGGACATCTGGGAAAGTCAGGGTTAGAGCGATTGAAGAGAGAGGGATTGGTGGAAGGATTCACAGTTGATGATGACTCACCTCCCCTCAGTCAATGCGAAGCTTGTATTCAAGCCAAGATGGCCCTTCGTCCATTCTCACAAGAAGCAAAGCATCGAAGCGAGAAACCAGGGGAAACCACACATGGTGATATTTGGGGACCAGCCTGAGTTGAGTCCCTGCAGAAGTCTAAATACAACATCATGCTCACGGACGATGCAACCCGGCGATGTACACCTGAATTCATGAAACTGAAGTCAGAAGCATTCCAGAAGATTAAAGAATATGTCACCTTCATTGAAACACAGCATGGGTTCATGCCGAAGATACTACATGTCGACAACGCGAAGGAACTCACTAGTGGGGAGGTCAAACAATGGCTGAAGAAGAAAGGGATCTGACTACTCACACCAGCACCATACGCACACTCATCTAATGGCATAGCTGAACACTTTAATTGCACACTTGTTGAGCTTGCACGTGCTATGATGATTGCCAAAGGCATACCTTCGTTCCTGTGGGAAACAGCCATAGAGTACGCAGCATATATCAGAAATCACCCACCAACGAGGGCCCTTGATGGTAAAACACCGGAGGAAGCATGGATGGGAAAGAAACCTGATGTTTCCCACCTCCGAGAGTTTGGATGTGATGTCTGGATCAAAAGGGAAGGACAGAGCCTGTCAAAACTCGGCGGAAACTCGAGCAAGGCAAGGAAATATACCTTCATGGGATTCACCGAGGACCCAATTGTCATCAAATACTACGATCCTGAATTGCGAAAGATCTGCGAATCCCGGAATTACGAGTTTGCCGAGCCCAAGGCCATAGAACAGAGCTGTTATGGTTTATTCTTTTCTTTTCTTTTCCTTATGTATTCATGCTTACTCTTTGATGCGATTCCTATCGGACGCTCTCACAGTACTATTTTTAGTGTACCAAACGTGTATTTAAGTAGAGCCTCGGCTGGTCTAAACCCCAGCTTCGGCTAAGGTTTAATCTACCTAACATCGAACTCCTTGTTTCGCGACTATCTAAGTTCGCTCCTGACTCCGTTCCATCGTCTTTGACTACCTTGTGTTTCGTCTACCGAAGTGTGAGTAGCGATCCAAGGTCGATCTAAGTCAATAAGAGTTAGTGGCTAACATTTAGCCGAAGCTCGACACACCGTTACCCAGCGCCACGTCAGAGAACGAACACTGCCTAACTCTTTTTATCAAAGTACTCCCTTCGAAATTCATCCGATACACTTCCTTGCTGCAGTAGCCCTTTGGGTTACACCCTTCAACCTACTGCTTCAAGTAACCGTTGTCGCCTGGATTATCTCCTACCTTATCAACAACCCGATCTTTGCAGCCTTAGTAACTGCCCTCTTCACCCTTGCCTTCACTCGAGTGTATATCGCTGCACCGCTCCTAGCAGGACTGCTAGTAGCCCTGTACGGAGGATACGTCCTGCTTGTCTGAGGCGCCACGAAACTTTTCAACCTATTTCTAAAGTCAGCTTCCTTGTTGGCAGTAATCCTGCTGACATTGACTGACCCTTCCTTCGACGACGAAATCCCGCTGATGACCGGCTCCAACTACGAGGCCGACCTCAACCTGATTATCGCGACCCTCGCAGCCCTCACCATTATTGCCCTGACCATCGTATGGTCCACCCTTACCGCCGGCTATCCAGGAAAATAAGCCCCCGAACGGATGCCCTTATCCGACGCCATTCCCACAATCTCCGCCGTTTTTATTCTCTTTTTCTTGTCCATCTTCTTGTACCAGATCAACCGGTGTTGTCGCCAGCAGAGATGCGTGCGCGCACAACTACCGTTCCATTACGTGCCCGCAACACCGGCCTACCCGCCGCCAATAATCTTCATTCCCGCGGCCTCACAGCAAACCCTTCACGATGGCTGACCCATCACACCCAGAGGACCTGGAGGGTCCCTTTACACCTCGTCGCGATCCAACTCGCGATCCTCAGAGTCGAGCACCGACTCCTACAGAAGCGCCACCGCCGAGTCCGACGGCTCTGTCGACATCACAGATACCTGGGGGGTACTCCTCGACAGAGGAGACTCGCCCCTACCGGGCCTCTTCGACGTCTCTCCAGTCGAAGGCGAGTCAAGCAACGATGGAGCCTGAGGACAAGGCACCGGGCATCTGGTCACGGGCGAAGAAAGCCCTGACACCGAGCTCGAAGGGGACGAGCTCACCGACCTCGAAAGAGTCAGACTCGAAGACCTCCTCAATGACCTCTACCCGAACGAGGAGGAAAATGCCACCTATACCGGAGACAGCTGGAGCGGACGCTCCCAGACTAAGTGGACGGATGCCGACTGGGGCAGTGAGCAGAGAAGATACGGGAAGGGGAAGGCCCGAGACGATTTCAGCGACGATTCCGGAGAGCTTGCCCTTGGGGCCTCCGCCGCCACGACCTCCCGTCCAGGTGGAACAGGACGAGTTCCAGCGTCTTGGGATACGGACAGGGGTCCCCCAGTCGCCTGGTACCCCGATTCAAGCTGGGTCTATGCCGACCCAGGGGAAGAGGCTCCTGTGGCCAGAGTCGCGGCCAGACGAGAGCCCGACCAGGTCCCTTCAGGGCCCGAGACCCCAACGATCACTTCCGCCATCCCCATGCACGAGCCGACGGATGGGGAGCTTTGGAGCAAGTACGGCGAGTACGACGCCGAGGAACTTGGAACAATTACCGTTTCCGAGCGCCTCACCGGAGTCTCCAACTGGGAGCCGTCGGTTCCCTCGAGAGCCTTCGCCGACCCCGTCCCTCTATCCCAACGTCCCTGGCCACTCCTCTATCACACGTACGTCGAGTCCCTCGGACTCCCTAGAGATGCCAGGATCGCCCCAGAAATCGAGGCCAGAATGGAGCGCGGAAGAGCGCATGATGCACGCATCCACAGAGCAGAAGAGGACTAGTGTACATGGCAAAATAGATTTCGGACAATTGTGCCGGCACAATGGCACAATGGCAATTGCCGGGTGTGGCACAATACGGCGCAATTTCAGAGACGGTAGTAAACTACATTGCCTTCATTAGAGTATCTATATCCCACCCACCCGCTACAGACTGTGGCTCGCCAATATGATCTGACTCCTCTCTAAAACCAGCTGGCGCCAAGCCCTCATCGATCCGAGCAAGCTCGTCAAAATTGTAAACATTACCTTCAAGAACCTCGGCACCATCAACATCAACCTCTTCTCGAGTAGCGAGATCCGTTTCGATGTCATTATATGCTTCTTCTATCTCTGCCATAATCTCTTCATAGGAATCTTCTTCAAAGCTCGATGCCGCAGGTCCCGATTGAGTCATGAAAGGAGGGACAATGGTGAAGTTTGCCTCGAGTTCCTTTGCTAATTCTGTATTAAGACCTGGTGTTTCACGAGTATGCATATGAGCATGCCGGCGCCGCACAGGTTTCCCTTCCAGAATAGCTTTCTGATGTAGATGGTAGTTGTAATTCGTGCGTAATTTTCCAAGTGACTCGAAGGTGTCTGTTGCAAGATTACAACGCTTTGCAGTCTGAGTACCGCCTAATTGGGAAAAGAAGCGTTCGACATCAGCCACATGGGGAACAATGGAAAGAAGCACGGATGTGAGGGATTTGAGGGGATGTTCCTTTGCCCGAATAGGTAGAGTCTCCCACCAGTCGAGCCCATCTTCCTTCCCACCAGCAAATGGCCCTTTTGCGAGGTAATACTCCTTCATGTCAGCAGCCAGCCCTTTGGCTCGGTTCTCATCCCATCTCCACTGTTTGGCTATGCTCAAAGCTGTCTTTAGCATGGTTTCAAAAGAGCGTGCCTTTGCAGCTTGGTTGACCGCAAGATTCCGGCATAAAGGGTGGAGGAATAAGGCTAAGGAGTGAGTGTCGGTGTTCATTTCGTGAAAGCGGCGGTTGAAGACTGCTTTGGCATGGTAGAAAAATCCAGAATCCTCGCCATCCTCCAATTCTAATCTGGTCATTGCACGGGCACAGCGAATGAATTCAAGCATGCAGTCGGCCAGATTAGCATCGCGAGACTCTAAGTTTCCAATCGCATCGACGAGAGGCTTATTAACCTTGATTAGTTGGTTCAACAGTGTCCAGTATTCTGGGTCATAGATCACTGTCTTAACAACATCGACTGCGACAGGAGAGAGCCCGCCGATTTTCTTCTGAGCATCGGGGCGCAGGCATATCTCATAGAGAGGTCGTCTGAGGGAATAGTGAGTTCAATCCTTCACTGTATCATTCTCGCACTTACTTATGGTCTTGAATACTCAGTGATTGCAAGATGAGTGCGTACCACCGTGTATCCGTATTCGTCTGAAGCTTCTGGTTCACCGCTATCTTTTTGGCTTCTTCTTTGAGCTGTCCACCCCAATAATGTGAGGAGTTGAAGAAGGAAACAATACGAGTACTCTGCGAGATAATTTTCTTCATGCGTGCATAAGTGCAGATTTCTCCGATAATCGTGTTCAGACCATGCAGAAAGCATGCAAAAACCTAGTTGTCAGAGTCGTTACTATGGAATACCTTCAAGGAAGTCAAGCCCATACCAAAACCCAATAATATTTCTCTTTGAACAGCCGTCGGAATTTTTGCATTACCGAGGGATCATCGGTTGTAGTTGCGATGATGAGTTTTCCGTCTTCTATACCCATGCTCTTCATGCCATTCTCTACGACAGCTAATATCCTCTCTGAAGATCCTCGCTGGCCTGTAACATCCTCCAAACCCAAGACGACAGGATACTGCTTCACTTCGGAAGCGATCGTTCCATACAAGCTTCGCTTGAGTTTATCCTCCCACCCATCTACCAACAGCGTAAGCCGACTCCTCTTTTGTAGCCGTTCCATTTCCTCAATCTGCACCCTAGCCATCTCACTTGCTATAATCGAGTGCGAGAGTACGTATCTTGATGGTGCATCATATGAAGGACGTATCTCATGCAGGAAATCCTCAAGATACCAGTCATCAGCGGCATAGAAGGCAATGTTTGCATGCACGAAGAACCTATTTCCTTGTTAGATGCCTATTCTTTCTCTTACATGCATAGATATTGAGCACACCGAAACAATTTAACATCAGCACGTTGCTTTTGGGTATCCGTAAGTCCATGGTCTAGTCCATACTCCTCCAGTGTCCCTGATTTCCGTCTCTTTACAGCGATAACATTCGAGGTTGCTGTTATGCCTGAGGCCGAAGCCGTGATACTCCCCGAATCATCATCGCGGCCGGTGTCTTCTGCTGATGGCCCCCCATCTTCGGTGATGAATGTGATGGCATGATTACCACCCTTTGCTGATAGGTAAATTCGGGCATCCCTTCGCACATGTGCCGGTGCATTAGGACATTTTTTTGGATCTGTGAAGTGGATGATATGTGCGTTGTCCCGGCCCTCCATCTTGAGACCCTGCCCAGCTGTACAGTATTTGCATCTCCAGTAATATCGACGTGATTTGTTGCTAACTTGCTCCAGGCGGTCTAAATTAGCAGCTACCACAGGCGGTAGCCGGCGTCCACGCTCTGCCATGCGTAAGGGGAAAAAAAGGTGAAGGAGTAATTATATTTGACTACCTGTGCCTTTGCCGGAAGCTCGTACGCCATGTAAATACAAATTCTACATATATTAATTGCGCCATATTGTGCCCAGTGACCCCCTCGGCACAATGGCACCTGCCGTCTGGCACTTGCCATGGCGCAAATGGCGCACTTGTGCCAACAACACTAAAGAGGACGCCCTCCAAGGACCTGGAGGCTGGTGGGACCTCCCTCTCGAGCCCGATGCCACAGATGCAGAGGTCGAAAACCGAATACGAGCAGCTGCGGTCAGATACACCGGAGCAGCGCGACGAGCCGGAACAGACCTTGAGGCAAGGGCTAGGGCCTGGAACTCCTATCAGGCTGAGATCACAGACGAGGACTCGGACATCGGAAGGTGGAGAAGGAACCGAGAGATCGACCGCCTCGCCCGAGAGAGGGAGGAGGCAAAGGATGCCCAGCCGCCCTCCAAATCCAGCCCTCGAACCGACGGTGATGGCGGCGGTGAGGCAGATTCTGCTTAAGGGGCCCACGCCATGGCCCGATATTTTCAACCTACTCCCGTGGCATGGGCTATACGAAATCATGATGGAGGATATGGAGAAGGACCCGCAGTGGCTTTTCTCCGAGGTGGGGGAAGATTACCGAGGAGCGAAGAGCATGGGGGACGTATACCTCATGAAAAACATCTTGGAAGTAGAGACGTGGCATCGGGCGGCCATTGTCTGGAACATGATGAACCCCGAGGCTCCGCAGCCAGGGTGTGAACCATACAAGCGCCCTCAGCCGATGCCTCACCCGATCGACCCATTGGACTTCTTCCCCGAAGGGTTCTTTGGAGGGGCGGGGGGGGACGACGACGAGTATACGGACATGGGCGCTGGGCCCTTGAACCCAGATAAAGGCAAGCAATCTACGGTTCCGCCAGTGCTGCCAAGGTCGTCGCGACACCCGGACCCCGCGGGGTACCCGCCCCCAGGGGAAAATCGGAATTTGCGGTCCTTGTCGCGACCGCCCAAGCCGCCCGCACCCCCTCACGTCCCATCGCCATCCGATCCGATCCCTCCATGGCAGCTAGCCCCTGGGGCGGTGAATAACCCCTGGAATGACATCAAACCCAAGCTGGTGACCCAGCCCAAATACTTCACCGGGGTTTCCTCGGACATTACGTGGTTCCTGCATCACTGCGAAGTGTACTTCGTGGTGTTCCCCATGTACTATACAATGAACGATCAAGGGCATAACCCCTACTGCATCACGTTCGCGCAGGGGTACTTATGGGGGGACGCGCAGCAGTGGTGGGTCGACCAGTACTATCGATACCAGGACCCGCAGGGCCATTGGAGATTCCCCACCTGGGCAGAGTTCTCTAGTGATCTCACCACCGAGTTCCGCGAGGTGGCGGAGCTAACCATATGGAAAGCGGAATGGAAGAAGATCCGACAGTCGGACTTCAAGTCGGCTGTCGAGTTCTTCGCGAAGTTCGAACGGCTGGCCCATAAATGCGAGGAATTCGGAGATGAGAAGCAGATGTTCGAAGCGGTCGAAGCAGCGATAAGGCTGACGGTGCGCAATACGGTTATGCATGGGGACAATGAGCGCCCCACAACCTATGCCGAGTGGAAGGCACGAGTATTGTGCATCGATGCAAACTATCGATATGGAGTGGCCCAAGGATTGGGCAGTAAGTCCTCCCAGAACCAAGGCGGCTCTGGTCGAGGCAATCAATCATCGCAGAAGGGGAGCGGGCAGGGTTCTAGTGGTGACAAGAAGGACGCCACCGGAACAACGTATGGAGGTGCCAGGCAGCCGATGGAAATCGATAAGCTCTGAAGCGACAAGCGGTGCTTTAAGTGCGGAAATACCAGGTGGAGCCGGGACCATAAATGCCCAATGGACAAGTCGAAGTGGCTTCCCGTCAAACTTCCACCCCGCAAGAAGCCCAACGTCCAACGCCTACGTCAATTACTCGCTGAGGCAGAGAAGGAGGAATTAGGGAAGGATACGAAGGTCAAGGAGGTTAAGGACGATAAGTCGTCAAAAGACCAGCCGGCGTCGAAATAAGCGATTCGACGGTGTCGGCAAAGAACTTAGTTTCTACTGGTGCGCACTCATGTACTTCTAGCCGGACTTATACTACGTATGTAGGTACTCCCTATGAACAATACACAAACTTTTTTGCCGCGTTACCAGTGGAAGAAACTAAGGACGATGAATCGCATGCAACCGACAGCGTAGGAGGGGATTTCCGCCACTCCGCACAGCCTGCGCTCAGTACTGAACCCCTAGGGGCTGTCCGAGCTCAGGAACCCCCGGCTCACCGCACAGGGAAAGCCCCTCGAGGGCAGAGCCCCCTAGGTTGAGTCCCGACTGCACCCCAGACGTGGGGAGGTCACCCCGGAGAGGGAGAAAGGTCGACAACTCAGCCCGCTGGGCCTGCGTCCCCGTCTGTGGGGCCATCTGTTCCAGCGGGATACGTCGGAAAAGCAGCTGAGGCGATGAACTCGGACGACCACCCCCACTCAGTAACCACCCAAACGGCAAACAGTGGGGACCGTTCGAACGAGCCAATATGTGTGCCCCCGCGAAGGGTTACCCGAAGTACCGCCGGGTCCAGGAAGAGCGGTAAGAACGGATTCACAGTGGAGGTTACAACGCCGCGTGCAAACGCCCGAGGCCAGGGCCAAACACAGGGCAGCGAGCCCTCCTCCACCACCTCGACTACCAAGGGCGCCCAAGTGCTGCCTCGGGACCTTTCTCGTCCCGGTGACCAAATGCCACTTCGAGGGAAGACCCCGTCGGTCTTATTGGAAGAAGTGGAAGATGAAGAAGCCCACCTATGGTCCGACATCCCAGTGCGCACGCCGCGAAAGACGTCATCACCGACCCCATCCCTGTAAGCCACTAACTCTATCGACTCAGATGTGTTAGGGTCGCTACTCGCACTTCGGTAGACGACGATCCAACAGATCGAAGACAATGAGAGTCGATGGGACAAGAAGTCACGAAGGACGGAGTTCGATGTTAGGTAGAATAAACCTTAGCCGAAGCTGGGGTTTAGACCAGCTGAGGCTCTACTTAAATACACGTTTGCGTAGGCTAAGAATAGTGCCGCAGCAATGTCCGATCGAAATCGCAGCATAGAGTAAGCGTGAATACGTAAGAAAAGAAAAAGAAATGAATAAACCGTAACATTACCCCCTCTCTAAGATTCGTTCGTCCCGAATGAATCCTGACTCTCCCCACTCTGCGCGGACGGGCTGTAGAAAGACCAGGTATCGTCATCATCGTTGTCGTCATCTTCGGAGTCGAAATCCCAGTTCTCGTATACTCTTTGTAAGTTCTCGAGGTCTAGCTTGGAATCCTCATCGTTTGGTGTTTCTTCGACGATGGGTATTCCATCTGCTTCCTCTGCAGTTACTTCTCGCATCTCCATGGAGGACTGTGCATCGGAGTGTCTTGGGTTAGTGCATTCGGAGGAGTAGACGGTTTCCACGTCCGTGACACATGGGGTATCCGGGTCGTGGTATGGTGTTCGAGCCTCCCGGGGTATATTGTCGTCTCTTCCGACTGTTCTCCCGTATTTGTTGACTTCCCAATGAATCCGTTGGAGACGTGCTTCGTACTCGTTTACGAGTTCCTCCGCGTTTGCCATGTTGGAACGTTTGACCCAGGAGTTTTCCTCCCTCGGGTAACCCCTCCACTTCACCAGGTATTCTGTGATTGTGTGGCGAGTTTGCCCCCGACCGACAACTTTGTCGCGCTGTTCGACTATCTCCTCGATTTCGTATTCTTCTTCGTCATCTATTAACTCCGGAGGCGGACGTTCGGGACGTGGTTGATTTGGAAAGGCGGGATCCACATAGGGCGTCAGTAATGATTCGTTGAAGCGGTTGTGGATCTTCCATTTTACCGGTAGTTTCAATTCGTAAGCCGAAGCCCCTTTCTTTGCAACGATTGTAAAGGGCCCGACCCGACGATCCCCGAGCTTCTTGGTCGGTCTAGGAAGGTGAAGGTTGGTCGTGTCGAGCCAAACCTTGTCTCCTAGCTGGTACTCGATGGCGGCGGCCTTGTGCTTGTCATAGGCCCTTTTCATAGATTCTGCCGCTTTTTCCAACGATCTCTTCGCTTCGCCTTGTGCCTTTTCTATTTCTTCCACCAGCTTTCCCGCTGCTGGGACACTCGTTGTCCGTTGAGGCTTTTTAATGACCTCTCCATCCCTTCCAAAGATGACTCGATAAGGGGAATACCCCGTTGCCGAATGTTGACGATTATTGTGAGTGAAGGCCGCTAGCGGTAGCCATTCACTCCAATCGTCTTGTCTATCGTTGACGAACATTTTTAGGTACTTTTCAACTTCCTGGTTAACCCTCTCTGTCTGTCCGTCGGTCTGTGGATGATATGCGGTGGAGGGATTCCCCTCGACATGAAGCAGTCGGTAGAACTCTTTCATGAACTTGGATACGAATACGGAGCCTCGATCCGAGATTACCGTCTCAGGCATCACCCCATAGGGTACGTAGACGTAATCTCTTAGGATTTTGGCGAATCCGAGGGAGGTAAGTTCTTCAGTGCACGCTATGGGGATGATGGCCTTAGAGAACCGGTCCACGATGACGAGGATGGAGTCGAACCCCTTAGAGGTTGGGAGTTTAGTGATCATATCGACTGAGATATGTGTCCAAGGCCGTGTCGGCACTTCGTTTGGGTGAAGGGGGGCCTTCTTTGGACGGCGGTCAACTTTGGTTCGTTGACAGACCTCGCACCCCTTCACGTATGCCTCCACGTCTCTTCGCATGCGGGGCCACCAGTAATCGCGGAGCACCAATTCCTTGGTTTTCTCGATCCCTGGGTGCCCTGCGGTGATATGATCATGTTTGAGAGCGATGAGCTGCC